AATTTTGTTTTTTTTTTTTGTTTATCTTGTTTTTAAATTTTTTATAACTATATTCTTTTTTAATTTATTTATTTTTTTAATTTTAAATTATTAAATTAAAAAAAAAAAAAAAAAAAAAAAAAAAAAAAAAAAAAAAAACCGGATACTCGATTTTGTGTAATTTTTCACTCCAGTACCCGTCCTATGAATGCTTAGAAGAACAAGTGGTGAAAGGTGGAAAAAAGTGGTTCCATACTCTTATCTTACATATATATATCTATACATCTGAATACATAGTTAGATAATGCTTAAGTGTGGACTATTTAGAGGAATTCCTAAGGGTGCCTTGACTCCTGGGTTACAGGCAAGATTGCCAGTCACAAGAGTGCCGGGTGCAAGCTTGCAAGCCGTGAAGTTTTATTCCACACCAGCCAGAGCCAGAAGGAACGACAATAAACCTAAATTCAGATACTTGGTTTACACGTTTCTCTTTTCATCTGCATGTTTAGTCTTTGTTGCTCTGCAAGTTGACAAGAAGCCACCACCGAAAACTAACTTTTCAGAGAAGGAATTCCAGGAATATGAAGATACTACCCACTTGAAAAGACGTCACAAGATTGTACATGACAGCGAGAAGAACAAGGTTGAATTTTTCGTTATTCCATACTCGCATGAAACGTTAACAGAAGAGCAAATCTCTAAAAGATTGAAGAGCTCTGGCGTGGATAACGGTCAAGTGAAGGTTATTGATCCTCAACAGTTGATTGATGCAGAGATCAAGGACACTTCCAAGAAATTCCTGTACCTCTTACAAGACTTGAACGTCACAGGCAAGCCATACCCCAAAGGATTAGTGACTGCTTTGATTAAGGAAAATGTAAGGGAATACTTGGAAAAGACTAACAATGACGAAAACGTTGTGAAAACATCATTTTTCATTACCAATTACCCCAAGAACACGGACGAGGCAATCAAATTTGAAAATGATGTCGGCGACATCAAAAAGTGCGTGGTTTTGCACTATGATATGTTGAATGAGTTGCCTAAATTGGGGAGTGAATACTCTCAGCTTGTAAATAACGTGGTTGGGTACTTCGATACCGTCGGAAAGGCAGCAACTGTGATCACCAAATGGGACGAAATGGACTCAAAGTTTGAAGAAATCGTTCTCAAAGACATATAGACCCCTACTCACCGGGGCACCATGAACCTATTCCCATATGAAACGAGGACAAATTATATTTTACTGTACATAGCTTAATTGAATATATCTTCTGGAATTTGAAACTTTATAGCAGCCTTCTCTGCAAAGGCTTTGTCGCTGTCCAGGAAGTCACCTGGTCTCCCAGCGGCGTCCCCGACAAAGAAGCTCTCCTTTAGGTCAATTTCGTAGCCCTGCAGCTTCAAGTACTTTGCCAATTCTTCCCACATGCCCACATTTGGTTTCCGTGCTTGGTCGTGAAGTTCAACCGAGCTTACGTTAGTGGCATTCTTTGAGGCAGGTCGCTTGGGGGAAGCTAGCACAAGTAAGTCGTCCGCAACACCCAGCTTCCTTTGCACTTGGTTCACCCTAGAGGTGAAATTGATGTACGATTTAGACGACTTTGGCGATGCCACAACACCACCTTGATTCGTGAAGATTACAATAAGATATTTCTCGTCATTCTGTAAATCCTGCAAGACCGACGGCACCTTGGCATTGAACCATTTCCAGTCCGAGGGGTTTCTTGCAAATTTCAGGCCCGAAGTCGTATCCACAAGCGTGCCATCTAGGTCGAATGCAGCTATCTTGATTGGATTGGCATAGCTGCGGTTCAATTTTTTGGGCAAATTTGTGATTAAATGGCTACCAATGACTTTCCACCTCGCATCAAACCTGCTAACACTAGATGGTGTGAGAACGATATTCAATGCCGGTGAAGATGTTGAAGGAACAGACTTAACTTTAGTCGTCGACACCGAGCTTTGCGCGGGCTTTGCGATCTTCAGTCCCCTTAACAACGAGAATATATCTTTAGACATAGCTTTACCTAGTAGAATACTACTTCCAAACGGCTGTAGTTAACTTGCATTTTGATGGTCGCGTTTAAAACCGAAAAATAAATCAACAGAAATCACAGACAATAAAAAAAAATTTAGTATAAGTAGGAACTAGTCTTCCTCAGGGTCTTTGAATACGCTTGAAATGTCCGAACCTGATAAGATTACCACAGACCAGTATGGCCGGAAGCAGTGGAATTTGGAAGAATATGCCAAAGATGCAAAAAAGAAAAAGAAGGCTCCGGTGAAGGATACTTCTAAGGACTACAGTGTAAGTGATTCTACTTCGTATGTTTCACACAGAGACAATTTGCTTAAGGAACTGGTAGAATCTGTGAAACAGCATACATTATTGAATCCAGCAGCGATAAGCGGATCTGATGGCAGCACGAGAAATAAAGTATTTGGTTTTTTTTGCCCTGTATGTGAGCTATCCTTTCGAGATAACATGGCCTTGATAGACCACTTGAACTCTCCACAGCATATTGAAAAGGTCAAGGGCTCATTCGATGGTGAGCTAAATGCAGGTGTGCGGCGAGCTACCTTCGAGGAAGTGAAGGAGATGCTAGACTACTTGGTAGCACAAGAGAACAAGCTGTTGGAAGTACAAGAGAGTTTCCGTGAACGGGTCAGGAAGAGAGAAGAATTTGACAAAGAGAGGATAAAGCGTAGAGGTGAAAGAAGACTCACTAAACGAAGAAGACGAAATATGGAGAAGGAAATGAGGAACGCGGATGTTGAGGACGATGGTGATTTCCAAAAGATGATGGGGTTCAATGGGTTTGGTAGTACCAAAAGGGCATAATATATAGAGTTTGCAAGTGTGTATGTACATGAACATGTGGTCCTGTGGATATGTGTGTAGCGTTACTTCAGGTGATGTTTGGGCCGGAGAAGGTCTCAGTTCAGTGCGGGCATGTTTCTCTCACTCACTCTTGCTAGCGCTGAAATGGCTGCGAATTTGCACCCGCGCAGATTTTCCAGGGCCCAAACTTCCAGGCTTCACAGTAGAGCCAGTGGTACCAGTGAGCTACTCAACTACGTTGGAAAACTATTAAAAAGAAAGGTGCCAGTCAGACAACTAGATAACTGAGCCCACTGAACTGAAATCACTAAACCCGCACTACTAGAGTGACACTTTGGGCTATCCCCCGTCTGATCCCTAGTAGACCGTAACCCTGTCCTCATCCGCATACTGTATGGCCTGCATGTAGTCCACTTTGATACTCTTTGCATACAAAACACACACCATATAAAATAAACTGCACATAGCCTAAATTCGAATTAAAGGACAGTTTTCGCTTCCAGTCACCCAAGCTAGATCTCTCCCCGTACTTCTGACCACCCGTGGCCAAGACAGCGTGCTTTTAGCGTGGTCCCCTTGGCCTTTCCTCTGGTGACCTTCGTGGACTGCATATAGTTTCTTACAATTTTATTTTTCTTTTTTTTTTTTTATTCTCTTTATTTTTCTAGCCAATGAAATTCAACTGAAAATTAAGCACAAAAGTAAAATCAAGTACATAAAGTTTTTTCGTTTTGACTGACATAAACCAAACACCAGGTAGCGTAGTTGATCAACGAGTAATCTCATAAGTACGCCAAGATGAAGATAACTTGGAACACCCCATTCTCATCCTTATTCAAACAGAAGTTTGGTAAGTTCAATATCCAATTGGAACAAGATATTAGAAAGAAGTTGGACTCCCTTTCCACGGTAACTAAAATCTACACAAACCCAGATGGAACCCCAAGAGTGCCAAGCGACCTGGAATTCAAAACCATCGCTGATATTCAAAACTTATATTACAAGAGAAACCATTCTGCATGGAACTTGTTGTTACCAGGAATTCCAAAGGAACAATTGGATTTATATAAAGATAACACCCAAGACTTGAAGAACTTTCAATTTGTTACCAAGGATGCTGGTAAGATTATCGATAAGGTGCCATACAAGGACGAAACCACCGGAGAATTAAAATGGAAGATCATTAGAGAAACCGAAAAGGCTGAAGGGTGGGAATTCCCATTCTACTACTTTGTATTACCTGTGTTCTTCTACGTGTGTTACGCCAAGTACACCGCTCACTTCTACGACAGAGAACACTACGGTCCAGACTGGGCAGAAAAGGAATTAAGATTGAGAGCCATGGAAGACTACTTCAAGGGAGACACTGAAAAGGCCAAGCAATTCTTGAGCAACGAGGGTAAGTCAGAAAGAGAAATTAGAGATAGAGACGACTTGGTTGTCGCTAGAATCTTGGGTGGTGACTACGACAAGTTATCTCAATTGAAGAAGAAGTTGCCTGCTGACTTAATCAAGAAGGAAGAGAAGAACAAGTATCTTAACATCTAAGACTATCGTACAGAAAAGAAAAAGCTATGAGAATAAGAAGAAAAGTAGAAACATCGTTGGACTTCTATCCAAAGTTCACCAAACTTGACAGACACAATTAGACAGTCAAAAATCCACAACATTAGACCGACGCACACCGAACTAATCGATATACATATACACCTGTGTATCACATATAAAAATGCATTTTGAAACTCCTTGTAGCTCTATAAAAACCAAAGGTAATGGGACGGTAGTTCCATTTTTCACCTTCTTCTCTTTACTCAAGTGCCCTTACACTCTTACAGTCTCGCCCCGCTAGTCTCATAGTACTCATTTATCCTATATACATATTTATCTACTTTTGTATTTACTCTTCGCCGGATTCTTCAATGGTGATCTTGGCAGTGGTCAAACCTTGTGGAGAAGAGCCGTACAGTTCAATCTTCTTAACAACATCCATTCCTTCGATAACTTCACCAAAGACAACATGCTTACCGTCTAACCATGAACATGGAACAGTGGTGATGAAAAACTGGGAACCATTGGTACCTGGACCGGCGTTGGCCATACTCAACAAACCTGGCTTGGTGTGCTTGATGTTGAAGTTTTCATCTGGGAAGTGTCTACCGTAGATGGACTTACCACCGTAGCCCTTACCAGTTTCGAAATCACCACCTTGCAACATAAATTGTGGGATGACTCTGTGGAAGATACTTCCAGCGTAACCGAATCCCTTCTCTCCGGTACACAAAGCTCTGAAGTTTTCTGCGGTCTTTGGGACAACGTCGTCGAATAACTCAAAGGTAATCTTTGGTTGTGGAGCACCATCAATGGCAGTCTTGAAGTAGACCTTGGTACCTAAGTTTCTGCTAGTGGTGGAAAATAATCTGGCTGTGTTTTTGAACATCTTGTGATGATTGTTTGGCTTTGTTAAGATATAAACTGATCACCGTATCCTTGCCAGTTTTGTTCAGTTTTTAATTTTTCAAAATTTGGCGTAGGATGAAAAATGTCGATTGTCCTGCATATAGATGTTTATCCAATAGAATTACCCGGCGCCCTGTAGATGGGAACCACTAGCAAGTTGTGCTAGTAACAAGCTACAAGAAGTATTAACTAGAACATAAAGTATATAATATTATCGTATATGTGTATCTTACTATTTAGTTTACAAACTCAATTCGAAAAGAATAATTTTTTTTGTTTTTTGTTACTATAATTTTTTTTCATTGTATTTCCTTTTAGAAACTAAGTAAATCAACTTCTCCAGAGTTACCGTTGTTGTTGGTGTTATTGGTGTTGCTGTTGGTGTTGTTGTTATTTCTGGTGGTGGTGTTGCTTGAACCAGAATTGAAGTCGCCAAAGAAATCATCGTCATTCGTTGTAGCTGTAGATGCGCTTGAAGTTATTGGACCGGATGGCTTTTTAGTAGTGGTGTTGTTGGTGGAGGTAGTAGTAGACTTGGTCTTTGCAGAAGAAAATAGCGACGAAAATGCGTCATTGTTAGCTGGCTTGGCTGGGCCGGTGGAATTGAAAGATGAATTGATTCCGGTGTAGGTTGGTTGTCGTTGTGGAGAGGTTTGTTGTGGTTGTTGTTGTTGGTTATATAAATTAGCAAAGTTAGGCTTTTGGGGCTGGGATGGGGCAGCCTGGAAATCGTCAAAGTCATCGTCTTCATCATCGTCGGCTGCTGCTGGTGCAGCTGCTGCAGAAGAAGAATGGCCGTTTCCATTTTGTGGTTGATCGAACGATAACAAGTCTCCTAATAAGTCTTGTTCTTGTGGTTGTGGTTTGGAGTTAGACGAGTGGGCGTTTACCTTACTGGAACCGGTTGTTGGCCTTGAAGATGAGGAGGAAGATGGAGTTGGATCGTATTCTTCATATTCAGTGGAGCCACTGGCACCAGTTTGCCCATTGCTGAACCCAGCAGCAGAATCGTCGTATCTTTCACCGTAAACACCACCATCCCCGTAGACCTTACTGGTGAAGTCCCCGTCTTCAAACCCTTCGTTTTGGGTAATTGAGGATGCACCACCAAAGGCAGCAGAAGAAACACCACCAAACTTCTTGGCGTTGGCTCTTGCCTTCTTTCTCTCAGAGCGAATCATTGAATCGTCATTCAAAAATGCAATTAAGTTCTTAGCTCTGTTTCTAACGTTTATCCCCTGATCTCTGCCCTTAGAATCAATGTAGTGGAAACTTTTCAACATCTGGATAAGGGTCAAGTTGGCCCTAACGTCATCTATAAGTCTTTCTGCTCCATTCTTGATCAAGTAGTCCAACAATTGCAAGGATTTATAGATTTGTCTCCATTCATTGGCTGCCTTTTCGGTAAATCTACGGAAAATGAACCCGATAATTTCCTCTCTCTCTCTGTAGTTGTATGTACCTGCAGCGATCTGAGCCATGAGGGTTGATGGAGCACCCCAGGGTTCGTTGTTGGTGGCCTCACGGACCTTAGCTTCCATTTCGGTCAAATTCATGGCGACTGCGGGGGAAATCTGTTAGTAAATTTGTCAAAACTACAACTTGTTATCAACAAGCCTCCTCTCTACTGAAAACGTGTAACGTACCATTTTGTGCCTTCCGGACGTATGCCTTAACATCGTACAAGGAAATGTTCTTTGCTGCGTCCTTAAGAAGATCCATAGTGACTATTCTTCCTTTCCTTTCCTCTTGTATATATCTTCCGGTAACTATTCCACAAGCTAGATAAAGTGAATGGCTCTCTGGTTCCTAGTGTAACGTCTTGATCTTGCTGGAAAATGACGAACAGCAAGAAAAACAAAAAAAAAATCCCAAGGAAGAAAAATTCGAGAACCAAAAATTTAAGGAGATAAGTAGTGTATGCAGGAATTTTTCACTTGAAAAATGAGCTAAAACTGTGAACAGTGCAAGAATGTACCAAGAAGGAAAGAGAGCGGTTTTGAGATATGCCAAAAGTTAGCTGGTGGGCCAGATTTGTTCGCCTGTGGTTTTAGAAAATCGTTGGTTGCATGTAGGAGAAGAAAAATATCTGATTTATGGGGTGATAAGCGATATGTTTCGGCGCAATTGGTGGGTCCTCTGTACCCGCTCTGGTTGGCTCTGCTTCCACTTTACTACGAACTAAAGACCAAATCGGCAGGGACGGGATTTTCCTAGCTGGTAAGCGGGTGCTAAGATTTTATTTTTTGTTAGCATATTTTTACTTTTGTTAGCGCTTTTTTTATTTGTATAATCACTGTCTTGTATGCTGCACTGTCTGGTATGTGGCAGAACTGCCTAGCATTGGTCTTAATTTTATTTGTATATTACAGTTACTATATAAAGATGGAGTCAGCCGATCTGTTCCTATTTTCCTCGGGTATCACGCTTCACTGTTTTTTTATACATTATTTGTTACCAATATTATTATTATAATTATTATTATTATTATTATTATAATATTATTACTATCATTATTATTTTTGTTGTTCTTCTAATATCCCATTTCTCTTGCATACGACATCATGTACGCTTAGTATTTTTTGTCTTTACCACTTTCCTTTTTTTCTCCATTTGGTTGATGCCCTTGTGAGGCTCTTTTACTATGGCTGCGAATTTGAAAGCTGATGCTGGATAGACCCTTTAGCAGAATATCCTGTATATTCTAAAAATCCAGTGCCTCTGTAACTGTTTCTCTCTGTCTTCCGCCAACTCTTGCTTCACTAGCTCCAAATCGATGTCCCTTCTTCCGGTATCCACATCGATTTCGTCGGCAGTCAACCATAACTTGTTCAAAGGAACACCGTGGAAAGTAAAAACGTATAGCTTATGGCCAACATATGATACAAACACAACACACGCACCTAACCAAGTTTGGAAGAAATTAGATACATCTGCCTTCCCACCGTTGCCCGTTGGGAATAAAGCAGCCCAGAACTGAGCCGCTAACACTAATATAAGCATAACAAGTCCGTACCATGAATTGAAAATATTACTGGTGTAGACCAATTCATCCTTAGCCTCTCTCGCTCTTTTAGACAAAGCTCGCCTAAATCGGAGATGACATAAACAAATTGACCACCACGTGAATATAGAACAGCATCCACTCAAGGCTAAGAGCCAGTCAAATACTTCGATCGTCTTAGCTTGACCAGGAATACCAACAAGGAAACACAAGAGCCCAAATACAAACTGGACCAATAACGCAACGATAGGTCTACCACTACGGTCAATATAATTCAATATCTGGGGACCTTGTTTCAATGCACCAAGTGCTGCAAGTGTTCTAGAGCTACCATAGACCGAAGCGTTTCCAACAGATAACACAGTGATAATGATAACGACATTCATAATTGATGGTAATGCCTTGATCTTAGCATCTTCTATTGCCAAAACGAAAGGTGAAGTATTAATGTTAACACCTACATTGTTTTGCCCTTCAGTTCCAGAAACACCACTTCCCAATAACCTTTCATCTTTGTAACTCACCAATAATGAAATCATTATAATAGATAAGATGTAAAATAATAAGATTCTCCAAAACACCTGCTTAATTGCTTTGGGAATAGATTTCTTAGGGTTGACTGTTTCACAAGAAGCTAATGCAAACAACTCAACTCCCGAATAGGCAAAAGCAGCACTGAACAAGATTGAACAGATATTTTTAAAAGGTGAGTGTTCATTAAATAATCCACCCTCTGGTTTATGCCAATAGGTTCCACCGATATATCTATGTTCAGGAGGGGCTCCACCTGAGACTATAATAATTGATAAAATAATGAACCCAATGACTGCACAAACCTTCATGATACTGAAAATATACTCTGCTTCCCCATAACCTTTAACACCAAATAAATTAATCCCACAAATAACAACATAGAAAACAGCAACGAATACTGTGGGATTCACTGAAGTGTTCCAGTATTGAATTGTTATACTGGCTGCTATCAATTCCAAAGGCATAGTTACTAGCCACTGCAAGGCATAATTCCAAGCCATGGCAAATCCCCATGATTGATCAATAAACAACGTGTTAAAGGTGATAAATGCTCCAGAAACGGGAAAGGCAACGGACAATTCTGCCAATGAAGACATAGTCACATATATCACCAGTGACATAAATAACCACACCAAGAGAAGTCCCAATGGACCAGCCGAAGCCAAGGACTCACCCGAACTGATAAATAAACCGGTTCCGATAGCACCACCGATAGCGATCATTTGGAGATGTCTACTCTTTAAAGACTTCGATAAAGGAGAAGTAGATGTCACGATTGCGGCTCTTTCCAACTCAGTGAGTCTACTATAATCAAAATGTGGGTGACTTGGATGTAATTCAGCTGGTTGCCTCCCTGTAGGTGAACTAATGGCTGCTTGTAAAAGTGGAGATTGCGGTGACTGAGATTGGGCGTTAATTAAGATCTCTTCATTGTGGGTGAAATATTCGACTGGGAGGTTTGTATAATCATAAGGTTTGAAAGAATTATAAAATCTTTTGAAGGGGTTCTTCTCTACAAGGTCCTCTTCATATTCGCCTGAGAAGCTTGATCCTGATTCACTTTCAGTGTATGGATTCAGAATATATGGTTCAACTGTCGAATTAGTGTCTTCTACGCTAGCCGACCTGTCGTGATTGTTTTGCTGGGTTTTCTCATGTCTAGCTTCAAACATATTGAATCAACCAGCTATAAGTAACTATATTGTTAAGCAATTCAAGTGTGAATAAATAAGAAAGAGAAGACGTTTTTTGGTGGTAAGAATATTTTCCAGTATAAAAGCCTTTATCTTTCGTTAAATGAAAAGTACTGGAATTTGAACTGGAATATTTTTCTCTGCTGGAATGTGAATGTAATTCAAAAAGACCAGATTTGGGGTTTAGTGTTCCTATCTGTATAAGAAGGCTAACAAATGTCTACAGGATTGCAAATTTTCCAATTATGCTACTTTTCACTTCTTTATAATTTAAAATAAAAGGATATTTCAAACTTGCGTTCGTCAGGCAGGCAAGAAATAAATTTAAACAATAAACCTTAATACTCAATACGGTCTTTCTATTTCAAGTTGGCCCATATATGTCAAGAACCTATGCGGCGGCAGGATGCATCAAATGAAAAAATATAAATGAAGAGAAAAAATATTATGGAGAACACAATTATCTTAGATAGGAGGGATAAAAACTACAAGGTTGAACTACAATAGATAACAGATAACACTAATGAAAACTATTTAACTCATGCACCTCATTTTTCCACTTCCAGATTAAATTCCCGTGTATCTAAAATCAGGGATGAGTTCGTCGCATTGTTTTCTTTTTTATCTGGGGCAACAATCTAGTCAAAAGGAGATGTTTGATTGCATGGATAAGGCTTGCGAAAAAAAAAAAATGTACGTTGATTACATGCCTGAAAAACCTGCCATGCGGCTTCATGGTTGCATCGGGGATAATGACAAGCAGCATGCATAGAATAGCCGCTAGGTATATACGAATAGATAAGTCTTACTCTCAGTATGTATGTTTATTTTTTACTTCTTTCTCTTAGGACTAAATATGTAAATTGAAGTGTCAACCGCTGCATCTTGCCTTTCTTGAATGTAGTTGCATTAGTTCGTCACATACTATGGTCCGATTAGGAAATGGTGAGTTTATCGTCTACATCTTTTTAACACCAATCCATGTAATAGTGTACTAATGTGGTCAGTTTACTTTTATTTACTTTATTTTTGATGAATGTTGCTCAAAGCCTGTTCAAGATCAAGGATTAGATCTTCCACATTTTCTACTCCCACACTGAAACGTAAAAGATTAGGTGGACAGTGACTGTCGGATAATGGCCTCCATTCAATCAAACTTTCCACGCCTCCAAGCGATGTTGCATGGTGAAAGTACTTCAATTTTCCAGGAAAAGCTTTGGCTAACTCTTCACTTTCTAACTCAATGCAGAATACTGGAGAATCTCCATTTGGCATTTGCTTGGAAATGAAAGCATCCTTTTGTAAAGAGCCATGAATGACTTTCAGGATCTTTGGGTACTTCCCTTGATTTGCAGTTAAATACTCAACTATTTTCGTAGCATTGGAAGATTGTCTCAAAATTCGAAGCTCGTAAGTACGTAAACTTCGAATTAAGAGGAAAGATTCCAAGTTGGCAATATTTGAACCTAAGAAGACTCGCTCGTTCACTAAATCATTCTTGACCTTAGGGTCCTTGGTTAAGACAACTCCAGCTAATAAATCACTGTGTCCACCGAAAAACTTTGTGGCAGAATGGATAACCAAGTCTGCACCTTGCTTAAATGGGTCCAGTAATGGAGGTGGGGCAAATGTAGCGTCAACCACCAAAGATGCACCACGGGAATGAGCAATATTGGCAAACAATTCAAGGTCGAAGATCTCGCCGTCTGGATTAACAGGCGTTTCAACGTAGACCATATCACCAGCGCTTAATAAAGTGGGATCTTGCTTGCAGTCTTCAAGAGAAATTTGCTTCAAGTTTTTAACTTTTGTGAAAACATCTGCAATTCCGTGAGTTCCATGGTAACCTCCTCCAATTGCAAGAGTTTTGGGGTTGCAGTGAGTAAATGCTGCAAAAATAGCAGCTATTCCTGAACAATAAGTAACTGCGTGTGCATCGGTGATTGCTCCTAAGATTTCCTCTGCTTGTTCGGAGTTCGGATGCGTTTCACGGGAGTAAACATGTTCACCGATAATTGAATCGTCTGGGTTCCTATCAGCAGCTTTGACCAAGTCATTGACATTTTCAGAATATTTGTAAGTGGTAGAAACATTTATTGGAGCAACTACGTCAGAAACTCTGGAGAGCTTGTCAGCGGCATGGATTGAAGTGGTGCTAATTCCTGTCATGTTGAAGAGTAATGTACTACAGAGAAATGTTATTTGCTTGCCCAGAAAGAATATTTGTGTTTTCTAGGAACAGTTTCTGTGGGTTTTATATTCGATTTTGATTTATACTCAAGGTAACTACAGAAGCCCTTCGAAGGGCATCGAAGAAATCTCTGTTGTTTGGGCTGGAGAAGTATAAGTCATAAGACCTAACCAAAGCTAAATCAGGAAATTGCGCACCTACGAAAAGCATATAGAAGCTCATTGAAGAATTAGGCGCATTTCCAGATTTAGCTCTGTGCAAAGCCGTTTCTTAAAGATTCCAAGCCAAATCGAAACCTTTCGAAGCTCATTGAAGGTTGAATGAAAATTACGAACGACCTTCGTCTCATTCAAAAAGCGATGTCTCATTCTGCTTAAGAAGCCTATTGCGTGGAAAAGGTGCATTCGAGTTCATCCACCTTAGTCGGTTCCACAAGATGTTTGAAACGCCCCACCGCCTAAACTGCCTTAAAAATAAAAGAGAAAAAGGGTTTGAAAAAGAAACTTTTTTATCTTAGACTTCTAACCATGGTACCCCTCTATGTATTTTTTGTTGTTCCATGCTTTTTATTTTTTGAAAGTAGTAGACGACTTGAGGCGATATGGTAGCAAAAAATATTTAAATAATAAACTCTTGCAACTGAACTCAGGCTTAAACTTCGCTAGTAAATAAGCTGCAGGTGGCAGATGGACATTTGAATTCTTATTTCATGATCAAAGGAATCTAAATACTTAAGCTTCACCTTGACTTCCAAAACCAATGCGATTTACTAACATATACACTTACTACCATTTACATTTATCCAAAATATTTATTTTCTTGTTTTCTTGATGTTACCTATATAGTTAAGATTATAACATTTTTTTACTCTAATCCTTGTTTTCTAAATCAATGAACTTACCACCGGTAGCGAATCTTGGGTGTCTTGGATCATTAATAAATTCGTCAGAGTTGGCAGAAGCAACACTTAACTTTTGGATAATGACATAGGTTAAAGCAGCTAAACAGTTTAGTTAGTAAATTGGTCTAGAGTTAAAGCAAAGCATTTCGCACTGTATAGTGCAAATTGTATTAGAGATATAGATGTGACTGTGGGTGTGGGTGTTGGCGAGTGTAGTGCACATAGTTGACCTACCCAGTAGAATATGTTGAGGATATAGAGATGAAGCTGTGATTGGGATCTGGAGATTTAATGGGTGTTCATCTGTTCCGCATAGTGAGGGTTGCCATATGTAATCATCTGGATTATACCGCTCTGATAAATGTTACTTTCAATGGTCATAGTGAACTACTTCACTTATAAGTGTGAAAAATTCTGTCAACCTACATAAACTAGGAAGGTGAAGCTGCACATTCAAGCTGGTCATATTCGGTTCAATTGAAATAATCTTCGATACTCTGCAAGCTAACACTACGTCTTCTACTGCATAACACGATTGTTTTAGGATATCACTGGCATAATTTCACCAACTTGTCAATATTACTCGTAGGCTCTCTTTATTTGTTCGACATTATTCTCAGATTTGCTCACATTTTATTTCTCTGGTCTCCTACACTCTACATCAACATCTTCCACTTAAATCATGATTTATACATACCACCTGCGGCGAATGGCCAGTATGGCTTGAAGACTGGGGTTGGGAAAGGCATCTTCGATTAATTGATATGAATAGTAACTCTACGAAGTAACACAACCGTTCAAAAATCTTTTAGTTTTCTTTTAATTCCATTTCTCGCTTTGGTCTCAGCCAATAAAATCAGTTGGAGAAATTTGTAAATGGTACACTACTATATTCGTATGCAGGAGAGTTGCAGAAATAAGAGTATGGAAGTATCTATACCTTGTGATTGATACACTGTTATATTCAATAAATATATTACATTGTAACATGTAGTATTATGTAAGAGTTTTTTCTAATATCTATTTGGGTCTATTTGGCGTTCATAATTTCATAAATTCTGATTTCTGCTGTACCCTTGCGGAACCAAGTGGAGGTATTTAATTTCTCGGGCTCTTCACACTTGTCTTTTATGCACCAGTTGGATGCTCCAAACCAATTAGTCAACTCTATTTCCCAGTCTTTCAAGGTTTCTTCGTTTCTGACTGTAGCGGCAATCAACGCAGCCTTTGTTCCCAGTACGAAAAAGTCATTAATAGTACTACACAATAATGATAATATCCTCGAATCGTAAGTGACATCGGCTGCGATTATGTAATCGATACTACTGGGAACTGGCTGAATGAAATCCTCCAGTGTTGAAGGGCCGGTGGTACCCCAAAGCAATTGTTGACAGCTAATTTTGGAATTTGACTTCTCGATTTTGTTCAACTCAAATGTGTCGTTCAAATTATCGATCAATTGACTGTCTCCATCTGTCAATATCAATTTTCTGAAAGTGAAATTGGGATTATTTGCTAGTGATAAACTCAAAAGTCCAGTTCCTGTTCCCAACTCTAGTATAGAGGTGGCCCCATCCACTGCAAATTCGTTTTTTTCATATAGAAAGTGGGCCATATAGAGGGCAGCCTCCCATGTCCGAAGTCCTGTGGTTCCTTTACCGGAAATTAATTTGGGGTACTCCTTTATGTAGACTTCAACATGGTTAGCTATCGTGTAGCATAATGTGTCAGACTCAGTGGGTCCTAATTCCTTCGCATTAAGTATGGTTTCATCGCAGTACAATTCGTACAATTCCTCCAAGATCTCTATTCCCTGTCTCTCTATTATGTCTATATACTTCTTTAGAAAAAGTTTAGCATAGTACGAATTATGTGTGACTATGCTTTGAATGAGTTGAAGTATTTTCTCTTGAGATGAGATCGAATAGAGCTCGCCAGACTGATCATTATCTACATTTGAGGGTACCAAAAATTCATGGATTGGTACCCGCTGGTGCAAGCAGCTTAGCAACCTCTCCAACTTCATTTCAAATGACTACCTATACCAACTTGAGGCACAGCACCATCCCAGACTGAAACTGAAAATTATGAGAGAGGCAAGAAAATGATTCTAAACCTTTTGCAACATGTATCCTGCATGTAAGTATGCTACATGTATATGCACGAGAGGAAGCTCTGAAGACTACGAGGTAGGTTAACACAGAAGTGATGTCTAAGACTACATTAAAGTGGACATAAAGTGTTGTTAAGATCAGAATATTCCATTCTTCAATCTATTTTTTTATATACTTTAAATTCACTTATTGTAAATTTCTGTTATATTGTATTTTTCTCCCTTTTATAAATTAATTTTGAATGTTTCTTTTAGTGCCCTATGCGATGGTTCCGAATACCCTGACTCTCTTGACACCACCATCTGGAATAATGGTCAATAATACGTGAGAGTAGGTACCCTTGGTTTCAATGTCAAATGTGTGTTCCTTGTGTGGGCCAGTCTTTGAGTCACCGACTAAAACTTCCCAGTCCTTACTGTTGAATTCTGGGACAGATTTGTCGTCGTCTACGTTGACACCCTTTAAGTTAACCTTTTGTGGGAAATTACCCTTGAAATTTGCAGTGTCTACAACAATGGAAGAAACCTTGGTCTTTGCACCCAACTTAATGACAACCCAATCAACATGGCCAGGTTCTCTCGATCTCTTAGTTTCCCAGCCATCGGACATATCGTGGCCCCTACCAGGCAAGATCAAGTTGTCAGCAGATCCAAAATGCTGGTCAGAGTAACGAATGGCAACCCCACCATTCTTTACGGAAGCCAAATCCAAAACGGTAGACAAGTCCTTTGGATAAATAGGAACTACGGTACCGTAAAGTCTAAATCTTGCAATTCCACCGTCCGGGTACATTCTCAATCTAACGTGAGTATAGTTGGTTTCAGTAATGGCCTCTCTTACAAAGAAATGCTTTTGAGATGGACCACATTCCGTCTTGGCAATAACAGTTTCCCATTGAGATTCTTCTACGTCGTCGCTTTCAGAAGTTGCAGCTTCCACACTAATAGCAGGAGCATGATTTCCATTGAAGTAAGCAGTGTCGACCTCACAACCAATCAATTTGGCAGAGGAAACACCCAAGCGGAAAGTGACCCAGTCAGCTTCCTCGGTGTTGTGTCTTCTGGTTTCCCAACCGTCGTACCAAGCACCGGAATCTACAAATCTAGTGGCATCTCTGATTGGAGCCTTTGGTTTGATTAAGTTTTCAGCGGCAGCAAACCATTCGTCTGAAAATTTCAACACTTTTCCTCCAAGTTTTTCTCCGATAACGTCGGTGTACTTGCAAACGATTTGATCGTGGAATTCTTGTTCTGATAAGATAGCAACCATTGTGTTGATAGTGACTGATATTATTTTTTTAAAAAAGTAAAATGGAATGGAATATTATTGAGATCTCTGGATTTAGTTCTCTTTATGTAGTTCTAGAACAGCTACCTTAAAATGAACTGGGGAAGAGATTTCGACATTCCGTTCATATATTGAAAATTTTGTGTGGACGCTCACGCTCTGATAAGGTTTGAATCGGTCATAGGTGCGTCAAGCAAAACGCGGAGATCACCGATAGTGAAAAATTCTTTAGCTGTGGTAATGTTCGTAGGCGTAAAAAAGGCTAATAGTTGAGGGAGTGGTGGTAGGTTCGGTGTGCACGTGAGTCCATGGGGTTACAATGGTACAATAAGAGTATTTGATTGCGTCTCTGGTAATTTGATGAACGTTTTCGTTGCTGCTATTGTAAGCAACTGCTTTCGCTGTGTGGTGCCAAACGTCTTATCTGAAATTTTCAAGGGGAAGAGAATTGAATTTCAAGTACAAGTCAAATTTATTGAAAAAATAATCCACTCTCTCTGTTGCTTTTGAAGTTGCCTGAGTATGTTAGGCACTGGAATCTACCTTCTGATCTGAAGATTATCCGTATATTACGCTAGGTGGTTGGCTGTGGTCCCCGGAGAGCAAGTGCATGTTGGTAGACTTTTCAGGTACTGCATACATTTATGCAGCTTCAATCAGACCCTGAGCACTAGTCTTGTAAGGTCACTGGTGAATCAGCTAATTTGGCAGGATACGAGGATGAAAAATATCTAGAGGGCGGGAGTAGGGTCACAAGGATGAGACGAGAATATATAGCATGATAATAGGGTTAAGTGGGAGAAAGCATTTTGGCTTGATTGGGCGCGGTGCACACTGGAGTGATGCAGTGCTATACTCATCATGGCTATGAATTACAAATAGTTTTCACTGGCCATACGGCCCTAAATCAATTGAAAAAAGCGGAACAGAGCACACCCTCACAAGCCTCCTCTTCCAGTCTGATAGGTGAAAAAGGAGCACAGATAACTCTCTGGAACTCAGCACTGGTGCTGAATTATGAGCTATAGATCCTGGGTTTATATATTCAGTCTCATTTATAATAGTGCCCATTTCCCTTCTTCGTACGTCAAAGATGGTTGCATTTTGCATGCGCAGCTGCGCAGCTGCGTGCGCTCAATGTAGCATGAGCGCCACTACCATATTTATCGTTTGGGTAAATAGGGCTCCGCATTGAGAGCATTCACAGAAAGAACATGAGAAACATATATTTACCAGCTGAAATCCCTTGCTCCTCAATCCTCCATCCTTCATCTCTCATGTCATCTCTCATACTCAGCTTTTGGTTCTCAGCTTAGCACCCACATGCCTTCTCTACTTATTTGTCTATCGGCCCAGTCTTCCTTGTGCATTCTTCATGCCCCTAAATATGCAGTACCGCCCAAAAAGAAAATCAAAACAAAAACAAACTAACCAATGATTTAGATTCAACCGTTTTTTTTCTTTGGTAGGCATTGAAACAATACAGCAATACTCAAAGAAAGAGGCTCAATCCAGTTATTGTCAAAAGGAACACTAGTACAAAGAAAGGTCTGATCTACCTGTCAATACTGTAGTTATTTAAGAGCATTGCCACCGCTGTTTTTTATTTTTTTGACGAGCTGATTGTGACAAGAATCGATTTCGAAGATCAACTGACTTAGGGCCAAAAAAAAAATATCGAAAGGAGAAAAAATTTACTAGTGAAGGTGAAACAATTTTTAAGAAATCAACTATATCGGTCGGACCCCACTTATATTTATTAATCCAGTTTCCAATACATTCTCATGATCCATGGATTAACTACTCCGAATTCGAAACCGCTTGGGATATCGTCTCAAACTAACAGTCCAATCAGTACCCCGAAAAACTCTCCCAACAAGAAAAGATTGCAGACTAAAATGGCTAGGGCTTCATCCACGCCTACGTCGGCAAATACATCTGCATCCGCAATAACTCTCTCATTGAATAACCTTCAGAATGACTACAATAACTTGGAGAGATCATACGCAGACTTACTCCTCAGATCCAATTCCATATCGATTGATAAACTCCAACTTGAAAAAGACCTTCAATTGAAGGCAGAGATAATAGCTGAGCAGTCAGATAAGATTGTGAGTTATGAAAGCATAATAAACTCCATGAAAGTGGAGTATGGAAAGAACCAGGAATTGTACGAAAAGGAGTTGTTTTACTATAAGGAATTGGTCAGTGATCTAGAGTTGAAAATAAATAAGCTAACTAAGGAATTGGACAGCATAGAACCCCAAGTTACTCAGTTCGACGATAATTCTGCTGCATTGGAAGATATCTCAAAGAAATATACAGATTTGTTAAAAGACTTTAAGATTTTGCAAAGTAATTTCGAAGTCGAGCAAAGTTCCAAATTGGTCTTAATGGACCAAATTGAGTACATAACGCATGAAATGGATAACAATCAAAAGGACAAAAGCAACTCAGAGTATGATTACAAGAATGAGAGCAGCAATGAATTTATTGGAGGAGACATTGAGAGCAAAGAAATACACATGGATACGTTCCATACGCTTAATGCATTACATGAGCAATCGGACTCCGAATCTGATTCGGACAACGAAGTTCGTGGCAAACATGGTAGAATGTTGAGTTTGGCAGATGAAATCTCGTCATCATCCCCAATCAAAGACCTTGAAAAGGAAGAGAAGAGAAACAAGCGTGTAACTTCGGTGCTTCATAACCCAAATTTCAAATTCCCACCTTCACCTGATCCTGAAGACAAGCAAAAGCAACGCCAATCACTCCCAGCTAAATTGAAGACATCTTCACCACATCTTGATCAAGAAGAATTTGTGCTATCACCTCTCAAATTGACGGCTAACCACAATGGATCTTCCTCGTCATACTTTGATCTTGCTAATGCATCCATAACCAAATCTGAAAGAAGATACTCCAACAGCAAACCTCATCACTCAAGATACAATTCGCATGATGTCTTTCCTATAACAGTTGAGTTCGAACAACTCCAATCAGAAAATGGACTTCGTGCTGCATCCGTTCCTGAAAAGATCCATAATGCCGCCACAGAAGGCAGGAGGAACAGAAATTCAGCTTTTCTTGCTGAGACTTCAATTGAAGAGGGCCAAGTCCTGAACAGGAACTCCATGTTGACAGAATCTTCATCTAAAAGGTCTTCTTTGTTAATGGACCAGAGCATTCTCACAAACGATATGACCAAACAGGAAATAATGAAACTCAAATTTGAATTACAATCGTTAAAGCTTCACAATGAAAAATTGTTGTCATATATTGGCTTTGAGTTGCAAAAGCAAAAGAAAAACATCAAAAAACTTTCCCATAAACAATCACTCAACAGTATGAGGAATAATATGGAATACTCGGATGCTAAATTGATTGAAAAATCAAGAGATATGTTAATTCATAAAAAGCGTGTCTTAAGAAGCGTATCCATTAATCCTATAGTGAGTAAAAGGGGTGATGGTAACAATAATCGTAGTAGTCAAATAATTAGTAAGGGCTTACTTAAGAAGAATGAGGATGGAACTGAAGGGCTTATAGGATTTCCATATCAACTCTTTGATGGAGATGATGAGTATGGATTCTTAAATGACCCGAACCATGGCTCAAGGTTATTTGATAATGGTATAAAAAGTTACTACGAAATAGACGAAGAAATAGAAGAGCATGAAGATGGGAGTTTGAGGGGACCCAAGAAGTACAAATCACAAATATTCAGGCATTCTGAAGCAATGCTGTCTGACTATGATGAAGACGATGATGATATTGAAGCAGAGGAAGAAGATGACGAGGATTCATGGCAAGACGTTTCTGAAGCTGAAGGTACTATATCGAACAAGGCCCCACTGACATCTGTTTTCAATCATATCAAGGGCTTATTTATAAGTAACCACACTACCAACAAACACAAGACCACCAACGACACAGTGGATGAAACGTTAAAATATAAGTTCTTTACCATAGCAGTTGGTATCTTGATTATTGGAATACGGTTCTCGCACAATCAGAATATCCATCACCAGTAAAGTAGATAACATTAACTATTCACAATGGTAATAATAATAATAATGATAATAATAATAAGATAACTATAAAATGTTTCAAATAAAGTACATACCCGTAGCAACAAGGGGGAGCTGCCCGAGCAGGAGCACGGTATGTCACCACTAACTGATGCCTTCGTCCCTGAAGCTCTAGACTCCTTTGACGCATATAAAATAAAGACACAGGTGTGCGCATTGTTTAAGATGCACAAGTGCATGAAAGAAGCAAATCAACATTTAATACGGAAGCAGCCTACTGTAGAAAAGACGGTATCGTGGTACTCAAGGCTAAATTCCCCTAACCCCTGTAGCCAGACACCGATGTAGGATACCTAATCTCTAATTTTTAGATTGCTACTCTACCATAATCTGCACCTACTAGAAAAAAAGAATCATCTGTCGCTAATTAACGGCTCGCCTTAAAACAAAAGTCGAACCACTTCTGCAACCAAATTCTCAATTTGATCCGATTGTCAAACCAAAAATCAGAAAATCATGCGAGAAAATGCGTAAGCATGGAAGTTTCACTAAAAAATATGCGTAAAGCTTTTTGATGACTGATGCGGAATGATCGTTTAGAAACGGTACTAGTCAAAATTGGAATATATAAATGTATGCATAAAGGATGTCAGAGATGTGCAGCTGAAGACTGGAGATATAATACGTGAAAGAATCCAAGAAGAAAAAGAAAGGGAAAAAAAGGGGAAAACAAAGAGCAAAAAGATCGTTCATTAAACAAAGTCATATAAGCAGCTCGAATTAAAAAAATAACCGATATCGGCACTAAGCACCACTAAAAATACATATATACATATATACATATATATAGAAGCAATGGCCTTGAGAAATTATATGTACGCTAAACATGATAACAACCAGCATATATCTAGCATGATCAGCGGGATTCCGACGAAGGAAACCGCGGAAGACAGGGCCACTAGAGCAAAGATACAATCATTGAGCCTCAGTAGTGAGAAGAAAGAAAGCTGCGACAATAATTTGGGGCCTTGTAGAAATTGCCCTGACTGCCCAAAGAAATCGAATGGTGCAGATTTGCCCAAAACTGCGATTGAGGTTGAAAATGCTCCAAGGAAAACAGAAATTGACTACACCAAGATGGAGTTCTAGATAAGGGTAACATTCATAGTTTATTATGGTTCTATTCATCTCATATTTTTCGCATTTATAAAAAAAAAAAGATTCAGTTTTGCTTTATTTCTATTAGTTCTTAGTTAGTGTGAAGTTTTGGTCACTTCTTGTTTAATTTAATTCTATACTGTACCATAGTTAATAAGTAATTTAAAAGGTTTAAATATGGAATTTGTAGCTTCGGGTCGTTCTTGGTAGTTTCCTTGTATACACTAACGACATTTCCTAGCAAGATTTCCAATTCGATCTGCCTATTATTTCTTAAATCTACAAGCATTGAAGGTGTGTAGTGATTCTTGGTATTGTGCTTTTCGGTGAGGTCTAGCATTGTATCAATATCATCTTGAGTGACAAATTCCAGAGATTGGTAATTTTGCTTTAAATCTTCATTAGCTACCAATTTCACTTCCTGCATCAATGGAGTAATGACATCAGAAACTACATTCAGGAAAAATACATGTCCAACATCTAAATCAGTCAAACAGCAAACAGTATTGAAACTAGAATTGTAGAGAAGCTTTTTCCATCTCGTCAACCTAACGTTATCATCTCTCTTGGCGGCGTTGTGTGGATTTGAGTATAGCCCGATGAACTTATCCAAGGCTGCTAAATCCTGTTTAGTTTGGACCTTCTCAAATAATCCAAGCAATGGCATATCTTTGGTAAACTGTGTTACCACGGCATTGTTATTGATCGAAGAGATATAGGTGACCCCACTAATCATGGTTACCTTGGAAGCTACTGCAGACCAATATCTCTCGATATCAATCCCATTTTGAATTAATACGAGTGAGGTCTTTTCCTCTGCGTTGCCGTCGTACAACAATTGTGGAAGTTCGGCAACCTGATCCCAGATGTTAGTGCCTTTGGGCCCAGGAGTTACTTTAGTAGAGATAACTATATAATCGAACGGACCGAATTCTGCAGCATTTTCTACAGATTTAACTACGTGTTTTGGTTTATATTCCTTTATTGCATTCTCTGGATCAATTCCCTTATTGGGAATGAGTCCTCCATAATCACAGGAATGAATAGTATAACCTTCAGTAGTAACCTTATCATAGTCTGAACGGATCACTGCTGTGACTTGTACATCGGAGTTAAACTTCTCGAGTGCATAAGCACCAATAACCCCTACACCACCTAGACCAATGCATAATATCTTTGTCATGTTTTCTATAAAGTAGCAACTGACTTGTTAATCTTACTCCCACTATATAAGCTAATATCTATACTGCTTCCAAATCAGATTTTAAGTCTTAGAAGAACTATGGCTAATCGAAAACATTATTCAACGAATTATCAAACACTATCGATAACAGAAGTCGAGGTACCTGCACGCGCGGAAAATAAATTCCGCTCAGGCTCATGCATATTTACGCCAGTTTGGGACAAGCGATAGGGGTGCAAAATTGCTAGGAAAGTAAAGAAGAATTATAGATCCTGTTATTTATTGACACTGATTAATAGTACAGAAACTCGTATGGACGATATACAAAATGAAATTTAGACTATTTCCTCTAGTCTGATCCTTCTCCTATTTCCATTTCCGAATTAAATTGAAACTCGTATTCTCTTTCCTTTTGCTTTCTTACATCTTCTTATTCTTCTTCTCGGTCTCGGTCTCGGTCTCGTTCTCTTGCTCCCTCAATAGCTATCTCACATTCACTTTCCATTTACCCATGGAAGTGCTTTTACTTTGTTTGTTACTTTTACCTGCCTTTCGAACCTGGCGCGCCTATCGAATTGTTGCCATTTGCTGCCGAGTTGTCTCCATTTGTTACATTAGAATTGGTTTGAGCACCTGCTGCTGCTGCAGCTGATAGCACCACAGTAGCTGGATCAGTCCCGTTACTGTTTCCTCCTACTACTGACCCTCCGCGCACCAAGTTACCGTTCCCTTCTCCAGTATTGCTAACACTGTTTCTCAAAAAGAAATCATCGATGCTGCCTATCAGCTGGTGTTGTACAGAAGCTGCATCTTGCAAGATTTGTTGTTGCTTCATGCTGATAATTCTTTCATTGAAAAATGAATTCTTGAATTCTTGAAAGATCTTAATGGTTTGAGGATACTCAAACTGATGATCATGAAAAAATCTATCAGCAAACATATATATAAATCTTTCAATATCGGAGGCACTAATTGACAGAGAGATCTCTGATGGTGCCTGAACGTTAGCTGCAGACGGAGAAATACCGGGGTTATTCATATTATTAGTATTGTTGGCATTATTATTGGTATTGTTAGCGGTATTATTCGGGTTGGCATTATTGTTGCTAGTATTATGGTTACTATTATTATTACCATTCGTATTATTATTAGCATTGGATCTAGTAGTCCTTCCATGTAATTGTTGTTGCAGTTGGAGCTGACTATGGTTTAAATTATGTTGTGCTTGGGCCTGGGCTTGTGCTTGAGCCTGGGCTGCTTGTACTTGAGCTTGTACGTGTGCCTGTGCTTGTGCTTGTGCATGTGCTTGCGCCTGTGCGTGTGCTTGTGCTTGCGCCTGTGCTTGCGCTTGGGCCTGTGCCTGTACTTGCGCTTGTTGCTGCTGCTGTTGTTGTTGTGCCCTTATTTGTCGGTTATATTCATAAGTTGGATTCTTGTTGTTCATCAGTAGGAACTGATTCTGGCGGCTTGTTGCATCCTGGTACATATAATTGGAATATGCAAGCGGGGATGTATTCTGAAAACCACTGACTTGTTGCTGCTGCTGTTGCTGTTGCTGTTGCCTGTATTGATTACCACTCAGGTTTGGTTGAACGACAGGCGAGGGCTGGACTGTGGATGAGTTCACGACCACTACTTGATTGGGAGATTGTTGTCGCTGTTGTGCGCCCGGTTGGCGTTGATTCACGCTTGTATTGTTATTGTTGGAACCGCCCTGGTTCCCTTGTGGGTTCATTAAATCGTAAGTTGAGGATGATGAGCTCGACCTGGCACCGAAATCATCTTGGCCAACGTCGTTTGGCTCAGGTCCTGGGCCACTCACTCCCCCTGCCCCTGGTCCTGTAGAAGTAGCATTAGAATTGTCGAAATTGGCATCAAACACTTGATTTGAGCGGCTTCCATTAGCAACATTGCCATTGCCTGACGGAATGCCATTGTTGCTAGACACAACGGTCAACGAGTTCCCACTCATCTTCTTCTTGTCTAAACCGTGTCTCTTCTTGAACTGTGATAACCACCCATGGCTGAAACCAACTAATCTCTTAGGATCCTCCACCCCGTACTGATGAGCATACACCGACCAGTACTCTCTCAAGATAGGTTCATTGATGGGCTCATGGTTGGCCAACTTCCTCTGAACCAATGAGTCCATGGCATGGTTGATCTTCTCGTACTTGAACTTGACTTTCCTTTTCGATGATTTCAGAAACGCACCGGCCTGGTTATATCTTTCACGTAAATCCTCCTCATTCTTGAGCCATTCGCTAAAGGAGGATGTAGATATCGATAGCTCATTCTTGAACTTATCAACAGTCTCCAGCTGCGGTCTTTTCGACTGGTGATAATAGTCTAGTATTTGGATTTTCTGCTCTAAAGTAGCCCTTGGGAGCTTAATTGGCGGCATGACTTGGCTACTGCTTATAATCGACTCTTCCCAGTGCAAACTATACCAACTGTAGGAAAATTTTGCAGTAAGCTTCTTCTAGTCTCAGTAAGAGAAAAAAAAATTAGACTAAAAAGAACAGGGCAAACGAGAGAAGTAAAAAGGGTAGATTTTTGGTGGGATTGAATCAAATTGGGATGGCACTTGACTTGGACGCTCGGTGAATCGATTGTATACTCTTAATGGGCACAATAATGGTATGGCTGTTGCTGTTCTCTGTTGCTTGTTTTTTCTCTTTTTTTTCTTTTAATGGTAAGGCTTCCTTTCTGAAATATTTTTCTATAGAACAAACGCTCCAATTCCATGCAGGAGAGGTTTCTTTACATAATTCCTGATTTTGGGGTGACGGTTTTGAAGGGTCAGAATTGAGAAATGCGTCTATCGTTAAAAAGGGGTCCAACTTAGGGCAGGGAAGAAGAAGTGTATGGTTAATTAAGTGAAATCAATGGGATGAACTGTGTGTGTTTGAGATGAGACGTTGCGATGCGCTAATTCTTATGGTGTATCGATTTTTGCTTTTTTCTTTCTGATACTTCTACTTCTTTTAGCACTTCTAGCTCTTATAGTTCTAGCTCTTCTGGCTCTTCCAGCTTTCTAGCTCTTCTAGCTCTTCCAGCTTTCTAGCTTTTCTAGCTCTTTTACTCTGGTTACTGTTTAATCATATTTTATTGTTACTATGTAAAGCTACAAAGGAAAAAAAAATATCTGTTATTATCCTAGGAATCCAACTTAGACTTTTCTGTTAACTTTATCCAAAACAACTTCATAAGCAACTTCAGAGAAATCAGTACCTTGGATATCAGTAGCAACACCGTTCAAGGCTCTTCTTAAAGCATCCTTGGATGAAGCGTACACCATCTTAGAACGGATTGGAGCAGTGTCGGGAGACCAGGTAAAGAAAACAATCTTAGATCTCTTACCTTCACCTCCACCGAGTTCGTACTCGAAATCGTAAATAGCATACTTACATTCATTTTCTGGGAATTCTTCCAAAAAGGTATCGTAATCTGCTTCATTGGAGGTCTTTTCAACGACAATGTCGGTCTTCTTATCGTTTAAGGTATAGATAATAAACTTATGCTTCTTACCTAATTTCAAATCATTGAAAGCACTTAAGGATTCATCTGCAACGGTGACACTATAAAGGATGTTAGTATGAATTAACGAAAAGAGAAACAAAACTTTCCAAACCGTGTGTACCTATATGAAAATACCAGGTCCAAAAAAAAAAAAAAAAAAATTCACTCTAATATTAGACTATGTCTATACCAGAATGCTTCAAAAAGGTGGCTGTGTCGTATGCCATTGCTTCTTATGCCTGTTTTCAGAATAAGACAGTGGCAAAAAGAAATCATCAACCTTCACTCAATTTTCTCGCGTCAACTTCTTAGTTTTCAGCTTCTTGGTGCACTATTATTTTTTGAGGGCGTTTTCTATGTATGGGTGACACTGATCCTCAACTATTTTTATACCATTTGTGTGCCCACTAGTTGGCAAAACCATGTCACTTCCTAGACGTTTCAATTAGCCAATTGAAAACAATTGTATATGCTTTCAATTTAGTCTTGCCACCTCTCTATTCTAACCTCCTACTACTCTAATCTTGTACACTCAGCTCTATTTAATTTTTTACATACCCAGATCTAGACTAAAACTTGGTTAGTTCAACTGAGAAAAAAATTGAAAATGTATTCGCAAGAATATGGCCCTATTTACACGGATATTCAGTCCAGAAAGTCTCCTTCTGCTTCATGAATCTATCAATCCAGTCGGCAATTGCGGAAAAGCTCCTCAAATCATATTCCATCCTCATTTTAAACATACCATTTTGTTTTTATTTATTCGTTTTTAGTTGTTTGCTACTAGCTCTATCCAGTGGTATTTCTTTTCGAAACTTATTTTTGGGTTTAGTCTCCTGAACTTTCAACGAATGTCGTGTTTTGTTCAGGGGTCGTGTGTTTGGATGTTCCTGTATATAAACGCTTCTTGAGGGAACGCACCATCCCTTTCTGGCACAATGGCTGCAAAAAGTATAGGGGGTCGAAGAGAGAGCAAAGGAGAGGCAGAGCGCTATGTTACTGGGGCTGTGTGTGATGATAAGCTTAGGTAGCTTATTTGATTTGGGAAGTGCAGTGAGCTACTACTGTACAGTGATCCGCTAAGAATGAACTTCTCAAGGAAATTATTTGTCGCCTCGATTTTGCAAATGCAGGTTAAAATAGTTCATTGGAGAAAGCAACGTTTAAAATAATACCCACGCGTATTCTTCAGCCTTTAAAGCATACAAGTAGCCACAGAGCAGGAGTTGCCATAGAAAATCAATTATAGAGAGCAAGAATGTATCTTCAATTAGTTTTAAAGAGATGTTTGATTTGAGTGACCTCCAAGGCACCTACATATACACCCCGTCACACCAGTGAAACGACATAAAAGCCACCAATTGTCAACAAAAATCCGCTTAGTGATGACTCTGCCTAAATATGCTAGATAGGAGTGTAAGGATCCTATGACTATGGCAGATTATAGTCGGCCCTCTTGCTCTCCAGAGCCAGTCGTAGAAAACCCCTCGTTAATGAGGAAAGTGATACGAAAATCTGGGGTAACGCGCACGTGACTTTGGAAGCTCCATCGCCCTCTCCTGTAAGGATTCTTGAAAGAGACCTGATCTTTTTGTGTTAACCTATCCAATATAAGTAAAGATAACGATCCTATCTATTCACCAGTGATCACATACCCGTTCTAGTGCTAAGAGCCCACTTGAGCTGAATTCTATAGCACCGTTGCTGTTCATTGAAAGTCAATATAACCTCGCCTCAATACAACTACGAACTATGTAGCAAGGAAAATTGATAACACCCAAGCACATCAGCTAGATTCGAAATTCAGCCCGTAACGCTGAAAATAATAAACTATCACATTGACTGCTCAGGATATTTTCCATACCAAGGCGATTTTGTCTAAATTAGAAGTCTAATTTGAAATGCATGTCATCATCAGGTCACGTGCTGTTCTTGCTCATAATACCTGCCTCAAAACAAAAATTGCCCGTAGACGATACGATGGCCGAGTGGTTAAGGCGAAGGATGCAGGTTCCTTTGGGTTTTGCCCGCGCAGGTTCGAACCCTGCTCGTGTCGCCATTTTTTTTGCAACTATAAAGATCAGAATCATTCACATTTAACAAGTTGTTCTACAGTTTATTTACACATTCAATTTGAATTTAGTAATACCATGTCACAATACGCCACTCACAACCAATACTGGACCTTTTCCTTGGTGCAATACTCAAAAGTAGACCTGGTGTCATTGCCAGTATAGCAAAATTAATGAGAGTCTCACTTCAGCTCATATCACCAGCTAATTGAGTTGATCGGCAAGGTCACAATTCCTTCGTTTAGGTAATTTGTTGCACCTGAACACACTAGCCTGCAATTCTATAAGGAAAATTCAGAAACGATGATCATCTTGCTGGACTATTGCTGCTTAAATACTGACAGACTATGTGTGTAACTGCTTGCACTACCTGCAGGACACACCAAATATAGCTCCATCAAAAAAAAAGTGAAAAGATTGCAAATCCATCATTGTAATACGAGATTGTTACTGAAACACCAGTTAAGATAGTAGAATCGATATAAAAGTAGTCTTGCAGTATGTCCGACTTGTATGAGATTTTAGAAGTCGACTCCTCTGCCACTTCTGTTGAGATCAAAAGGGCATATAGGAAGCTCGCATTGAGGTACCACCCAGACAAGGTCACTGAAGAGGAAAGAGAGACTGCGGAGTTGAAGTTCAAGGAAATCTCGCAGGCCTATGAAATCTTGATAGAGGAAGACAAGAGAAAAGAATATGACATATATGGAACGACGGACGGTAGGGGAGGAAGACCAGAATATGAGGAGTTCAATGGGAACCCATTCGACAACTTCTACGGAGGCGGGGCCCAAAACTTTGAGCAGGAGGATTTCTATAATTTTTTCAACGGTATGAATGGTGGACCTCCAGGTGGGGCTCCCAGAAGTGCTCAGAGGAAACCTCGAACGGATGATGCAGAATTGGACGTCACCGTGACTCTTGAAGACCTCTTTAAGGGTAAGATCATTAAATCAACTTCCACTAGAAACATTATCTGTACTACGTGCAAAGGATCTGGGGCCAAGAAGAACGCTGTGATGAAGACTTGCGGCATATGTGAAGGATCCGGTACTGTAAGAAAGATCAGGAGGGTTGGACCTGGTCTTGTCACACAGGATTATGTTGAATGTTCCACATGTCACGGAGTTGGTAAGATCTATAGATCAAAAGATACTTGTAAGAAATGTACTGGGAAGAGAGTCATTGAAGAGACGAAGATATTAGAATTTGAAATACCGAAGGGATCAGAAGGCGGGGAAAAAGTGGTATTGAAAGGAGAGTCAGATGAGTACCCAGGAAAGGAGACTGGTGACATTGTATTGAAGTTCGAATGCGAGCCACATAAAGTTTTCACCAGGAAGGGCGATGATCTTTACATAAAGTATAAGATCTCCTTAGTGGAAGCCTTGAGTGGATTTTCCAAAGTGGTTTTGAAGCATCTTGACGGAAGAGGAATTAAGATCAGTACTCCAACAGGAAAAGTGATCAGACCTGGTGATTTTATCAAGATCAAGTACGAAGGTATGCCAGTAAAGAAGGATCTGAGCAAGAGTTCTTGGTTTGGCGGTAACTCCGCAGACAAGAGAGGTGACTTATACATCGAAATGGATATCGAATTCCCCAAGGATAACTGGTACTTGGAAAAGAATGATATCACTAAGATAAAAAACTTGTTACCCAACGAATTGCAAAGTAAAAGAGATATAGAGAAGCAGACAATCGACAAAGGTTCGTTACCAGAGGCAAATATCGAAGTCTTCTCCGACTTTACTATAGCACGCGCCAATGCATTACCTGAATATACAGAAAAGAAGAAGGAAGAACAGGGTCACCACTTTTATGAAGGTGACGAGTACTCTTCATACGGTCGTGCTGGGCCTGGCGCACAACCAGAGTGTGCTCAGCAATAGAGAGAAAAAAATAAGGCACCCCTTAAAAGTTAATCTGTATAGACATACATTCATGTTTATATACTTGTATATAAATAAACTGTACATAGAATGTGTAGGAAGAACTGAAAAGTAAAAATAAATGCAAAATAGACAGGTACCGAAATGTACTGCAGGATTTGGTGAGACATGCATCAATAGTCCAATAAGTTGTTCAATTCTTCGGCAGTTAGTCCAATATTTTTGAGTTCTTCCACTTCTACTTCTTCCGGTTCAACTCTCTCATTCTCGTCGAAGTTAAAATTGCTTGGATCGTCTAAGTCGATATCTCTAAATTTCAAGTTCACTTCCTTTCTATGGATTTCCTCGTATTCATGTTTATTTTCTGTAGGCAAGACTTTGCGGGTAGACTTAGAGAAGAATTCCAAATCATCCTTATCTAATGGTTCTATCCCAAGTGGTATATGATATGCACGAGTTGCACGATCAGGAATGGTTTCGATGTTGCTGGGATCCTCTGAGAGTTTTTCTAAGAGGGATTCGTCCACCAACGCAGATGAAAGGTTGGGCTTACCTCCCTTCACAGGATCTGAGCTATTTACCTCCAAAGTGGGTATAAATGAAGAATGTATGCTGCGAGTGTTTCTAGAAAAAGTGTTTCTGATGTCGGGTATCGATGCCTCATCCTGTGGCTGGAGCAGGAGATGTTGTTTAGCCAATGTATCTGTGTACTGTCCCTCCAACTCCTTTGATCTGGCTGCATTATCAGAATTCAACAACTTCGAAGCAAGAGCATCGTTAACGTCGAGCTTAGGGGACGAGGATTCTTTCTTGGAAATATCCAAAGGAGCGCGATGAATGAAGCCAAGCGAAGAATTAGCCTTTTGAAGAGAAGGCGGTTTGTTCAAGAGCGTGGCCTTCTTTCTTTGGAGTGCACTGGTATTATGTATGTCTGTGTTAAGAGATGACTGTGATCTTTTTAATGAAGGAAATGCACCGTTGGCACCATTGTTCACATCCTTTCCTCCAAGAGGAATTCTTTTCCTGAGAGGTTGGTTTTGCTGGAGAGTATTCTTCTTCTGGCTTATGTTTATATTCTCAGAATCCTTCTGAGACTCGAGACTCATGTTAATTGAGTTCTCCTTGTCTAAGATATTGAGGGGCAATGACATCTTGGAAAATTTTGTGATGTTAAATGGTGATATCTTTTCTGTGCCTTTCGAGCTAGTCAATGTTTACAAAAGCGCACTGGGTTCGCTAGAAGATCAACTAACAATTAGATATAACAAAGATAAAAGAAACAACCCCAGTATACCAAATTTATGATTCTGGTGCTTGATACCCTAGAATAATATCCGCCTTTATGAGTATATGCAGTGGGCTATCTATATAATAGTCTTTTGAACCCCCTAAAGAAAGACTATTTTTGCACGGTTTCGTGATTTGAGTGTTTTGATTTTTTAGCAATACAGCAAAACACAAGTAGTGTGCAGGACTTCATGCGCAATTACACTTTTTGGCTTGTAAGGCAATATGGCTGAGTAGAGAGTGCAATGAGTTTATACCATAAGCTCAGTGAAAAAAGAAGAAAGTAAGGTGTTAGCGAGAGAATTTTGGTCTTGAGACAATAAGGAAACACAAATATATAGGATATATACCTTTTTGAAGACAGAAGTTCCGAAATTCAGCATGGCTATGGAATTCACTACTTCACTGTCGCTGTCGCTACTAAATAATTCCGGCTGGATATATTTGGCACTATGGGTATTGTCATTAATATTATCACTTGCCTTTATATTCTACTTTAATAGGCTAGTGGGGTTCGTGCTATCAAAATTCCTACAAATAATACTATGGAAAAGGAGTAAATTGGAGATAAGCATGGAGTCTTGTCGTCTATCTTTCCTCGGTGGGAGATTGTTTGCTAAAAATTTGGTAATCATCACGGCAAACGAAACAGTGTCTATCCAGAATCTAAATTTCACCTGGAGATACTGGATCTTGAAGAGAACAAGACTACTGGAGTATGCTCTTGAAAGCAACGTAGAAGGTGACGAGGAAGCTCCAGACAGTCTCTTCGGTATCATGGAAAACACTCGATTACCTGCTAGATTCACTTTATTGATCGAAGGTTTAGAAATCTTTATGTACAACAGAAACATTGCATACGAGAACATGATGGACTTCTTAAAACTGGAAGAATTGAAATATTCGCAAGATCAGAAGGGAAAAGCGAAGGAAGCCTCTACATCTGTGAATGTTCCCCAGAGGGTTCATGAGTTAGGAGAGCAAAACATACGACGCAGGAATCCCCCCTCTGATACTTCAACTTCATTTTCCGAATCAGATATCAGTAAGCAAGAACAGAAAGAGAAAGAGAAAGAGAAAGAGAATGAAAATGCACACTCCCTGAATTTATGCGCTGCAGATCCTTCCGCTGCCCCCAATACAAAGCCAACTGGTGATTCAGTCCTTCATTTTCTACTTCGTTTTTTACCCATATCAGTTAGAATAAAGAAGGGTGCATTTGTGGTTGGAAATAACACTACTCCATCCATCATAGTGGCTTCATATACATCTGCAGATGCTCTAATTGATATCAACAAATCGCCCTGCCTTCTTGACTTATTTCGTCATGTGTTTAAATTTCGTTTTGAACGCTTTACTGTTTCATTGAAAACCAATCTTACGTATGATCCGAACATGTTAAATCCTTTGTTTCATCACCATGTTAAAAATAATGAGTTTGCATTCAAGAATAAGCTGTCAATGGCGAAACTAAAGGACCATAAGAGATACAAGGCCTGGTTCAAGTTCCAAAAATCTGTAGATATCTTTGTAAATAAGGCAGCAAGGAAGCTATCAAGAAATCGTTTCGGGAAAGATTACCTGCAACAAGGAGAAACAGAAAATTACAAGAATTGGAAAGGGTTAAGACGTTATGTTGGGGATATAATAGACGAAAAGGTAGATTTTAGAATAGACGCGGTTGAGGAATACGCGAAATATAGTTTGATACTTGATTCAGAATCAACTAAATTGATCTATTACTACGACATCCCAGGCTTGGTACCTCTCGATAGTGCAACTAATGAGTATCCAGCTCCAGAATTTGGATTAGATATTGAATTATCAATGGCTACCATTCATTATGGACCATGGGCAGACAAGCAAAGGATTCCCTTGCAATCTATGCTTTTCCCAACACTATACAGAGACTCAGAACCTTCAGGATTACCTATACCAGGTACGCTTAGGACATACAAAGGTTTGGACATGCTAGTCGAAGTAAAAGACGAGGTCATATTCAGAATTCCTACAAGAGAACCGAGCAAAGATATAGCCATTTTGAAGAACTACCAACAGCAACAGCAGCAGAAGCATAATATTCATCAGAGCTCTCATAACGGTCATAGAATGAACGCTAAGAGTCTGGATCTGCTGGAAGATCAGGAAAGTCAGCAGGCTGGGGTTCCTTCTCGTTCCTTCGGTTGGTTAGAATTGAAAATGGAAGCCGGCTCAAATATCTCGTCCCATACTTCGTATGTTGCAACAAAAGAATCTGGATGGCCGAATTCGTTGCAGGTTGAGTTTATTAGTCCTGAATTGAGATCCTCAGTTAATCATGATGTTTTTTTCACTGCTGATTCTCATATCATTTCAAGTAAAGTAGGATTTCCTCTTAGTTGGAATGAAAGGTGCAATTGGGAATTCAAAAATGTCAGTAAAAACGCAAAGATTTTCTTCCTAAGAGAACATACTATGTTATTCTCAGATATATTCACGGATTTTGCTTCAGGTTTACCTACTCCTTATGAACTTTTCAGACAATTCCACTATCAATTCAATTGGAAGATTGAGGGCTATAAATTGTACTTAAACGTAAATGATTCAAATATCATTGACCACCCTTTGGATTTTGATAATAACAAGTACCTCTCCTTCCAAGGTGATGAATTGCAAGCTGAAATATCTATTCCTCTTAATGGACAATTCACCAAATCGAACACAATATCATACAAAATCCAGTCCACATTTTTTAATTTAATCCTCGACACACCTCCATGGCATACAACAAATGCATTTATGCAGCAAACTAAACTAGTTGGGAAAAGTAACCTCTTCACAATTAATGGATCATACACCTACTTTACAACTGTTGAAATGAACACATCGGACCATATTGTAATAGATATGGTTGGAGACTACGTTACTCTTAGATGCTACGGGTTTGTTGTTAGATACCTTTTAACAATCAGAGAAAATTACTTTGGAGATAATGTTCATTTCAAAACATATGAAGAGTATTCACAGGATCAGAGAAAGGAAACTGATAGCTTCAATGAATTTGATTACGACGATGATGTGATTGATGCATCTGGGGATACAGATTCAACAAAGACTGCAGCTACAGATTTTAGTTACTGGAAAATTGGAAGAACCGAAAATGATATCGATGTCTTGTTCATGTTCAAAGTGAGACATGGTTTAGCAGTCTTGCCTTACAATTTATATCACTCAACTTCACATATTGGGTTGATGTTTGACTCACTTGATGTCGATATCAGGTTTACAAACTATTACATGGACTTTCAATCAGACGTTTCTCCAATCTCAGGGGTTTTAGTAAAGCTGCTGACTTGGGAGATGGATGATCCACAAGTTAGATCACAACTAGCTAATATTATTTTTGATATCCCTTTGTACAAAGAAAAATACCTAAAGAATCGTGATATGTCTATAGATGGGCTAAGTATTCATGGTCATAGAATGTTTGGTTTGCCCCCAGTTGAACCAACTTACTTTTGCAAGTGGGATATTGCTGCAGGAGAAATTTGTGTTGATAGTGATGGACTATTTTTGGATGGATTGCTGGGCTCATTTAAAAAACTTGGAGTCGGTTACATGGATTTAGAAAACGAGTTGGTTGTTCATATTCCAACTTTATACGATGTGACCTATTTTTCATTTCAATGTCCAAGTATACATATCGGACTAAATTGTGAAGTGGAAGCAAACACTAAACTTACTATTGATTTAAATTCGATAACATTCACTTTTAATGACCTTGCAAATGATAGATATACATCAAAAGTAAGCTTAATTATCCCTTCGATTATCTTACAGCTACAAGAAGTAAAGATGCTAAAAAGAATACTTGGATACATTCAGACATCCATCAATTTTAGCAATTTCTGTCAAAAGAAAAATTTTCTCGAACATAGGCGATTACAACAGCAGCATATAAGGACTAATGATGCGCCGTTTCACAGGTGTCCATTCTTACTATATCCAGTAGAGAGAAATCATGTATATATGGACGCCATGGGGTGTTTCGTTACCTCATTGACGCTTCCTGATGTCGCATTCCCACTCAGCAAAAAGTATTCCGGGTTAGATGATGAACTAGAGGAGGACACAGGTTACTTAGACCCTGAATCGGCTTTGAATTTCGACGAAGATTCTGATACGAATTATCTGTCTTCTCTGGAGGGTACTTCGCCATCATTTGGTCTGACCCAATTTTCAAGTAATAGAAAACCAACTACAAAGTACGACACAGGTGAGTTTTGCCCTGATTATGAAATTGACCCTGAATTTGAGTATGATAGTTTCATCTTTGATATTGGTGATATTAATGCATTTTTGTCCCCTAGGTCGTTATTCCCATTTGCAAAATTATTGCAATCATTTCAAGATCCTGATTTGACATCTTTGATGGATTCACTACATATTGATATTATACTGAAGCTTAAAAGTTTATTGGAAGCTGAACGTAGTGTGAAAAACATTAGATTTGTAGCACCTGAGATAAACTTAAAGGTAGGAGATTTTGACATCAGAGACCCACAAGAAATATTCCAGGCTTCTCCAAAGGTTCCTTTAATAAACTTGAACATTATTGAGCCTTCGGTAGCATTTTCAGTGAAGTCCATCAATACTCACAAGAATGAAGAGATAATGACAACATCAGACTATACAGGAGCTGTCCATATCAAAGATATTAGGATTTCTAGCTCAAATCCTTCCGACTTCACGCTAGCTGGTTCAATAGATTTGGAAAATGTTGAATTCTGGTTTACAATGATAACGGATGCTGAAATTGTCTGTTCTCACGAAATTGATGGGATTAACATAGGAGTTTCAGCAAATCAGGTAGAATGGCTAACAAATTATTTGTTTGATCTATATAGGATTATTGAACCTTCCTTACTAGAATTCAAGAAGTTTGTTGATACTAAAGATAAGAAATTCTTGGAACTAGTATACATGGTTTCGATGGCTGGAAAGGAGTATCATATTGATTATGACCCCGCAGTCTTAACAAAACCTGCCTATGTTCTTAGATCATGTACTGATCACACAAGATTTCATGATTCCTGGAAATTAATGACGCGAATACGCCATGTTCTAGACTACTTACCCAACCTGTGGCATAAAACACTATATGAATCAATGCTCAATCATCATTGGAAGGCACCGAAAACAGCTTGTCAAGAAGTTCTTGCACTTTTCTCCCGTTGGAGAGCATGGGAAATAGGTGATATTCAAACTAGTTACTTCTTCCAAGAGATTTTTCCCCAACAAGAACTGAAATCCCACAACGACAAAAAGTTGCTTGCAAATTTCAAGATCGATATAAGAAATCTCAATGTCCATTTACTGAATAATACTCTGAATGAAATAGACTTCATTGACATTGAAGGAATGGTAATCGCTTTAGGTGTGAAAGATGAGGAAAATATCGATGTAAATCCTTTGGGCAAATTAGGCATTTTAGAGACTCTTCAAAGATTAGAGGTTGTACTTCATGCTTTTTCCTATAACAGCAAGGTGTCTGATATTATGTTGGATTTGGTTCCAGTTATAAGAGAACTAAGTAGTAGATACCAGCTTTTGCATAGCTCTAAAGATCCTGAAATCATCAGCGAACTAGAGTTAGTATCAAAAGATTCAGTACTGCCAGATAATAGCAACAGACTCTTAAATTTAATATCTAACATTGAAAATTTCAAGCAACAAGTTATTTTGCCCTATTCTTCCATTGAATTGAGAGGAAGCTCGATAACAACTGCGACAGAAATATACAAGCTTTCTGCAATTGACATTGTCCCTTTTACCATTTCAGTCAAGGCAGAGAGTGGCGCTCTAGATATTTGGGGTGAAACTAGAATTATTTCCAACTCGATTGAAGATATTCAGTTTCTGATTGGTAATTTTGGATCTTTAGACAATGGTGTCAGATATGGAGTAGTGCAAATTAAAAAATTGTCTGCCTTTATAACTGAACAAGAAATCTCTTTAATAAAATCAATAGAGTCAATAATTGAAGAAGATATTCCATATTTGAAAGACTTATTGCCACAGGATGGGAAGTTAGAGAATTCCATTGCAACAAGGAGTAAAAGTGAAACTACTTTGGCAGATGATTACAAATGTATTTACAAGATATTTGGAGATGTTCACCTTGATTTTCAATTGCATGAACTTCTATGGTCATTTGATATATTATACCCTTTGAACATAAGTGGAAAAGCTCATTCAACTAGACTTCTGATAAATTTACAAGAAGAGGCTATTTTTGTTGAGTCTATTGTTGAAAAGTTCTATTCTAATTTGAGTATTGAGAGGAAGAACTTGATTCGATTCGAGAATTCTCAAATCCATACGGATATCAAATTCACTGACTGCCGAAACTTATACTTGATTGTTTGTTCAATTAATGTAGGGTTTACAAAAGTTATGGTTCCACAAATAGCTCAAGCAATTGTACTCTCACTTTCAAATTTCAAGTTATTGGAAACAAAAGTGGATGCTTTGAAGAAGATATTCAATATTGAGGTAAATGATAAAATTGCGGCAGACCATCCCACTACTCAAAAATCAGAAATAATTCAAGACTCAAAGGATTTTGCTTTTAAATTTAAGTTTGGAAATGACTACATAGGTGTATCTTCATTTTTGGATAGCTCTAAAATTTCTTTTGAACTAGAAGGATTGGCCATAGGAGCATATAATGTTGCTAACACAGGCAAGGAAGATAAATCAATTGAATATTCTTTGGTTCCAACTTATGGTGAGCTTGCGATTCCAACAGCAAGAATTTCAGTTTTGGACAGAAACATACCTGTTGGGCTATCAAGTATTTTAGATGTAAATTTCACTGTCAATGTTTTGAACAGTATCCAAGGTGCACAGATGCTGCAATCTCTCCAATTGGAGTCTCAGTATTGTCGAATTTGTGCAAGTCCGCAAGTATTGTTCAAAATTGTTGATTTATTTGATCTGATTCAAAGGATTCTATCTAGCGTGCCATTCGATTTTGGTGCGAAGAAGAGTACCAATAATCATTCGAAACCCGAAGATGCTGAACGTTCGTCTATGCCATTTTCGATGCCATTTTCGTCAATTAACATTTTATCATACAACTTTTGCGTCGGCTGGCTATTTGGAGATCAAAGCAAAAACTACCCTGGAATAATTATTGGCGCAGAAAGATTTTTTGCAGCTGTGGAGGATACTGTTGGAAAATTTACTTTATTGGAGGCATATCTTTCGGTTGCAAATGGATCAAGATCTTCTAATTACTATAGTGCACTGTCAGAGAAGAGTAACTTCAATAGGGCGTATTTGCCAACTATGCAAGTTACATACTTGATTGAAAGAAGCGAATTGGCAAGAAACTTGACTATACATGCTAATGGTGGAGAGTTAGATGTTAAATTTTTGAGTGATTCAATTGTTTTAATTGAAAATGCATTCAAATCAAGTACAAAGGTTCAGGGTTTTTTCAACAAACGAGTTAGACCACCTCCACTTTCTAATACAGGAACCCGAGACCCCAGCCCGGCTCGCGAAGATACGCCAAGTTCTGAAAATGCCTTACAAGCATATTTCAGTTCAATCGAGTGTGTTTATACATTTGCGGGTTCGAATATCCTACTTTATCGAATGAATGATGAAAACTCAAATTCAGCTCCTTCGTTGTTCCTACATTCGCCGGCAGTGAAAATTGCAACCATGTATAAGCACAAAAAAGAGATTCCACCCGATAGCTTGGAAAAAAAACATACTATTAAATGTGAAGTCTTGACCTCTCCTTTCGACAATACGTTGTATTCTTCGTGTGTCCCAGTAATTTTAGATATTGCTCAAGGTGTCAAAAGAATGATAAAGAATACCAACAGCGATAAACTGGAAAAGGAGCCATTGCCAATCCCAAGTGGTACTGCAAGTGAGCTTATTTTTGCAGATCTCTTGAAACAAGTTGATCTTCACTTTGGATTGAGAATTGAGAAACAAAAGTTATCACTAAGTTGTGAACCAACTGCGAAAGTGGAAGCAATAGTTGCAATTAGTGGTATACATTTTCAAGTTAATACACTGACAAATAACAAGACTTCAATAACGAGTATGCTTCAAATCGAAGGGATATCTTCCTCCTTGCAGCATGTTTATTCTAGAGAGGTTAGTGGATCTATCGAAATTAAGAATGTGATTTTAGTGAGTAAAGTAGACTTTGGCGATATCACCAAAGTACAATCAACAGGGTCGTTATCCGATGTCTCATCTTACATAAACGTGAAACAATTTCAGGACTTGAATTTATTTATGGATATCTGGATTCCAAAAGAACTCATGGAGACTAATGAATCTTTCAATGAAGATATATTTGTCACTCCCTATGAGAAGAAAGAAGAATTGCTTTCAGTGGGCCCCAATGAACATGTAACTTCCAATAAAAATCTTACTACCAGATTTAAAGAAGTTTCGACTACAAATGCAGTACCTTGGGATTTAACTTGTATGATTATTAACTTCTCACTACAGGTTGATTTTGGTCAGTCATTGGGTAACTTCAAATTGACATCAAATAAGATATGGGCAATATCGAATAAGGCTACTAATTGGGCACAGGACTTAAAAATAGGTATAGACAGTATTTCACTAGTTCTGAAAGGAAGATTGGGAGGAGAATTCGAAGTGAAAAATATATTTTTGCATGGTGGTATCAATTGGAATATTGACGGTGAACATATACTCGACGTTCCTTTAGTGATGCTTACCGGTGACATTGAGAGCCTTCAATTGAAATCATCATTTGATTATCACGTATTTGCCTTGGCTAACTTCAAGTCATATTCCATCGAAATTTTTAATCAAAAGAGTGAGTCCACATCGATTAGTAAAGACCACTTATATATATCAACCAGTTTTGATACAGCAGAGATTTATATCACGTCCTTTGCTGCTTCCAATGTAATGGATATTTACAATGCTATCTTTAGAATGATGCAGGAGAATAAAAATTCATACCGAGAAACATTGAGAGATTCTAATAGGGGTAAGAGTGTGATAGGGTCATTCCATCATCAAGATTCTCCCTACAAGACTCTTCTGAAAGTTGACACATCAGCATCTTTAAGTTCTACCAAGACCGCTCATGCTGGAAAGAAACTTGTCTCTAAGATCGAGGTTAACGCAGGGTACTTTTTGGTTCATGTATACCCTTCATCATTCGACGATTCCAAGGTATTGGTGGTTAAATTGGACGAATCTAAGATTACTTTCGATGAAAGTGAATATGAAGATGGTATTGCCAATGATTTACGAATCCAATTCAATGGGTTGAAGGTCTCTTTATCTAAAACTTCTCCATTACTGGAAGATTTTATTCTCACCACCACAGTAGACCAGTTCTCGGAACATGCAAAACGTGCTAGAGGAGGAACTATATTCGTATTCCCCTCGTTCAAGATCTCCATGAAAACATTTCAGAAATACAAGTCCAATCTAATTGAGTACTTCTATCAATCATCTTTTGGAGGTACTGTTGGTATTAGATGGAATTTGGGATCTATTAATTTCATCAGAGAAATGATTGCCATTCACAAGAAGGCTCTCTCGTCACGTACGTCTTATAAGGAAAAAATTAAGGCTAATGAGCACTCTGAAGGCAAGACTGAAAAACAGAAGAAGGAAACCTCTCTGGAGAAAATAGTTGTCAATGAAAATTACGATGAAACTATCAATGCAACAATTGACAAGGTTTCAGGAGACTCAAAATATGTATATGAAGCATTAGCAACACCAATTATAGAAGCTCCACAGTTGAAGGAGTTGGGTAACGCAACACCACCACTCGAATGGTTTGGGTTGCACAGAGAAAAATTCCCCAATGTTACTCACCAGCTAGGTATAGTAGCATTACAAAATTTCATTCATGAAATCGAATCACTATATTCCAAGGTACTTGGAAAAGCATGAGACATATTCATGCGCATAGCAAATGTACATAAACTCAAGCATAGTATGTAAATACGACAAATATAATGTAATATAAGAGAGAACCGTAGTAATAAGGTGAGACCAGAAACAGAAAAATACAAGTGTTTGTACTACAAATATTAATGTTAACTCTATGTCATGTATTTACAAGTTTTTAAATAGTATATTTGAAAGCTTAGTGGCTTAAATACCATCTTCCTTTTGCTCTTCTTCTTTCTAATATTTTAGTTCCACCCTTTGTCCTTAATCTTGCCAAGAATCCGAAAGTCCTCTTTCTTTTTAATGTTGATGGTTGATAGGTGTTACCTCTAGTTTTGAATCTCTTTTGAATTAATCCAATAACTGTACCGAAAATTCCAACTGCTTGCGGTACTTGCAAGGAAGTCTGTATGTTGTTAAAAGTGTTTGCTCTTATGATTGTCGATGGGACATTTGTGTATGTATTAGTCGGTTTAGTCAACGAGGAAAATTGACGACTTGTCACAAGACATGAGCGTCTAATAGTCGATAACCCAAGCATGCCAGCAGTAATTTATCCGTCCAAAAGATCAGTATGATGAAGTCAATGTACAGTCTTGGATAACTTAAAGGACCTGGTTAAATTTTAGCGAGTGAAAAATTCACTTGTTCCCGTATGTTCGCAGTGCATCAGCAAATCAGTGGTAAATTTTAGCACTAAGTTTTTTTTTTTTTTTTTAATGGATAAGCTGAAATATTTAGAGCATCGCAAACTTGAATGGAGTAGGTAGATGCAAAGTAGTACACTATAGAGTTATCCAAAGCCTTTTATTGCAGCCATGTCAACTACGTTCCGTCCCAAGAGAGTAGCACCTTCTGCAGTTAACACTCCAACAGCCGTACATATAAAATCTAACTCTAGCTTGGATAATGAAGGCGCTGAATTGATTTTATCTGAATTTATTCGTGCCAGTGAGGGTATATCGAATGGTTTGGTTGGTGGAAATACCGAAATTAATAGTAACAATTCTACCGGATTATCAGATGCAGTAGGAAATAGTGCCGTATTAAGTCAATTAAGGAGAGTCCAAAGAGATTTAAGAGGGTTGCCTCCATTATTAGTTGAGTCAACTCCACAACCTCCTGCATCTTCATCTAATAAGAGAATCAAGTTCGATGACATCGATGAGGTAGCGGAACCACAAAATAAAAAGATTAAGTTTGACGACATCGAAGAAAACGTAGAAGAAAAGGTAGTAGAAGATGAAGATGAAGAAGAAGAACAACAAATTGTAGTGGAAGATGAAGAAGATAAAGAAGAGGAACAAGAAGAGGAAGAAGCTGTAGCTGAGAAGAAGGAAAAGAAGTCAAAGAAGGAAAAGAAAGAAAAGAAGGAAAAGAAGGAGAAAAAGGAAAAGAAGGAGAAGAAGGAAAAGAAATAAACCATAGTAGCATTAACACAACAAAATAGAGAAAATTCACTAAATATAGTTCAATAAAAAAAATTGACGACTGGAGTAAAGCAGACTAAAGTAGAGTAGAGTAGAGTAGGAATAGTAGTCCTATTTAGAAAATAAGATGCACTCTTATATTTCTCATATGGTTTGTGCCTGGTGATGTTTCAATTGGCTGCGAAATGTTCTTCTAGACCAAACCAGATGAAGCGTAATTTAGCGAAGGCCATCTAAAACAGTCGTATGGGATAAATAACCACTGTGTAAGTAAAAAACCTGTCTTGAGAGTTCGGGGCCCGAAGGATGTATATACCTAGTGCTAGTCTTTGACCCATGCAACGTAGTGCAGCAGTGCAGCACATCTTCACCAAAATAGTTGAAAAAAAAAAAAAAGACAAAGCACCCTTCTCCGATGAACGGTCTAATCTTTGCCATTTTCTCAAAATTTTCGTGTATTCTAGAAGTACTATCTTTCGGCTCCCTTGAGGCTACGTAGACTTCGACACACTCTTTTCGAACCTCCTTTCTTTTCCCACTAATCAATACTACGAAGAGCCAACTGCATCCCACCAAACGACATCACGTCCTGCATGTTAACGGCTGCAAAATAAAGTGCGCGCACCAAATGTTTTGTTTATTTTGTTTTAAAGAGATCAAAGATCCACGCCAAAGCTGGTGTTTTGCATCTTAAAGCAAGCCTTATTTGTCTTGGGAGAGTTAACTGATAGGTACAATGAGAACACGAAAGAGACCGTTGATAACGGATGACACAGAAGAGGAAAATGAAACTTTTATCAACAATAGTGACCTAGAACGAGAAGAAGTAAAAGATGCCAATGTTCCAGTCAAAGATAACGTTGATTTGGACGACGGGCCCTCAGACTCTGAGTATCTTTCTCCCGTTTTGTCTAATGATGAGCTGAATGTGATGACTCCAGACAGGAGCACTTCAATACCGAATAATTCATCTAATCATGCCTTAGAAAATGGGGCCAGTGAGGACGTACAACCGAGGACTGTCGCGTCCAAGACTGCTAGACTGGACGGTCCTCCCACGCTCACGAATTCTCCTACGGCTACATCTAGCTCAACGTCTCCTAATTCTTTCGTCAATTCTTCTGGCGAGAGATCTTCACAGAACATCGGCACTGCAGGTCTCTTGGGAGTGCCCAGCCTATCCAATATACCACCTGAGAAACTCTCTTTCCTTCATCAGCAATCCGATATCCAGCTCCAGTCTCCTACGAAGAGAAGAGAAATGCAGCAACAACTGTCAGAGAGGGCCGCAGATGAGCCTAGACTTGTGATACAGAAGTTGGTCTTAACAAATTTCAAGTCTTATGCTGGTGTACAAGTCATTGGCCCCTTTAATGCATCATTTTCGGCCGTTGTTGGTCCAAATGGAAGTGGGAAATCCAATGTCATTGATTCTATGTTGTTTGTATTCGGTTTCCGGGCCCTGAAGATGAGACAGGGTAAATTATCGGAATTGATACACAATTCTGAAGGTGGACAAAAGCAAATTGGGTTTTGCCAAGTTGATATCCATTTCCATCATGTCTTGGATAGAGAGGAAGAAGATAAAATCATAAGTGATAAAGTTCCCGACCTGGAATTGGTTATCAGTAGAAAAGCATATAGAAATAATTCTTCACAGTATTACATTAACGGGAAAACTTCAAACTATACAGAAGTTACGGACTTTCTCAAGAAAAAGGGAATTGACTTAGATCATAAGAGGTTCTTAATCTTGCAAGGTGAAGTCGAATCGATTGCTCAAATGAAGGCCAAAGCTGAAAGAGAAAATGACGATGGACTCTTAGAATACTTAGAAGATATTATCGGTACTACCAAGTATAAGCTGTTAATCGAACAGAACTTGAGCAAAATCGATGAATTGAATGATATATGTCTAGAAAAGGAAACCAGGTTTGAGTTGGTGGAGAAGGACAAAGAGTCTTTGGAAGATAAAAAAGTGGAAGCGTTGAAGTTTTTGGAGATGGAAAAGAAGTTGATCCAGAAGAAATCCATTCAATTCCAATCATCTCTCGTAGAAAATAAGAATCTCTTGCAAAAGAGTCAAGATAGTTTAAGCGAACTCCAAGAACAACTATCCAAGGAGAAATTAGCCAATCAGGAACTCAATAAAGAGATAGATGTATATCATGGTCAACATTTGGAAGTTAAAGAACTTTTGAGTAAGTTGAGTCAGAAAGAAGGTCAGTTCATCAAAAATCAAAAAGTAATAACTAAGGTGACGGTTTCATTGGAAGAAAAGTCCAAAAATTTGGCTTCAAAGTCTAAAAAGGTGTTGAAAACCATTCAAAACCTGGAAAGCATAATATCTTCCTCGACTTTTAAATTGGATCAAAACAGCACTGAAACATCCCAGTATAAACAAGATATTTCAGATCTTGTAGGAAACCTTGAAACCGAGAAGCAAAAACTTGATGAGATAAGGAAGGCACTTACTGTAAAGACTTCTGGGTTTAGTAAAAAAATCGAAGAATTACAAGAAAAATTGGAACCATGGAATGATAAGGTGAAAGATAAAGAAGGAGAGATTTCATTGATATCATCTTCTATTCAAATGCTCAATTCACAAAGAGAAGCTATTGAGAAACAGCTTCAAGTTGCTAGAGAAAGACTTGTCAAGATTAAAGATGAAGGTCGTCAAAAAGAAATTGATTTTCAAGAGACAACAGAAAAACTTGAAGTGACTACAAAGAAAATCTCTTCAAAAGAAGAAGTCATTAATCATCAGAGGATTGAATTATCCAAGAGAAAAGAGTATTTGATGAATTTGAGACAACGAACGCAAGACTCAGTAAGTTCTTTGAATCAAGATCAAAACAGAAATAAAGTTTTGACCAGCTTGATGAGGTTGGCCAAATCAGGTAGAATTGATGGATTTTATGGTAGATTAGGGGACCTAGGATACATTGACGACAAGTATGATGTTGCTATTTCCACTGCAGGTGGTGGTGGACTTGACTCGATGGTTGTGGAAACTGTCGAAACTGCTCAAAGCTGTATTGATTATTTAAGGAAAAATAAATTAGGATATGCAAATTTCATCTGCCTTAACAAATTAAGAAAGTTTGATTTGAGTCCAATATCGACCCCAGGAAATCCTTCAACAGTGAAAAGACTCTTTGATTTGATTCAACCAACAAATGATAAATTCAAGCCAGCATTCTACAGCAAGTTATACAACACGTTAGTAGCGTCCAATTTACAGGAAGCCAAACAAGTAGCATATGGTGCTAGAAGGTGGAAAGTTGTCACTATGGATGGTAAAGTTGTTGATACTTCTGGAACAATGTCTGGTGGTGGTAACTATGTGTCAAAGGGAAGTATGAAGTTGGCCTCAAAGAAGTCCAAAGACTCGATGAATGGTTCACTTATATCCGAGGATGATGTCATGCAATTGAGAAACGAATTAAGTGATTGTGAGAGCAAATTTGAACATTTGACTAGAGAATTTCAAGAAAATGAAAACAATCTAAGGCAATTAAAAGATTCTAAACCAGATTTAGAGTTTGCTCTAACAAGAATTAAGTTAGATATCGAATCATTGCTTGCTGAAAAGAAAGAGGCTCAAAAGATTTGTAAGACTCTTATAGCTGAAAATGAAAATGACTCGAGAAAGGCCGAATTACTTAATGAAATTCAAGAGAAAGAAACTACGAAAGAGCAGCTATTATCGGAAAAGGAAAAATTGAAAAATCAAATGAGTGAATTTGAAGGGCAAATTAAAGATTACGAAGAAAAAATCTTGGATGCCGGTGGGGTGGAACTAAGGTTGCAGAATTCCAAAGTTGATTCAATTAAGCAGAAAATTGAGATCCTAAATGAGAAACTTTCTAATGAAAGAGTCACTGTTAGGAAGCTTGAGAATGAAGTCAAAAGACATACAAAGATCTTAGGTGAAGCCAAGGATGAATTACAAGCTGCTGAAAGAGAGCTTAAAGAAAATGAGCAAATTCAGGAATCCAAAGCTTCCGAAATAACTGCCATCAATGAAAAGTTAGCTGAAGTTGAGGCAGAAAAAGATGTGAAACAAGGAGAATTAGATGCTTTGGGCTTAAAAATAGAAGAAAAGACTCAACAAATCAATGAATTTAAATCAGTCGAAATTGAGATTGAAGAAAAGATTGAAAAACGTCAAGCGATTGTCAAAAGGACCATAAAGCAGATAGAAGAATGTGAGGAAAGCTTAAGCGCTTTAGTCGTTCGCGATGCATTACCTTATATTGATTGGATTGAGGACGAGGAAGAGCGTAACAAGTACAATGGGGAAATTCTTGAAGAACTAACTCAAGAACAAATTGATTCAATTGATCTGGACCAGACAAATACCGAGATAGAAGACCTAGAGAAGTATATGGAAAATGTTAAGGTTGACATTGAGGTTTTGAAAGAGTACGGGTCCAAGAAAACTGAGTTTGAATCTCGTCGTAAGGACTTGAATAGTGCCGTCGAGGAGCGTGACAATATCAAGCTGTACTGCGAAGACCTAAAACGTAAAAGATTGGATGAATTTATGGAAGGCTTCAATACTATCTCGATGTCCTTGAAAGAAATGTACCAAATGATTACTATGGGTGGAAATGCAGAATTAGAGTTGGTTGATAGTTTAGATCCATTTTCCGAAGGTATATTGTTCAGTGTTATGCCTCCCAAGAAATCTTGGAAGAATATTTCGAATTTGTCTGGTGGTGAAAAGACATTGAGTTCTTTGGCATTGGTGTTTGCATTACATAGATACAAACCTACCCCATTATATGTTATGGACGAAATCGATGCAGCTTTAGATTTTAGAAACGTCTCCATCGTTGCAAATTACATCAAGGAAAGAACTAAGAATGCGCAATTTGTGGTTATTTCTTTAAGAAATAATATGTTTGAGTTGGCTCAGCAATTAGTTGGTATCTATAAAGTGAATAACATGACAAAAAGTATTAGTTTGCAGAATAAGGATTTTATAAATAATACATAGGGGTACATATACATTATACGAATGAACGAATATCTTATTAATTAGTCTATATTTATGTCAACATATCCGGTCGTGTAAGTTATGCATCTCTTAGTTTATATATGAGCTTCACTCTGTCTATTTATTTTCCAAGCAGGCTCGACCAATGTGGCAAAGCCATTATCTCCTCTCCTCTTTAAGACGAAGTTTGAATCGAACCAGTCGATCATATCAATCAAACTCTTGCATTCGTTCATTTCTTTCAAGTTCTTACGAGGAATGACTTTATCCAACATTTGAGACAAATGGTGCTGGGTGATTCGAAAGGGCAAGCCATAGCTCGTGGCCAAATCCCAAAACAATTCAACAGCGGACCACGGGGTTTTCGAGTACCCATCGAATATGGCTGGGTTGCTCAATATACCACGTACAGCCATAACTCCATCTACACCGGTGTACTCTGCAATCTTGTAAGCATCTTCTAGCGAGAAGCAATCACCATTTGCCACAACAGGGACATTTACACTGGCTTTGATAGTCCTAATAGCATCAAAGTCAGCCGGCTGTGAAGATCTGGTATTCTTAGTTCTACCATGCACTGTTATAAAATCTACACCTGCTTGTTCGACTTTCTTTACAAAACGAATAGTTTCGTTAATGTCGCTATGGATTCTTATCTTTGTCTCAAAACAAACTTTATCCTGATACTTATCCTTCACTGCCTTGACCATCAGTGCAACCAAATCGGATTCGGACATTAAAGCAGCACCAATTCCTTCACGAACCTGTTCCTTAATAGGACATCCGCAGTTTAATCCAATCCCATCCACATATGGATGGATCATGTCTACAAATTTTACGAGGTCCTCTACATTGTTTGCACCCACTTGAACTATAACCGAGCGGTCCTTTGAATTTGTTGTGAAATCAGAATATCTGGCAACATCATTTCTTACAAACTCTCTGGCCAAGATCATTGGCGTATAGACAATATCAGTACTGTAGTTTCGCACTAACTCTCTAAAAGGTAACTTGGAGTATCTAACCATAGGTCCAGCAATGAAAGCCGGCCTGCCTTGTTCTTTTTTCATAGTCTTGAGTATACGTAAAGGGTTGTGATCAGGATTTCTGGGTTCTAGTGTACTCATATTAGGTTGGAGATGTTCATCGATAACCAACTTATTGATCTCGCTTGTGATGCCGTCAACCGATGAGCTCATCTCTCTATTGAATAAATTATAAGACTAAAGTTGGAAAGAAAATAAAATAAATATACGTAACGCACAGGTTCTCAGTAAGCGAAGAAAAAATAGAACCTACTACCCAATAAATACGGAAGGAAAGTTACCACCTTTTGTGCAAAATAATCACTCCTGCCTTTCACCAAGTCTCGAGATCAACAGATAAGAGCTATTGAAATAGTTTCCTGTAGGTAAAAATTTTTGGGAAGAGCGCAGGAAATATTTTCCTAAAGCAGAAAGTAGGAACGCGACCCATCATGAATAAGGACCCTGTAGTGTCTTCCTCCAAGGGGTACCATGTTCTCCGTGTTCTCATACTACCTACATATAATTCTACACTGATTTCCTGGTTTAGTTATAATAATATACATTAGTGGAATATGGTACAGTAATAAGGCTTATTGAAAGTATGACTTCTTATATATAGTTGGGATGGTCATTATGATTTTATTTTATTAAACTTATTCTTCTTCTGAACTTTCTGAACTTGCGTCATCTGAAGAGGATTCTTGATCATTATTGATATTCATATATCCATTATTAGCATTTGAGGAAGATCCCTTGTCGGCATCTTCGAAAAGAAGCAATTGACTTCTCAATTGTTCCATTTCATCGGCACCTCCAATTAAAAGTTTCTTCTTCTTTTTATTTCCTGAAGTAGCCTTTTTGCCAAAGAGGAAGTTGTAAAGCTTGAGGACGGTTCTGTCTTCAATTTGATCCATATCCAATTCAACCTCTTCTTCGTTACTCAAATCAATATCATCCTTAATAATCTTGATAAGAGCTTGTAATTTTTTATCAGGTAATTGTGGAACAATTTCACTAACTTGCTTCTTCATTTCATACGTAACAACAGGCTGTTCACGAGCTGGAAGTATAGAATGAGACTTACTACGAGGCTTGGACTTCTTCGATCTCTTCTTCTTCTTTTTAGCTGCAGCTCTTTGTTCTCTTAATTTTTGCAAATGCTCCTTCTTCAACAATTCCAATTCTTGTTTCATTCTATTTACTTGGTTTTCCAAGAATTTGATTGCTGGAATATCAGATAACATCGATTCATTAATTTCTGGTTCTTCTTCACTTTCTGACTCTGACTCTTCGGATTCCGAAGGTGGTGGCGTTGGTTCAGGCACTGGTCTGTTAGCCCATTTCTTGTCAAAAACAGATTCCAACCTATGACCCATCATATTTACATCCGTTCCTTCTGGATTAAAGATATAACAGTTGCTGAAGACTAATCTCACGTCTCTTTCAAACTGGTCTCCATTTTCATATTGATTGTTGGCCAACTTAGTTTGAATGGTTCCCAAATCCATAGGCACTTTAATGATCTCGCCATAATTTGGAATATTTAAGGCAACTGGGTCAACTGGTGCCAAAAATGGGAAATTGATACTGAAATGCTTCTTTGATGTTAATTCCTTTATAGTCTGATTGCAGAATCTTAAATCAGCAGCGAATTTCTTCTTCCTAGGTCTCACATCGTAAGGTAATTCTTTAGACTTTGGAGGATGAATAGTTCTCTTTGGTCTTTGTCCAGCAACAGATTCTTTTCTATTTGCTACAACTGTAGCTGTAGCAGCACCTGCTGTAGCTGCACTAGGACTAGCAGCACCATTTGCATCGGCAACTACAGCCCTTCTTCTAGAATTGGCTGGTACAGTAGTAGTTCCATTGTTTGGGAGATCCTTTGGTGGCATATTCAACATGTGCTTCTCAAAATGTGCTTGAATATTCTTTGCCATCTTAGAAATTGGCGAACTTTCTCCGTTAAACTTACAACAGTTGGCAACCATTAAATTGAAGTCTTCTATAACTTGATTTGGTTCAACATATGCATCTGCATTGATTTTTCTCTCAATCGTAGAAAGATCCATAGGACGTGGAATGTAGTTGTAGTAAAATGGGATATTAAGCTTGACGATGTCAACAGGGTGAATGAATGGTCCGGCATCTTTCAATCTTTTAATGGCTTTAATCGAATTCAAGGCAAATTTAGCTTGATGCTTTGGCATTGGGTTCGATGGGAGGTTGTCCATATCTGGTTCAGCAGCTGGCTTTGGAGCTGGGTCAGTGAAAGCTGGGGCTGCCGATCCAGCGCCTGCTTCATCTGCAGGAGGAGCAGGAGCCTTGTCAGTCTCGCCTTCTACCTTTGCTTCAGCTTCAGCACCAGCACCAGCATCTTTCGTCACCGCTTCATCTACGGAAGCTGTAGCAGCTTCTCCACTCCCAACAACACTAGTTTCAGCTTCATCACCCACCTTTTGCTTTTTTGTCTCTTCCTCCTTTTCATCATCTTCAAGTTTATGCTTCACAGGACTGGGAGAAGGATTAGGTGGAGATAATGGTCTATCTGCATGCTCGTGTTGTGAAAGTTTGCCACCATCTTCCTTTATTGGAATAGGTGAAATATTCTTATCAAAGAATGACTCCGACGATGGCGTTTGCACCGGTGTTGTTGCATCAACAGGCTTTTCTTCAACTTCTGACATTATTCCTGCACAGAAGTGAAAATTTATTGACAAGAACAAAAATGTTCAAAAATCAAAAAAATTGAAGATATTTGGTCCTCCGTAGTGTATGTAAGAACTTTTGCTTTTTTTTTTCGGACGAGTCGTGTTTCTTATATGCGAACGGTTGTCCAGTTCAGTTTCGGATTCGATAAAAAAGGGGTTTCGCACGAAAGATTAGACAATTCTATGCGGGCTACGCCAAAAAAAAGAAAGAAAAGTTACGCGCCTGTTTGGATAATTAGTAGTGTGCAAGCCTCATTGAAAATGAAGGATGGTGTGCGATATTTATACTCGTGAAAATTTTTTTACGGATCTTGCTGGATCGGTGTGCTGACTTTTACTCTGGTGGCAAAAAATAAAAGAGTTTACAAGCCAGCCCGTGAACAGACTTTAGAAAGATGATCAACAGAACACATTAAACTAGGGAAAGGAAGAGAGATCAAAGAGGCAAGATATTTCAACTTGGAGTCTTCATTGTAAGCGTTACTTGGGAAGAACTGTACGACAAAAATATAGAGCGGTTTGAAATCAAGGGGCGGTGTCTTCATTCTGATTAGTAAAGTCTCTTTCTTTTTTTTTTCACTTTTGGCAAAATTCCCATTAAAAACCTCATCGCCAACTCCCTCTTAACATATCAAAAGTAGGAATATCGAAATGAAAAGCGATTCCTTTCAATTAATCCTTATTCTGCTTTGCTCTAGACGCATGAGTTATACGTTATATTGTACAATACATCAGAAAAGATACTCTTGGTCTTTCTTATTTTCTCTGCTACAAACAAACGAAAGATTTTAATTTTAGTAAATCTCTCTCTTTTCACCTCTTTGCATATCATCATGCAAAGCATTCGCATTTGTGTCATGCCACAATTTACTGACGGTGTGAGGTTACCCGGACGAGGCAATGAAAGATGCAACTTCTGTATGCCTATGCAGAGGGGAACAGGACTAAGACTGTATCATTGAAGTGCTATGCTTCCAAGATATAGAACATGACTTGTGGAGCAATATCGTTTAACCGGGAAAGAGAAAACTGGCAGCTTGCAGTTTTGTATACGGGGTAAGTTCTCATGGCGCGTTAAGAAAGAGAGTTTGTCCTTAGTGTGCAGTTTAAAGTCGATAAAATAATATCTCTACGCTTGTATTGGTTATGAGCGCGGACATCTGGGAATCTGATTATGCTGCACTTTCTTACACTCATTCCCAATGGTTGCAACTAGCTGAACGGATCGAGCGTAGGCAGTTCTTTTGTTGTCTTATGTCATAGTGATGAACGTAATGCCCTTACCTTTTACTCTGTCCCATTTCTACTACTTACAAAGCATGTCCCCGAATTTTAAATCTCCCTTATATTACTCTTTGCCTGTCCACTAATGGGACGAGTGGACAGGTACACTCTTACAAAGTTATCGCATATTCCCTAGTAATACACTATATTATACAAATCTATATATACACTACAAGCTCCAATTTCTCTCACAATGTCTACAAATGGATGGAAAGTAAATCATTTGCTGAAAATCCCTTATTACATGATGGACAACGACGAAGTCTAGCAGCCAATCTCTCTTGGGCACAATCTGAACAGAATACATGCCCACACACTGTGATGGCGGTGTCTTTCCAATTTTTAGAACATAACGAACACTTGGCAATGGAACGTAAAGCTTCAAGTTGTCTTTCATCTTCTTGCAAAATAGATGAGGTCTTGTTGCTACGATATTTCTTAATCAAAGATTCCAATTCCTTAACTTTAGCTTCTACTTTAGCCAATTTTTGCAATGCATCGTTTCTTTCCACATCCAATGCTCCAAGTTGGCTGACTTTACCTTCGAGAGTCTTTTTCAACGACTTGGTCTCATTTTCAAATCTTTCTCTTGAAGCTTGAATGGATTTTATTTGCTCTTGCAATTTGGAGTTTTCCTGGAGTGAATTTTCCTTGATGGTCTTGAAATCTATCTCAGACTTTTGTAAGATGCTAATCTTGGTCAAATATGTTTTCTCCAAGTCATTCAATTTACTTACTAACTCTTGTGACTTTGCAATTTGACTTTTCAACACTTTGTTCTCCGAAGAAATTGCATCCTTTGACCTCATGGCTGCAAAATACTTTTGATCTGCTTTAGTCTTCTCTATAGTCAATTTTTTGATCAAATTATCATTTTCAACTTCATTATGAAGCTTCTTTACGGCGATTTCATGAGTAGATTGGAAAACGGACTCAATTTCTTTAATTTCACCACTCAACATGGTTATTCTTTTGATTAATTCATCAGAAGTTAAAGACTTAAGCTTTTCAACCTCTTCTTCCTTAAATTCATTATTCCCAACTCTCTCATTTGTCAAACTGTCAATTTTTTCCTTTTGAACACTTACCAACTTTTCCAATTCAGTAATGAGGCTCTTATTTTCACTCTCCGATTTCAAAATTGAGTTTTTGGCTATTAATTCGTCTCTCGATGTTCTGATTCTAACCAAATCAGATTCCACCTTAGATAATGTTTGCTTTAAGTTGTCATTCTCAAAGCTCAACGTTTCATCAATCAGGTTCTTTAAACTACCCCTAGCATTTTCCAACTGGCTCAATTTGGCAACCAGAATGCTTTGAACCTTGACCAAGTCTTCCACTTGTTCGCTCAAAATTTTATTCTTATTAAGGATGCTTTGATAGATTGGAGATAAGTTGAGGTCCTTTGAAGAAAGTGACGATAACCTGGAGGCTAATTCTAAACAGTCTTCAGAGGACTTTTGATGCTTTTTGCCCAACTCTGTTATCTGTTGTTGTAATGTGGCGTTTGACGCCTCGAGTTCTCTCAACTTGATAGTTAGGGTTTCGATGAGCTCTTTATCAGCTGAGTTGTCCACTGGTTCTTCCTTGTTTTCTATATTATCCGTATCGCTCCCACCTTTAGCGTTACTATTACTGGCCTTACCGCTGTTGCTATCGCTAGCTATACTGTCACTGGTTTCAGATTCTTCCTCTCTTTTAACCAAGCTAGCATCAACCCTCCCCAAAGTTTTGGATTGGTTACGATCTTTCACTTTAGTTAAATCCAGAAGTCTCTCTTTTAACTCTTCTAAGTTGTCTTCCAACCCACTTTTAAGCTTCAAAATGGTTTCGTTCTCTGCCTTTAAACGGCACAAATCCAGATTCAAGGTCTCGAATGTTTCAATAAGCTCTTTAGATTCTGGGAAGGATGCTTTCGATTTCTCCAAGATGGGACTCAAAATGTTCAATAGACATGTTCTTCTCTTATTGAGAATATCTTCCAATTTGTCTTTGTCTGAGTGATGTGTGATCTTGATGAGAAGAGACTCATTTACAGAGGAAGGCTTTTCTCTGGGACTCTGGCTGAGTAAGTTAATAATCTGTTCGTACCATATGTCCAAGATGTTTAACTTGGATTCATTAGCTTCATACTTATGCTTGAAACTTCTTAAATCTCTGGATAGGATGTTGCACTGCCTCTTGTAGGAATTCATTTGTCTCCATATGGCCTCCTTCTGGAAATAAGTCACATCTTCTTGAGTTAACGGACCATCTTCACTAAGTTCATCCAATGCTTTTCTCTTCTTGGTGGAAGCCAAATCAACAGAAGCGTCTGCGCTCCTTTTAAGATTATCTGTCATAGTCTATATGTATATATATACCTACCGAAGCGACTAATGGAGTAAAAACAGGAGATATATCGGGATGTAGTGGCGGTTTTGGTGTTGTCTCGTGGTGCCTTTCCTTTATTTTCATTTCATTTTCGTTTCTAATTTTTTTTTTTTTGGATTGTCAAAAAGGGTGTTTATGGTATACGCACGACTTTCTCCATACTCTAGAACACCCACCGTAGATCATGGAGTAGACGAAAGGGCAGGACTGTAGCAAGTAGAATAGATTGGCAGTCGAAATGTCTCAAGGGTGAATATCCTTGTCATAAGCAATATGAGCCAATCAGAATAAAGCCGGGAAAAAGTACTGACTCTCCGCTGATTGTTCCCCTCTGTTAATGCAGAATACAGAATGCACCTTAGTCAGTAAGCAATAAGCCTGGGTGTAAAAGAAATAAGGCTCAACGTATCTACGCTGTATTACTACTTTCTTGTGTTTTTTAGTGCTGGGACTAGTCCAGAGGAATCAAGGATTCATGCAGTTCACGTACTATCCCAATTTTTGCGTCATACCTGCTGGTACACTGTGGTCTATTTCGCAAGTTCTATTGCCAAATACCGAAGACTCTTAAATTCAAACTGCTTTCTGTTCCCCACTGAAGTATCCGACCGTTTCTTTTTATTTTTGTACACTATTTTTTTTTTTTTTTTTTTATTTTCGCTTGAAAGCTCGGGGTAGCGTACAACGATTTTTCAGTACATAAAGGTGCACAAGGTAGCAATATTTACGCTCTCTTCCTTAGCTTGGGGGTTCTATTTTACAAGTCAATTGAGTGGAATATGCAATTTACTGTCTTCTTTCTCTTATTCCTCCACTCAGTTTGGGGAGTTAAGGACTACCTATATAAATCGTGTGACAACTCGGGATTCTGTTACAGAAACAGGCACTTCGCAAACCAGATCAAATCCAAAGATGACTACGAGTCTAGATATTCCCTTGATATTGACACTTTGAGTGTAAGCGCAGGTCAATTGAGTGCTATTATAGTCAAGGAGTTACCAAATAATTTACCTGCAGTGGAATTGCCATTGTCTATTACAATATTAGATGGGGGTAGCATTCACGTCAAGATTGATGAGAAGAGAGATAAGAAGAGCTTCTCAGGAAAGATTGTAAACTTCAACAGATATGACGAAGCTTCCAAGTGGGCATTCCAGTCAAAGACATTGAGCTCTTCAAACTCTAGTGCCGTAATTGAAGCTAAATCTGAGAATGGTGACGCTTTCTATGAGTATTCGTTTAGTGATTACCTGTTCAAGTTTGAACTTGATCCCTTCAAGATCATTGTTGCACGCCAGAATGAAATCCAATTGATTGTAAACGACCAAAACCTATTAAATATTGAACACTTTAGAGCAAAATCTGAAAATAAGAATCATTTAACTCCGGAAGAATCTGATTTTGACCTGTTTTCAGATTCGTTTGCTGATGCTAAGGATGATACAATTCCAATTGGACCAGAATCAATTGCATTGGATTTCACATTTAACAATTATAAATATGTTTACGGTATTCCAGAGCACGCTGATTCTTTGGTATTGAAAGACACTACCTCGTCAGACCGTCCATATAGACTTTACAATGTCGACATATTTGAGTATGAGACTGACTCTAGAATGCCAATGTACGGAGCGATCCCATTCTTGTTGGCACTGAGGCCCGGATCTTCACTTGGGTTGTTTTGGGTTAACAGTGCAGATACCTTTATTGATATTGATAAAACGAGTGACGTCGGATCGACCAAAACTCATTGGATCTCTGAAAATGGGATTTTAGAGTTTATAATCATGGTTGGCTCTACGGCTAATGAGATCAACAAGAAATATGGTGAGATAACTGGGTATACTCAACTCCCACAGTTAGCGTCTTTAGGATACCATCAATGTCGTTGGAATTACAACGACGAAAAGGATGTCTTATCTATCAATAGCTTGATGGACGAACACCGTATTCCGTACGATTACCTTTGGTTGGACATTGAGTATACCGACTCGAAGAAATATTTCACTTGGAATAAAGATACTTTCCCTAACCCCGAAAGAATGCTTAAAGAGTTGGATCATACTGATAGAAATTTAGTTATCATTATCGATCCACACTTGAAGACTGACTACTTTATTAGTAATGAGGCAATCAATAAAAAACTTACAATCAATACTTTTGAAAATAAACCATACTACGGACATTGCTGGCCGGGAGAATCTGTATGGATTGATACATTAAACCCTCTGTCTCAGCAATTTTGGGATAAGCAGTTTGAATATTCCAAAAGGAATGAATTCATGGGGAGGTTATCTACAAACCTTCAAATCTGGAACGATATGAATGAACCATCAGACTTTAATGGACCAGAAACATCCTCACCAAGGGATTCTTTACACTATGATTTATGGGAACATAGATCAATCCATAACGTGTACGGTTTGTCATACCACGAAGCTACTTACCACGCAATGATCAAAAGATTAGAGACCACAAAAAGACAAAGACCATTCGTATTAACTAGATCTTACTTTGCAGGTTCCCAAAGGACTGCTGCAATGTGGACCGGTGATAATATGTCTAAGTGGGAATATTTGAAGATATCTCTTCCAATGATTATAACTTCTGGAATTCTGGGTATGCCTTTCGCTGGAGCAGATGTGGGAGGGTTCTTTGGTAACCCATCGAAGGAATTATTGACAAGGTGGTATCAGACTGGTATTTGGTATCCATTTTTCAGAGCACACGCACACATTGATTCTAGAAGGAGAGAACCTTGGGTGCCAGGTGAACCTTACACTTCAATTATCCGTGAATCAATCCAATTGAGATACTCATTATTACCAGTATTTTATACTGCTTTCTACCATTCCAGTATTGAAGGAACTCCTGTGATCAAACCTGTTTTCTACGAATCTCCTGAGCACTTAGAAAATTACGATGTAGAGGACCAGTTCTTTATTGGAAATTCAGGTGTCATGGTTAAACCTGTCACGGAAGAAAATGCTGCACTGATTGAGGTATTGATTCCAGACCTGGAATTGTATTATTCATTTGACAATGGTAATGCTTTGCCTAATGCAACTACAGTGTCAGGTCCAACGTCTGTCACCAAGTCTGTTGATTTACATACTATTCCTGTATTCTTGAAAGGTGGCTCAATAATAGCTACAAAATCCAGACATCGTAGGTCCTCAAAATTAATGTTCCATGACCCATTTACCTTGACCATTGCTTTAGACAAAAATGGTAACGCCAAGGGTAAGTTGTACGTAGACGACGGAGAATCATTTGATTTTGAAAATTCAGGCGAATATTTAGATATAGAATTTGAATTAAGCAATGATTCGAGGAGTATTACGAGTCGTGTCATTTCATCTCCAAATAATCTTGCCAAAGAGTTAGTAGATGTCGTTTTTGAGAAAATTGTCATTCTTAGTGATGGCTATTTGCAAGATTATGAAAGTGCAAGTGTTGAACAAAACAACGAAAAGAAGGCCATATCAGTTACGACCGAAGGCAAGTTAATAACCTTGGCAAATTCTAAAATATCCATCATCTCGGATTGGGTAATTAAATTTGGAGAAGAAGATATAGTAGAAGATATAAAATTCGATCAAGTGAATGAAGAAAATGGTTTGCACGACGAATTATGATAGAATAAATTTTAGATATTAGCAAAATAGACAAATGCTACTGGTTTTTCGAATCCAATATACGTGTGAGCGAGATATTTATGTATACAAGTGAAGAAGGTGCTGAATTCGTCATTCGATTATCATCAATATTGGATGTTTCTTGTGAGTCGGTGCTATTCATACTGTAATGATTTTCTACTTAACAATATCTTTTAGCATATACTCTCGTAATTTTGTAGCATTTCTTACCAACGCAATCCAGTTGGTCAGGTAACTGCAAGCTGGACACTCTATAGCTTTGGGTATTATTGAGTCCGAAGTGACTCCAGATCTATTGCCCCAGCATGTCAAGTGTGCAAGAAGCTGGCACTGACAAGATAGCATAGCAATTAAAGGTAATTTTTTCCCATCAAGCAATGAATCCAATTCTGCCTTACTCCCAATCAGGCAGTCCGGTTGTTCCTCCAAATAGTTTATAGGAACTTCACAGAGGGCACAATCAATGGGGCATTGGAGTATTCGCTCTTTAGTCTTTTCAAATATACCTATTTCATTTTTCTTTTTCAAAGAATAACTCCGCAAATAGTCTAGAATACTGTCCAGAAAGGTCCAGTCATTCTCTATATTGATTACAAACTTATTCTGAACCCAAATGTCTCTTGCATGTGGATCCAACATACACACTTTCAAGTCAAACTTCCTAAAGAAGGTTGAGCTTATCAATAAACGGACATTTCCCAATTTATGATGAACGGATATCCCATTGGTTTTCAGAGTAGATACTCGCTTGTCAACGGATATATGCCTTGTTTGGTACGGATGTTGCAATGCATGTTCAAACTGTAGAGCAGCAATCTTTGAAGGGAACCCGTGAATTATACATAGTTGTTTCCACGGTCTGAAATTATCCCTCAGCGTACGATAAGCACCTGCTTTGAGTTCTCCATTATGCTGACGAAGTCTACGAATCGGGTCTGGGCTAGATCCAATATAAATGCTTCTAGGCTTCGGAATCAGTTGTAGTATGTAGACAGTATAAAGATTAGGTGTTGTGTGAATTGACACATTAGGTTCGTCGGGAATGGACATGTGGGGAAATCAGTGTCAAAAAGATAAGAAATAATGACCTTTAAATCATTGAATTCATATATCGAAATACTATCGAGCTACTTGATTGTGTTTAACAATGCCCATTACAAAATCAAAAGAAACCAAACGAACAAAAGAGGTTGCGGCTTACTTCATCAAGGTGCGTAATGATATGCAAATTCTGTAATGAATCCCGCTTGCGACTTCCACTGCATGAAAGGTACTCCTTTGAAGGACCAAAGAACCTTTCTATCAAGAAGAAGGAACTGCGCTATTACGCCCAAAGTATGAAACACTTTCTTACATTACAATAGATATTGGCCGAGAGTCATTAAATTGAATGCACCACAATATGAAATTCTACACCATTATAGCTACAAACGGATACTTCTGCAAGGAAAAGAAATTGTGCCCAAACTGGAATTGGAACGGGTTGCTTTATGATGCAAGAGATGAAAAAGAAAAAGTGAAGAAGCTTCATCTACACGGAGGTTCCAGCTTGCATTATGAAGATGCAATTTTGAAGTTAAACAAGCATTTCAGAAATGTGCAACATCTTCAACTAGATGAAAACAAGTATTGGCAAACAAGTTAGCATGCTGAATTTGACCATGCAGCATAGGACACTTTCACCACACTGGCTAAAAAGCACAGTTTAAATCCAATAGAAAGAGAATTTCAGCATTGTTGATGGCACAAGTTGCCAGGCTTGCTTCCTCTGCAAACATAACAAGTACCACGGCCAACTCAATAGACCTTAAGAGGGGATGAAAAATTAGGTTTTCAAGTGTTCAAGTGTTCAAGGATATTATTTTATATTGTCGTCATCTGTGCAGAAGCGGGACGAAAAGTGACAGAAAAATAGCCAAATAAATTGAGGCCGATAGAGATTTACACAGGACCTAGACATTCAACAATAAGAGACCCAGAATTGTAAAGGATAAAGCATAAACACACAGAAATAAAGCAGCTATACGACTGAAAGAAGAAACATACCATGCATCACCCAATCCGTTACTAAATAGATAGTCTAGCTGCTCTAGAAATAGTCATCATTCGTATTTCGGGATGCTTATTTTCAATGTATGTCGGCAATTTTACGCACAAGATTTTTCAGAGGTAGGCATTTCTGGTGGCATTTACTCTTAAATCATTGCCATAAAGTTCAGCCTGGAAAGTTTAATTATCTAATTTGTAATACCTCCCTCGTCCCCCCACTAAGTCATCCGACATTCCTTCATGCCTTCGGACGCATTTCCTTAACTTCGTTTGTGCCGAAAGTTAAATGTCGAGCCACCGTGTGCTATCTCTACAGTTTTTCCCCTTTTCAATAAAGTGAAACAACACCGAAAATTCAAAATGGAACCCTATGCCTTAAACAAAGAAACGGTATACCTGCGATGTGAGTGCGTCTACAGCACTGCACTTCTTAAATGCACACCAAAAGTATTTTTATTTTTGAGGTACACTTTTTGAGAGACTGAAAAAAAAAAGAAAAAAAAAAAAAAAAAAAAGATAAATCCCAAGAAAAAAGAATTACCAAACAGACTAGAAACACAGTCTTCATATTCCGTACTCTAGAAGGTCGATAGCTGTGTTAGAAACCACTTATTACAATTTCCGTTTTGAGTTTGAGTATATTACTTGCTCTGACGTCAGACCAGTAGTTTTATAAAGTTCTCCGCTCCATTCTATCCGGATATTACGAGAGTACAAGCTCCATCTGTACGTCTTTTTACGAAACAGGTGCACCAACAAAGTCCCTGCTGTGGTTCTCCGCTGTACTTTGAATTAGAATCCGAATAATTAGTATTTAAGTAACCTGGATAGACTCCTTTTTGAATCTGGAGTAGAGGTTATTACAACAATACATTTAATAGGCTATTGCCAACTAGAATTTACCTTAAGAAAAGGTTATGTATACTGAAGCAACCAAAATTAGCTATCTAAAGTAAATTGAAACAAAAGTATGCAAACAGATACGATGAACTCAGCAATAACAGCTCCTACGGCGACAGCAAGCACGTCGTCGTCGAATCAAAGTGGATCGAATGATTTTGTCAAGAAGTTATTCCAAATGCTTCAAGAAGTTAACTACAAAGATGTGGTAACGTGGACCACAAATGGGGATAGCTTTGTTGTATTGAATACAAATGAGTTCACGAAGGAAATTTTGCCAAGGCACTTTAAGCATAGCAATTTCGCTTCGTTTGTAAGGCAGTTGAACAAGTATGACTTTCACAAAGTGAAGATCCCTAACGAAGAGAAGCAAAACTACAAGTACGGTGAAGATGCTTGGGAATTTAAACATCCAGACTTCAGAATAAACGATCGAGAATCCTTGGAGAACATCAAAAGAAAGGGACCCACTACTAAGAAGGGACAAGGTTCCAGTAACAACGGTGGTAATAGTGCACAATATCAAGGAGGACTCGACCGCAGCAACGGTGGTGGCTCTGGCATGGCCGAGACAGACTATGGGGTTATACAGCACCAATTCCAGCAGTTGAATGAAGAAGTAAGGTCATTAAGACAAGAAAACAAGGCTTTATTCCAAGAAGTGAATATCTTGCAAACTAAATACAAGGCGGTAGTTGATAATATAATAGGATTGAAATCTTTTGATGAACGGTACTCTAGGTCGATGGGAATTCTAGTCAACTGTCTAACTCAAGCTGGTATTAAGTTGCCATTATTAGATTTCCCTAATCCAAATTTGATTCATCTTCAACAACCTGTAACACAAACACAGCTTCAACTGCCAACTCAGCCTCAGCCTGCATCCCAATCCCAACCATCAAGCTTGCAGGCACAATCACAGCAAGGACACCCTTCAGCACAATCACATCTGAAGACTCACACTCAAGTACCAGTACAACCAGGCCAACCAGGACATTCACATACGAATTCTTTGGGCCAGTCTGATGCAAGATACGACACAGGATACTCTCCAATGTTGCCCCACCATCAACAACATCCTCCTCCACAAACCAATGATGATTCCAAGCTGCTTGACACTAAGGTTGTTCCAAGAAGAGATCTGACAGTAGCAGTTCAAGTTGCTCCTAGTACTTCCAATACAACTGGTCCAGGAGGTTCTACTGTGGCTAGATCTACTAGGGACAATAGTACCTCCGCATCTCCTGAACATCCCCAGGTAACAACTACCAACTTACAAAATCCTAAATTTCATGTGCTTTTGGTCGAAGATGATAATGTTTGCATTCAGCTTTGTAGGAAATTCTTAGTAAAGTATGGATGTCAAGTCACCGTGGCGACTGACGGATTGAATGCAATCCTGACTGTGGAACACACTCGATATGATTTGGTTTTAATGGATATAGTCATGCCAAACTTAGACGGTGCGACAGCTACTAGCGTGATCAGATCTTTTGATACCAAGACCCCTATTATAGCTATGACGGGTAATATTGAAGAATATGATCTTGTTACCTATTTGGAAAATGGTATGTCTGATATTTTGGCTAAGCCATTTACCAGAGAAGACTTATACAACATGTTAAGTAAGCATCTCTTGACTCCAAATGAGACAAGCAATAACGGAGGTATCTCAGCCAGTGCGAGGGCTCCAATTCAAGAGCCTTTGGCTATTACGCCATCTGAGGAGTTACACAGTGAAAAGAGGCAAAGGTTGAAGTAGATTTAGTGACAATGGATACGACCATGCTTGGTTCACAGTTGTTTTGTATTGCGGGAAAGTTAAATGTCCCTAGGAATACCGAGAAAGATACATGTTGAATACTTTTTCAAATGATTTGTATATTATTATTATTATTATTATTATTCCATTAGATTACAATTGTATATCTATAAGATAAGAATGAAAAGAACTTACAGAAATAAAAAAAATGTAGTATCGTTTGGTTTTCATTGGGTTCCAGTAGCTATTGCCTCAGAAGATTCTCCTGACTCGGAATCCTTTGAAACAACCAAATGAAAAGCTAGATCTGAAAATGCATTACCCCAGCTTCCTTCACCTTGCAAAAGCTTTGTTGCTTTGACTTCTCTGAAATATACCTCACTGTATTTATATTCTATTTCAGGCTCAACGAAGACACTTTTCTTGTTTCTTCTTGATTTTTTCGATGCTACTACTTGGAACTCACTAGGCTGACCAGACAGAGATTGGCGATCGGTTTTCTCTAATAAGTTTTTCACCAAAGATATTGTCCTGTACTCATCGAAAAGCTTCCTCTTGGTGTACCTGTCGGTATGGGCTATTATATCGTTACTTAATAACCATAGTGGTTTGTCAGTCTCAAACAACTCTTCCGTCATTCGCAAGTCTGCATGAGGTAGAAAATATAGCACTTGGCGATTGGAGGGCGGTACAAATGACGATTCTATGCGATAATTGAACTTCTGAAAAATATCCTCGTCTTTATCGTTAAATACGGGGTCGAACAATGTAACTTGTGCTGTCTTAAAGTGCAGAACCAATTCATTTAAGTACGCCAATTGGTAAAGTGCTGCATTACTCTCTGAGGGAGATCCCAATGCAAGACATCGTATTACAGGTACAGATGTGATCAGGTATTTTTCCAAAATCTGCACAGTTTCTTGGACAAGTTTGGAGCTAGAGATGATACCTTGGTATTTATCTAGTTTAATCAAGGTATTATCCATATCTATAGCGTATTTACGGGCATGTTCCATTTCCTGCCATACTCAAGCTACTCATCTTCACACTGCACCAGTGAAAAATCATGGCGCACCATGCAGGACCATCTCTTCCCCATTTTTCCCTAGTGCTTCAATCTCCGCGGTGAAAGTGGTGAGATTAGCTTTCCACGGGTGCAATTAAAGTTAACATTGAGACAGTCAGATGCACCAGTCCAATCAAACAGAACGTTCCCTTCCCTTAGATCGTGATCTGATTAGCATTCTAGGTTGCGTCATCTAATCAGCACAGTATTGCATCAATTACGAGCTCCCAATCCGGTCACTTGATGCTAACCTACTCATGACGGAACCTCCCCCAATAGTGTGAGAGACAAATGAGAAGTCAAAAATTTAAGTGGAAAATTCAAAAAAAAAAAAAAAAAAAAAAAAAAAAAAAAAAAAAAAGAGAAAAAAAAAATCTCATCTCACAAAGTTCCTCAGCACTGAAGCAATAAATACCTTCACTTCTTCCTCTTCTCTTGTTCTTTCTTTCTTACCCTCTTATAGTATTCTACTTTTTTTTATTTATTCATCCAACCCAGCTCTCTGCAGTATCTACTGATCAATTAAAGATCAATCGTATTTGCTAACTCAAATTGTCGTCTTTAACTTCACCACCTTCTTCGAAGTCTCCATCTTCAAATCCTGCCGGACAAATCTCAAATACAACCATGAGGAAGTGTAAAATTTTTGTTGGTTCATCACACCCAGAATTGGGAAAATTGGTCTGTAGCCGTTTGGGCGTGGAACCTGCTCCATGTACGTTGAAGAAGTTTTCCAATGGTGAAACATCTGTTCAAATTGGTGTGTCTATTCGTGACGAAGACGTCTACATTATACAATCTGGTCTGCCAGAAATCAACGATCACATTATGGAATTATTGATTTTAATTTCCGCTTGTCGTGGAGGTTCCGCTTCCAAAATCACTGCTGTCATCCCTCAATTCCCATATTCCAAGCAATCCAAGATGAAGAAACACAGAGGCGCCATCACTGCTAGAATGTTGGCTAACTTGCTAGTCATGGCTGGAGCAGATCACGTGGTATCGATGGATTTGCATGCCTCCCAGATGCAAGGGTTCTTCACCAAGCCTGTTGATAACTTGTTTGGGGCTCCAACATTAGCCAGGTGGATTCGTCATAATATCCCAGATTGGGAAACTGCCGTTGTTGTTTCTAAGAACCCCGGTGGTACCAAAAGAGTCACTGCCTTGGCAGACTCATTGAAGATTAACTTCGCCATGATTCACACTGACCGTAGACGTAATCAGGATGGGTATAATGGTAAAAGCAAGAAGAAGGCTTTGAAAAAATCCAAAAGGAGTGAAGTGGACGGAGAAGAAGAAGAAGAAGACAATATTGTCTCTGAAATGCAAACTGCTAGAATTGTTCAAGGTCACGTTGTTGACGACGATTACCAAAGCCCATCTTCCAAGACCACCGGTTCTAGTTCATCTGCTGCCTCTCAAAGCGATCAGTTGATTAACGGTAGTGATGCTCTCGGAGGCACATACGAGGCAGGCAATAATTCAGATGACGACGACGAACCTACCTCCATTGATCAAGAAAAATTGATCACCTTGGTTGGTGATGTAAACGACAAAGTAGCAATCATATTGGACGATATGATTGACAAACCCAGCTCATTCATTGCAGCTGCAGAACATTTGAGATTAAATTGCGGAGCCAAGGCCGTTTATGTCGTTGGAACCCACGGTATATTCAGTGACGACTGTTTGGGAGCATTGAATGCTTCTAAATGTATCGACAAGATAGTTGTAACGAATACCTACCCAATTGGCAAGGATAGAATCGCTGCCAATGAAAAGTTGGCTGTCATTGACGTTTCGCCAATTTTCGCTGAATGTATAAGAAGAGACCACTTCGGTGAATCCATTAGCGTTTTGTTTGACAGCTTAGCTGCAATTGAATAGATTAAATAAGGAATAATGAAAGCTTGAGTTTGTTATTTTTTTTATTTTCTCTTCCACATTATTGATTTCTGATATCACAGGAATGACCATAGCAACCCAGAACATTACTGACATGGCTCCTGCCTCTCATTTCTTCACAAAGTCCTGCTTTTGGCACTGGCAAATGGGTTTCCACTCGCCGTTCCACTGCAGCTCAATTTTCCATTATGCAACCTCTGCATTCTGGAACCCAACGATGCACCCACCGGGGTGCAGGACACAGCTCACAATCTCATGATTGGAACTCTCGAGCTGCTGGACTAACGGAGCGTTGGTATATCAATCTTTATCGCTTTTGGTTTCAATCAACTCAGAGCTTGGGTATCTATGCCACTGTTCTAGGATTGAAACTATGTGAACATTTATCAACTATTACTTTACTTTCTTCCTCACTACTCCTCGGTGCTTCAATGCTTCGGGGTCCTGATTTAGCTTTTTTTTCCACACTTCCATGCGCCGCTCGCTGCGTTCTCCTGTAGCGCTGATTAGATCTGCGCGCGGGGGCCCTGCCACTATTTTTCTGTGGAATTTGCTGTTCGAAATTTCCAACTGGCCAGTCCAACATGGGATTTGTTCTATCGCAATGAATTGCAAATTCTTTCTTTCTTTTTTTCTTTCTTTTTGGATCAGTACCACGTTTTTCACCACGCCCCTACCATATCCCAGCGGTTACGCATTAGCTCCTTTCATTATCTAATTATAAGGCATGTCGGATAACCACTCTGAATCGGAACCGATCCCCGTAGTAATTAACGGTGCTTCACCTTCAGTAATCGACTCTTCTGATTTTGTGTCTGCGAGACTCTCAGAGGATATAAATCATAGCTTATCGATTTCAGATTTGCCCGCATCAGTTCAGAGAAAGCTCGACCAACCCATGTCACCACTTTCCCTTTCGGAAAATTCTACACCTACCAAGTCTGTGTTGAACCCTATTAACTTCTCTGCTTCTCATCAGCCCTTGCCCTCCCCTGCAACGGAGAAGGCCATCGAAAGTATTACCCCAATGTTGGAAGGATTCGCGCCGAAGACAAGCGCTGAAGAGAGTGAAAGTGGAGTTGCTTCCATTAGCAGCAGCGCTACCAGTAGCCATGCGTTAACTCCACAAGCCCTACAAGAACACGAATTTCGTCTGCATTTGCCCAAGTCTAGAACTTCCTCCCATGGTGCCCACACTGTGTTGGATGGATTCTCAACGTCTTCGATTTTGAAAAAGACAATCTCGAATTCCTCAACTGGATCCCGCAAGTCTGTGTCTATACATAGAGATGATCTGCCCAAATTGCCCATTATAGGAAAGATTGGTGTTTGTGCTATGGACGCTAAGGTAATGTCCAAGCCGTGCCGTAGAATCCTCAGTAGATTAATCGAAAATGGTGAGTTCCAGACAGTCATCTTTGGTGATAAAGTTATTTTGGATGAGGCTATTGAAAACTGGCCGACTTGCGATTTTTTGGTCAGTTTTTTTTCCACAGGTTTTCCTCTTGAAAAGGCAATTAAGTACGTCAATCTTAGAAAACCTTATATGATTAACGATTTGGTTTTGCAAAAGGCTCTTTGGGACAGAAGATTGGTATTGTCGGTATTGAACTTTGCTGATGTGCCAACCCCAGAAAGATTAGAAATTAGTAGAGATGGAGGTCCTCACCTTGATGATGAATTAAAAGAAAAATTGAAGGAAGGTGGGGTTACAGAAGATCAATTGTATGCTTTAACCAACCAAACCGAACCTCATTGGGAAATGATCGATGATGATACTTTACTTGTGGGCGACAAAATCTTGAAAAAACCATTTGTAGAAAAACCAGTAGATGGAGAAGATCACAATGTGTACATATACTATCCTAAGTCTACTGGAGGTGGTGGTAGAAGACTTTTCCGTAAAATTGGTAATAAATCTTCAGAATTTGATCCTGAATTATCAACTCCAAGAACAGAAGGTTCATATGTTTATGAAAAATTCATGGATACTGACAACTTTGAAGATGTCAAGGCATATACCGTAGGACCGACATTCTGCCATGCAGAAACCCGTAAATCTCCAGTCGTGGATGGAATTGTCAGAAGAAATACTCATGGAAAGGAAATTAGATTCATCACTGAATTAAGTGAGGAAGAGACCATCATGGCCCAAAAGGTTAGTAAAATATTTCAACAGGCTATTTGTGGATTCGATTTATTACGTGTAAATGGCGATTCTTATGTTATTGATGTTAACGGATTCTCATTTGTCAAGGATAATAACAAGTACTATGATTCATGTGCCTCCATTTTAAGAAACTTATTTATTGAAGCGAAGAAGTCTCGTGACTTGTTGAAGACAAAGATTCCAAAACTGTCACAACTTCATAAGGATAGATTTGAAGAGAAGGAACAGAAATGGGTATTGAAGGGTATTGTTTCTGTAATTAGACATGCTGACCGTACTCCTAAGCAGAAGTTCAAGTACTCATTCAAATCTCCACTTTTCATTTCATTGTTGAAGGGCCATAAAGAAGAAGTTATTATTAGAGCTGTACCAGATTTGCAAGTAGTTTTAGAGACTGTAAAGGTAGCAGAGGATAGAAAATTGGAAGACTTGAAAAAATTAGCTCAATTGCGCAGGGCTTTAGAGAAGAAAATGACATTCCCTGGTACTAAGATTCAATTAAAACCAGCTCTAAACAAGGAAAATCCAGAAATCGTTGACAAGGTGCAATTAATCTTGAAGTGGGGTGGTGAACCTACTCATTCTGCTAAATTCCAAGCAACTGATGTTGGAGAGCAAATGAGACAAAATATTAAATTGTTGAACCGTGAAGCATTAAACGACGTTAAAGTTTTTACTTCTTCAGAAAGAAGAGTGATCGCTAGTGCTCAATTGTCAACCACTGCTCTCTTAGGATTGGACGAAGAAGAAGAATTACCAGATGACTTTTTGATTATCAGGAAAGATTTATTGGATGATTCAAATGCGGCCAAAGATCTTATGGACAAGGTTAAGAAAAAGTTAAAACCACTCTTGAGACAAGGTGCCGAAGCTCCTCCACAATTTACTTGGCCACCTAAAATGCCTCAGCCTTTTGTAGTCATCAAAAGAGTTTGTGAGTTAATGAACTATCATCAACAAATCATGGAGTATAATTTTGAAAAGAAGGACGTCTCGCTGTATCAAAAATACTGGTGTTGTGGAGAAGATCCTATCTTATTTAAAGAAAGATGGGATAAATTGTTCCAAGAATTTCAATCTGTTGAAAAGACTCATCCTTCCAAGATATCTGAACTTTATGATACAATGAAATATGATGCATTGCACAATAGGCAATTTTTGCAGAAAATATTTTCATTTGACCCGGATGATGAGATTTTATTGGAAAGATTAAGTAAAACATGTGGAAGTACGATAAATTCTTCTGGATTGGTTAGTGAATATCCAATCAATATTTTGGCTATGAACAACTTTAAAATTCCGAATGAAAGTAGAACACCTAATCAAAACTCCAGTTCTGGAAGTTTAGCATCAAACCCTTCGTCCTCTACTTCGAGTGGGAATGTATCTGCCTTAGCCAACTCTGTGACTCCTGCTTCCGCCGGATCGTTAGGTTGGGTATTGAAAGGGGTTAATTCAACTGTTAAGTATTCTTCATCAAACAATGATTCCAATACACATAGAAAGAGAACTACATCAGATGATGAAACTGAAAATAGCCAAGAAGAAAACCTGGAGCCAGAAAATTGTGATCATAACAATCCATTTGATCATCCAACATTTGCTCGTTTAAGAGAGTTGTACAGATTGTCGAAGGTATTGTTTGATTTTATCTGCCCTCAAGAGTATGGTATTAAAGATGAAGAGAAACTTGATATTGGTTTATTGACTTCGTTACCCTTAGCCAAGCAAATATTATCTGATATTCAAGAGATGAGAGAGCATGATGATGCTGGAATGGTCAACTATTTCACCAAGGAGTCCCACATTTATACATTATTAAATGTTATATATGAGTCTCAAATACCAATGAAAATAGCTAGAAATTCACTTCCTGAGTTGGACTATTTATCTCAAATTGTGTTCGAACTATATGAGTCTGATGATTCAAGTGCACCTAGTGGTAAGAAGCATTCAATTAGACTTTCTTTATCTCCAGGTTGTCATACTCAAGATCCTTTGGATGTTCAATTGGATAATGATCATTACATAGGATGTATACCAAAGATTAGTTTAACCAGACATTTGGATATTGATTTGGTTATTCAAAGATTGAAGACTAGATTTTCAAGAGTTTCATTGCCAAAGAAATTTACACCTGTTAATATATCTAGTCCTCTTACAAGTGGAATCTAAACAAAGTTTATAAATTAATAGAACTCATACAATATACATGTCACTTTTTGTGTTCGAATTGTTCCTACAACCTTGTACTTAAACATTAAATTACTTTATTAAATTAACCTAAATATGTATAATAATAATTTATCTTTTCAGTTGTATAAATTTAGGGTAACACTAACTTTATTTCAATAGTACCACGTATTGATTACAAACTTATAAGTGTATCTAAAAATATTCTTTGAAAATCATCTTATCATAAACCCAATCACTTTCTTCATTTTTCTTTTTATATATTTTCTATTGTTTTCGTTTTTAAGCTTTTTCGTAGCTTTCCCAGTTTTCAATGATACTCTTAATCTTATCAGACTTAGTCAATTCATAAACTTCTTCGAAATATTCCTTAGTGATTTGGAATGGCTTTGCAGTCAAATTTGGAATGTACTTGTTAATTAAATCATTTGGCTTAACAGATGACTTTGGAATCTTCTTACATAAGAATCTTTGGAATGGCTTTACTCCAGACATCAAGTAAGATGAATGGAAAGGAACTGAAATACCCTTTAATGGAATAACAGCGAATCCTCTCTGTAAATCAATAGGTTGTTCTTTAGCAAGAGATTGCTTAGAAACTTCGTCGATGATCTCCTTTAAGTGTTCCTTAACATCTTCAATAGACATTGTTGCTTGTAATTTAACAATGTCAATCTTGTTCAATTTAATAACATTCAAGACATTAGTGATGGTGTCCAACGCTCTCAAGTCACCAGCAGCGACATATTGAGTATTTTCAACATTGTAGTTCACAATTTCCAATAACCAGCCAGTCTTTAAAGAGACTTCATCGATAACAAATCTCAAGGCACTATCATTGAAAGTTGGGCTAACTCTGGTTGGGTTAATAGCAACCATACCATAGTTTGATCTTCCTAAGTCATCTCTTGGGACAGCAACTTGCATAGTCATACCACGATAGAAGACAACATCAACTAAAGATTCGATAGGCATAACGTTTGCCAATGAAGATAATGCTGAGTATTCACCTAATGAATGACCTGCAAACATTATATCAGTTGGAACTAATCCCTTGGATTTGATATCTTCATAAGATGCCTTTTCCATTAATGTCAAAGCAGGTTGGGTAAATTGAGTGGCAGATAACAAACCGGTTGGTGAGACGAAAGTATGAGATGTGGTAGTGTGGTCAATATCCTTGAAAATCTTTTCAGATTTAATTGAACCATCCTCACCAATAGTTTCGAACATCATACCAATATAGTTTTCTCTGATCTTTCTACCCTTGGCACCACCGAAGTGAATTATTAATTCATTTGGATTATTCTTCACAATGTCCAAAATGGAGAAACCATAGTTTGCAACAAAATGACGATCAGCCTTGTCCCAAACCTCACGGGCAACTTCAGATGATTCATACAAGTCCATACCCATACCTTGTTCTTGAGAACCTTGACCAGTGAAGACGTAAGTAGTAATTGGTTGTTCAATTTCAGCTTCACCTTCCAAGACAACTGAGTCATTTTCCACATTCTTGGTTTGAACCTTTATGATCTTACGACCATTGATCATACCAGTGTGCTCCAAGGTAGTTTGTAAGGTATCATTTGGTAAAACCATTCCAACGAAGTTACTCTTGAAGGCTCTAACTCTTGAGGCAACATTATTAGCGGCCCATTCTTCAACCAAAGATCTAATTGAGGCTGATGAGTACATACCATGGGTGATGGTACCAGGTAATTTGGCATAGCTTGCGAAGACTCTAGAGACGTGAATTGGATTGTAGTCACCAGAAACCTTGGCGTATGGAACATTAGTACCAGGAGCCTTTGAAGTTAATTCTTCACCAGAAGAGATTGGAATAGCATTTTCGAAATTAATTGCTTGTTCAATTGTAGTACCGTTTCTACTCAAGTAGTCAGTCACAGGATTTCCGTAAGATTTACCAGCTTCGTATTCAATTAAACCGATTTGGATGATTTCCTTAGTTGGCAATTCAATGAAAACTTGACCAACTGTTTCGATCGATGAATATACTTCTGCAGACTTAAACTTGTATGTGGATTCACAACGGAAAGTCAAAGTTTGATTCAACAAATCAATTTCCTTTTCTAAATGGAACCATTCTTTGGATCTCAAGATAGCTAAATCCTTAGGGGTCTTCAAGGAAACTTGGACTGGAGTTTCGGTTACCTTTTGGAAGGTATTTTCGAAATCAACATATTCACCACGGTATAAGAATTGGGATGTGACTTCCATAACTGGTTCCAGTTGTCTGTAAATGGTACCAACAACTTCAACTAATTTGCCAGATGGTTGATTTAAGACTGACTTTATCACAGCCTTGGAGGAGACTAAATCATCTTTCTTTAATGGTTCAGCACCAACTATCATTCTATAACCGTTGGATAAATGAACTAATTTCAATAAATCACCATCGACGCTCTTTGGGAATATGGCCTTCATAATTGCTTTCCATCCAATAACAATGGCGAAATCCATAGGAGCCAATGTCTCCTTTCCTTTTCTTGGGACAAATGCATCACACTTGTTACCAATTGCATGAGTAAATTCAGCAATATCTTGACCAGTAATACTGATTTCTTCACCATTAATAGCCTTTTCAACATCAATGTCAAAATCAACTGGTACACTTGAACCGAACCACAATTTCCAGTAGAACTCCTTAATTCTGTCATTTCTGTTCTCCATTACTTCCAAAACTGGTGCGAATCCATCAGCTGGAGTGTAGTTGAATAAGAAAGGTAAAGCAACAGGTTTAGAATCAGCAGTTCTGTGTTCAATTAAAGAGAATTGAATTTGATCTTTCTTTGCCAATTTGATTTCGACTACCGGCTTCAAGTCACCATTTAATGATTCAAAGACAGTTAATTTAGTCTTAGCAGAATCATTAATATTTTCGACTTCGACAACAGTATTAATAGCTGGAGCTAAAACATCATGTACTGGATTTGCGACATGGTTACTTCCTTGGACAATTCTGTCACTTGAAATGAAAGCATGCAACCAGTTTAATTCCTTACCGGCTAACAATTTGAACCATTCTTCTTTGTTTGGTAAGTTGGAACCTATGCTGTAGATGGTTTTTCCAGCTTTATTTACGATCGAAACACCTGATACTTGCTTGACGTCGTAAGCTTTTTTGCTACTAAAGTATTCAACAACTGGAATGGATTTTTCATCGCCATTGTATTCATCCTTAAGTAAACGCTTGATATGACCGTCGTGAATAGAATCCAAAATCTTCTTGATTGGCTCATTAACTTCATTGGTGAATTGAGCAGCAACTGGGCCATGTAAGATACAAGTTCTTTGGACGTCCTCATCAACAACCGCTTCTAAATCTTCAGATTGCCATAATGAATCTTTCTTGAAGTAGAATTCAAATTTATCATCTAATACTGGGACAAAAGGAGCAGGCTTTTGAGTTGGTCTAAAAGCCAACATTAAGAAGTGATCGGTATCTTCTTGACTGATGAGCTGTTCTCTAGCAAGAGGGAATGCATCGAAAAATGATTCATTGAATTCAAATGGCTCATTTAGTTGGGCAAAGTTTTGAACCAAAGAGATTGAATTAGACTTGGTAGTAAATCTTTCTTCGATTCTTCTCAAGAAATCACCGTAGAAATTTCTGAGAGAGAGATCAATCCATCTGTTAGATTTCTTGACGTACATTAATTCAACCATTCTAAGAGCAACTTCTTCATAAGTCATTTCTTCAAGGTCACAGACACCTTGCTTGTTCTTACCGAACCAAACCTTTTGGAAATCCTTATTCAATTTCTTGATAATGTAGTCCTTCTTCTTTTTCAATGCTTCAAGTAGTTTGTTTTTTGGTAAGGAGAAAATAGTGTCATCCATTTCTTTCCAGAACATTACACCCCTGGTAGCAATTTTATGGATTGGTTCTCCCATTTCAGATCTGACGGTTATAATACCACCAGTTGGCTTCTTATAAGTGCTTTCCCATTTGTCATCTGGAACACCAGAACAAGAAGCAATGGCCTTTTTGGCATCTAAAGAAGTATGAGCTTCCTTAGCAGTCATGACTCTGGATCCAAACAATACACCATCGAATGGCATAGAAGGGTAGTTGTACTCTTGGGACCATTTACCAGTCAAGTATGGATAAGTGTCCTCATCTGAACCGAACCCTGAGCCTGCCACTAAAATAATGTTAGAACATCTTCTGATCTTAGAATACATCTGCAAGATTGGTTGATGGAAATCTTCGAAAGAATGGTGACCCCCACCTCTACCACCAGTCCATTGTAAGACGATTGGGAAATTTGGATGAGCCTTTGCAATGGTAATACATTGAGAAATAGCATCCACGGAACCTGGTTTCAAACCCAAATGAGTCAATCCTAATGTTTCAATATATTCAGTTGCCACTTCAATTGATGGGACACCTGCACCGATAGACATAGATTGAATTGGGAATCCTCTTTCTCTTAAGGACTTGATCAATGGAATACCCCATTGTAACATTCTAGGGTTAACATAAATTAAATTGATGCCAATTCCAGAACCTGGTGTTACATTTTTAGCGACTTCAGTTAATGCAGCTTCCATTGATGGGCCGTTGAAATAACCACCTCCAGCTAATTCAATGTGGTAACCAGCATTAATTGTAGCAGCAACAATTTCAGGGTTGACAGTAGTTGGAGTCATACCTGGAACCATTAATGGTGCTCTTCCTAATAACTTTGAGAATTTAGTGTCAACTAAGACTTTACCGGTAGAGGTTTTAACTAATTTTGGTTTGTACTCTTCTAACCAATTAGCTGCCCATTTAATAGAAAGAGGATCCTGGTTAAATAATTCTTGCTTGAAGCCATATTCATCATCAGCAGCTTGGATGTCCAAAGTACCTGCAATGATGATTCTGGAACCAGTACCTTCCTTGTTTCTATGGGTCAAAACACCTAAACCAGATACACCACCTGGACCAAAATCCAACAAGTGAGTTGAAGGAAAATCGGTAGCCTTTTCCCAATGAACAGGCAATTGAGTAATGCACTTAACTACTCTAGCGGCAATTGATTCCTTCTTGTAGTCTTGGAAATTTGAACCATTGAAAGTATCATAGACTGGAATTTTGATATCAGAAACTTCCCATTCCAAGTCTTCGTTGTTTGCTAAATCATCCAAAATTAAATCAGTAGCATTGTTCAATAAATGAGAGTGGAATGGAGAGAAAATTGGTAAAAATCTGTTTGAGAATTTCAATTTCCTTTCCAGGAAAGGAATTCTTGATTGTTCTAAACCTGAAGCAGCCTTATTGTTTCTCAAAGTCAAGTTTAAACCGTATAAAGATTCTGGAGGACCAGAAACAACCAAGTTTCTGGCACCGTTGATCAAGGAAATGTCAATGTGCTTATCGACAGGTAAATGCTTGTTAGTCTGGTCAATGAAGGATTGTACTTCTTCAATAGATAAATCTCTAATGGACAACATTGGAGATGGTCTACCTTCACCGTTGGCCAAAGAGTCTTGTAACATAGTTGGAGGTAAAGTAGTTCTTGGGTATGTTTGTAAGCATCTGGAACCAATGTAGAATAATAAAGAAATAGCCTTCAACGAATTTTCCAAGAAAGAATCCCAAGAATCAGAAGAAGAAATGGCAATTGCAGTAACTAAACCTTGGGAGTGGCCAGTAGTACCAGCCAAATATTGTCTGAATTCACCAGGAGTCAAACCTAAGATTTTACAAGTGATGGCATAATGACATAATTGGATAACACAGATCAATGGACATGAAACTGGAACTGATAACAAGTAATCTTGAGATGGGGTTTTGTCTTCTGAAGATAACCATTCTAAGATATTGAAACCCTGGGTATAAATCTTGTCTGTGTTTGCAGTAGACTTAACCAATTGCTTAACCTTGTTATCGATTTGCTTTAAAATTGGAGAAACCAATCCATTGTAAGTGTTGTATAATTCTCTCAATTCTTCAAAGTAGTCGTCAGTGTTACCTTGACCACCGAAAATTGCAACAATCTTGGCATTTTTGTCATTGTACACAACACTCGAGTTCTTCAAGAGAGACGATTCCGTCTTTTCGAATTTATTATTGGAATTAATCAAAGCTTGGATGTAGCTCTTTACTAATTCTCTAGCCTTTATGAGTGTGGTTGGGTAAACATCTTCGTCTTTCAAGAGACTTGCAGCGAAAGTGTGGATTTCTCTCTTGGAAAGATATCTGGATTCGAAATCGTGCAATGTAAGGGTCAAAACCTCATCGAATTGACCATTTGGAGAGTTTGGATCAACCAAATCAGCAACGTAGCCCAAAAATTTTCCCAATAATTCAGCAGGAGATGATGGTTCGTTGTCTCCTGCAAAGCCTTCGGTTGGTTCAGGGAGAGTCTTAGCGAATTGATCCTTCAATTGAGAAAACTTGAAAAAGCTTGCAGTTGGAACGAGTAAAGTATACTCAATGGATCCGTGCACCAATGAGAATGGTCTATGTGTAGTACTCATGATAATATTAGTATTATGAAAGGAGGCAAGAAAAAGTCTTCGTTTGGTAAAATTAAATCAGTGAATTGCTGAAAAAGTGGATTATGTACAGCTAATTGGGTTGTTTTCTTGAAATTTCAAACTTTTCAGTGTAATTTTGAAAATTTATCAAATAATAATGTCCTTTGGTGGTACGTGACGATATTACTCTGGTTTAAATTTTTCAAAAAATAGCTTAGCTTTTGCAACTTTCGGTAGACAAAAGAACTATAAGTAAGTCAGGGTGATTAAAACTTCGAAAAAAATGAATAGGAATACAATTGAACAACAATATACTTCTTAAAGATTTTCCTTTTTTGGTTTTTTTTCGTCTAGAGCCAATCGTTTTTGTTTATATATAAATTGAAATTCAATAAGCTCCGAAGCAGTATCGAATCGTACTGATGTTTTGGGCTTTTGGGTTTTGCAGCACAGATTTCTCAAAAAAAAATTTAATGTTGGGCTGTTGGTTCGGACTGCAGATTAAGCGGATTATTAGAGTAATTAGGTTTAGAGGAACGCACAAATTGCACGGAGTGAGGATTGGAAAATATATTGGGGAGAGCCGCCGAGATTACCCTAGATCGAGAGAATTAGGTTATAGTAGCCAATAAGTTTCTTTTTTTTCGTAATTTTGGTGGTGTAGCCCCTTTCCAGACGATTTGTAGGCCTATTAGGAGCTAAGGGGCAGAATATATATTGGGAAGAAGGTGTGGAATGGAAGTGTCTAGCACTCTATGAGCTACTTGGTGAAGCACACTAAGGATCGCTCTGGTGCCAAAAATGCAACAAAAAATTGCAAAAAAAAAAAAAAAAAAAAAAAGATGTGCTGAAGAACGTGATGCTTATTACAGAGGTTGCAACTGGCTAGGGGCCAGCTGGGGCCCAGACAGAGACACCCTTCACTCTATCTACAAAGCAGCCCAGACCACAACCACACCAACACCCAAAGTTAAACCCACACCTTGCTAACATACGATGCTCCCACGTTTGGTTGAGATCACAGCTCAGGAATGCCAAAAAAAAGTAGTAAGGTCAACATCCACCTTTCTCAATCTTTTTTGTTATCATTCCTACACTTTGTTTCTATCTGGTTCTACGTGCTTAACTCCATCAAGATTTAAAGTACCTGAATCTCAATTTAATGGAGCGGACAAAGGCAAAGTAAAGTTTAAAAAAGAAAAAGAAAAAAAAAAAAAAAAAGGTTAGCCAAAAGAAATCTGATACTGTTGGGATTTGCGTGTGTACATGCAGCCCTGGTCGCCAACATTGACCTTCTACTAGAAAACCCAGGCCAATTTTTGTGAGCCGGTTATATGCAGTATTCAGTAGAGGATATACACCCGCACAAAGGCTCTTGGAGATCTACGATCTCTGAGCTGATTGTATGCAGTCTGTGGTTTTGTACCTGCACACAGAGGGGCACATTTTGCTGCTACAATTTTTTTTTTTGTGAACTTTTCATTCATTTCAATTACGTGGTGCAGGCAATCCTGCAGGTGCTGATGCTGCTCTTTGGATGGCCTTGGGGAACTCTCGTACTATGATCTCACACTTGACCTCTCTACATAAATCCTTCTTGTTATAGTATGGGACCTTTTGTAGCAACTCCAAACCTGCAGATCTCTCTAAGGCGTCAATTGGCACTTGGAACTCGGTTAAGCTCCTTGCGTTGTCAATAGGCTCATTGGGCATAACAAACGCAGCTGCTGCAATCTGCTCATCACCATTCTTCTCACCCACCACTAACTTGAAGAAGTGCGTTGGAACCGCAATGTTTGGCGGGGATCCAATGACTTCGTACGTTACTCTATATTTATCATCTTCACATAATTTTGGCAAATACAAGGGACCTGTCATGATTCTGACATTGTCATACTTTTGAGTCAATCTCCTACAAAAATCTTCGAAATGCGCCCAATAGTCTCGGTTAAATCCATCTCCAACTTGTGGAGACATGTTTGTTAGCAAGAAAGTTTCGTTCATGGTCTCCTGTGTGAACTTTGCATCTGCTGCTGGTGCCTGGTGACCTCTATCGTACCCACTTCTGAAATAATCTCTTAATCTTGCTCTGAATTTTAATGGAATAGCCTCGTCTTCTCTGAAAACGGATTTCTTACGATCCACGCCCTCCACCGACTTAATAGATTGGGGTGTTATGTGTTCCAATACCCAGTACGGGTTTCTTGTGCTTCTGTCATAGCAACTAATAAATTCATTTCTGTTTCCCAAGTCATGATTTGGGCCAGGATATCCGTATTTGAAGAAATCTTGTGGTCTAATCGTTGCTGGATCAAAAGCTCCAACGGAATTCTGGTTATTTCCTTTCGCAGGCACAATACCAGTAGAAGTAGGATTAGAAGGTGGCTGCACTGGCGATTGAGGAGTAGAAGATCTTCCCCAAAAGTACGAAGCGATCCCTACCGAACCCAATCCAAGGGTATTCAACATGAACTTGCTCATATCTATAGTACTCCGCTCACTGAATGCATTCAAGTAGTTAATCTTGAAGAACTTGTGAAATATTTTTGGCGTTTTGTGATGTGACCATTTTTCTCGGTTACGTGCTTATGTAAGCGATGCATATACAAGTATATCAAACGTTACTCTTCACAGTACTAAAGCATCTCAAGTTTATACTGCACTACAGGCGAGTTGGAAGCTCAATTTTGCTCTTATATTCGAATGTCGTACAAATCTCTATTATGTATATATTCTATTTATTCTTTTCTCTTTCTGTCTCCCTTTATATCCTTCACAGTTTTAATTACTCCAAGAAATAAAATGGACAGAATAGGACCAATCAAAGGTAAAAATACCGCCAATTTATGTTCTTGTGGGAAGTATGCCTGCTGTACCATCTCTTTCTCAAAGAATGCTCTGTTACTATACTCAACGCTAGTTGAGGAATGTTTTACCGAAAGTTCGAATTCGCCAAAGTCGTTCACTTGGGTAATCGATTCTTTGATACTGGTTAAGGTAGTCTCCACTGATTCCTTTGTCAACTCAGGAATGGAAATTTCATTCAATGCTTCAGTCAACTTTACCAAAGACATTAAGTTTTCCAATGATTGGCGCAAGTTTTTGAATGTGGTTAATCTAGACAAAGAGTCAATTCTGACAGCAAGTGATTTTGGAGCGGATGGCATACCAATTAACTGGAGCAATTGCAGCACAAATGTTTCCATTACAGGTAATAACTCCGCTTCCACAATTTTGGTAGTGTGGTCTTTCAAGATGGGCTTATCCTTATTGAAAACGTAAACACCTCCCCACTGTGGCACTAAAAATGAATTCGTCTTGGACTGGGCAATTTTCAACTGTTTTCCACGGTAACTGGACTCTCCAAAGTATACTATAAAGTTTATCGTTGGAGTAATCTCATGTGTGATCAAATTCCAATCCCCAAAGTTAATGAATGTAGATAAATCTTCTTGCTTGATTTCGTAAACTGACTTTTCCTGGTTAAATGTAGGTTGAATAGTCAACGACGAATAATATTGAATCTGGCTGCTAATTGTAAAGTTGGCAATATGGTTTAATTTCTGGAAAATTGGTTTGAAAAGCTTGGAAACCTTGCCAATCTCCCAATCAATTGGCTGTCCAGATTCACTGAAAAGTGAGAAGACAACGTTATAATTGGAAGAATATGGTAGCGCAACGGCGTGGGTTCCGTCTTCATGCAAGGTGTTACGTATCAACTTTACAAATGAAGTGATTTCTTCATGGAAGATGCCTTCAAGCAAGATAGACACCAACTCGTCTTGGTTATACTGGGCATACAAGGTGGTCTCCTTGCTATAAGGAGAAACCACGTACTTTTGACCTGATTCTCCTTGCTGTTGCTGCTGTTGCAGGCCCCTCACTATGTAGTCCACCGTGGAGTCAATATCACCTTGATACTTTGCAAAGCCCAAAGACCAGAAATTGTATAACTCTGGGTACTCCAGGTACAACTTAGAATTGAAGGAGTTCTGTAAGCCATTAATTTGATCTGTTTCCAATCCCAAATCTAAATACACTGGAATCTTGAAATGTAACTTATCTTGAAGACCAGAGGCTAGCTCCGATATCTCTTCTATCGGCAATTCTGCCCTATATATAGTAGTGGTTGAGAAGTACAATGGTAAGCCGAGCGACACCACAAATATGAGAAGTACACCCACGGTTATTCTTCTCAAAAACGTTATCCTAGGCTGTTCTGCCTTAGTTATTAACGAATCAGCCATGGTGAGACTATTATCTAAGAAGTCCGTCACTGAAGGAAAGAGTAAATGTGCACGTACGTGTTCGATCTGAGTTGTTGTTAGGACTGATTTTTTTCACGCTTCTCCATTTGTAACCATTGGTTTGGTCCTGCATGTAGTGCAGTATGGTTCTCGATGTTTGCTCCATCTTGGGCTGCTTTTCACCACTAATAGTTCCTCTTTGCTTTCTTCTTGTTTAACTATTTTTTGGTAGAAGTGTAGCAATGTTTAAGAAGCATCCTGATCCCAAGGCATCTGCCAATATAAAGTCTTCCGAGAGGAGGAAATTGCTTTCCAATATTTGCAATTTGTACCTGATTCCTCAGCATCAGATTTCTCGAGAAACTGAGCAAAGAATTCTACCATTGACAACCAAACAGGCAACTTTTAAATCGCCACAGGGCTACAGTGGGACCATCTACTATAACGAGAATGAAACGCCTACTTGGTTCAAATCCAGAGATAGTCAAATATATCCTTCTTTGTTCACTTTGTGGAATGCTCCGTTCCTTTTACCGACCATTAAGACCCACCCGCATGTGATCCAGATATTGAGTGGTGGCGCAGATTTGATGCTCCCAGGGACTATACCACCATTTGACGATAGAGCCGTTAAGGGATCCATTGTGGGGATTGTTGATAGTAAGAACCCAACGGTCATAAAGGCAGTTGGAAGATGTAAGTTGAATATGACCCAGTTTGACAACGTCATTGGAAGAACTGGGATTGCGGTAGAAGTGTTGCATAGTATTGGCGATGGCTTGTATGACTTAAACAAACTTGTTGACATAGAAGTGCCAGAAGAGCTTGACACCGATATCCCAATAGAAGAGAAAGAACAAGAGGAAAATGAGCATGACAGTGGGGAGGTACAAGTTGGTGAAACTCAAGTAGAGCCAGAAGTAGAAGAAGTCCAGGAAGCACCATCTAGCGCCGATAATGATGACAGCGACTTGGCTGAAAAACTAGCAGAGCTTTCAGTTGACCAAGTGGATAATTTCTTTAAAAGAGCCATGATTCAAGCTATCAAATTAGACACTATTGAGCTCCCCATTTCTTCTTCCAATTTCATGTCAAATCACGTTTTAAAAAACTTGCCTCCCATATCTCCAGAACTTTGTAATATCAAAAAAACTTCATGGAAAAAGACGATCAAATTCTTGAAAGCAATGGAGAAGTCGAAATATATCGTTACTAGAAAGAAAGGAGAAGATGTTGTTATTGACAATTTAATGGATAAGTCCAACCCTGAAATTGTTGAATTTATAACTCACAAAGTAGCTTCAAATGCTGTCAATAGTAAACCAACCCCATCCAAGAAAGATAAATCTAACGAGTTTCAAGTTGTCAACCTATACAAGCCAACAAATAACTCTAGAATATTCTTCAACAAAGTGGATGCAGACTATAACAAATTATATAAGTCCCCAGAGTTGAAAGTACTCTTGGAGAAGTACATTAAGCTTCAAGACCTTCCACATAAGAAGCAACCAAAGAATATAGTTCTTGATGATACGTTAAATACAGCAACCAAGTTGGGTTTGGGTGTTTATCCTAGAGATAAAGTGTCGAAGCTGTTTATCGACCACTTGTCGCCATTTCATGTTATTTTAAAGCCTGGAGAAACTCTGACAGAGGGCTTGGAAAACTCTCGCTTTACCAAAGGTTCTCCACCAAAGATATCTATCATCACTGATATGAAAATAGGAAGAAAAATTGTCACAAAGGTTACTCATTTTGAACAATTTTACATTAAACCGCACATCTTGGCAGATGAGTTAAAGGTCAAATGTTCAGGCTCTGCCACCATAGCACCCTGCATTCAAAATCCAAATTTGATTGAAGTTACAGTGCAGGGACCACATGGAAAACTTATAACTGAAATGTTTCAACAGAAGGGAATTCCATCGAGTTTCATAGAATTCCAGGATAACGTTAAAAGTAAGAAGAAGAGAAAGTAGATTAGATACTAGACTTAGAATAGACTTAGCGTAGGTTAATAGAATGTCTTCAGCAAAATTACGTAGTAGGTTTCTCCCGTTTAGCTAGAGCAATATGCAGAATCCTTCGCATTGGTGATTCAAAGTTCAGTGTTCACCCATTTCAATTTGAAATTTGCTCTTCTACGAATTATCCCAAATCCATAGAGCCATTCTACCACTGGCTTCTCTCCTAACATCTGTTACCTAGGAGTATCTAGGTATCGAAAAAAAAATACAGGTCGTACCCGGATTCGAACCGGGGTTGTCCGGATCAAAACCGAAAGTGATAACCACTACACTATACAACCACTGATTGTTTCAAAGGTATTTGCTGTCTCATCCTTAGATATAGAGGAAATCACTCCACGGAAGAGAATCCCCTATGTCTATACTCAGCATATTTGAAGTTGACATGTCGTGATATGTCTGTTTCTTTTAAATGTAATCAGTAAGGAGACATTTACAACTATCATGCTTAAACTTTGCCAATTTTGCAGCAATATCGAAAGAGGAAAAGTTCCTGTATGTAAAATTCTAAGCCTCTGGAATGAAGCATATGTGCATAAGCTAAGACTTAATGTACTTGATAGGCACATGAGATTTACATGAGATTCATTGGAATCTCTTTTGTCAGATGAATTAGAATGGATTGATCGAGGATTATTGGCTAATTGTCTATGAGATGCTAATAGTGGTGCCTCCATTTCTTCCCCTTCTCAAACTAGTGCTTTCGCGCTGTGCATGTAGTATTATATTTGGATGGAATTAAGAGAGAGGGCTACATGCTGATGATCGGAAAATTTCTTACATTGCCTATCACCAATTATTTATGTTAAGCTGTGATGCCTCTATTATGGCATGGGGTGAAAAATAGAGCTACTTAGCATAATCAATTCTTAATGCCAGATAGTAACATATTGGTAAGGACTCCTTGTGACTTAGGCATCTTTAATTCGTATAGTCGAGGATAAGAGAGGTGCGTGAGAGGGCTGCAGAGGCTGCAGCCGATGGTTGTACAGAGAGTAATAACGGAAGGGAGAAAGAAACAAATATCAAGTGAATTCCTCTAGGTTAATTGTTGTTTAATGTGTAGCATTCAGTTCACGGTAATACCACCCCATTTATATCCCTTTCGGCCCAATTCCTACCATTATTGGATATAAAATAAAACATAAAAAATAAAAAAAATAAAAAAATAAAAGAAAATAAAAAGAAACTAAGACTCTCATGCAACATATTCATAGTAAACACAGCGAGATAAGTACGAACAAATCAAAAAGAAACGGCGGAATCGGCCCTACTCCAAAGAACGACTCATGCTGGCCAAACGGAGACAGTAAAATCGTGCAATTATTTTCTAGCATGGCTCTAAGTTTACCAATTGTGATTCGAGAGATTTAAAGTTTTGACAATTATTCGGCTTTCAAAAAGTCTTGGCATCTTCAATTGATTGGTAGGACGCCCATAAAAAAATTGTGAGTTAAAGTGAAATCCGTGAGTTAAGTTTCAGCCATCTGAAGCTAGAGAATTGTGCAATTGCATGAAATGTACCGGGCAATAGATAGAACTTCAGAGTAAATTTTGGTTGAGCCGGTAAACTAATATTTTGCAGCCTTGTAAATTTTACGGACGTACTGGAAAAGTAATACGGACCAAATTTTCTTCTTGACATAAACCAAGAAGTCACGGTTAAATCCCCTGCAGTCAAGCTAGGAGTGTCAAATTAGCTTGCATTCCGTCTTCTCGTATATCTCTAATTAATCTTTCACCTTAGTGCAAAATAAAATTATCTGATGAATCTGATAATTCATTTGTCTTGGCAAAAAAATTTTTCCTCCTCTCCTCCCACTATATATATACTTTGATAATTTATCCAGACTCTGGGGTTATATGCGAAAGGACTTCTTTTTTCTTTCTCCAGAAAGTATCTCCAGTGGCTTAGTATCTTTCTAAGCATAAAATTAAGTAATCATGGTTAACGTTTTTAGTCCAGAAGTTTTCTTCATTGTCTTCAGAGAAACACTTGAAGCTGTTATCGTTATTTCAGTTTTACTTGCATTCTTAAAGAAGGGTTTAGGAGGATCCGAAAATGATCCAGCTGTTTATAAACGATTGAAGAGGCAGGTTTGGTGGGGTTCGCTCACGGGGCTTATTATCTGTTTAATTATTGGTGGTGCTTTTATTGGTACATTTTATTCTCTTGGTAAGGATATTTGGTCCAATTCTGAAGATCTTTGGGAAGGTATTTTCTGTGTCATTGCAACTATTTTAATCTCTATTATGGGTGTCGCTATGTTGCGTGTTAACAAGATGCAGGAGAAGTGGAGAGTAAAGTTGGCTAAAGCTCTTTTAACTCCACCAAAGGAGAAGAAAGATAGATACAAGATTGGATACTTGACCAAGAAGTACTGTATGTTCATCTTGCCATTTATCACAGTTTTGAGAGAAGGTTTAGAAGCTGTTGTGTTCGTTGGTGGTGTAGGATTGACTTCTCCAGCCACTGCCTTCCCAATTCCTGTTATCACAGGTTTACTTGCTGGTGGTTTAGTGGGATACTTGTTGTACGTTGGTGGTACTACTCAATCTTTGCAAATATTCTTAATCTTCTCCACTTGTATCTTATACTTGATTGCTGCTGGGTTGTTTTCCCGTGCTATTTGGTACTTCCAAATGTACGTTTTCTCCAAGAAGACCGGTGGTGATGCGGCTGAGAATGGATCTGGTCCAGGAACCTACAACATTCACCAAATCGTATGGCACGTCAACTGTTGCAACCCGGAAACCGATAACGGTTGGGATGTCTTCAATGCCTTATTAGGATGGCAAAACTCTGCCACCTATGGTTCTGTCTTGTCTTATGTTATTTACTGGATTGCTCTTATTGTTGTCTTGTTCCTTATGTTATTTGAAGAAAAGCACGGTCACTTACCATTCACCAAGGACTTCACCTTGAGAAAGTTGAACCCAATGTACCACATCAAGAACAAGAAGAAGAACGAATTGACCAAGTCTGAACAAGATGCATTATTCGCCAAGTTACAGACCCAGAAGATCGGTGTTGAAGACGAACCAGAAGTTGAACTTGAAAGAGTTTCAACCGGTGCTAAGAAGTAATCAATTCTGATGCACTACAAGAATGAAAATGTAAATTTTTCACAAGAGATTTACGATTTAATTTTCTATCATACTACAGATAGGGGCCATTTGGTACGAAATTCGAAGGATTCATGTAAATACACACACACACACACATAGATATTGGATTCTTCGAAGTTTGTTTCAGATTCCCCTTCTTGGTAATCTATTTTTATAATTTTTGGGATATAATGGGACTTTTTTTTTTACATAGTCGGTAATTTTTTGTTTATAATATACAAAAGGACACTAACAAAACTAATGGAGATTTAAGTGGTGTAGATATAGCTAATGGATTCTTCAAAGGTTTGGATAGTATCTCCAAGTCTTTCGCAAATTGTTTCTGTTGTACTGCTGATTCGGAACTGGCGGCCTCACTATAAAGACGAGGGCTTACATGATTTTTCAGTCCATTAGAGTTTATCTAATCGTAACTAAACGAAGGCAAGTGGGAACAGTTTTCTTATTTTCAGTGCGTTTTCGCAACTTTCAGGAACAAAATAGCTTAAAAGGAATACGGTTGTCACTACACTCAATTTTTTCCTCTGCTGAATATCTTCAGTCTACATCTAGCTCTACAAGAACAGAAGCGAACAGAGACAGATCTAAGTGCAATTCATTCACAATTCTCTTCTCTCAACACATATACTACTCTCAGAATGTTGCATATTTTAACTTTAAGGTTGTCGCATTTTTTAGAAGTTGGCAGATTATGCAAGAGAAGAACTTATGAGTGAGCAGATTGATGGCCATTGAAAGTGAAGGATTACCGATATAAATAATTCAGAGTAAAGATATAATGCACACAAACGCTCACAAATGTCCCCACACATCTGGTATTTCCGAATCTTGCCATATACCTCGCCATTGTCTATACTAATTGGCTAGTGGTTGTGACTTTCGGTCCTGCCAACTGCTTCTGTCAAGACGTTCCCCCATGTCATAATATGCGCAAATTGCGAATTCTCCATCTCCACACTTTTCTGTGCATGATTTAGCTAAAGGTAAACACGATTAATAATAGGTTACTGTGTGTTTCCTAACAACCATACATACATGTAGCTATGAAATCGTGATTTAGTATATGGAGGTCAGATTGCGATTTCATGACCCCTTTAATGCTAGCGTTAATCTTGAATTTCTCATTTATGAATTCGTCTTTTCTCCTTGCATTACATTCAGTAGGTAGCATTACACTCTAAGTAAAAGTAATCTTTGTATAATTATGGATGATATACCATTAGTTGTGGCTTCAGCCCAGTACAACAGTGCAGATGAAGAAGATATCCCACTTGTTGCCAAAAAATCGCACGCTTCTAAAGCTTCTGTATACTCTCTCGAGTCGATTGAGGAAGTTGATGATATAAATCCATTCCTTGACCCCGACGTCGCCACTTATTATAGGCAAGTCTATGACCAATCCCAATACGAGTGTAGGGCTTACTTCGATCCGGAATTGAGGTGGTCCAAAGAAGAGGAGAAGGATGTTCTTGGTAAACTTGACAGGAAAGCGGCATTGTTTGCCTGTATAATGTTTATAGGATTACAAATCGATCGAGGTAACCTAGGACAAGCTGTAAGTGACAATATGCTCAATGACTTGAACTTAACCACAGACGATTATAATACTGCTAATACTATATTTCTAATTATGTTTATATTAGCAGAATTGCCATCGCAATTGATATCCAAGTGGATGGGTCCCGATAGATGGATCCCATTGCAGATGATATCATGGAGTGTTATCGCATCTTTGCAATCATTTGTGACAGGCAAGAAGTCATTCTTTCTTGCAAGGGGATTGACCGCATTATTGCTGGGAGGATTCATCCCTACTATGGTACTTTGGTTGTCGTATTTTTATAAGTCTTCGGAACTCCCACTCAGATTATCATGGTTCTGGACAACTTTATCTCTAGTTCAAATAACTACATCAATTTTAGCATTTGGCATACTAAGATTGCGGGGCCTCTTAGGGTGGGAAGGGTGGAGATGGCTATTTCTCATTGAAGGTGGCTTTACATTCATAATTGGGATCTGTTCCATTCACATGATGGTCCCTTCGATTGTCCATACTAGAACATTATTCACGCCTAGAGGATGGTTCAACGGTAATGAAAGGGAGCTCAAAATTGCAGTCAACCGTATTTTAAGAGACGATCCTACCAAAGGAGACATGAATAACCGCCAGTCCATAAGTCTTGCTGCTACATTGCAATCATTATTGGATTACGATTTGTGGCCTGTGTATTGTATTGGGCTAATTGCGTACATTCCAACAAATACGGTGAGCAATTACTTGACCATTACATTGAAAAATCTTGGCTGGTCCACCTTCAATGTCAACTTGTTGACTATTCCGCATAACTTATTTCACATCGTTATGTTGCTTGGTGTGACCAAGTTTTCCGAAAGATTGAATGAACGTCTGTTGATTTCCTTATTGGTCCCGCTTTGGTTGTTACCATTATTGGCCATTTTGTGCTGGTGGGAAGGCTCTATGGTGAACGCTTGGGGAACCTGGGTCTTGTGTAACCTTATCTTAGGTGCTCCTTATATCCACGCCATCTGTGTGTCATGGGTTTCAAGAAACTCAGGCAGTATAAGAACCAGGTCCGTCTCGTCTGCTGTGTACAACATCTGTGTACAGGCCGGAGGAATAATTGCAGCAAACGTTTATAAGTCCGATGACGCACCTTTGTACAAAAGAGGAAATTTAAGACTATTCTGGATTTCTTTTACGTTGATTCCATTGTTATTAGGGACTAAGTGGTACTATACATGGAGAAATGCCACCAAGGAGAAGATATGGAATTCCATGAGTCCCGAGCACAGGTACATTTATATGAACAAAACAAGCGAGGAGGGAAACAAGAGGCTTGATTTTAGATTTGCAAGCTGATACATGACGCCAAGCGTAAAGCTACAGTGACAGAGAGAAATAGAGATAGAGCTAGAAGAGGGAAAGTGAAAGTAAGAGTGAGAGTGAGAGTGAGATTGAAGCAGATTGAAAGTGAGACTGAAAATGAGAGCGAGAACAACTATATATTAAGCATTTAGCCACTTAGATAGCATTTTATTAACATCTACAAGAAAAAGAAGAAAAAGCCAGTAGACTAATGAAAACCGATCTGGCCCGATATGCCACCTTCACGCTAGTTAAGCTTCAGCCTTCCTTTCTTTTTTTTTTTTTTTTTATTTTTTCTTTTCCTGTTTCCTCCATTCTAGGTAACGTGACTCAATATAAAAAAATTTCCATTTGTGAAAATTCGCTTATGATTTTAGATCCAAAAAGAAAACAGAGGACCGTTAACTTGATAACTTGAATAGTAACGTAAACAATTCAGCCATGGATCGCTATGAGAATGCATATTTGGAGGAAGATTTACCTCAGCAAAGTGGACAAAATATTGTAGATGAGGAAGAACTTTTGGCAGCTCAGGCAGCTGCAGAAGCTGCGGCAGCCCAGCAACTGCAACAACCTGGTGGTGCGTTCAATAACGTTGGACAAGGTCTTACTGGAAGGTATAGGGATATGATGATGCAATATTGGCAAGAGACAATTAATTCTATTGAGCACGACGAGCACGACTTCAAAAACCACCAACTCCCCTTGGCTAGAATCAAGAAGGTAATGAAGACCGATGAAGATGTGAGGATGATCAGTGCCGAAGCTCCAATCTTGTTTGCCAAAGGTTGTGATATTTTTATTACTGAACTTACGATGAGAGCATGGATCCATGCAGAGGAACATAAAAGACGTACGCTACAGAAGTCCGACATTGCTGCTGCCTTGACTAAAAGTGATATGTTTGACTTTTTAATTGACGTGGTACCAAGGGAAGAAGAGAAACCCAAAAAGTCGTACTCGACGCAAGCTAGAACAACAACTTATATGCCACCTTCTGTGGGCGTCCCTGCACCAGGGGTTTCTGTTGGCGGAGGAGCTCCTGGCCCTACTCCAACCAGTGTACCCCACTACAAGAATGCTCCATCACCTATCCCAGCGGGAGCTCCCAGATTAACTAATGGAATAGAGAAGGATCCTACAAACGATCAGTTCCAGCAGCAGCAGCAACAAAACCTATTACAACAGCACTTGCTTCAGCAGCAAATGATACACCAGCAACACCTCCAGCAACAGCAACAGCAGAAACAGAATCAGCAACTACCACAAGAAACTTCACAGCAAGTGCAAGGGAACACATTGGTTACTCCAACCGGAGGGCAGGGCCAAGTGAACTCGCTTGGCAATCAGCAGACTCGTGTGCATCCTACGATGCAAGGAGTTGAAGACGATGAGGCGAAACCAAAGATCGAAGAGAATGATAGCATTCCCAACGACTCAGACGCTGAGAACTATACAGGGTTTCAGAACTTCAATCCCGTATACCTGGATTATTCATAAAAGGTGCTACCTTACGGGGGAGAGTGAGAGAAGGAGGAAAAGAAGAAGAAGAAGAAGATAGAAAGAACAGGGTTACAAAAGAAGGGTCAATCAACGTGAAATGGTAAGAAAAGTTTTATATATGTATTATTAGACGTACAGGCAGAACAAACTGTATATTCAAGATATATTTCAAGTATTAGAATGGTCCATTGTAGTTGTTGAGGTTACGAGTCCGAGGGTCGGGATTATCGCCAAGAAAAAAATTGGAACTGAAAAATTACTGTCTATTGATCTTATGCTCTATTACAGCTACATGGTTTAGGGATTAGTAGCGGTTGAAGAAGAATATAGGACACCACTAGCAGACCAAGACCAGGACTATGACAATTTTCAGCTTTCATAAAATTTCACTTCTAATCTCGCTTTTAATTTCATTCTTCAAAATTTCACTTACCTTTCCCCTTTTTGGCCATATTTCATGTCTTGCCAATTTCTATCCACCAATATTCCGACTCACTTCTTCCTATTTCATCTGAGTATTCAATTCCTCAGCATCAGTATCGCACCTTCCGCACACTTGGTCTTTTTTCCGGCCCAAGGTGGAAGTGTGGAACTTCGCTTAGTCTGTGGTGGAGGGGAGAGCATGCCCCATCTTTCTTTTTTCCCTCTATCCCCGATCGCATTAAAGTTTAGTAATTACCCTTTGGAATATTATTAAAAATCGAGCATTTTGAATCATGCCTGTATTTGGAGCAACCCTTCTTCTCAGTTGATTAGACGGATTACGTGAGAACCGGGTTTTAGATTGCTCTTTTTTGTGGTGCTAACCTTTCAACATAATATAATCATATCCTTACACACATACATAGTGATTTTGAAGTGATTTTGAGTGTGTGGCTAGATCGAAAGGATTCTTGATTTGTTCCACTTTACATTAGCAATACCCCACCAATTGTTGCTTGCTACCTTTTCTTTTTCATATAGAGTTTTTTATTTTTCACAAGACGTACATTAACAAGAGATTATGATAAGCTACTTCACAAAGGTAAGCAGGGCAACAGAACGCGATTTACCAAAGCAATTCATAAATTACAGTACACACATCAAAGGTACAACCACCAATATCTCTACCCCTATTAAAATTTCCCAAGCATATAAATACTCCACCAGTTTCCTTCATAGACCCAGCACCAAAAATTTCCGAAATATCCAGAACCATCAATTGATCTCCAAAATGCCTTTAATGACAATTTCTCAATCCCTTGACGAATCCTATACCAAGCATAAAATTATCCCTGAAGTAGTTGATACTTTTGATACTCAGGGACTACTCACCATCGAGTATGGTGAAAATGCCCACGTCGCCCTTGGGAACACTTTGAAAGTCAATGAAACTCAAGAGAGGCCCGTCATTCAATTCACCTTGAATTCCCCTGGCCAGGAGAAGGAATTGGAAATCTCGACTTCCGACAAGTTTGCTCTCGTTCTCACGGACCCAGATGCTCCTTCCAATAAGGATCATAAATGGTCAGAATATGCACATTGGATTATCACCGACTTACTGTTGAACACCCAGCTGGAGGAAGATGGGTCCGCGGAATCCTTAAGTACTATTCTCGACTACTCAAAGGGAAAGGAGATCTTAAAGTACGAGGGCCCTGCCCCACCACCGGGCACTGGAAAGCACCGTTATGTTTTCTTATTATTCAAGCAAGATCCCTCTGTGAATTATGAGGCGCCTCCGGACAGACCAACTTGGGGAACCAACGTACCAGGTTCCGGTTATAGAGATTGGATTAAGAAACATGGAGGTGATCTGAAATTGATCGGAATAAACTTTTTCTATGCCGAAGACACTAGCCAAGATTAATAAGTAAGAAGAAAGTAAAATTGAAGGACTAGTAACAGAATCGATATCAAGAATCTTATGAATATATTTAAAGACAAAACTATCATTAAAGCGTGAGCTTTATTCTGTAGCAGAAGTACTTGTAAGCATCATGGGTTGGACAGTTTCCAGGCTTAGTGTTACAAGAGAAAGAAGGTCTAGCGAGCTGTTTCGATTATCTTCTTACGCAAGCATCGTGGATCTTATAACCATAGCCTTACTATCACAATAGGGATAAGTTCCAGTGAACTGTTTAGTTGGGATCTTGGCTCTTCCATATAGCCCTCCTTTAGGGTGCTAAATTGGTCTTCCTAACATTCACTCTCTACAAAAAGGGTCGTATTCCTCGATGTCTTGCTTAATGTTTTGCAGAATAATCGATTGGACTAATCACCAAACCTTTTCCTTTTCGAGCACCTCTATATATCGTCTCGATTATGTCTATCAACTCCTGCTTATCTCCCACTAGAAAGTTTAGCTTGTTGTTGTTACCAGTTCCAAAATCACACATCATGTGTTTATTTCGGTAGAAGAACATTACCGTACACGGGTCGTATAGCTCATACATGGAATTGAAATCGGGAACTTCGTCGATGTCACACAAGTACACTGTAGCAAAATTTTTTATCTTCTCGGCAATTCCAAATAGAAACTCATCCATGATCATGCACTCTCTTTCGTACACTCTACCAAATCGCACTATCACCAATCTCTCATCTTCAGAGAGTATAGCTTGATCTACATGCCATCCAGTGTGTAGATGAGGGAGAAAAACGGACCCCATACTGCCTTATATTCGGATACAAGAGTAATACGATGATACCAGTGCAGTAGACCGTGATGATCTTGCAAAGTTTCAATGCATGCAGCTCCACAGTGAATTATATGCAGGACCATCAATATCTGCAACCACAAAGAATCGGTTAGAATGCCTAACACAATCAGGGAGCAGAGTTACCTTTTTTTTTGCTTTCTGTAGTGGAAGTTCAGCTTTATTCTTCATTTTGTAAGCTCTGCTTATTATATATCCACATAAGTTTCTTCTGGCTCTCAATGTTGTTCTCAAATGAAAAAATCGAGCGAGATTTAAATCTTTTGATGAATAATTTGCAGCCACCACTTGGTATGGAAAGAGAAGAATCAATAGATCTATTTCAGAATTTAGCGATAAGCACCGAAGATCTTCTTAAAGAAGTCCAAAAGGATGCACCTTTAGAAAAAGAAAAAGAAAAAGAAAAAGAAGTCAAGGAAGAAAATAATCCTTTCCTTGAACCTGAAACATCCTCTTGCCCAGCTCGTGTAGGCTCGAAGAGTAGAAAGTCAATCACCCCCCTAAGAATACGAGAGAACATAAATCATTTTTTTGGGGTTAAGCAGGATGGAGATGAGCTACAACCAGAACCACCGGTAATCATCCCAAATTCTGTCAGCAACGAATCCTTGAACTTTGACTATATTGAGGTACCTGATTCTGATTTCCCGATTGGTCGATACGCTATCATTGAACCGAACCAACGAGTAGCCTTTATGCAGCAAATAGAAAAGATCAAAAGCCAAAATGAGTACTTCTTTTACTATAAATGGGTTCTCTGGATTCAGAACAAAGGTGAAAGTTCCGTCAATGCCGCAGGCGAAGCACTCAGTGCTGAGAAGATCATTGAAACCAACTTAGACTTAAAAGTAGCTTCTAAGTTTTACAAGAAGAAGTTGAAAGAAGAAGACGGAACATTGATTTTCATGAAAATGGGTATGCTCCCCAATAAGAAGTCACCAAAATTAATAGGCAGCTCTACAATCACTTTCCAAGTTCCAGACCAGTTTTCTTATGAAATGTTGAAAGAAACGGTACACATAGTTCTCAATGATGAATTAACAACACCATACAATCTAGATTGTGAGTACTACGATTAGAAAACAAAAAAAGAGATGTATGCACACAATCCGTTCTAAACGTCAAAAGTACTAATTATTTCTAGCCTTAAACATTTATGTCTGTGGAGTATCCCATCGCAAAACTGCTTCATACTCAGTTCTTTCCCTATGGTTGCACCAATCTCCAAACCCGTTACTCCAGGCGCACACTTTTACAGAAATAATGAAGACCTTGTTATCTCCACAATTAAGGCAAATAGTGAATTCTGCAGTTCTTGTGAGCAATAAGGGTTTAGATATCCATCCTATCTACCGTAGTAAGCTGGATCCTGTCAACTTTAACTGACATAGTATTACTGATAAGATCAAACTTGAAGGCTCTATAATACACCAGTCCTGCACACAAAAACTTCCCCATCTTTTCATTTGAAAAAATTTTCAGTATAGTGATAAGAAATGAAACTTGAAAGGTATTGCTTGTCCAAAATTTATACCTTATTCCAATATACCTTGAGATTTAAAATGCCTGAGACAGAGATTGACTTAGGGGTTACTGCAGATATGCATGTCCACTTGAGAGATGGAGCGATGATGGAACTAGTGACTCCAACTGTCAGAGAAGGTGGATTTTCCATTGCTTACATCATGCCTAATTTGGTCCCACCAATTACAACCATAGATAGAGTCGTTGAATACAAAAAAGATTTGCAGAGGCTCTCTCCCAAAACCACCTTCTTGATGTCATTCTATCTTTCCAAGGCATTGAGCCCGGAATTAATCGATGAGGCAGCCAAGATCGGAGCAATTCAAGGTGTCAAGTGTTACCCTGCTGGTGTCACCACCAATTCCGATGCTGGAGTTGACCCGAACGATTTCACACCATTCTACCCAATTTTCGAAGCATTAGATCGTAATAATTTGGTTTTGAACTTGCACGGTGAGAAGCCACCTTCCAAAAATGAAGATATACATGTGTTGAACGCTGAATCTAAGTTCTTACCAGCTTTAGAAAAGTTGCATCGTGACTTCCCAAACCTCAGAATAATCTTAGAGCATTGTACTTCAAAGGATGCCATTGATACCATTGAGAAAATCAATGCCAATTTGAGAGATGATGAACCTGTTAAAGTGGGTGCTACCATAACTGCCCATCATTTGTCCCTTACCATTGACAACTGGGCTGGAAATCCAGTCAATTTCTGTAAGCCAGTTGCAAAGTTGCCTCACGATATGCGTGCTTTAGTGGAGGCTGCCACCTCAGGAAAGAGGTACTTCTTCTTTGGGTCTGATTCAGCTCCCCATCCTTTGTCTGCCAAGGCTAGGCATGTGGGTGTATGTGCTGGTGTTTATACCCAGTCCCATGCCTTATCGTACTTGGCTGATGTGTTTGAGAAGGTTGAAAGATTAGACAATTTGAAGAAGTTTGCCAGTGATAACGGTAAGTCTTTCTACGGAATCAAGGATGATGAAGTAGTTAACTCTGACAAGTGTGTTTTAGTTAAAAAGCCAACGAAAGTTCCAGAAATTTTCGGACAGGGTGAACTTACAGTTGTTCCATTCAGAGCTGGTGAAGAATTTGCTTGGGGCGTTGAATGGAGGTAGAGTGGTGGAAAGTGCTAAATCGTGAGATCAATATCAACTTCGTACCCATATAATAGAGATGTTACAGGTCTTACATGAGAATGTAGTGTAAGCTATTAGGGGTTTATTAATTAAATTATTATATTATCTTTAGTTTGTCACTTTGTATGTACACCAATGTTTGTAAATACTATTAAAATTATAAATATGTTTTTGTAATTAGAAGTAAAATGTTAAGTTCAAATTGATTTGTCTTTGGTTTCAACAATCACTCCACTGGACTTTTGTGCTGCTTCTTCGAATGAAGATTCAGTGGCTAAAGTTTCTTCGAGAATAGTACCATTACCCAATAAGTTAATGTCAAAGCCGTTGTCATTCAAGTAGTTGATGAAATCTTCATCTTCCTTGTTAATGGCATCTTGTCCAACCGAAGGACAGAAGAAAATGGCCAAAAGAGCAGAGAAAATACACAATGCAGAGGAAACGTAGAACGGCATTTGGTTACCCCTAACAGTTTCATCACCACCGGCATTCTTAATAATGATAGGGAAAATGTAAGTACCAACGAAGGCACCGATCTTACCAATAGCAGCTGCAATTCCGTAATATTGGCCACGAATTGGAGTAGCTGAAGTCTTAGAAGCCAATAAACCAATATTATCACCAGGACCATATTCACCCAAAGCGGTGAAGATACCATAAACAGCAATGAAGGCACCGACATGCTTAGATAAGTGCTCGTACAAGGCAGCCATAATGAAACCGACAATTCCTTGCAAACCAGTACCTAAGGCCAAAGTCAAACGAGGTCCAATGTAATCAGCGGATAAAGCACCCAAGAAGAAACCTGGAATGTAGAACAAGTATAAAACTGTGGTCCAACCATAAGTTTTGTAGATATCACCATCTGGGATGATTCCTGAGATAATGGTGGATGAATAGATACCGAATGAGTAAGCTGAGAAATCATAAATAAACCAAATTAAAGAGACGATAAGTAATCTGAACCAGTAAAACTTAACAATAAGCCAGTATGGTACTCTTACACCCTTTCTGTTGAAGTTTAACTTTTCGAAAGCATCACCTTCAGTAATTTTCAATCTTAAAAAGAACAAGATAAAAGGAGGAATGGCACCAAGACCTAAGGTTAATCTCCAGATAACAGATAAATGCCTTTCGGAAAAGATCCACAATAAGACCAATGGTACGAAAGCAGAGACAATGAACCCCATATCAATCATACCGTTGGTGAACCAACAAAAGTATCTGTTTCTGTGACCAGCAGGTAACTGGTTAGCAAATTCTGCAGAAATGACCGAGGAAGTTGGGTATTCGGCACCAATGAAAATCCCCAAGAAGAACCTGAAGACGGTCAATGAAGTGAATAACCCTTGGACGCTACCATTTGCACCCCAAGTACCAACAGCAGTCAACAAAGTAAAGGCGATCAACATAATGTTAACGAAAAGCATACCGTTCTTTCTGGAAATACGATCAGATACCCAACCGAAAAACAACATACCAACGACAGTACCAGCAAAGGCAATGGAGGCAATGTTGGAGATGGCATTAGACTTAGCAGCTTGTTCTGGGTATTTTTGCTTTATGATAGCTAAAGCAGTACCCATGGAGGAGTTGACGTAACCATCGGAGAATAAACCAGCACCGGAAGTGAAGGCAGGCCATAACTTACCCACCTTGGTTTTAGTGACGATTTCTTCGGTATCAAGACGATTTGGGTGATCTGCACGAGTCTTTTCTTCCAACTGGGTTGGTGACTTACCAATGGTGATTTCACCAGGAATGTGTTTGGTCCAACCTATGAAGAGGTCTGGCACTGAAGATGGGAGATCACGAGTAGACATGTCTTAAGGAACTAAGAGCTTTGAAAAAAAAAAAAAAATTCTATTCTTCAACTACAAATATGAATGACTGATCCTAAAAACAGGAAGATTCCTCATCCTTATATAGGAAAGTTGGGGTCGGGGAAATTTCGAGACCTGCAGCATTTGGCACATACGCAAAAAAGTATTCGAGTGAGCCGCTCGTTCTTATTTTGCATGCACCTCTTAAATTAGATATTTTCTAGTTGCATTTTTATTTTTTTTTATTTTTTGACTGTTTCATTCGCTACTGTAGCATATCAGTTGCACCAGGCTGCTGTGGAGCCGGTGCTGAGGTTCTGAAAAGGCTTTTTATTATCTAGGCATGGGCATGGGTGGTAATAAGAGTCCGTGAATAATAGATGAGGCTTTCAGCGTCTACACTGATGCATTGTATATTATACATCGAAGATAAATTTACTGAAGGGCCCCCTTGGTTATTCCCGAGTTTTATAGGCAGCAAATATTACCTTCAAAAATTTCGCATACGATTAATCTAGTGAGAGAAAATTAAAATTATCAGAGATAAACCCCCAGCGAAAGTTACCCAGAATAAGGTAAAAATAATGTCCATAGCGCCAAGGCGAAAAACCCCCAAAAAAAGCAAAGAAAAGATAATACTTCAGACTCAAGTGGCATGGCCACCTCGCTAAAAGAAGGAGTCTGTAACACTTAGCCGTTGCTCCAATGTCGCTTGTACAATGACATATTTACACATTAGGCAGTGAAGAGAATATTTTTTTCTGGGACACACGACAGCTTGCACGTTGTTTTGTATGGATCGAGGGGCCCATGTGGGCGGACCACATTAATTGCAAGGCAAATTGTAAAATTCAAATAAGAGATTCAGCTGCAAAGGAAAAAAAAAGGAAAAAGTGAAATGAAAAAAAAAAAAAAAAGGAATTAGAAAGTAGAATGTGAGGAACACGTTTTTGATACCTTTACAATGTAAAAATAGGGATTTAGTATATGTCTAGAACTTAAACCTTAAAAGCTGTTCTCCGCATTCTTTCTTATGATGTGTAACAAGCTATCAAAACGTTAGCATGAGAAAGTTTGATGGCAGAAGGGGAACGGCTGAACGTGAGTGAATATTTTATGGTCGGAAGTCGCTCTGAAACGTATTGTGACAAACCATACCAAGAGAAGAAACCCCACCTTCCACTCATCACGCATGAAGAAATAAGACTTGTGAAATTAAAGTATATTGTCTTATTATTTTTGTTAAAATTATTATTATTTTAGCACAGTAGGACGATGATGCATGGAGTACTTTGCGTAGCTAATAAGTAGCCACTTCCATAACGGCATTTCAGTCGTATGGCTCTCTCTCTCTCTCTCTCTCTCTCTCTCTCTCTCTCTCTCTCTCTCTCTCTCTCTCTCTCCCTCAGCCGAGGGGCCCTGGCACTCACCTTCCTAATCCATATAGAATTAGAGCCCTGCTTGACACATATGTGGTAGAAAATACGATATAGCCCATATATTTTATAAGCACTTATCCGATTGTTCCTACGAACTATGCCAGTACAGACCGATTTTGTGTAAGGGAAAAATCTTGCCTTGCCTTATCTCATACAATAAGGGCCTTATCAGGGGAAAAACTGGAATTTGAGTCGACGTACTGAGGCAGCAATCTGATAGAAAGAGGGTAAATGATCCATGAATGGTTGCTTTATCTGAATGAAGGTATGTGTAGACCAAATAATAATCAGAAGTAGCAGATTAGCGGTAGTGTGACCAAAACTAATACCACTACATGAAAGCTGTGATTTAATTGACCTTATGGGGGGGGGGGGGGTAACGTGCGTCAGGCTTTAGCTCAAACGTCAAGCAGAAAAAAAAAAAAAAAAAAAAAAAAAAAATGCGGATAAGAAAGGAAATGATTATCGATGTAGTTCCTAATGTAGAAATGTAATGTGTTTCATTGGTTGGAAATACGAAATAAGATAAAGACCGAAATGCTTCTGTAGCTCGCTTAGTGGATATACCTAGAGATAAATATCAGGAAGATCCCACCTACCGTCTTTTGGTCAACGGCTTTTCTCTCATTCATCACTCTTTTGTCAATATTTGCTGGGACTTGGTGCATAACTATATCACCGATTGATTACATAATTCGAGATCAGAGATTTGCATGTGATATTACAATCCAACAGCTGTAGTATAGCTTCATATAACCAATTGAACTAGTATTTATCCCATTTTATTTCTGCTTTTGAGACATGAAGTATATAAGAACAGGCACTGGGTAAGGTGCCCACTTTTGGACTAAAAAGTCCGACTAAAATCGAAAGTAGCATACAAAGAGCCCAAGCGAAAGCTTAAATTAGCTATCGTGCTTGAAAAAATAATACGCACCAGAATAACACATTCGAAAATTTTGAGTATACTCGAGGTGATATGTTGGCTTATTCGAGTTGAAATAATATCCGATTGTTGACTCTGTAGGAACAATAGCGGAACTTTTGCATCGTCTAATAGGTTATACCCAGCCAATTTAACTTTGTTGCGTGCCTTGCATCCAAGTGGTACTTTTGAACAATGCGCTTCGATCGTTCGGAGTTTTGATTGACAGGACTACTTAAAACTTTATTATAATTTTTTTTTGATTATTTGACAATTTTGTAATTTTCAGCTAGTGATAAGCCAATGAAATGGAGAGATTATCTTTAATTGTTATGTTAGTAGTGCACCTGTGACCCAGATCCACTCTTTAAGCAAGAGATATTCTTACTCACAACCTTTGAAATCAGTTGTGTGGCCCATCTTTCTTTATTTTTGCTGATTCTTTGTCCAGAATCCATTGCTGAGGAACAGAGACGCCCAGAATATCCAGTCTCTCCTAACTACCCTACACTAGGATGTCCGTCTACTTTGTGCGGATTTACTTAGGAGTTTCAGCTTTTCTATATGGCTCAAGTCAATGAGATTCGATTGCTTTGTACCACGCTACTGGGAGATACTCTGTTTCTTCTCAATATCTCAATAGAGATATTCTATCTCTCAGCGACTATTTTCAAACTCCAGTTGACACCTCTTTCTCGTTTCTTTAATTGAATTACCATCCTAATTGAACCTGCTTGAATGCATATCGAGACTTGTTCATGATTACATAATAAACTAAGCGAGCCAGTACCCGTTCAGGTTTAGAGTATCGCCTCATTAATACCCTCTCTACAGAACAATTGAGCCTTCACAAACAAGATGCCATTATATTGCCACATCAATAACCATTTTGAGGCCAACATGACTTCTCACTAGCAATAATGTGTCCTCTTATCCCAGATACGCCAGGCAGCTCTCCATCACTCACACCAATGGCTGCGAAAAAGGTACCACACAAAAATGGTGCGCCTCCATCAACTTGAAAAATAAAGTAGTGGCTCAAAATGTGCAGAACATTTTACCCCAGAATGTAGCTGACTCAATTGTAGTCAGTGCTGCCATTGCATATCTTGCCTTCGGAGTGAGTCATAATCTGTTGACTACACTGGTTAAATTAGTCAAAGGTAAGGTTTCTATTTTCAATTTTGAGTCAATTGCATCAACTTTGCCATCCTTCGTGAAGCACCTTTCAATTTGGACTGACTCATACTTCTCAGGTTGAGGGGAGTTTTAGAGTTATAAATACCAGTAGATTCTAAGAACAAAGAAGATAAAAATGAAGCTAGACATTAAATATCGATGAGTCTTTTAGATATAGTTGCATTTAGATACCTCAATGGTATTATAGCGAAAGAAAGTATACCCAGTGCTGATGACGAGGTGAGCAATGAAGATGTTAACCAGGTGGTAATAACATTCGTACATGAAATGGATAATCTTGGTTATATGGTAGACAGAGAGGTTTACGATCACTTATGTGACTGGAGCTCAGAGCATATTTCAAGTATATTAAACATAGCCAAGGAATCGGTAGGTGCAAACGTCGACCATAAACCAATGTACCCTAATTTCCCAGAACAAGTCATGGCGCTTTCCGAGACCGAATTATACTTCAATGCTTTCATACACTACTGGAGCAGAGGAAGAGTTTTTCCAAATACAGAGGTAACTAAGACCAGGTCATTCTTAGATGAAGTGAATAGAAAGACTCGCATAAGTCTAGTCACTGAAGGCGATCTCAAAGCATTTTTCTTTACATTACTTTCATCTAAAACTTCGATTCCTGAAAGCTTGAGAAGATTTGTTGAACTTGGACTCTCTAAGGGATGGCAAAATGAATTCACCCAAAAGATACCATTCAAAGAAACTTTATGTCTTGTGGCAAAGTATAAAGTGGAACAGGGTGAACCAATTTCAAATATTGTAGAAACAACTACGGATGTCCTAAGAATCATGGCGGCACTTTCCGACAGTGATATTGAATTAAAGAGGAGAGTAAAATTCAAGTCTATGAATAGAAAAACTAGAAGATTTATCATTGGTGCCTTAGAAAGAGTGATAAATATTGACGACGTCAAGAAGTACGAGAGGTTATGGATAATAGCATTCCATTCGTTGCATATTAGTGAGTATGGTGGAAGATGTGCAAAAATTGCTGCCCAATTTCGTAATGAAAGGAATGTAAGAACTTATGATACGTGGGTTTCTGAGGATATAAAGAATGGAAACGTTTTAAGAGCAGCAGAAACATTATCAATGAAACCTTCAGTTTTCGCTCGATCGCTAGATAAACTTTTACGTGATTCACTTGGAAATAAGTCTTGCGAGACCAGAGTTTTGAGATGTTTTGCTGGAATAGCGGGTAATATTGAAACTAAAGTTATGCTCCAGTTGTTGGGACATTTCCTGAATAGAGATGTGGGGGACCTTGGTGATAGAATAGTCGTGACCGCTGGAACTAAAGGTAAGACGATAATTGTACCCAAATTGGATCCATTGCCTACTGAAGTAGTCAAGAGAGTTCTAATTATTATCAAAATTGCTTTGGTCCACCAGTTCAAACTGAAAGAAGATTTATTCAAGGGAAAGTCTAGTGTATTTATCGAGCCTGAAGTAGATGATATATTGTTGCCACTCCAGTTAGCTTCAATTTCAGAGACGAAGAGAACCATATCGCGTGGATCCAGTCTACCACTTGATATGATCCCAGAAGATGCAGAGAAAAAAATACTTAGACTTTTCGTATATTGGGTAGGACAGGATATAGATTTGTCTGCATACTTCACCAATGAAGATTTTTCAAAGACTAGCCAGGTTTCATACACTAATTTGAAAAATTCCTTTGCAAGACATTCTGGTGATATAACAAGAGCTCCAGACGGGGCATCTGAATTCATTGATATCGATATGGGATTAGCTCTAGAAGCTGGCCATAGATATATCGCAATGGTTGCATTTGTTTTCCGTGGACCAGCTTTTGTTTCACACAAGACTTGCTTTGCAGGATATATGCTTAGAGAGGAAATGCAAAGTGGTGAGGTATTTGAGCCCTCCACGGTTCACAGGAAATTCGATATTACTAGTGAGCTGAGATCAACTATCCCCTGCTTATTTGATATGAAGGAGAGAAAATTAGTATGGCTAGATTCTACATTACCGAATGGTGGGGTTAGTCTTAACAATATTCATACGAATGGGGGAGAAATTATGAAATTCTTGCAAGCATTTATCTTATTGAGGAAGAAAAAGGTTAGTGTTCCTGAGCTTGTTAAGTTACACATGGCTTCTAATGAGGGGATTACATTAAGCTCTATTAAGGAAGAGGATTCCTTTGTGGTGGGTCTAGGCGCAGGCGACCTTGACGTCATTGATTTCGCTGAGATCAATTCGAAGTGGATATAATTCAATCAAGTCTTGAAATGAAGTAACTCAGCATTCAAAACATCCATAATATTTACTTCACACCGCTTAGAAAACTAAATAATTATAGTTCTTCTTCCGAGTCCTACATTTTAAGTCGAATTAAACCCTTTTATATTTTAGCTATATAATTTTTACAATCTTTTTATTACTTGATTTTATTACATCTTGACTCACATGTTTCTTTTTTTTTCATTATTCATTGTTTTTTAATTGTCTTTTCTCAAAAGAGCCTCTAGTTTTCCATTGAAGCGTCTTCGTAGTCTTCATCTTCATCAGCCAGCTCGATATCAATGCTGTATAACTTCTTTGGCTTGCTGACGGTTGGAATAATGATTTCAAGTTCTTCGTCTTTGAATACTGCTCTAATTTGATCGAACTTGATAGTCTTGTCAAACAGGAAGTGCTTTTCGAAGTTAAGCTGGTGGTCACCGAATTGCTTTATTAATTCTTGTGTGTCTTCAACAATTTCTTCTTCTTGGCAGTCTTCACAATCACAATCTTCACAATCTTCACAGTCTTCTTCTTTGCATGCACAGTCGTCTTGACAATCGACACAATCTTCTTCACATTCTTCACAATATTCAGAGTCAGCTTCAGAGTCTTCATCGCAATCTTCACAATCGCATTCAGATTCTTCAGCGGATTCTTCTTCAGATTCTGACTCAGAGTCGGATTCTTCATCTGCATCGGATTCTTCACCAGTTAAGTTCAACTTACCTTTGATGATTAATTCGTTGTCTTCCTTGGAGAAGTCGATTTTTATTTCTTCCTTGACTAAGGCTGGAATTCTAATATTTAATTTGAAAGTGTTCTCGTCAATTTTGGTCAATTCACAGTCCTTGCTATCTTGCAAGTCTCTGGTCAAGTCAATAACTTCAACATTATCCTCATCTTCTTCAACTTCAGAGTCATGTGCAAGTAATAAGGCATCATCTTTTTCTTCGTCTTCACTTTCTTCGCTTTCTTCGATATCTTCATCACTTTCTTCGTCTTCTGCTTCAGAAGAGTAGGAGTCTGGTAAGTCGAATCTGTGTCTGTAAATGGTAACGCCTTCTTCGTCAGATGAGGATTCATCATCTGAGTATTCGGTATTGCCTTCTAAGACATCTTGAAATGCTAATCTGACAGCTTCAACCTTCAAACGGTCGCTTAATTCCTTTTCTTCATCAGAGTCCAATTCTAAGTCAGTATATTCTTCAGAATCAGATGAGTCGGAATCAGCATCAGAATCAGAGACAGATTCAGCCGAGTCGTACTCTTCACCAGCAATTTGTCTGAGAGCTTGAGCTTGTAATTGGTCATTCATGTCTATCATATCCAAGATATCTTCTGGTTCGACATCAGAACCGAGCTCGATTTCAATATCAGAGTAGTCAGATTCGGCACCACTCTCAGAGTCGTAGTATCTAACAATTTCATCGTTTAAGTCAGCGATGTCGGAATCGTCTTCAGCAGCAAGAATTTCGTCATCAGAAGAGAAGTAAACTTCTTCTTCAATATCTTCTGAGTCAATGAAGTCACCTTCGTCTTCTTCTGGGTTGTCATAGATGTTGTTGTTGACATAGTAGACAACGTCATCCAATTCTTCAGTGGATGAGGAGTTATCTGAGTCGACGTCTGAGTCTGAGTCTGAGTCTGAGTCTGATTCTGAGTTGGAACTGGAACTGGAACCGGATTCTTCGGAGCTTTCAACATTATCGTAAAACATAATAGTTTCTTCGTCGCTATCGACATCACTGGATTCATCTTCCTCATCGCTTGCGGATTCGAAATCCTCTGAGTTGTAATACACAGTTACACCTTCATCGTCATCTTCAATTTCGCTTTCGCTTTCGCTGTCACTCTCTTCAGAGTTCTCGTTGTCGTTACCTTCTAAGTCGAATTCGTAAACCTTTTCGTCGTCTTCTTCTTCAACTTCAGATTCAGTTTCTGGTTCTTCAACATATACTAAATCCTTAGGTTGTTGGTGGAAATATTGTCTGTATTTGTTTGACCTTTTGGAAGTGGTAGGCTTGGAAACACTGTATTTTCTATTGTTGGACAATCTAGCCATTTTTTATTTTATTTTATTTGAAATGTAGTATGAATATGTATAAATAACAAGTATATGAATAATAAATATATTTCTAAAGTAAGTTACTTGAAAATAGTTTATATGAATAGAAATAATGATGGCAATAGAAAAGAGTCTGTATTACAAATACTTATAACGCTGGAGCTCATCTCTCTCGCGATGAGATTCTCCATTTTTGAAAATTTTCAGGAGTGCATATAGACGAATTTTCATGCACGAAATTAACGTGCATATTTTTCGCCAGCACATTTTGGTTTCCTACGATAAAGAATGTTCTAGTATGCCAAATGTAACTGTATTGGAGCTGTTTTTAGACATTGGGTGGGCGAGACGCGTTAGTTAGTAGGAGGTAACTACAGCTACAATGCAAGAGGACTAGTATAGAGTATAATGGGTCCAGCTGGAATGTTCTCTTTGTTTATGTTAGGCTAGGGTATGTTAGTAGTGGCAATTTTTTGGTAGGAAGACATCGTGTTTTCTTTTTTCTTCAGTATTCTTTTTTTTTTTTTTTTTCTTTACATTTTTGCCTTCCCTAGTTAGCGTGAAGAATTGCACTGAAGACTCTGGTAAGGCTGAATTAGAATGCACCAGAGGGTGCAGTGTAGAGCAATGGTCAGGGTTGTTTTTATATATTTCAAGGCTGAAGGTATTTCAATATCATCAGCGACCCATGGCCTGGGTACAGTTTTTTCGATTTGGTTAGCCATTTACTACTCCTTTCACCTGGTCTGTTGTTTAGCACAATTTCTTCATCTTCACCAGCGATTGCGGCACACGATAATTTGGTGCTGCCTCAGCGGAGTTTTTCTCTTTTCTTTCTCAGTGTGCAAAGCTTGCCTCAATTTTTACGACATTTTTTTTGCTAGGTGTTACCCGGATATCCCAACTAGTATAAATACAACTCAAGATCCGTAAATCCTATCGGATTCTGTTTATTTTTAGAAGACCAAATCTCTTTGCCTTTTGGCTTAGATCAAGTGTAGTATCTGTTCTTTTCAGTGTAACAGCTGAAACGTCATCATTGATGACTTTTAATTATGTTACCTTACTTTTTGGATATAAGTGGACGGGATCGATGAGCTTGCTCACACCTGACCACACCGTGTCGTTGCTATTACACCCTAGGCTTCTGACGCAATCTTTGGTTGGCTTTGTGAGTTCATAAAGTCGATTAAAAATTGTGTCATGAGATATAATTAGATGGAAATCAAATTTAGAAAGGAAGAGATCCGAGTTATTTTTACATTTATTATCCTTTTTCTTTCCTCTATTTCTTTGAAACCCAAAATAGGATGCGAGTACCAGTTGACATGCTGATGATGCATGCTGATGATAGACCCTATATATATATATCTACATAGTGAAGTGTAAATAATATTTGAGCGCACTTACGAGTTCCAGAAGTGGTACAGTTCCGCTGCGGTATTGCACATCTAAGGTACCAATTATTATTTTCTCTTGTCGCTGTGTGGTAATTTCATGCTCCATGCTCCATGCTCCATCATTCTTATACGTTTTTCTATACTTCGCTCGCATTATACTTTCCGTTGATGCCTGCTTCCACTGTCATGATTTATTTTGAGAGCTCTCTGTGACATAATTTTTTTTTTTCTTTTTTCCTTTCTTATCTTTAAATGTCACATTCCTTTGTAACATAATAAACCTTATATCGCCCACTAATTTCACAGCTGACAATAGCGTAATAAATATATACGTACTTGCATATCTCAACAGAATATATATAAAACAAAATAGACATTAGGAGATAACTACCAGGTATCCTTTCTCAAGATAGTAGTTACGCAGTATTGCATTTAATTTCAGCTTTACTAATCACTCAACCAAGATGTTGGATGACAGTGATCACCTGGATAATTCAATACATTCAATAGACAAGCCTCCCTTATTTCCCAAGTACGATAGTAATATTCAATCACCGGCGACGAACAACGATGAGCAACAGCATAATGACGATTTAACCGATGATGATGTAGAGGCACCTTCTATGCAATCGGAAGAGAATCGATCTATCAAAAATTTAAGAAACATTCTATTTAAACCAGCTGAATTCATGGAATCTGTGGATTTGTCTAATGTTACGCCGAGACACTTTCAGACTCAGTTCGAACCGGATTCGGACGATGACGATAATTCCACGACAAACAGATTCTCTATTGACTCTTCCGTAATAAACCAGATGGATTTGGGTGATATAGAGGAATCCAAATTTAAATACTTGCTGGCGTACCAGAAGATGAAAAAGGCGAAACTGACTGAAGTGCGACCTGAAGATGATGTAAATTCGGAAGCTGGGGATGCTGGAATCCCCTTGAAGGTATTGGACAACTCGTCAGTATTCAGTCTTAGCAAATTAGATGACTTCAGTAGATTCGTTCGACTGTCAGAAATTAATGATGCTATCTATAAGAAATTTTCGAAGAAGCATGCTGAAGATATCGTAAACAATAACGTATTGGACATATTATCGCCTACTGGTTTAGGAAAGGATTATGTTGGTAATTTTGATGACGATCAGAACTCATCTAAGGTGCGAGAAGTTAGAAAGAAGTTTGTAAAATCAAATAAGAGTTCATGGTATAATTTGGACTGGCAAAGAAAGCCGACTGCCTTGAAGAAAAAGAATACTGAAATTCAAGAAATATCATTCCAGTCGGCAACGCCTTCGTCGTCGACAGACTCTGCAGGTGGAGCAGGAACTAGCAGTGGTGTTAACAATGACGCTAGGGATGACGAAAAGCCCATGACTTTACAAAGGAAATTAAAAGTCAGACACTTACAAATGATTTCATTTGGAGGTACATTGGGAGTAGGTTTATTTTTAAACAGTGGGAAGGCGCTTACTTTAGCTGGTGGCTTTGGGACGCTTCTTTCATTTATTATTTGTGGGATTATCGTGTTGACCACTATGATTTCTTTCTGCGAAATGGTTACATTTGTTTCCGTGATTGATGGTGTATCAGGGTTAAGTTCAAGATTTGTCGATGATTCGTTTGGATTTGCAGTTGGATGGCTCTACTTCTTCAGTTTTGCTTTTGGACTCACGGGTGAGATCGTGGCGAGTGTCATTATGTTGAGTTACTTCCCACAGTTGAAGATTTTGGATAATAAAGCATCTTGTGCTGGATTTGTGACGTTATTTCTCGTGTTGATCTTTGCCAGTAACTTAATTGACGTCAGGGTATTTGGTGAAGTAGAATACATTTCGAGTTTTATAAAATTGATCAGTTGCTTAATGATGATTATAGTTATGATTGCATTAAACACAGGGTCCATTGGCTCAGGTAAGCAGCTTGGATTCAAATATTGGACCTATAGTAAATCAGACTTTTCTGGAAATTTAATATTTGGCTTGTTTAGACCTACATTCAATTTACAAGATGACGGTACTAACCAAGGCGGAATTGGAGGAGACAAAGGGAGATTTCTCTCACTATTAGTAGCGGTATTGGTAGTTTCTTATGCTTATAGTGGTACTGAAATTGTCTGTATTGCTGCATGTGAAGCGCAGAATCCTAGAAAAGCATTACCATCGGCAACTAGAAGAGTATTCTGGAGAATATTAATCTTCTATTGTTTATCTGCATTTGTGGTATCATTGAACGTATATGCTGGCGACCCAAGATTATTAAGGTACTATCTGGGAAGCACTGGGGTTTCTGATGATCAATTTGCCAACAATTATGCAATTCAATACGTAGGGGGAGCAAATTGTTATGACCTGACCACAATTTTTGCTGGATATGGAACTGGATCTCAGCTGCCTTGGATTGTAGCTTTGCAAAGTGCTAAGTTGTGTAATTTTGCATCTGCAATCAATGGGTTCTTGGTCTTTTTTGCAGTTAGCTGTGGTAATGCTCAATTGTATGTTAGTTCAAGGACATTGTATTCTTTGGCTTTACAGAAGAAGGCACCAAAATTTTTGACCTACTGTAATGCACAGGGAATTCCATACAACGCAGTTATATTTTCAGGTTCGTTCGGTTTTATTGCATATCTTTGTATAAACGAAGGTGCTACTAATATTTTCCAAAATTTAACCCTGATTATTTCATCTTCGGGAATAATTGTTTGGTTTGCAATGTGCTTATCATTTATAAGATTTTATTATGGCTTAAAGAAAAGACCAGACATTATGAGTAGAGATGATAAATCGTACCCCTACAAATCCCACTTCCAACCTTACAGTGCAATCATTGGATTAGTTGGTTCTGGACTAATTATTTTCTTAATGGGCTTTGTGGTTTTCCTAAAGGGAGAATGGGATACCTTGTTCTTTTTTGCGAGCTACGGAACATTGATGGTTTTTGCTGTCTTATACTTTGGGCATAAGTTTATCAAGGGAACTAGAACTCCAAGCTTAGAAACAATTGACTTTGATTCTGGAAGAAGAGAAATGGACAGGTACATTTGGGATGGTGGTAGAGAATACAATTTAAGAAGTGTAAAGGACATAACCCATAAATGGGCATCCTTTTTAGCATAGAGTCAAAAAATCTTTAGAATAATTATTATATTAAAGTAAGGTAAATTAATAATAATGAATTACTTCGATAGAACCATTACTTCTTTATCCTTTCTTACTTTTTTTACAGAACGCACTATCAGTGGTGAATAATACCAAATGAGACGGACATGTAGCGCACAGAATAGACATGATTGACCTCAGAGAAACCATATTTCCCTCATTTCACTCTTATGATGTTGTGGTGTGAAACCCATTGATAATTTCTCAAAAACGGCTTTAAATTTGCCAGCTTTTATGCAACAATAGGTGCCCCACTTTCACATCGAAGTTTATTCAGAATCATTTGCCTGCCTTCTGACCATCTTTCATTTTGGTGTGTTTGAGAGAGACGCGTAGCATTTCCCATTCTGCTGAAGCAGTGGTACTTGTCTACAAATCCAAATCCCACCAACAATACATATATATTTGGGAACCACTCAGCTAAAAAATTAACAGTAATGCCCTGTTCAATTTCTGTTCTATTGAATCCCCAATCCCCATCACTATTATGCTTGTTGGATGATTCCATGGCAACTAAGCAAGAAAATGCCCCAAAAAAGACTTTCACGCACTCAATTTACCCCAATTTGGAACAACAGAGGCATAAATATGCATAAAAAATTAGTCTAATTTGATGCGAGCCGTCAATTTTTCACTTTCAGAAAAATTGAGGCAGGTGTCCAACACAGCTTCCACCACCTTGTCTTAAAATTATCAAGGTATACAAAAGAAATAGTGCATCCACTCAATTGATAAAAACTAGTTGTAATAAAATTTTCTATCTTTGTTCTTTTGGATCTAAAAGCAAAAAAAATCAAATAAATTTCAAGAAATTAAGACAACTAGGGAAAGATGTGGTCTCCAACTGATAACTTTCTCAGAGGGAAGATTATTAAACCTTTCTTACCCTTCGAAAAACATCCAAACTTACATAATGATGATTTGAAGAATTTGTACCCTGGTGATGATATTTTCATTTTCGAGACAAAGGGTGACCGTTGGGGTCGTGGGTATGCTATTTCCAAGCCATTCCCTAACGATTTCACTATCACATCGGTTAATTTGGATGATTTACCTGGCTTAGATGTTAAGGTGGTAGTTTTCCCATTGAAGTATGTCCATATTTTGGAAGAAGTTCCAATTGCAAGGATTGAAGTTAACAAGAACTTCAATAACATTTCCAACAATGGTGAAATGGTTCCAACTATCCAAGACTCCGAGTTTGCTCATAGACAGGCAGTGGATGGAACTTTCGATGCTGACAATATGTTGCAAAGTCAAGCTAAGAAGAACTTGATTCCAACTTTGCCAATGACCACTTTTAATGATGGTGATCTTTTAGGAGAAATTAAGCACGCTATCAACTTGTTGTCTTCTCATATTTTTGCCTTATACTCCATTGGTGAATTTAGATTGTTCAACAAGTTATCCTTGATCTACTATGGTTTAGATGAAACAAGAATCAAGTTATCGAATAATTTGTTGACTAAAAATGAAAGTCAGGTTGCTAATGAAACTGCTACATTTTTGTTAGCCAAGATCAGTAAAAAGTTAGCTTCTAGAGCTGCTAGATTAAACGCTACATCTTACGATTTAGATAATCAAAATACTGATATTTCTGGTTACAAGGCTATTTTGTCAAGAGATGCTATCTCCGGTAACTTGTTATCAAATGGCAATGAAATTCCACCAGTTATTGCTCTTAATCAAGTTTTATGTGCATTGGCACCAAATTTCCCAATCAATGCCCATATCAATAAGAACGAGTATTCTTTAGCTCCAAGACCAAACAAGAATTTCTTCCCAGATCCTCCATCTCATATTTTGGTCGATTTCAAGTCTGTCTCAGGGTCTTCTGCCTATCAGCCTCCTGGTTTCTGTGGTATGATTGCATACTTATATTTGAGAAACAACCGTAAGAGATTAACTGAAGCTTTTGCGGTCCACACAAATTCCGTCGAAGATTTGGTTCATGTTGAAAAGATTTCTGCTGCACTTTTTAAGAATATTCCATCCAGTGAAATTGAAAATAGTAGAGTTTACTTGGTTGCAGTATTAACTGAAGAAGTTGAATTAAATGTCAAGGAAGGAAATATGCCACAAATTAGAAGAGTTAAGAAAGGTGTAGCTGCAGGTGTTGCTGATATCACCAGAATCTTTTCTCACAACCAAGGTTCATTGGAAGCTGGTGAATCTCATCAATTCACTATCAAATTGTTCGGTTCATACATGAATCAAAAGAAGGGTCCATCTAAAATGATCAGTCAACAAGATGAAATCGATGGATCAGCTAACAACGGATGGGGTGAAACCGTTGATAGGATTATTGCAGGATCAAGTCATGGTATCGCAGTTAATCCTAGAGCTGAGAAGTTGATCATTTCTGTGAAGGAATTCAAGCATCAATTTGTTGGTAATGGTCAAAATCCAATTGGTACCTCTACGCCAATTGCTAGAATTAAGCCAATTTTCTTTGACCCTATTGCTGAAAATTACGAAAGAATTTATATGAGAATGGGTAAAATTAGTTTATTGAATTCCATGACCAAAGATGACTTAATTACTTTCGAAGTGGCCACTCCAAACAACGATATGATAACCTTTGCTAAGGCCTCTAATCAACAGGAAAAAAGAAACTGGCAATTCGTTTCAGTTTTCCCAGATGAATCAATTGGTGAAATTATTAAGGTCAATGGAGTCTCTCTCAAGAACCCAAACAAAAAATTACCTAAGGAGGACCACATTGTTTTATCTATGTATGTCAATGGTGTTCTTGGCGGTGAAGGTAAGTTGTTATACAAGTCTGGCAACAGATTGGTAGAATTTAATAAGAAGAAATCTCACATTATCGAAATTGTTTCTTCTGCCCATAAATTACCAATTGCTCAAGTTGAAGTCTCAACTGAATACGTTGGAAAGATTTACAATAGTGATTTATCAATTGATAATGTCTTTCAATACGAAAGATTTTTCAAGTCTGGTCAAAAGGGTATTGATGAATTATCTAACTCTTTGGTTTCATTTACCAAGTTGGATATTTCTCAGTTGGTTAAATACTTCCCAGAGTTATTGAGTTCATTGTATCACATCGCCGATACTGCTTTGACTCAACCAAAACTGGCCTCAACTGAAATTTTACAGGATAATGTCTTCAAGGCTATTGTGCACTTGTTAGATACCATTTTCGGGAAGCAGGATCAATATTTATACTTAGTTGAAACTTTTACAACAAGATATACCAAGTTACCACCAATTGGTATCTTCCTCTTGGAAAAGATCTCAGAAATCTTTAATAGAGCTGAATCCAATTGGAATGCTATGTCAAGAAGTCTATGCAGAATTGTTTCCTTATTAATGAAATTGGCCATTTCTTCAATGAATGGCGTTGTAAATAAGGATGGTTCATATTTGGAAGCATTAGGAACTTTAGTTAGGTCTGCATCTCACTTTATATCTATCCAATCTAGTACCTTAAACAGTGACCAGGTTTTAATTTTGGATATTATAGACTACGTTTTGACTTTCAGAGTTCATCTCGATGAATTGAAAATTTTAGACTTTGTCGTTCAATTTATCGATGCCATTGGAACGAGAGGATTAGGTGCAAATGAAGATGTTTCAGGAACGAAAAAGAACTTCAAAGATCACAGAATCATCATTTCCAAATTGTTGTTAATCCACCGTTTATTTGGTACTGAATTGGTTGAAAATGCTAAGAGCAGGAAGGTATTGATTGGCAAAGCAGTTGAATGGTCTTTTGAAGTCTTACTAGGCCCTACTGATATGGATGCTTCAAGACTAGCTTGTACCGTCTTGAACTCTGTTTGCACATTATTGTGGCAATCTGTATTTGTTGATGGTCATAAGGAAGAAATCGATTTATGTTACTCTTTGAGTAAATTCTTACCATGTATTTCAAGAACTATTATTAAATACAACAAATTCACCAGAGGTAATGAATACTTCAAACCAAAGAGAATTTTTACTCAGTTATACCCAACTGAATATCCATTTAAAGAAGTGTCTGTTGACCCAATTGTTAACGACGAAGTTCTAGTTGAAATCTTGATTGAATTATCTACTGTTTTCTGTTTCGTTGCAAAGATTGGTAAGGAAACTGCTGGAAATGAAGGCTATTCAGAAATTTTGGGTAAAGAAATTCCAAATGATTACTTTGTTCCATCTAAATATCTTGCTGCCAACTTCGGAAATGAAGATGTTATTACTTTGATTTCAGGTGTTAAGTTAATCAGACAAGGTAAGTTTTTCCCAGAAGATAAATGGCTCTCATTGTACGCTATTCTTGCTGAGGGATGTTTGAGTTCAATGGAATTAATTAGACCATTATTAATGAGTCACTACATTCCACCATTTGATAATTCCGAATTATTCGACAGAGTCATCTGGGGTAACTACTTGAAGACTTTAATTAGAATGGCAACATTATCACCAGTTTCAATTGAGCATCTTTCAGATATTCCAAGAAAAGCATGTTACCAAATTACTCATACAATGAGAGATAGAATTGCCTTTTTAGTTAACGAAGCTTGGGATGGTTTAGCTTGGGATGCCGTAGAAGAAGATGTCTTGAGATTCAATTTATCTAAGTTCGGTGGTTACCAAGTTGAATTTATTAGTAATGATTATGGTATTTTACAAGATTTAATGTTATTAGCTTTACAGAAGAATTCTGAATGTCAATCTGTTGCTGTTAAAATCTTATGGTCTATTATTGTTTCAGAATATATTATCAATGATTCTATCGTTGATATTGAAAGAGAATGTCTTGTTGGTTTGAATGATATTTACAATAGATATGCCTACAAGCCATCTTTAATAGAACAACAATCCTTAGTTGAAAGATTGAAGGTTACCATTAGATTGGATAGAGAAGATGAAGCGTTTGCTTTAATTTATAACTTTATTGAATCGTTGGCTGGATTCTTAGACGTCTTGAATGATTTGAACACTGTTCCAGTTGGAAGTGAATTCGATGATGATAGAACCTTCCACAAATTGAATATCAAGGCGTACTTAAAGAATGCCAACAAGCCAGAATTATTTCACTCTTTCATTAGTACTATGTACGAAGATAACTTGAGCAAGAATGACTACATTCAAGCTGCTTTGTCTTTGGAATTATTAGCTTCCACCTACAGTTGGGACCATCATGAAATTGTTCCAGCAAGTTTTAGACCAAAATTCCCAGAGCAAACATCATTCGAAAGAAAGGAAACTTTGTTCAAGATGATTGCAAACAACTATGTTAAGGGTAACAGTTTAGAAAGAGCAACTGATACTTATAATGAATTGTTAGACTCATATAATCAACACACCTACGATTTGAAGAGTTTCGCTTATGTTCATAATAAGTTGGCCAAGTTGTATCTTGACTTAGAACTGTCTGATAAATTAAGTCCTTCATTTTTCAGAGTTGCATTCATTGGTGCAGGTTTCCCACAAAACATTAGAGGTAAGGAGCAAATTTATGAAGGTTTACCATTTGAACACATTACCTCCATCCATGAGAGATTATTAAGGGTTTACCCAGGTGCTAGAATTGTTTCTGATGATTCCGAAGCCAACAAGTTGAAAGAGAAGATCCAAACTGGTAGGTACTTACATGTCAGTACAATTGAACCAGTTAGTGAAATTTCTGATAAATTGTTCAATACATCAATTGGTGTCAGACAGTATGCTCGTAACAAGGATTTAAGATTCTTCACAACAATGAGAAAGATTCCAGGTGCTTCTTCCGTTTTCGATTTGTGGACAGAGGAAACAACCTACGAAACTCAATTGTCGTTCCCAACATTGATGAATAGATCTGACATTAAATCAACCAAGACAGTCAAATTATCACCATTGGACAATGCTATTAGAACCATTGTTAACAAGAATAACGACTTAATCCAATTAGAAAGTATGATCAACATTGCCTTTAAGGAGAAGACTGATTTCACATCACTTTACAATGATTTGTCAAGACAATTGGCTGGTACAGTTGATTCACCAGTTAATGGAGGAGTTGGCCAGTATAGAACATTCTTTACTGATTCTAAATACTTTGGAAAGGAAGAATATGCCCATAGTATTAGATTTTTGAAGAACGCCTTTAATGATTTAGCTATTATCTTGAACAGATGTTTGCATTTGCACGGTAAATTAGTGGCTCCTCTGATGAGAAACTCACATGAAGCCTTGGTCGAATTGTACAAGAAGAACTTCCAAGAAGACATCGAAGCCTTAAAGCTTTCCACAGATTATGACAGCGCTAGTTACAACCACAGCGTGTCTCACTATTCTCAACAAGCACCACCAAGTGTGAATGAAAAGAGATCTATTTCAGGATTGTCTGGAGTTGGATCTAGATTAACTAGAACCACCAGTAGGGGCTCATCTAATTCTTCTAATTCCGGCCTCTCTGGACTTTCGTCTGATAAATCTACCATGAACACACTTGCGACTGGCCAAAAGTATAAGAGAACTGCTATTAACTGGAGAAATATGGTACAACGTAATTAAGTAAACTGAAGCAAAGAGAGTTATATATATTGAATATTGACAATTGTTTATCGTAAGCTCGATGAAAGTGTAGTCGTTCCTTTTTCTTTTTTTTTATAATTTTTTTTTTTACTTTCCACATCATAGATATTCTTTTATAAGAGAGCAGTCAGCCAAACGAACGAGATTCTTCTTAAGCTAAACACCTCTGTCCCATAGTTCATTAGCAAACTTCTGCTGGTGCTGAACAAGTTGCAACCTTTACCGGTTTGTGTAACTTTTCACAAATGTTACACAAAACTTTCACTTCCAAACTCCCTTACCAATCAAAAAAAATTTAAACCAAATTTACAAAAAAAAGAAAACCCACTACAAATTACTCCATCTTACTTACTCCGTATATCACAATGTTTAGATTTGCAGTTCGTTCCGTTAGACCAGTCGCCAGACTTCCAGTAGCTTCCCGTTTTGTTCAACCAATCCGTTCGTACGCTGTTGCTCCAATCACCAAGGATGAAGTTATAAAACGTTCCTTTGAAGCCTTAAAGACTGTCGCTGCTTTACAAGAATCTGAAATCTCACTCGAATCTTCTTTCCAAAAGGATTTGGCCCTTGACTCTTTGGATACCGTTGAAGCTTTGGTTGCATTAGAAGAAGAATTCGATTTGGAAATTCCTGACAAGATCTCTGACGAAATCAAGACTGTCGGCGAAGCTGTTAACTACATCTTTGAAGAGGAACAAAAGTTGTAAGCAAATAAATACGATTGCCAGAAAAAATTCCAGTAGAAATGTGCTGAAGAGGAATATGAAAATTAATCTATTCGGGGATATGGAAAGCTACGCTACCTCCTCATTGTAAATATATACACAATTATATGTAGTCAACAAATAAATACAAAAAAATAATCATAAATTTGATCTAACACTTACGTAATGTATAATAATATAACACATATGATGATAGTGGACACTATTTTCCAATGTGAGAGCAGGGCTGTTGATTTCTCACTGATGGTTTTTTTTTTCTCACGATTTGCCATCAGGGTGCAACACTTCTTCCCCACAAGTAAAGCACCACAAGAGCGAACAGAGTAGTGAAGTAACCAATTCTACATGATGGGCGATAATGGCGATAATGTTAGCAAGGAGGTGGAAACACTTCCCTTAAGAGAAGCGACCGAAGGTCAAGAAGGTCAACCGAAATCGATTCTCAAGCATGGTAACGAGATCGAGCCAGAGTACAATTCAAGCTCCGAAGAGGAAGATGAAAATGATGACGAAGACGACGATGTCAACGAAGAGGATGAGCCACTCCCTACGCAATATCCCGGGACTATAATACCAGATGATCACCCTGAAGAAATCGATGCGGATGTAGACCTTGCCGCAACTTACCCAGATGATACTGAGTACATCGACCTTATTCATCTTAAGATCACATCATTGGAAGCATTGAATTTAGAGAGGTTCTCCAAAATTGAATCTCTTTGTTTGAGGCAGAATTTGTTGACTTCAATGTCAGCAATTAAGCATCTTCCAAAAGAAACTATGGAGGAACTCGACTTGTACGACAATAGAATCAATCACATTTCCAAGAGTGTAAGTTTGCTTACAAATTTAAAGAACTTGGATTTTTCATTCAATAAGATAAAGCATATTAAGCATTTGGAAACATTAACCAAATTGGAAAATTTGTACTTTGTACAGAATAAAATCAAAGAAATAAAGAACTTGGAGACGTTGACTAATTTAAAGAATTTAGAATTGGGTGGGAATAAAATTGAAACGATCGAACCAGAGTCCTTGAATAGCTTGGTGAACTTACAGCAGCTTTGGTTGGGAAAGAACAGAATTAGTAAATTTGAAAACTTAAACAATTTGCATAATTTGAAGATTTTATCCATTCAATCCAACAGATTGACCAAAATTGAAGGATTAGAACATTTGAAGAACTTGGAAGAATTATACTTGTCTCACAATGGGATCAGTAAAATTGAAAACTTGGAGGAGAACACCAACTTGCAGGTTTTGGATGTTACTTCGAATAAACTTACCAACTTGGAAGGCTTGCTGCACTTGACGAAATTGACTGATTTCTGGTGTTCATACAATAAAATATCCAGTTTTGAGGAGATTGGTAAGGAGTTGAGTAAGCTACCTGAGTTGGATACTGTCTACTTTGAAGGGAACCCAGTACAAACGCAAAGTCCTACTGCTTACAGAAGGAAGTTGAGATTATACTTAGGACCTAGCTTAACGAAAATCGATGCTACTTATGTCAAGGAATAAATACACATACACATATAGAATGAATACAACTGAAATAAAGAACTATGTGGAGTGACATTGTACAGTTGCATTTGTGCAAAACTGCGACTGTACGGTTATACTTGTAAGAAATCTATTACCCTCAGTGGACACCGAGAGCTAGTCATATTACTACTCCCTTCAATTGTTCATTCCTCTTTTGTTACTGACTGTCACCGACGTACTATGTTGTTCAGTGGGTTTTATTCTGGGTTGAAGTATGTGTTTTCTCCTCCTATGGAAGAGGATTCAATTTGCACCCATTCTTCCTCCTCAACATTCTTCCTGAGCCAGCTAACACCATGTGAAGAGTCACAGAGACTGGCCACGATTATAGGCATCGAATCGCTTCCGACTAGATCGGATGCAACTAGAATCCTGCTCCTGCTAGAAGAAGTGCTTGAAAGATACATTGACATCCTCACTGATGATAAATGTGATCCACTGGAATTGCCAGATCTTTATACAGAACCTGATGAGTTGAGCGACTTCTTGAATAGTACCACCAACCCCTTGCGAATTTCAAGAGCTATTAGGATATTTGAAGAGTCGATAAGAAACATGGTAGTAGCAAAGGAAAGAGAGCCTTCAATGAGGAGGAAGAAGAAGATTCGTAGAAACTAGTCAAAAGTGAACTGGTACAAGCTACAAATACATAGAGCTATATCCTTCGTCGTACCTTTATTCAAGATTGGTATCTTCGGTCTTGTAGTTATCCAAGACTATTCTATATATAAATGACGGAGCAAAACCTCCAACGTTAGTAAGATAAATATCAATATGTTCAGGTGGAACATAGTCATATAGGGGGTTCGTGATTACTTCAACGTTATCTATTAATTTGTGATCATCATAATTCAACACCTTCCCGGAATTTCCCACTTCTATCAAGTCTTCTCTATTGAATGGATACAATGGCGAAAGCTTGTACAACCCGGCAACTGCGAAGACAGGAGTCTTGTGCTCTTTTGCACACTCAACAACGTTAGCAACCCCAGAGTTGGTTAAGCAGCCACCATTGGCAAATACAGAGTTAGATCCAATGATGACCTTACCGACCCTTGACATCACTGCGAACGTAGCTGAGTCTGGTATCAACACGGTCTCAATCTTATTCTCTGCCAACGTCTTCACGAATTTCCTGGCCCTGGCAATATCATTGGGGTAGTTTTCAGTAACTAATACTGTAAACTTTCTCTTAGCTCTTGCCTTAATTAAAAATTGCAACACTGTGGAGGAGCTTGGTGTGGGGGTCAAAAGAATTTCATTATCATGAATCAAGTCGACAGACATCGATTCAATACCTTCGTTAACATTAGAAATCTCATCAATTAAGTCTCTTATACCCTGAATGATGATAGAACGCAAATCGCTGCTCTGCTTCTTCAGTTGATGATGGATTTCCGAGTTGGAATCGTTATTATTAGTGGAGAGCAAAGAAAACATTGAACTCATCATTGGAGTGTCTTTGGAAGCCGATGCCGTAGTGGATGAAGAGGTTGCTTCTGTCTCTATCTCGTCTCTGATGAGGGCAAGAACACGTCTCACTACATTACCTACGACGACTTCTTTGGGCTGTGCTGAAATAAGAATGGTTCCTACCTTCCTAATGATTTTAATAAGGTCGTATGGGTTGGTCCATCTTGCAGTAGAGATCACTCTCATGAGTAGTTGTGAAATACTTAATGCTATGTCTTTGGTTCCTTCAATTTGTCTTCTTTTCAACTGAGCGACTGTCGGGTCCACAAGGGACAATATCTCTGGCGTCACAGACATCTTTGAAGGGAAATAGGAGCTGAATGAGCGTGCTGAAGGAGAGCACAATTGAAGAAGAAAAATCTTTCACGATTTTCTGGGTGATGATTCATTTTGATAATCCTGCAGGTAACGCTCCATAAAATTTTCAGTAGAGGGAGAAACGAAGGTGACAGAGAGAAGATACAGCAGATATATACGGTATAGATTGCACATCCAAGGATATCAGAATAATGGCTGTAAGCTTCAATGAAAACATCAGCCAAAGTCTTGAGCTTTTGTACAACCATTCGTCCACTTTCAACTTGTCAATTGACCTTATTCAAAAGTTGGCACAACAGTTGAAGTTGGATACATTCAAAGATAAGGATGCATACACACACGTAACCACGACGTCGTCAGATTCTAATTTCAAGAGGCTATCAATTGCTGGATCATTGATACTCATAGATATAGATTTTTTGGACGATGATACGATCTTGAAGGTATCAGTATCGCTGGCGAACCATCCAGACGATGGATCTGAACTGAAAGTGAGCCCAATACTTTCCAAGGAAATAGTAGAGGGAAACACATATCTAGTGAAGTTGAACAGTAAGTCTAATAACCTATCATTCATTGGGAGATCTGCGGAGCACATTCTATTGCAAAATTTGAAATATAAAAGCAAGAAGCTAAACCAATTCCCTGCTAACTTAAGGTACCTATCTTCGCTCGACCGTCTCTCATTGCCACAGTTGGACTTGTTCGTATACCTTGATAAGATAATAAAGTTATTGCACAGCATAAACGAAATAGAAGCGGTATCTGACCAATGGGAGCTCCCATGTGTAAGCTCCATTGGTGAAGTATTGGCAAACGACGCTGATACTGGAAAGTTGGGTGTCTTCTTGAAGATATGGCAGGATTATCGGTTCATCAACCACGAGGCAGGGAAGGACATTTGCGGCAAACAGTATAAACTTTTGTTTAGAGTGTCAAATTTGAAGGAGGGTAGTGAAGCACTTGGGGGAAATGTCCTCAAGGAATCATGGGAGTTACAGGGGAACCAATATTCATTCATTTTCGATGAAGACAAAGCACCTACCTCAGCATCATCAAATACGTCTACGTCTTCTTCTTCAGCTAGTGCAAGTTCGGTTGCTCCATCCTCATTAGCTAATAAATTTTTATTGAGTCTTGACTTCAACAACTCTATCATTATCCCCAAAAGTGTGCTACAATACTTGGACTTGTACAGTTTCGGTGAAACAGCTTTTGGAGAGGATGATGCAGCATTCCTCCTGTTAACCAAGTACAAGGATATACTGTTCTCCAGTGACTCCAAGGTTATCTTGATCAAACAAGACTTCCCCAATGAATATATTTCAGTCAATTCGGTTTCAATCAGGACGTTGAACTCTATCCTTAGAGTGGTTCCTGTGCTAAGGAACTTCTCCGTCTTGCACAATTTGGTTAATTCTCTAGCCAAAAAATGTGCTAGTCAATTTGAAAGCTATTCAATTGAAAACGAAATCGAACAAGCAAATAAAAAGGCACTCAAGGAGACGTTAAACTTACCTGGAGGTATTGGCAGTGATGAGTTATTAGGGTTATCTCTAAGTGCAGAGAATCCAATTTTATCATCAATCCAGTCAATTAAACCCAATGAAGTTGACTTAGACACATTTATGGAAGGCGAGGACCAAACGATCACAGAACAAAGCGAGCCAGAAGAAGAGTTAGCAAAAGCTTTCAAAACTGTAGTGCAACTCCTGATAGAAGACATTGACTTGACTAGTCCTCATCTCGATGTTATATTGGGTGTCTTTGCAAACGTTGAAAATGAGAGCGGGAAGTCTGTAGAGATAGACGTGAAGTTCAAGATATCAAATGGGCAAATCAAAAGTATAGGAGAAGACATTGACATGACGAGCGACAATTCCAGCGAAAGATTCATCAAGGCGTTGAACTTGACTGAAGATGTTCCAGAATGCATAAAGCATGTCTACTTGAAGTAACATATAGTTATTCTTCTTTTTCTTCTTCATCTTCTTCTTCTGCTTGTTAAATATTTATTTAATCTTTTTACATAAGTTTTTATTTACAAATAATACGCTCATTAAAGTTTAACCCCGATGTGAATAGCAGATACACCGAAGGTCAAGTTCTCGTAGCCCTTTTCTGGAACATAAAATCCAGCCTTTTCAATCATACCCTTGAACTCTTCCTGCTTTGGGAAGTTTCTAATACTTTCAACCAAATACTGGTAGGATTCTCTATCATTAGCAATCAATTGGCCCATTAAAGGTAAGAGTGAAAACGAGTAAGCTTGATAAGCATAGTCAATTATAGAGTTGTCAACTTGAGAGAATTCGAGACAGGCAAAGATTCCACCAGGTTTCAACACTCTGTAGGCGGTATTTAAACCTGCTTGGATATCAGTGAAGTTTCTGATCCCATATGCGATTGTATATACATCCTTGGAGTTGTCTGGGATGGCATCCATCGTTTCCCCATTCTGTACCAAAAAGTTCACTCTATCAGACCCATCATTCCACTTAGAATTCTTGTAACGAATCTCTCCTTCAGCCAACATATCTGCATTAATATCGGCAATGGTCATAGTGGATTTAGTATCCTGAAATTTCTTCTCTGCGTGGTCCAACAATCCAAATGCAATGTCTCCAGTGCCACCAGCAACGTCGAGGAAATCCAACGGACGGTTGGAACCTGGTCTCATACCTGCGTCCAATCTGTTGATAAAGTGACTCTTCCAAAGTCTATGAATTCCAAGCGACATAGCATCGTTCATTATGTCATAATTCGAAGCAACTGATGAGAAGACTCCTCCCACCAACTTTTCTTTGTCCTCCTTGTTAACAGTTTGGAATCCGAAATGGGTGGTCGATTCTTCAGTTGAAAGCCCTCTAAACGAGGTTCTAAGTGCAGAGAACGGCTTGGGAATGGAGCTCCTAAGAGCAGAACTAGATATTCTCATGTTTGGCAGTATCAAGATAACGTAAAAGACTAGAGAGCCAAACCGCTGCCTTTCTCCTTGGCTCACTTTTAACCTTGTAAATTTCGTACTGCGTATAGAAAAAAAAAATTGCTGTGGGTTGCTCGTATATTGAAAAATTAAGTGCAACCTAAATGGTCAGCATTAAACGTTCGTAATGAAGGTTCATAGTGTACACTACATAGAAATGGGATTGGACTCCATGAAGAGAATAATGGTACAAGGTGTCCTGGTGTAGTATTCCTTATTTCTTTTATATATTATCTCTCCGTATATATTATTTTCTACTTAATCCTAAGAAATTTAAGCTTGAACAACTCTAACAGTGTTGGAGTGACCAGAACCTCTGGTCCAGCCTTGGATAGTCACGATGGAATCACCTTTAGAAATAATTCCTAATTCTATAGCTTCAGATACAGCCCATCTTAATCTGTTTTCAACATCTTCTTGCCAGTTTTCAACCTTGTCCTTTGGATACACGAATGGGTATACACCTCTGTACAAGTGACAATACCTAGCGGCTCTTTCGTTTCTGGTAACCATCATGATTGGAACATCTGGCTTGTACTTGGAAACTAATCTTGAAGTTAAACCAGATGTGGATAAGACAACGATAGCCTTGGCACCTTGTTCGTAAGCAGCAGAAACGGCAGCCATGGAACAGGTTTCAGTGGTTGGTGTTGGTCTCTTGGCTAAAGCTCTGATTTCGTTATGTAATGGCTGGTAAGCAATGGCCTTTTCTGCGATAATGGCAGTGTTGTGCATCATGGAGACGGCTTCAAATGGATAGTTACCCTTGGCGGTTTCACCAGACAACATAATACAATCAGCACCATCTAAAATAGCGTTACCAACATCGGAAACTTCGGCTCTGGTTGGTCTTGGGTTGTAAGTCATTGATTCCAACATTTGGGTGGCACAGATAACTGGCTTAGCAGCTAAGTTACACTTGGCGATCAATTGCTTTTGAACAACGAAGACTTGAGGAGCTGGAATTTCAATACCTAAATCACCTCTGGCAACCATAACACCGTCGGTTTGTTCCAAGATTTCGTCAAAGTTGTTAACACCTTGTTGGTTTTCAATCTTGGCAATGATTTGAATATCCTTACCGTCTTCACCTAAAACCTTTCTGATTTCCTTGATATCGTCACCAGTTCTGATGAAGGAAGCAAAGATCATGTGGACACCGTTCTTGACACCGAATCTGATATCAGCCTTATCCTTTTCAGAAAGAGCTGGTAAATCGACATCGGTACCTGGTAAGTTAACACCCTTGTGGGAAGAGATCTTACCGGAGTTGACAGATCTGACTTTTAAGGTCTTGTCATCAACAACTTGGACAACTTCAAAGGAAAGAACACCGTCATCAACGTAGATGATCTTACCTTCAGAGATAACCTTGGTAATGTTGGCGTAGTCAAGGAACATCACCTTGTCGTCACACTTCTTGGCGAATTCAGCATCAGTGGTGAAGGTCATTTCGTGGCCGGCAGCGATTTCGTAATCGATTTCACCTACAGTGGTACCGGTTCTAATTTCTGGACCCTTGGTGTCTAAGGCAATAGCCAAAGGACGACCTGGGTATACTTCTTCGGACTTTCTGGCATTGTCAATGACAGATTGATGGTATTCGTAAGAACCGTGGGAAAAGTTCATACGAACAATGTTTAAACCAGCCTTTCTCAACTTAATAAGAACATCAACGTTGTTAGTCTTTGGACCGATGGTACCAATAATGGAGGAACGACGTAAAACCTTGTCTGGGGTTTCACTGACATTGAGGTGGGTTAACCAAGAGAGAGATGAGTAAGACATTATTTACTAAAGCGATAATAAGAATTGAACTTGTAAATTATAGTTTATTCCTGCAAGAATTCAAGAGTAAATTTCTGTTTTGGAAGGAAACGGCAGACCTTTATAAAATTTCATTCATACTCATCATGAGACGCCGGTTGGTAGTGGGCCGGTACTGCAGGTAGGCGCATGCAGATAGTGGACTTCTGGTGTCTTTTTTTTTATTTTATATTTTTTTTTTTATTCTTTTATTAGTGCTGGAAATTTTTCATCAAACGTTCGTGGATCAGTTGAGTTGAAAACGTTTCGCAGCTGGATTGGGTTGATAGAGAAGTGAAGGGGTAGGTAATCCGTGAGTATCAGGCAGAGGGAAGCGCAGTTAGCGTTATGAACAGCCAAACTCTAGCTCAGAGTAAGGTATATTAGACACCTGGGCTTGCAAACACCGAGATAATCATGCGTTTAGGTGGTTTGATAAGGGTATAATATAGACAACCTGACGAAACTGCAGCGCATAGTGTCGGAATAGTTGGCCAGTTCTTTTTTTTTTCCTTCATCTTTTTTTTTTCTTTACGCTTTCCGCTGATTCAAGGTGAACTCCGATTCCGAGTAGCGCCTCAAGCGTAGCGTTTCCCCTCTTTTGAGTGCGTTTTGTTCAGTTTTTTTGGTTTCTTTTTTTGGCTCTCCGTGCTACGCGAACTGGTTCCAAACTTACAGGTAGGTGTATAAACTGAGAGTACCACATTCTTTAGCTTTTGGTGGCCCACCAGGAATGCTCAGTTCTTTCAGACTGCTTTCATGCTGCTTTGAATTATGTTTACCACGAAACACGGGAAGGAGACGGTTTCAAAGCGTTGCTGTGCTGGATTCACGGGCTTCTTGAATGCACCATCGGTTGATGGACGCTGTTTGGCTTCGCATGTTGGCACACGCTGAAGTGAGAAGAGAGAAATGAAAAAAAAAGAGATGCGCAAACCCGGAATCGAACCGGGGGCCCAACGATGGCAACGTTGGATTTTACCACTAAACCATTTGCGCTTCAACTTGGTAGAATGCGTTTGATGTGGGCTGAGAGTTATGGTGTACCTCGCTCATCAACCAGTCCTATTATAAGCCTGGTGTTATACCGTACTAGCATAATGATTACAAATGCAAGCGGTCAGATCTCCACTGGACTCTTCGGTGGACTTACCGTCCAACCTATATACTTTAACTCTTCTGTGTGACGTTAGCTAGTTATGCTTCATTCTACCCAAGGTTCAATTTGCTGAGTGGCTGAGTCAATCCATACTAGCGTATTTCGTTTCCAAATGTAAGCAGCAAGCTCACCTACGGTCTCTTTCAGGGAATCTCCGATGGACTCTTCTTCCAGTCCCGTCACCCAACTCTATGTATACTAAAGAAATGTCTACTATAGCGCTACTTCTTGCTCCCTTACCCTTCCGACCGGCAGCAGAGGTTGCAATTTCAGCTCCCCTGCGCATCTGCATGCCAGCGAAAACTGCAGCACCACTTTCTCCCGTTGTGAATGAAACAACGACTAATGGTACTCTGATCTGCTACAAAAAAGAGCATTTTCACTTCAAATATCACACTACACCTCAACAGGACAGATCGCTAAATCCTGGAAATCTGAATACTACAAATCTAGTCTGTCAATCTCTACCACTAAAAACTTCAAATCTAATTTTTCAAACGTTAATTAGGTGGACCCTCTAGTATCCCAGGGCTAATAATATGCATGTATACATATATTTTGCACATGACAGGAAATTATGCAACCATAATTGAGACTACCAAAATATACCGTAGTTGTATACTACTAAAAAGAGAAACCTTTCTTGGAAAATAACTGTAAGCTAGTACTCCATTACCCCTAGAGGATATTCAGCCACGTTTTCAGTGTATAACGACTTAATTAATTAGAGCCAAGAAAGTACTTAAAGTTTCCACTACTAATGCCCAGCAGCCAAATGCATGAAAATCTTTATCGGTTGCTCGCGATGCCAAAAAACACTTGCATAATCTTGGCAAGTTTTTTATTGTTCCAGTGAAAAAACTTATAAAGCTCCTTGGTCTCCCATCACTTCTTGTTCCTGATTTAATTGGTTATACTTATTTGTTGAAAGTAAAGAAGTATAGTAAATGAAGTCTTTAGATACTGTGCCATTGGAAAATGAAAAGTTAAAAGACAGAAGTGAAGAGATATCAATCTCGAATAACTCCACTGAAGCTTCACAGCCGTATAGACTCTCAATCCCAAAATGTGCTAAATTTTATGGGACTGATATTTCCAACGGTTTGACCAAAGCAAAGGCAGCTGAACTCCTTGCAGTGTATGGTGCAAACTCACTTGGTGATGGTGGAAAGATCTCTTTCACTGCAATTATTGCACACCAAGTGTTTAACGCTATGATCTTAGTGTTAATCATTTCGATGGTTATCGCTTTAGCCATTAAAGATTGGATTTCTGGAGGTGTTATCGCCGGTGTGGTATTCATCAACATCGGTGTGGGTTTCATTCAAGAGTATAAAGCAGAAAAAACAATGGGATCTTTAAGATCTTTGAGCTCGCCCACCGCTAGAGTCACAAGAGATGGTGACGATTCTACTATCCCGGCCGAGGAAGTTGTTCCTGGAGATTTGGTTCACATCAATGTTGGCGATACAGTACCTGCTGATTTGAGATTAGTTGATTGTATGAATTTGGAAACAGACGAAGCATTATTGACTGGTGAGTCCTTGCCAGTAGCTAAAAACCATGAAGAATATTATCCAGATCTCGAGAAACCTGTCCCAGTGGGTGACCGCTTAAATTTAGCTTATAGTAGTTCAGTGGTTTCCAAGGGTAGAGGTACTGGGATCGTTATTGCGACTAGTTTGAACACGGAAATTGGAAAGATTGCCAGCTCGTTGAGAGGTGATGACTCTATCATTAGAAAAGTTAATAAAATCGATAACGAGAAACCTAAAAAGATGGAGTATGGAAGAGCATTCTTTGGAACTATTAAAGATATCTTCTTGAACGTATTGGGAGTAAGTGTTGGTACGCCTTTACAAAAGAAATTATCCTGGTTAGCCATCTTCTTGTTCGGGGTTGCAGTTATCTTTGCGATCGTCGTAATGGCTTCACAAAAATTTAGAGTAAACAGAGAGGTTGCTATCTACGCAATTTGTGTAGCATTGTCGATGATTCCATCTTCATTGATTGTTGTGTTGACCATCACTATGGCTGTTGGTGCTCAAGTTATGGTTACAAAGAATGTAATTGTTAGAAAATTGGATTCTTTGGAGGCTTTGGGTGGTATCAATGATATCTGCTCTGACAAGACCGGTACTTTAACTCAAGGTAAGATGATTGCCAAAAGAGTCTGGATCCCAACCAGTGGTACCTATACTATTGAAAATTCAAATGAACCATTTAATCCAACTCTCGGTGACTTAGGATTTGCTCCGTACTCACCTGGTTATATCCGTGATACCGATGAAGAAGTCGATTTTTCATTCAATATTGATAGCTCATCTTACCCAAGTAATTTTTACAAATGGATGTATTGTGCTACTTTGGCCAATATTGCAACTGTAAACCAAGCTACTGATGAAGAGACTGGTGAAATGGTTTGGAAAGCACATGGAGATGCAACAGAAATCGCTATTCAAGTCTTCACTACTAGACAAAATTTGAGTAGAGAATCCATAGCACATGACTACGATCATTTAGCTGAATTTCCTTTTGACTCTTCGATTAAGAGAATGTCTGCAATTTATAAGGAATTGGGCGCTAAAGGTAAGGCAGCAGTTTATACGAAGGGAGCTGTGGAAAGAGTTCTAGCCTGTTGTACGCGGTGGTACGGAGATGAGGTTCAATCTGATAGCCAACACCCTGTGGAATTGACTGAAGAACACAAGTTGTTAATTGAAGACAATATGAATGCTTTGTCTGATCAAGGTTTGAGAGTTTTGGCTTTTGCTACTAGAGAATTCAATGATAATACTGAAAGTTTGGAAGACAGAGAAAGTACTGAAACTGATTTGACCTTTTTGGGTTTGATTGGAATCTATGATCCCCCTAGAATTGAAACTGCCGACTCTGTCAAGAAGTGTCACAGAGCAGGTATTAATGTTCACATGTTAACTGGTGATCATCCCGGTACAGCTAAGGCAATTGCGCAGGAAGTTGGTATCTTACCACATAACCTTTTTCATTATAGTAAGGACGTTGTAGCAGCAATGATGATGACAGCAACACAATTTGACTCTTTAACTGACCAAGAAATTGATGACTTACCAGTCTTGCCTTTGGTTATTGCAAGGTGTGCACCTCAGACAAAGGTTCGTATGATTGATGCATTGCATCGTAGAAACAAATTTGTTGCAATGACAGGTGACGGTGTCAATGATTCACCATCATTAAAAAAGGCAGATGTTGGTATTGCTATGGGATTAAATGGCTCTGATGTTGCTAAAGACGCTTCTGATATTGTTTTGACTGATGATAACTTTGCTTCCATTTTGAATGCAATTGAGGAAGGTCGTAGAATGTCATCCAATATTCAAAAGTTCGTTTTGCAATTATTGGCTGAAAACGTTTGTCAAGCTTTATTTTTAATGATTGGTTTAGCATTTCAAGATAAATCAGGGTATTCAATTTTTCCCTTATCGCCTGTTGAAGTGTTATGGGTTATTGTAGTTACATCATGCTTTCCGGCTATGGGTTTAGGTCAAGAAAAGGCCCTGGATGAAGTTTTAACAGAGCCTCCAAATAATGAAATTTTCACTTGGGAAGTGATTACTGATATGATTGTTTACGGTCTTATCATGACAGTTAGTTGTCTCTGTTGTTTCATTGTTGTTGTCTTTGGAGTAGGAGATGGCAATTTGGGAGAAAATTGTAATGCAAGTGCAAGTCAGGCATGTAACCTTATATTTAGAGGAAGATCTGCAGCCTTCTTAACAATGACTTGGTGTGCCTTGTTGCTTGCCTGGGAATGTATTCACCCAATCAATTCTTTATTTTTCATGAGACCAGAACTGGAAAATTCCTGGTACAAGCAAACTTGGATTGATTTATGGGGCAATAAGTTTTTATTTTGGTCAATCCTTGGTGGATTTCTTTCTGGGTTCCCAGTTATTTATATCCCTGTCATTAATACAAAGGTTTTCTTACATGGAATTATTGGATGGGAAGTTGGATTAGCTATTGGATTTTCGCTTTTATTCTTGTTAGGAGCTGAAGCTTATAAATGGTTTAAACGTGTTTACAAAAGAAGACACGCCAAAAAAGCTGACAATGTTGAGTATGAATTGGAAAGAGACGATCCTTTCAAGAAGTACGCTTCATTCTCAAGAAGCAATACAATGGATATGCAAAAAGTTATCGTTTGAGAGTTGGGCTAAAATGACTTGACAAATATGAAGAGTGAGAGAATAAAGAAATTAAAAAAAAAAAGACATTATGTGATAGTTAGTACAAAATAAAATTAGAAAATTTAATTGAAGATGTAGTAGTATTTTGAAGGAGTATGGTTTGTTCTCCTCAGATTAATCCTTGACGAATTGACCTTATTTTCATTTTTCGGTAGACTTATTTTTTGGCCCGCATAAATTGCAACATAAAATATTTCAATTTTGAGGCTTTGCTCACAGTTGTTCCATTAACTGTTCTGGATTAGTCAATTTTGATCATATAATCTTGGCATCTCGAGGACTTGCCAAATATAGAAACACCTCATTGTTGGTTGAAATCAAGAACGCAGGAGTGGCTATTATAACATCAATTTAGAAGCGATGACATAAGCGCTTCCAAAATATTTGCATTTTACGAGATTTAAGCTTTAGAGAGGTAGGCTATGAAATCTACTTCAGCATTTTTTGATGGCAAATGCCGATCTTGCATAGCCGTGTGAGTTATTTATCTCCACATTATGGTGTTGTGCCAAGTATTCTACTACATACTTTTGCTGGTTTGATGTTGTGGTTGTGTAAGCGAACTACAATACAAGAATAAATTGTGAGGTTGCAAAAGAGAATGACTTGGACGAGATCTTATCGACAGGAGTTAAAAACGATATATGGGGTCAAAAATTCTAACACTTTTTTCTGTATTTCATTCAGATCAAGGGTTTCTCTAAGAGGTACTTAGCATTAAACCATTCATGATACGTAAACTCCCCTGGGAGCAATACTAGCAAGCTAAGAACAGTATGTAAACATTTCTTGCATTTTTGCCTTATACCAGTATCACAATCATTGCCTTAACTAGGGCACTGCTAGTAAGGTTTGCATTGGCCATAGTAGAAACTTTAAATTAAACTTTTGCAACCTCATAGCCTTTGCTATTTTTATCAGATCTCCCAACTCTATCTATGATTGGGATAGATTTAAACCATTCATTTTCACTCCCAAGTTTTAAAATGTTTCATCAAAATCATTAAAAATCTCCACATCTTAATAATGTCTACCTCAGATTTTACTCTTCCAATTTGGCATCCCTCCAGTATCCCTTCAAATGTGATTTTCTCTACTGTTGCCCCATCTAAGACGAGCACCTTGGATAGTTTAATTACCAAGGCAATGGAAAGTCTTAGAACTGAAACAGCAAGTGACGGGATAAAGGGATTGGCATATGAGATTTATGGAGCTCAAGCTTCAAAAAGTATTGCAAGTGCAGCAGAGGTTACAGCTACTGCAACAGATGTCTCTGTACTAAATAATGCTCGTGAGGTCATACTTAACTCTACACTCTTCTTGGAGCTTAAATTCGACGATGACAACATGTATAGTTATGATTTAAAATTGGCCCCGAATGTATTATTCACGACAATTTTTGCACTGATCACATTGTACACAATATTGATGATCTGGAAATCTCGTTATCACTGGTACAATGTTGCAATGATTGGTGGGTTTGGTTTGGAATTTGCTGGTTTTCTTGGAAGAACGTTATCGGTACAGAATGAAACAGTAGAAGACTATTGGTTAATGCAAACTATTTGCTTGACAATTGCTCCTGCATTTCTCATGGGCGGTATATATTTCCTATTTGCTCAATTAGTCATCGTACACGGAAGACAGTACTCGTTCTTAAAGCCAATGTGGTACTCTTACTTCTTCATCGTCTGTGATGTGCTTTCGTTAGTCGTGCAATCTATTGGAGGAGGACAGGCAAGTGTTGCATCGCAAAATCATACGGATTCTGATCCCGGGACTTATACAATGCTAGCAGGGATTGCATTCCAAATTCTTTCTATGGGAATCTTTCTTATATTCTTTTTTGAAGCTCTTTGGAGAATTTATTTCAGACATGACAACATTGTTGCCCATCAGCCACTCCAAAATAAAACCATACTCAACTTCTTCAGATTTTTATTCAATACCAGAAGTTCCAGAGAGTTCCGGTTAAGTTATTTGGAAGCTGACTACAACCCCAAATTCGCGGATATTCGTCAGCGACAACTATTCCAGTGGTTTCCCTTGGTAATTGCAACTTCATCACTATTGATTTACATCAGATGCATTTACAGAGTTGTTGAGTTTGGGACTGGTTACAATAGTTGGTTATTCACCAGAGAGTGGCCAATAATGGTCTTGGATGCAAGTTTAATCGGCGTAGTAGCACTCATTTTCTTTCCATTCCATCCTCTTTGGGTCTTTGGATCTGAAAACAAGATCAAGCTTTCAACCATAAAGAAAAACTTAGATGAATCTGTTCCAAGTCCAAGTAATCTGACCATCGATGAAAAAGTTTAAAGATTAATATTAGATAAACCCTCGCTTTTCTTACATATTTTATGCCCGTGATGAATTAACTCTTTGTTTATATGAAAACAATCTAACTCATGATTTATACGTACGAAGTGTATCAAATGTACTCTTTGAGAGTAGATAATAGCCGACTAGCGCAAGAGAAAACTTATCTGGTTTAGTCAAGGTAATTAAGAAACTTTGCATTTAAAGGCGAGGCTTTTAGGGTGCGCATTATGCACAGATCTCGAGAGGGTGTATGTCAAAATAACCAAGCACATGCATAAGCATCAGCATCAGCATCAGCATCAGCAAAAGCTGTAGACATAGACATAATATCAACGCTGATTTTGCGTGCGCCATGGAAAGACACACAGCCCTAAGCATAGCTGCCACCATGATCCTCTAGACTAATACAAGGGCGCAATTCTTTATGAGTTCGGGGACCCTACGCAACGCAGCCGTATCTTAGAAGTGAGGCTGAGCTCGCTTCTGACATGTTTACGTGCTTTCTCACACTCCGGAGTTATTACATACAAGGCGGACTTTACTAAGGACTCCTCTTTCAAATTATGGACAAACAAACGAGCAAGCAAAAAATATTTAAGATACATTTTTGAAAACAAGTACATCCTGCTTTTGGTAATTCTACATAGATAATTAAGAATAATGAGTAGTGCTGCACCTTCGCTTTCTCTGTGGTTTCCGAGCACGTACCCGACGAAGACTGTGTTTTCTACAGTAGCTGCTTCCGAGACTAGTTCGTTTAGTAGTTTAATAGCTTCTGCGTATGAGAATGCACTTACGCAGACCGATGCTGCAGAATTGATATCGTTGGGATACGAAGTTAATGGTGCGCTAGCATCAATGTCGATTGCAAGTGCGGCAGAAGTAACTGCTACTGCTACCAACCAACAAGTATTGCAACAGGCAAATGAAGTTATCTGGAACTCAACCTTATATCTTAGATACAAAGCTGAAGAGGAGAATCTTTACAAGTACAATTTGCAATGGGCCCCTAACATTATTTATGTTATTATATTTGGATTAGCCTTCTTCTACACTGTTGGTATGCTTTGGAAATCAAGATACCACTGGTATAATATCACTTTCTTCTGTGGATTTGGTTTAGAGTTCATAGGATTCATTGGTAGATGCTTATCAGTTAATGACCCATACAATATTAATTACTATCTTTGCCAGTATATTACTTTAACCATCGCACCAGCGTTCCTTATGGCGGGAATTTACTTCATTTTTGCTCAGTTAGTCGTTATTCATGGTAGACATTATTCTGTATTGAAACCTATGTGGTACTCCTATTTTTTCATTGCCTCCGATGTTTTGTCATTATTGATTCAGTCTGCTGGGGGTGGTGCTGCTTCTGTTGCCAGTAATCAACATAAGGATGCAAAGCCTGGTACCAATACTATGCTTGCCGGTATTATCTTTCAAGTAGTCTCGATGACTATCTTTATTTGGTTCTGGATTGAATTTTTGTTGAGAATTTATTTCAAGCATCAAGTTGTATCAGATGTTACAGCTGAAGGTGAAGAACCTCACGTCCTTAATCGCAAGTCTTTTAAAAATTTCTTTAAGTTATTGTTTAACGTTAAATCAGTAAGAGATTATCGTCAAAATGAGCTCGATAAGCATTATAATCCGAAGTTTCGTGATATTAGGACAAGATCATTATTTGGTTGGTATCCTTTAGCCATATCTTTGTCAGTTATTTTCATTTATATCAGATGTGTTTATAGAGTTGTCGAGTTGGCTCAAGGTTTCAGAGGTTGGTTAATCACAAGGGAATGGCCAATTATGGTATTAGATGCCTTTATGGTAGCGCTTTTCGCCATTATTTCATTCCCATTCCATCCCGTCATTTTGTTTGGAAGTGAGAATAGAGTTAAAGTAGCTCATATTAAGAAGAGAACGGACGTAGAGGAAGATGATGAATTTAACGATGAGGTCACAGGTAAAGACGAAGTAACACCACATGAGGAATCAAATAATGAGTCTCATATCGTAGAAAAGGCATAGACCTTTTAATATAATATTCAATATATATGGAAATTAATTAAGTTGCCATCAACTTCTTCGTAAAGTGTTTGTGTTTTTTTGATATTTGTGGTGATTAGAAAGTCCCATTATTATCTTGGCCATTTTACACAATCGGCATTGATGGTTATCTAAGTTCACTGATTACTTGTAGATATGTTTAAGAAGTTCTTCGTCAAGCCCAGCTCTGTCCAATCTGATGCAAAATCGTCGCCATCCTCATCTGGACTGTCAACTGACCATCTAGGAGAAAAGGACATTCCTAGTTTGAAAAGAAGGCACTCACTGGTATTGCCATACTCGGAAAGTCTATTTTTGAATGCTAGTCAGAAAGCAGTCGAGCTGGATGACATAAGTATTGACCCGTTCGAACACCCTTCGATACGAAGAAGCAAAAGCATTGCTGAGGGAATGCTTGATAGGAATGGAAAAGGTTACAAAGCGCTGACACTAAAGCTTAGTAAGTCAGTTAGATTTGAAAGCGATGACCGCTTTGCAGAACGAGGACTAGCTCTCTTCGATAGCTCTTTTGAGCATGTAATATCGAAAGAACTTTCCCAGGGTTTGGAAACTGGTGAGTTCAAGCAAAAAGTAGAGTGTTTTCCTAAGATTAGCTCTTTCAAACCTTCCCCGGCTAAATCTATTACATCTTCATCTTATTGTGATATTTCAGAGAGTGATCCACGACTCGATTTCCTAACTCTAAAAGAATACAAGACTTTTGAAAGCAATGAACAACAAATGGTGACATTGTGGACTGAAGATAACGAAAGTGTTGGGACAGAAAGGCCCTTAACCACAAATTCCAATGACAGCTCGCAAGGATGCAATGACAGCAGTTATCTTCGCAAGTATCCGTCTAGAAGTTCGTCCATTGAGAACCATATTATATCAAATGAAGATATGAGCCTTATCCTTGAGTATTTGAGTCCATTTATCGAATACGACAGCAGCACCATGTCTAAGAATGTGTCAACCTTTCATGTATTAGTTAAAAATGCAGCAATTGCCGCAAACGGAATGGTTGCGAAAAAGAATTCACGGATTCTTGAGCTAGAGGAAGAACTCCATAGCTTAAAACAAGATTATGAAAGAGATTTGGATTCTTTTGGCAATGCAATAGATCAAGTTGACTCGAAAATAGAGTCCATTAGTAATAGAATTGAATTAGTATTCCAAGAAGAATCAAAAGTTTCTTTAGCTATCCAAGCTGAGAAAATCAAATTGGCTCTGCTTTCCGAAGTTCTAGAATGCATTCATAAGCACAACACTGAGAAAATGCCCCTAAATGAGTTTCTTCAACAGATCCTAGATAACAGCTGTACTTTGAGAGGGAAGGAAGTTGCGATGTCTGAGATTGAGACTGAAATGCGTTCAAAAGTTTCAGTGCTAGAGCAGAAATTGTGTAAAGCTCAAGCGGATGAAACATACAAAGCGGAGCTACTAAATAAGTCTGTGCTCGAGTTAAAAGATGAAATAATGGCAAAGGACAAAGTGATTCAAGACATCCAAAACAGTCTAATTGAGCTTCAGAAGGTTAATAGAAATTTGGGTATTGATTTGGAAGCTTGTTCCCAAAAATTTCAGTCTTCAGAACTGCAATTGAATATTGAAATGGCAAGAAATGTGAGTATGAAATCTACAATTAAAAACCTTCAAGACAAAGAAAATAAAAGTCAAGTCTTGTTCACAGAGCTTGAGCTTGAAAATCAAAGCACTTCTTCTTCCTATGAATATGAATTAAAGTTGCAGACCATTGAAATTAAAAAACTTATTAAAGAAAATAAGATGTTTATTAATACTATAAATGAAAGAGATGGCCAGATAGGGAAATTGAAATGCTCTATTCAACGATATCATGCTAAGCTCAAAAATGCAAATCAATCAAATAAGATGCTAAAGTTCCACCTAATAGAAATGATTCAGATTGTTGCAATAAGATTGTCGGATTTTATTGAACAAGATTCGAACAACCTTGTTCAAGATGCCTTACAAATAATTACTAGCTCTGAAGATTTGCATTCCACTATCGAGTCAGATAAAGAATTGGAGTCTCTAAGTGTTAATAAGGTATTACTTGAGTCTGTCATTCATTTCGTAAGTAGTGCAATTGAAAACTTGATTGAGATATTCAAACAGAACGAAATAATGCTAAAAATCGAGCTTGATAATAAGGCTGGTGCATATCACAATATGCTAGAAAAGTTGATAGACATGATGTCAGAGAGAGGTATAATAAATAGTCCCACAAGGAGAAGAATTAGGACGAAATTCAATTAATCTTTTATTCATATATCTCCTATGCCAATGTAAGGTGTTTCTTTAATTAGTACGTTATTTTGCAAAGGATGTTTCGACAAATGAACCATTAGGAAGTAAAGCAGTGAGTATACCGGGAAGGATTTCAACTTGTAAAGGCTCAAATGGGAAGCTTTCTCCATCTATAGAAATGTAGTGATCTTTTGTACTTTTCAATCTAGGTACAAGTCTATAATTTCTAATTTTTGCGTGTAGAACCTTGTCACTATGAACATGTAATCCTTTATCAATCGATAACAATATTTTGGTGGTTTCCATTATAGAAGTATTGATATCAGTGACAACCATGTCCATAGATGCATCGTTCGGTAATGCAGCAGGGAAAAACTGTGTATCGCTGGATATATAGGGCATCTTCCCAACGTAGAAGATACTCAAGTTTTTCGTGACCAGATTCGGGAGCTTAACCCAATTTATAGGTGGCTCCTCATTTAATGGGGCTCCCCTCAACTCAAGATCGCTAGGAACGATACTTTTGAAAAGACCCTTCTTGCTACTTGACGAAATGGATTCTGTGGTAAGTGCATCTTTAGCATTGTGTTTATTGAAATGATCTTCCAAGTCATTCTTGTTTTCTGCAATGTAGTCCACGTAGATATCACAAGGATAAGTTGCCCGTGACAATACCTTTTTCACCACTCCCAACTCAAACCTAATCGATCCCATCCACCTCAAGTGTTCAGTACCTATATCTGAGTCTGCAATAATACCGAAACATTGTGATAAAAAGGACAATTTAGTCGGCCTTGATCCTTGAGAAACAGCCATAAGATCGAGTTTTGTTGGCTCTGCCTTCAACATCAAAAACGTCGAAAGGGCTGCATCATTGCTACCGTATGTACTCAAAGTCAATGCATTCCCAGATCCACAAGGAAGTTGGGTCACAGCAATGTTGTCAAATGCGCTCAATCCTCTATCTGGACGTTCATAAAACCCGTTGATAATCTGATGAGGAATCCCATCCCCTGAACAACAAGCAATGATATCATATCGCGAGACGTCTAGCTCTCTCGCTATGTCAACTGCATGTTCGTGATATTTCGTTTCCATATACTGGACAGTTACGTTAGCAGCTCTTAAAATCGGGAGAATTTGGTTCTCGTATATCTCAATGGCCTTCCCTTGACCCCCGTGAGGATTTATTACTACAAGGATGGACGGGGACACCTTGTGTGCCTTGTAAGCCTTAGAAAGAATCAATTGGCTTAAATCTGTCTCCTGGGAGTCGTTATTCAGAAGCTGGCTGATGGAATCTTTAGAATTCTTGATTTGGATGCTGACCTGGTTCGGTCTCACAGGCAGTGCCTTAGGATCCACATATGTTACGTCCATTATGGGCTGGCCGCCAAGAGAGTCCGCTGTAGACGACAATTGGCACCAGATTATTTCATCAAATGGAAGAAAGTTCTTGTTTAGCGATGTTCTGTACGGATTGAACGGTAAGCAGAAAGATAATAGTGAAGACTGAGCCGAAGCTTTCGAGGATTCTAGCTGGTCGAGAATTTCAATCCCATGTTTCGTAATTGAACCCGATAAAACCAACTTTGGCGTATGTATGAGTCTTTCTGAGGACATCAGGTCAAAGAGCTGGACGTACGGAGGAAACTAGATACAGTACACAAGCAGCCTGTCTAGCGTACCATAAAGCGACTTTTTAATTCAGATGAAGCAGTGGTGTTTCCTGCATATAGAAACTTGATTATGCACTAATTCGCGTGATGTCAAAACGAGAAAATCTAGACGTGCACTTCTGATAAGCAGTAGGCTTTTTGCGACGTGAGTGAAATAAGACAAGAGATATACAAAGAATCAACAATATAGTGAACAACCACGAATTGCAATGAGGCAAGGGGATTAAAAGATAAAGAAAAAGAAAAAGAGAACAACGCAGAAAGTAGCCCGTCTATAATGAAACTGAGCCTCGTAGGGATCTCATATTTGTTTAAGGGTCCCCCCGAGATATTTAGCTATCCGGGAGCTCAGGCTACCAGGTCTCAGTATATGCAACACACTTTTGGCATGTTCCTGGTGGGCGCCGTATTCTGGCGCATTCTACCGTATATCGGTGCACACTGCACTGGGTGCACTATGAAAAACCAAACTCTGCCAATCATGTGAAGAGACATGCGCAAGGGAACGGATACTCCAGCACCAAAAAAAACCCAACCTTAAAATGAAGAGATTAAATGGCACCTTCAAGCGGTCCGGGGTCAAAAAAATGTAATGACACACCAACTTCTTCCATACATGAAGAGGTATTGGAAGTGTCTATATGAGTTACCTAGGGGGGTACACTCAGGAGCAGCAAATGCACATTTCTCCCTCCTTTTTCTCGGCTTTTCTTCTTCCTTACCCTTCTTACCCTGTCTCTATACTGTAAATCTATCACCCCTTCTCTTTCCCGCTTAACTACCTTGGCATGAATGTGTATAATCTTATTTTAATTATTTACCCCACGTAGTCGTGCAGCGAGCCAACTTCGTATTGTATGGATTTTTCTAGCGCTTTTCGTGCGGGAGGTGACAGAGCCAAAAAAAAAAAAAAAAAAAAAAAAGACACAGACATACGCAGAGATCACGACTTGGTACCAGACTACTTGACTCTCTAATTAATACAGAACTGTAGACACGTACGTGGTGTTACATGTAAATACAAGGTGCATACATACCTATAGCACTCATCAGTATTTTATATTCATAGGAAATACCAACTGAAAACATCAAACAGCAGGGTCTGTTCGTAGTTTTTGAAGAACGCAAAGGATCTGTCGTACGCACAGTAAGCAATAACATAGCGATAGAAGAACATCAACTAAAACATTACAAAGAAGGCCAGATACACATCGATTATAGGTATATCTGTGTACATAAGTATACGCAAACAAAAAGGAAACACACATAAACACCTTTAATGTGGGCGTTTATTGATAATCTATTTTACGATCAAACGGTGGTGGAGGAATATGACCGGAAAATACGACAAAAGTCGTCTTCTGGTTCGGCTATTATTGTAGGGTTGGTAGCAGCTGTGGGTGGATTCATGTATGGATACGATACTGGGCTAATCAATGATATTATGGAAATGCATTATGTGATAAACCGGTTTGCAGGTGACCCATCTGTAGGCTTCACGGTCCATGAGAGAGCGCTCACAACGGCGATATTGTCATTGGGGACTTTCATAGGTGCGTTGATCGCTCCTTTGTTGTCAGATACGTATGGGCGGAAGACCTCCATTATATTCTCTTCAGGGATTATTTTCAACATAGGAAACATACTACAAATTTCAGCAACAAAGCTCCCCTTACTTTGTGTTGGCAGAGGAGTGTCAGGTGTAGCTGTTGGAATATTGTCAGCTATCGTACCCTTATATCAGTCAGAAGCATCGCCTAAATGGGTCAGAGGTTCTATTATTTTCACTTATCAGTGGGCTATAACGTGGGGCCTTCTTATCGCCAGTGCCATCTGCCAAGGTACCAGAACATTGAAGAGCTCGGGTAGCTTTAGGATCCCTATAGGGTTACAGTTCTTGTGGGCATTAATCTTATGCGTTGGTATGTTATTTTTGCCGGAATCTCCGAGATATTACGTCCAGAAAAATCGTATACAGAGTGCGTTGGAAAGTCTCTCCAAGTTGAGGAGATTACCTTCAGATGATGCTGATTTGATAGAGGAGTTGGTTGACATCAAAGCTAACTACGACTATGAATTATCTTTCGGGAGAACATCTCTATGGGACTGTTTCAGGAATGGTGGTGGTAGACACAAGCAAATCTTAAGAATGATGACTGGGATGGGGATTCAGGCCCTACAGCAATGTTCTGGTATAAATTTCATTTTTTATTATGGAACTAATTTCTTTGCCCTGACTGGTATGAAAAACTATTATTTAATGTCATTCATCACTTATGCGGTGAACATGGTTTTCACTATCCCAGGGATAATATTGGTGGAAATCATTGGTAGGAGGTTGTTGTTACTCGTTGGAGGGTGCGGAATGTCTCTATCAAACTTGATTATTGCTATTGTAGGAATCACAGTGACTAATAACAGTATTTCATCGATTATCTGTATATCGTTTTCATGCATATTTATTGCATTCTTTGCCAGTAGTTGGGGTGGTTGTGTCTGGGCATTGTCCGGAGAAATATTCGGTATCAGTATAAGACAAAAGGCTATCTCGGTATCTGCCGCCAGTAATTGGTTGGTGAATTTCATATTTGCATATATCACACCATATTTGATCGATACTGGGAACCATACCGCTGCCTTGGGGAACAAGATTTTCTTTATATGGGGTGGATTCAATGCAATTGGTGTTGTTTTTGTATACTTTATGGTGTATGAAACCAGAGGATTGAAGTTAGAAGAAGTGGATTTTATGTATGCCAATTGCAAAAGCGCTAGAGATTCATCCAATTTCAAGTCTAACCAAAAGGTTGACCATAATATGCAAGAACCAGCACCAGGTTCGGACGATAAAGATCATTTGGTGACCACCGGTGGTAACAGTTACAATACAGATGAAACCAAGTACGTTGAAAGTAAGTCACAAGACTTCTCACCTTTACAAATGGTTCCAATGATTGTTCATCCCAAATCTTCATCGCCACACCACAGTATGGAAAATGAACAAGCAACTGTTCAACAACCTCCAGTGTACCCGGCATCAATTGACTCAACTAGTGATGCCTCAGCGTCTGATCAAGTAGATGACTACCAGATGTATTTGCATAGTTTAAGAACAGAAATGAGCGAAGGTTTGGATACCTCGTTTACGTCTGCTTCAATATCAAGAGATAAAATGTTTAACCCTACCAAGGCTAACTTTACAGAAGAAGACATCAATAAGGATGCCAATCTTGTGAATCTGAAGACGATAATTGCTGCACCATTTTTCAACGCACCCCCAAGCGATTCGGACACCAGTGACGATGAAAGCAGTAATTAAGGAAACAAACCAAAATAAATTAAATTAATGGAACAAATCAAAAACAAAATTACAGTAAGACAAGCAATATGAGATTGTATGTGAATGGGTATAAAATTCTGATAAGTAATGAAAGTGAAATATGTCAGAGAAAGTAATGATAACTATACGACGGAGAATTTGTCAAATTCAACTCAAAACGAAGGAAACTCAGGTCAGTAACTTCAAATAAATAATGCAGAACACTTTGTAACTTGTAGAAGACGATTTGTATCACATCTCAAATGGACCTACACTGAACTCTTAAAAACATGAATATAATTATACGAAGTGATAAACTTAAAATAAACTTAAAAAATAAGTGAACTAAACCCTACTTAATACAAAGTGTTGGAAAATATATAATGCACTCACTGGGATCGATTAGGGAGGTATCATATTGTGGTGGGTATGGTGTGAGGATTGTTTTTTTTTTTATTCCAATTATTTTTCAATTTCTCTCTCTTGCTTTTAGTCGTTTCTCTTCTCTAAGCTTCAACCACCTTAAACCTTTGAAGAAGTTCTACCGAACAAACCACCTCTGGAAAGGGAGATGACGGAGAAAATCAAGGAAGCAAGGAAAATAAAGAAGGAGAAGTAAAGGAAAGCAGTGGAAGCTTGGGCCTTTCTACAACGACCGGAGGAACCTTGAGTAATCTTGTTACCATCCAAGTAATCTTGGTTAGAACAAGAGTGGACTCTAATACCAGCAGCGACAGCAGTGGCTGCAGCAAAGGTAAACACCAAGTTTAAGAAGTCAAAAGTGGCTAAAACAACAGGCCAGGCAAATGCTTCGAAAATGTATGCCAAAATCCCATAGAATGAGGATGTTAAGATGGCGAATGCTGCAGCGAAAACTGCAAAGTTGACCTGTGGGTTGTTGTTACCTTGAGCAACAAGGGAACCGGTCAAACCTAAAGTAATCACAAGGATCACAAAATTAATGATACGGAGAACGGAGTCACCAATTGCCAACATCTTTTAATCTGTAATTGTTATAAATAAGCAAATAATTGAAAAGTAATTAAAAGAACTACTTTACTTTATTTTATGTATTTTTCGAAAAAGTTTGTTGTTTTTCGTTATTCCCTTTTTTTGAATTTTCCTTCCTTTTTAGATAATTTCTGGTTTATTTTATTTTTTTTTTTTTTCAGTCTATATTATTAATTATAACAAAGGGTAAAAAAAAAAAATAATAATAATAATAACAGGGTATGTACTTAGTCGTGAAACAGAACTCGTTTGCTATTAGATAGGTCAATTAGACGAAAGATTCTTGTGTCGAATTGATGAGGATATTAAGTAAGAAAAGAGGAAGAAGAGAAAAAAAGAAAGGAGTTGAAAAAAAAGTAACACACTTGATATCAAGGATACTCTAAAGGATATATAATCCTTCTCAGCAGTGGTCTGGTCACAGACGGAAAGTTAAGCTTGCTCCATTTGCTGTGGCCTGCATGGATAATTTTAGGATGAAGTCATAGCTGCAGTTAATAGTGCGAATGAGACGATGAATGGTCCTAATTGGGAATCTTCAATAACATTCTGTGCGGGATATGTAAAAGCTATGAGCCGCTTACCAATAGAAATGAAAGTGAGCCTCACGCCCCCTACATTTTTCAATCTAGGGATGTTTATGAGCTCCCTTTTTCGGTCATTGCTTCCAGAGAACAATCGGTTCGCTCGGGGGGTAAACTTTATCAGCAGAGAGCAATGTGTGGGTGTGGGGGTTATGCTGTCGTTCGAGCAGTACTACTGTGGGACTTTCTCTCTAGTGTCTCTCCATCTTCATTCGGAAAACTGCTAATGTCTGCACTATCACTACAGAGCTGTTTTTTTTCCTCGACCTACATACGTATGGACACATTGGGCCCAGATAGGCAAGTGAAGCAAAAAAAATAAAAGAAGGAAAACATCTAAGATAGAGCAAGATGCAGCGACGGAGGTGTTGGTGGTAGTGGTGGTTACGGTTGTGGTTGTGGTTGTGGTGTAGGTGGTGGTGGTGGTTTGTGCTGAACCGGCTGTGCTTCCTATATATTTAATCCCTCTCTCCCCAGTTGTTCGGTCCCTCCTAGGTAATATCCAATCCCATCTGCATAATTTTAATATTTCTGGTCGCATAGTCTAACTCTGTGCGCCCCGAGCACATTCAACACACACACCCACACACTCACTCACTCACTCACTCACTCACTCACTCACTTCGACCTTATATCTTCCACCCATTGTCTCTCTCGCAGGTAAGAACAGGTTCGTCCGGCTCAATGCTTTTATTCCTCACTAAGTATATTACGTGAGTCTTAAAGTTGGTGTTCAATTCTGTCATCAAACGTACGTCAATAGAGTTATTGGGACCAATTCCACTGAAACGAGTTATGCTACACTTGCTCCCATGCCATTCGCTATCCTTTCTCTACATAATTGCTTATCTCCGTGCTTCTTGAAAGCCATCTTCATGCATTGCGAAACTCGGAGATTATGGGCAGTAATTGGCCCATACATGTTCCAAGTCATCTCTTCAGATGAGCATCCGAAGCTACGAATCCAATCAGAGTACGAGGTTTGGTACATATATTTATTGTATTCCATTATTCATGCAGTTCAGGAGTCATGAGCTTTTCGGTTTGCAGCCACACATCAATATCTTCCTATTTAGTTGGTCTTCTTACTTTCGTTATTCTTTTTTTTTTTTTTTCATTTCTTCATTTCTTCATTTATTCAATTGCTCCGTGTGCCTTAAGTACACTCACAACTTCAGTCCAACCTTCAGCTTCTGCATGTTTTAATGCAGTCCAATCCTCTGAATCTGTTGCGTTGACATTAACTCCGCTCTTGAGTAACAATTCTACAATTCTAACTGAACCGACACTAGCAGCTCTGTGCAACGGGGTATACCCCATTTTATCTTTTATACGAGTCTTACATTTATACTTCTCAATTGCTAATTTGGCTATGTCATATCTTTGCTTGCTGCAAGCAAGATGCAAAACCGTCGTACCTTGATTGGTTTGAAAATCTATATCGGGCTTGGGGTCATGGTTCATCAAAAGCTCAAATATTTTTTCATTTCCAACTGAAGCTGCAATATGCAAAGGTGTCCAACCACTTAAATCTACAAGCTCGTCAATGTCAATTTCTTTACCTCCTCTCGGTTTCAAAATGCACATTACGATTTCAATGTGTTGCAGAGAAGTAGCCCAATGGAGAGCAGTCCTCCCATCTTGATCTTGGGAAAACACCAACTTGGGATTTTCTGTAAGTAAACCCTCTACCGTAAGTATTTTCCCATCCCTAGCAGCTTCTTGAATTTGATACTCTGACATGTTTGCCAGTCCTTACGATGTGGCAAAAGATTTGAAAAAAAAATGCTATCAACAGCTTTTATGCGTATATTATGTTACACAAAACCGAACATATAGTATGGTCTAGTATATGGGGTAATCATGATAAGTTGAATGTGATGGAGTGGTGGATTGAAGAAGAATGCCATTTGTGTTACCAAATTACATACTTAGTACCTCGCCAACGGTGCTGATTATTCGCTCTTTACCTTTTTAGGATCTTACTTTCTAGAAAGAGGAATTTTGTCAATGTCATATTATAATTTGGACCTGCTTTTGGTAATCTGGGGTATATATTCTACTTGAGACGAGTCTTCCTATTATGCTGCATAGTTCACATTTTTTGATATACTTTCACTTCAGTTTAAAGTTCCCTTCTTACATATGCCTATTACATATTTTTATGTCTGTTCTATTATTATGTATAAAAGCACCTTTCGGATCATTTCCTACCTTTTACTCTTACGCTGTTGCTTTTCCTTCTCATACTGGTTTTTCTCAGCACCTTCTATAGTACTGATAGAATTAACAATGCTTGCCATCTTCTTGTGATATGTTTCGTACATATCTTTCTTTTCCTTGATTTGCTCACGAGCAACAAATCTAGATTCCTTTCTGAGATCCTTAAGGGTACTCTTCTTCTCTTTCTTGAGTTGCGCCTTCATCTTACCAATTTCTTGTCTTTCTCTATTTACATCGTAAGATTTCTTATCTGGGTTGAAGTTTTCTTCGAACTTAGGCGCAAATGTTGCAATTGCGAGGGCCTTGTGATGCTGTAATGTCAATGGTTTTCTATCATTCAAGGCAAATCTCTCCAATTTGTCCAATTTGTTAAGCAATTCAGGCAATTGCTTTATTTGGGCTGAATAATACTTCACAGTATGCTTTAAAATGGCTTTGAATGCAGAAACAATTTCAGGTAATGCATTGGTCTCCTTCCAAATCTCAAGGTAGTTACCAATAAGCGAAACTGTCTTTTGTAAAAGTTCAAACTTATCTTGTAACGTAGGCTTTACCTTGTAGAGTGTTTGCAATGAAATTGAACCGGTAGATTTACTGGCCTTAATTGATTTTGGAAGTGTGTTTACAGTTTCAACCACTTCAATTATGTTTAATTTATTTTGCTCAGCTATTTTCGTTGGTTCTGGGACAAGGGAAAGTAGCACTTTTTCCAACCCTTGCAATGCCTCAGGAACTATTCTTTTCGAAAATGTGGTATATTTCAATAAAATTTCACTGATGAAAACTGTAGTGAAGACCTGTTGAAATTGAATGCCTGAATTATATTGAATTCCACTTAATGTTTCGTTCATAAGAATTAAAGTAGGAGTAACAACCAAATGGTAGTGATCAGATGATGAGAAAACATATCCGACGATGGTATAGAATACTAAATCCATTGATTCGTATTTCTGCTCCATGATTCTTTCTTGTATTTTAAGAATCGTTCCCCTAATTGATTCAACTAATGGTTCATTGTACTTTTCGGAAAGCTCCTTTAACTTTTGGATTAATTTGTTAATCAAGTCATTATTGGACGCTAAGTAGTGTTCTGGTTCATTCAAGTAGAGGATGTGATCTAAAAGGATACATGTGAATTGACCCATTTTCTCTTTATTGCCAGCTGCCAATCTTGGCTGGTACACCTGGATTATCTTGTCAATGAACGCAGGCTGCTTATCAGTTTCGATGCCAGCAATCATGGAAGCAAATTCAGCATGAGTGGAGGGCATAGACACTACAGTACGAGTTTTTTTGGCTCTGCCACTGCCGTTTGATCCATCTTCATCTTCACTTGCATCTTCATCTTCTACTTCCTCTTCTTCTTCGTCTTCACTGTCACCACCTTCTTCGCTTCCATTCCAGAAATCATCATCCAAATCGTCTCCTTCCTTATCTCTGTCATCGGCTATTCCATTCATTCTATTCAATCTGGCAGTTTCCAACTGCTTCATTCTGTCGTCATGCTCCTTTTGAATTTCCTCAGCTGTCTTAGTTCTATCGGCTGGTACAGATCTTCTGTCATAGGTCAATTCTCTGACCTTGTTGTCGTACTCGATTTCTTCAGGTTTCTTTTCCAGGAACTGCTTCTTAGGAATCTTGGCAGCAGTAGAGTTGAGATCTTGCATGATGTCTTCGAAATCTTCATCTAAGTCCATAATGTCATCCAAAGCCTTCTGATGCTCTTGTTGTCTTTGGTTCTTGTGGAATTTGGACTTGGCAATAATTTCCTTCATAACTTCAGCCTTAGTCTTTTTACGTTGAGGTTGATCTTCGATAGGCATCAACCCTTGGTCCTCCTCGTCAATTCCCCATCCTCTTTTTCTTTCATCATTGTCATCCTCTGCTTCATCTAATGCTAACGACTTACCATAATGGGTCAAAACAAACCCATCATCATCTTCGTCATCGCCTTCGTCGTCACTTCCTAAAGAGAATACGTTCTTCTTGGATTGTCTTTCCCTTTCCTTGGTAAATCTTTCCAACATCTTCTCTTCATTGGTCATGTTTTTATTACTCTCCCCAAATCTTCTATCCACAACTCCACCTGTTTTGCCATGTCTTGATTTATTGGCCCCATATTGTAACTTGAGGTTTTCTTCCATCACTGATCTTGATCTTGTGGAGTTATTATGCTGAGCAGTTCCCGCCTTAACGAATTTTCCGCCTTGAATCACAGTATAATCTTTCTTTGTCCTATTAGTCTTGGTATCAAACTTATTAAACTGTTGTCTGATATTTGAAATAATTTCTTCTCTGTCATCTCTTCTTATTTCAGTTGCAGTTCTTGATTTCTTATTTTTTTTGCTGTTAGCTTGTCCTGTGAGACCATTAGTCTTCAACGCAGCCTTGAGCTGCTTAAGCTGAGACCCTGCCATACTTAATGATGAGTGAATTGACTACTGGTTCTTCCTCTTCGCTTGGTTTTTTTTTTGGTACTCCATCTCAAAAATTGTACGAAACCATCGTGCGGCTCAGGTTACACAAAAGAAGAAAAATCATAGCGATCGAGAAAAAAAAAATATTTGCACCCATTTCTAGAGCTGATGAAACTCCATATATGTTGTGAAGGTCTTAATATAGAGAAAGTGTAGTTGTATATCTATATTCTACATGGTAAGCACTGTTTATGGGATTTCAACATTAAGGTGTGACAGATTTGCCATTTTCAGTTCATCTGTGATTCATTATATGCTACTTAGAGACTACCTGCCTATATCGGTGTGCTTGTAAAACTGATTGAGCATCCCAATTACTCCTGATTTTTGGGCTTTTGGTTCCTCTATGTCATCAAATTTATAATTTATATTATACATGGATTCGGCCATACTGTGATCGATCATCAGCTCAGGAACATTCCTTTGTCTTGGAACATTTGGTTGAATATCAGTTTTCGGCGACTTAGATGGATTGAGTTGACCCTTTTGATTGTTGATCTTGGAAGCAGGTTTTTTTTTATTATCGTAGCTTTCTAAGAAATACATGTAAGACTTGATCATCTTCTCATCTTGATAAGAGTCGTAATTGAGATCAGAGTCATCGGAATCATCAGATTCATACTCATCGCTGACCTTTGCCTTACCCTTTCTCTTCTTGAGTAAATCAAGTTCAGTGTCACCTGGAGCAGCATCTTGTCCTCCACTTCTTCTACTATTGCGGTGATTTCTCTTCTTCTTCTTCTTCTTATTCAAATCGTACATCATATTCTTATCCTTCTCTTCGAAGTTAAACATGGCAAAATAACAAACATATCCTAAACCATCAACGTGAATAGAGTAGTCTCTGAAAAAATCTATAATCAAAGAAGATGAATTGGCAATATTGAACCATAGAATGAAGGGAGTCAATACCAAACTCATCAATTCATTGAGTATGGTCAAAACTTTCAATCTGTACATGTCACAGAATTCATTCTTAACCTCAATGGTATGCAATTTACCATTCCACGATGAAGGGAGATAATGAGTGAATTGAGATACATACCTAAGGCTAGCTTCAGGATCATAGAAGAATGTATCAGTGTACCCACCTGCACCACCACCTCCGCCACCTCCAACTCCTGAGGCTCCGTCAATGGAAATCCCATTTTCATCGCCAGAGTCAGAACCAACGTTGGTAATGGCCCAAATGGTACCAAAGATACTGATGTAGAACAAGCTTGATTTATTTTCACTCAACTCAAAGGACCAAAAATTGTGCTCTTCATCGTCGAACCATAACCCAAATATAACTAATATGGCCATAAAGGAGCCAGATATAAAATTAACCAACTTCATTGTATTGATGACAAGAAACCCACGAGGGAACTGATTTATGTACGTGTTTGCCGGTTTGATCGATAACTGTAGTCTTTTCAAAAAGAAGTGTTGCAATTCATTGAATTCTCTCAACTTCCATTCAGCTAATGGTGTATATTGCCTAATTCCCAAGAGCGAACCGGGGTTAGTTTTGTATTCATTGAAATACTTAAAAAAGTACAATAACACGAAATAGGTTACAATGAAGGGACAAAGGATCAAGTTGATAATTGCAGCCATCTGAAATCTTGATTTCAATTCCAAGCTTAGCTTGTTTCTGTTAACTTCCTTTAAAATACTAGGATTAATCTGTCCGTGCTGATTGAATACGAAGTTATTAATACAGAGCTGCAAATTCCATTCCAAGGTTCTTGTGAGTGTATTGACTGGGAAGAAAGGTAGCTTCAAGTTAAAGTCCAACACATTCTTGTTAATCAATCCAATCATATAGTTTTCTTTTCTCATGATTCTATTGGCAATGTCATGAGCATCGAGTCTAACCTTAGAACTCAAGTCATTGATGTAGTGAGGATCCTTAGAAGTGGTAAGTCCATTGTAGTCCTTCAATAGCATAAGTCTTTCAACTATAGTAGACCAAGAGATGGTCATTAATTCATTGTCGTCCGAGATATTAATCAAGTACTTATAAAAGTTATGTATTTCTCTCAATTTATAATTCAAATCGAAGTAAAGTTGGACCAATCTTAAGACGATGTATGCAATGAACCCTGTCAAGAAGAACTTGACAGAAAATGGCAAATGTAAAGGTTTCAATATGGCATGAAGCGTTATAGGAATGGTACTATCATGTCTTTGAAGAAAAGCGTCATAGTCAATGCCATACTTGAGGAAAATGGTAAAGCTTAAGATAAAGACAAGGATAAGCAAGTCGACTATCCTGGTTAATGCAATGTTTAAATACCCATTCCCTCTGTAGTAGTAGTAGATATCTTGGAGGAATTCATCCATGTTAATGATGTTGGCCCATAGATATAATGCTCTTTCCTTGGGTGGGATGACCAAGTTATTATGACGATTCTTTTTCTGGAACACTGTTTGAATGGAGGGTGAGGTGGACTGCTGCGCAGGCTTCTTGTGGTAGAGGGGAAGTTCGAATGCAACGGCCCCTCGGTTATTATTAGTAGCATTAGTAGCTACTATTGGAGGCGCTCCACTGCCTACATTAGCCTGCTTGTTATTGAAAATTGTAGACACAAACGATTTGCTTTGGGGTTGTTGTTGCTGCTGTTGCTGTAGCTGTTGTGGCTGTTGGTTGGTCGGAGCGAGTAGGTTCGAGTTGAGTGAGATATCCCCAAATCCAGAACCTTCTTCATCTTCGTCTTCTACATCATAGTCATCGTCATCATCCAGACCATTGTCTGAATCTAGCAAGTTGTTAGTGTTTTTAATGGTATTCTTGTTCGAAGGTGGATCTAGTATGCCAGATACCAAACCTGTGCTCCCCAATCTGTCATATGTATCTCCCGATTGTTCCTCCTCGTCGTCATAGTATTGATAGTTGTCATTTATTTGATTGTAAACAGAATGAAGTCCAAATACCCTGGAAAGGAACGTATCACTCTGCTGGTAGTCAGGCATTTCCCAATGAGTTTACCGTGTAGGAGAAGTCATCTAGTAAAGAAGGCAACCGAGATAAGGCGTGGAGATTAGGAAAGCAATATGCGGTGTGCATATGGGAATCAGATGGACTGCATATGAAAAAAATTAAAAAATGTATGCAGGACAGTTCAATTTAGGTCTACTAAGTAAAATCGAGTTATGTGCAGGAATCAAAACACCTTAGTACGTGTCGGTGAAATATGAATGCTAGCCAGATTTGCACAGAGAAGAGTGTATGAGAGGAAATTGGCTAGTTGGACTGGCCGAGAGCCATGACGAGCACCTCAGACTAGAAAAATGGGCCATATAATAAAGTGAAGAAAAACAACTAAAATTGGCAAAGACGCAGTAATGAATTAGTAGTAGATTAGAGCCTAGGACTAGAATTAAAATGCTGACACGCCCCGTTTGAATTAAAGCAAAAGTATTTTATAGGCAATTTCACAGTCGCTCATCCCACGGATTAATAATAAAGCGCCTAACGAGTGGTTACAGGCAAACAAGAAGACATTACCGGAGACAAGCGTTACTATTATCTCAACGTACATTGGATTGACACATGCTCAAAACCGCACTACAATTTCACCCATCTATCACCCACCACCACTCACTCGCACATTCCACATTCTTCCCGACTGGCTTAGGATTTGACACGAAAATATCCAACTGCAGAGATGGAATAGCCTAAAAGAAGCAAAAACAACCAAAAAAAGAAGAAAAAAAAAAAGAAAAGCAAATTACGTCAAGTCGAGCACTGGGTGAGAAAAAGCCTAGATGAGCCTAACGCGATCGGTTGACGGATGGGCTAAAGGATGGCTTGTAGGCTAGCATCTCCCCCTACAACAAAAACAACTGAGACCCATGCGTTACCGCAACACGGTGTCAAGAATATTTGGCCCATTATGTGCCCTAAGCCAAACGCTTACCATTCTGTTCCACGTTCACAGAGCTAGGAGCAGTCTTCATGTAGATGCTGCATTTGGGTGCTCCTATTGATGCTCAGCTAGCGACATTGTTGCCCTGAGTTCGTTTATTTTTATTTTTTCTTGCTACTTTTTAACTCTATTTTTGCTACGCTTTCTTGCTTTTGGTGTCTCAAACTCCCTAAAAATGGCGCGTTTGACCACTGTTTTCCTCGACTCAGCCTTAGCAAATCCTCAAGGCTTGTGCGAGCTCGACTGTGCTTACGCAGTCTCCTAGCGAAAAACTATTTTTAACCAATTGATGGGAAAAGAAAGTTTCATCAGATAGCGATCCAGATCACCGTAACCTAATTTCTACACTGACAACTTTACCGTATTTGCAAAGTTTATGTCGCAAGTAGTACCCTTCGGTAGTAGAGTGGAGCTGTGATAAGCAGCACGTACTCTATTTTGGACTTACTAGATTACTATTTAATCAGATTTATGTTTCCCCTTGCTCTCTTTTCAAAGCTTCCTGGAAAATTTTTCTATTCCTTTTTCCTTTTATTTTTTTTTTTTTTTCTTTGTTTTACGTACTATAATCTTGCATATTTTTCATTTCTTTTTTTGTTCTTTTCCTGGTCTGTTTTCATTTTGGGTTGATTTTCGTTTCCAGATCAGAAAGGAAAGGAAAAAAAAGACAGGGAGCAAAAAAAAAACTGTTCAGTACAGCTACTTCTCTTTTCGCTAAAGGGGACACTTCAAGAAGAACAGAACACCCACTCATCGCATCGATATTGGCACAGTTATTGCACTCGGGCCATTTATTATAGACATACCAACAGGCCCAAGCCAAAACCAAGAAAAAAAGCACGTCCTTTTTCTTCTTCATAGTTTTTTTTTTCTTAACTTTCAGACGGGATCCTTCCCTGCCTAAGCTCCATTCGTTACAACAGCTGGTTAGTAGAACTGCGTTATGCGTGATCTCACCAACAACAGGTCGGTTGAACCAGAACAACAGCCAGTTTCAAATCCCTTTGAAGACGAGAACTCACCATCTTTCGAATCCTGTAGACAGTCCCTGGGCTCTGACGATGAGAACTCTCACTATGGGAAGCCATTCAATGCTTACAATGGATACTACTCCGAAAATGGCACAGCACAGAATTTACTTTTAAATCACAATAATTCCACTGATAATCACCTTCTCGACATCGGAAGCAACCACCCAGGAAGGGACTCTGGCAGCAACGGCGGTGCTGATTCCCCCGGTTCGAATAATTTGTTCGTTCCTCCAGAGTATGACAGGTACCCTTCCTTAGCAAACTCAAGAGTCGTCTCATCCACCTCACTAAACAGACATTCAAACTTGCAGAGTCCCTTGTATGAAAAGCACATCCACGACCAAAATGGTAGCGGAATGGAAGACTCTTCTTCACAAACCAACCCATTCCTCGTCTCTACTGATTTCAGTCCATTTGGAGGATATCCAGCATCGTCCTTCCCATTGCACATCGATGAGAAAGAACCGGACGATTATCTTCATAATCCTGACCCTATAGCCGACGCTGAGTACGACAAGAACAGGTTTATGCATGATTTGAAGAATATGGATAGAAGATCACTTGGTGGTCTCATTGGGATCATTTGCCTTTTCATTGCTGCCGTTGTAGTTTTCATTTTATTACCAGTCTTCTTTTACGCTGTTAATTATACTTCAACGCCAGAAAGTTATGAAATCTTAACGAACTACGAGTACCCAACATTGAGCGCAATCAGGACCAGTTTAATTGATCCTGATACCCCTAGTGCCAACAAGGTTAGAACAACATCAACAGGTGAAGAATGGACTTTGGTTTTTTCCGACGAATTTAATGCTGAAGGTAGAACATTCTACGAAGATGATGATCAATTCTGGAATGCTCCAGATTTAAATTATGCTGCTACAAAGGATTTAGAATGGTATGATCCAGATGCAGTGACCACTGCTAACGGTACATTGATTTTGAGAATGGATGCTTATAAGAATCATGATTTATTCTACAGATCTGGAATGGTCCAGTCTTGGAATAAATTCTGTTTCACACAAGGTTTATTGGAAATTTCCGCTAGATTACCCAACTACGGTAACGTCACTGGTTTGTGGCCCGGTTTATGGTCAATGGGTAATTTGGGAAGACCAGGCTATATGGCTACCACTGAAGGTGTTTGGCCATACTCATATGATGCCTGTGATGCAGGTATTACCCCTAATCAGTCTTCTCCTGATGGTATTTCTTATTTACCAGGACAAAGATTAAACTCCTGTACCTGTAAAGGAGCTGATCATCCTAATGCAGGTACTGGTAGAGGTGCCCCAGAAATCGATGTAATTGAAGGTGAAGTCGATACTACGGTTAAGGTCGGTGTTGCTTCTCAATCATTACAAATTGCTCCTTTTGACATTTGGTACATGCCTGACTATAGTTGGATTGAGATTCACAACGCTTCAACGACAACCATGAATACTTATGCTGGTGGACCGTTCCAACAAGCTGTGTCTGCAACGACTACTTTGAATACCACTTGGTATGAATTTGGATCAGGAGAGCACAATTTTCAAAGGTATGGTTTTGAATACTTAAATGATGATGACGATGGATATTTGACTTGGTACGTTGGATTAAACCCAACTATGACTATTCATGCAAATGCCTTACATGCAAACGGTAATATTGGTGCAAGAAGACTTTCAAAAGAACCAATGTCTTTGGTTTTGAACTTGGGTATTTCCAACAATTGGGCATATATCGATTGGGCATCGCTTAATTTCCCTGTTGAATTCCATATTGACTACGTGAGAGTATATCAACCGGATGATGAAATCAACGTTACCTGTGATCCTACTGATTACCCAACATATGATTATATTGAAGAGCATTTGAATGCCTATTCAAATAACAACTTGACATCCTGGGCATTGGCAGGCTATACCATGCCAAAGAATAAATTGACAGGTGGCTGTAGTACCTAAAAGGAAATGAAAAGAAACAAAATAAAGAAAAAAAAAAGATAAACATCAGGAGGTGACTTCGATAGAAGGTTGTAAATTATTATTAATGGATCATTTATTCATACATCCATCCATACACATATCAGTTGTACCGAAGTTACGTGTACGGACAGCTGGCAATACATATGTATATGCTATATAGACATAGAAATATGTAAGTTAACAGAAATGTTCTTATATACAAGAAAATATTCATAAACATTGTAGTTATTCTTTGTATTTCCCAAAGCATAAGGAGCTATTGACTCCTCCGAAACCAAAGGAGTTATTTAATGCATAATTCACTTCCTTTTCTTTGCTGTTATTGGGCACATAGTCGAATCTTTCGAATTCAGATTTATCATCTTGACCGTGTCCGCCTACGTTATTTAAATTTAAGGTTGCAGGAATTTTGTTATCCTTTACAGATTTGATAGTGAAAATACTCTCCACAGCTCCTGCTGCACCCAATAAATGACCAATAGATGACTTTGTTGACGATATAGATATTTTATCATTCGTATCAAATAGCGCATTGAATGCCCGGTTCTCTGCCTTATCTCCCAAAACCGTAGACGTAGCATGGGCATTCACATAGTCGATGTCATTTGGGGTAACTTTCCCTTTAGTTCTTGATATGGCACTCTCCATAGCTCTTCTGGCTCCATTCCCATCTTCAGATGGGGCAGTTATGTGACTTGCATCACCTGAAAGGCCGTATCCTAACACCTCTGCGTATATATCATCCTTAGTCAAGCCTCTAGCCAAAGCATGTTCCAATTCCTCTAAGATTACAATTCCACATCCTTCAGATAAGACAAATCCACTCCTCGAAGCATCAAATGGTCTACTTGCCAATTCCGGTTGATCATTAGAATCTACTACTACTGATTTGGCTCTTGCAAAGCCTGCAAGTGCTAAAGGGTTAATTGAAGCTTCAGTACCTCCACATATCATAACTTTGGAGTGTCCTAAAGTAATGAAATTGTATGCATCTCCTATTGAATGTAAACCTGTAGCACATGCAGAAGATACAGAATGATTAACACCTCTAATACCGTACTTGATAGAGATGTTTCCCGCAGCCATATTGCTTAGTAACCTGGGAATGAATAAAGGTTGAACTTTTTTGAATCCCTTTTCATGGAAATTGATAGCATTAGTATAACTGTCATCAAACGAGCCTATACCGCTCCCCACTGCAACTCCCGTATCTGTTTGATCTAAATCAGACTTAGGGAACCAATTTGCATCGGTCAATGCCTCTTGGGTTGCAGCCAATGCATACTGGGCAAACCTAGCAATTCTTCTAGAGTCACTAACATGCTCAAAATGGTCTCCTACAGACCATTTTCCTTCTTCGATAGAACCCTCGGGAATTTTACCAACAACTTGCGATGGAATACTTGACCAGCCTGCAGATTCATAATCAGGAAATGTACTAGTTGAGATGAGGCCAGATTTGTTTGCGAGAAGATTAGACCAAGACTTTTTAACTCCAACTCCTAGAGGAGTAATAAGCCCTAGCCCTGTAACTACAACTCTACTCATAGAAGAATGTATCAATAAGGCTAAGCTCAAATCAGAGGAGAGTAGCAAAGAAAGTCATCTATCGAACTAGTCTCGAGATTTTTTTTCTGGGGAAGAGTGAAAAATTATTTGCGCTCTCAGATTCATATAGCCGTTAAAGGATGAACATGAATAGACTTGGGTAGTAGTGCCATACTGCGAGGAACAGGCCCAAGTGGATCATTAGGCCCTGTATGCAGCTGGATTACCTTGGAATAGACTTTGCTTGTACCTACAGGTCTACATGGAAAGGAAACATAGCTCCCAGATTTCCCATTATGCTCCAGTGAATTTTTTAAACTCTATATAATTGCTTAAGGACTTCATAGTATACTTCAACTCTCTTTTGAGGACCCACTATGTAATTTTTAGTACTTTCTGCAATGTGTTTTGGGATGGAATAATAGTTACATATCAAAAACCAAATTCTGTAACACTTCGCTTCGTCTTCTATATCTCCATGGATATGTACTTCCATTTTTCGTACGAAATCTTCACCTGTATCACTGTCAATATTGAACTTCCTTTTGGAGTATTCTTGTCGTAAAAGAGGCTCAAGGAAGTCAAGTAAGCTCTTCTTCTTCAAGTTAACAGTTAATTTTGGATTCTTCTTCTTTTCACTTTTCTCATAAACTCTGAATTCTTTCAACATTAAAGAGTATTCTCGAAAGAGGCCCTCACATTTGGCCTCGGAAAGCAAAGAACTGAAGTTTTCGATTTCAGTCCTCATTTCTCTCTTGAAATCCACATAGTACTGCTTAGTTTTATCCTTATTTTCCTGTAAAAATTTCAAATATAATTGAATACTTGTTGGAAAAGAGGGACTCCCAACTTGTTTAACCTGAAATTCTTCGTTTATATTTTCACCATGCTCTTCAATGTCAACGGAATCAGCCTTCGATTTAACCCACGAATTGAACAACTCTTCCCTTAAAGTGCTTTCAACAGAATAGTACCTCAGATCTTTGATAAAGTCATCTAAAAGCTCTTCCTCGACCAAGAACCAAGGGTCATAGATGGAAATCTTAGACTCTAGAGAATCAAGAAGCGAATTGAAAGCGGACAGATCCTCGCCTGATCCATTGAGATCATCATCCGACAAATCTAAGTCTAGATCGTTTTCTACGTCAGTGCTGGAATGTAAGTCCTCGCTATTGTCACCTTGACCATCTTCTTCTTTCTCGCCAGCTTCTTTCTCCTCAGCTTCTTTCTCGCCAGATTCTTTCTCGCCAGATTCTATTTCGTCAGCTTCAGTACGACTAGCATCGTCTTTCACATCAACAGAATTAGTAACGACTTCTTCCAGTTCGTCTTCGTCTTCACTAGATGAATATCCTAGGGCTAGCCCGACTCTTGATTCACCTCCGATAGTACCACCAGTGTCAAGTTCAGGTTCAGCTGCAGAATCTTTCCCTTGTGCTGCTTCCTTTTCTGGCGCCAAGTACCCTTCTTCTTTCAATAAGTCAGAAAGAAAAGTATCCCTTTCTTGTACGTAGGTATCATCTTGACTGAAGTCTTCCTTATCACTAGCTACTTCAATATCTTCCGCCTTATCGACATTTCCAGCCTTGGCCTCATTAGCCTTTTGTATCACGGCACGGTCATCGGTTAGTTTGAGACCGTTTGCTTTGGCGACCAATGTCAGAACTTCATCGTAATCTATATTGTTTATAATGCTTTCGTCAACTCCAATACTGAACAAGTCCGATAACTGCCAATACGACTTCTTGGTAATTTTGTTAAAGTAGAAATGTCTACCGGTGGAAGTGATTATGATATACCATCTCTCCTCGCCGTCCCTTTCTTTAAACGGCACTAGATACTTGAATTTAGGCTTACCACTCATACACACCAAGAAGACTACAAGAATATTAACTTTTCGTAATTCATTTATATATAGTACATAGTGCGAATATTTATGCTGTTTTCATTTTTTTGTTGCTTTTACTTTTTGTATTGTACTTATGAGATGCAATCAATTTTCCTACAGTGTGTCTGTCAATTCATACCAGGAGTGTGTCTCGACATTTGTTGATCATTATCTTTTTCTTTTCCACAGCAAATAGATGAACAAAAATGAGGATCTCCATTAATTAAGAAAATTGTTTTCAGTATGATGAAGAAGTTCAAAACTTTTTTTTGACTTCTCCATTAAAAATTTATGTGTGTTTTTTTTTTTCTTAGTTTAGTTAGTTCTTCGTAGCATAATGAATTAGCTAACCAACATGTTTACACTCATTTTCATTCTCTTTTTCTCTGGTGTGTCGTAACCTTGTGCCATTATTTGGCCCTCTTGAAGTCGTATACCATCGATTTGTTCTCCTTGAACATGGCCAGCTCCACTCTGCGGTATATGCTTGTATTGCAGCTGCTGCATGGGTATTTCCAGCTGCAGATGGTGCAGCATGGACAGCAGCAGCAGCATCAGCCTTTGTTCATCGTCTTCTTCGTCGGGACCTTGAACTTGCTGCACTAAAGGAAGTTGGTGGTGCAATTGTGGATGCAATCCTGGTGGCAGTTGCTCGGACTCATTATCTGCATCGTTTTCATCGTCCCCAGCACCAATTCTTTGGTCTTCCCTCGCGCTTCGCTTATACAGTTTTCGTATTCTGCTAACGGCTCTCTCAGAGCCCTGATGCAAGTTTTTCGCATGCCTCAACAACAAATCTCTTCTCAGAAATGGCCTATGGCATATCCCACATACAAAGGGTTTTAATTTGTTGTGTGTCAGTAATGTGTGCCTTGTGAGGTGTTCCTCTCTGGTGAATGCCCTGTTACATTGCTTACAATTGAATAATCTTGCATTTCCCGAGGCGGTGCGAGAACCATAGTTGGCATGATCATCAACAGGCTGGTCGGAATCAATAATTTTTTTGATTGAAGACATACTTTTTCAAAGTCCACTAGCCAACTTAACGGTTCGATTTACTCTACAATATATATGTGTATATATATGGGGGATCTAAAAGTTTAAAAAAATTCGCAACTTCACTGGTCTGTTCGCGTGGAGTAGATGTACAAGGGCGTTTCTCTTGGATACTTTCTTTAATTGTCACTATAATCTGCAAAAGAAAACAACCTCACTTGAGAAAGAAGACTAGCAGAATAATAAAAGATTCCGAAACGACTAGGTTGAACCATTTTCTATGATAATATCGAATGTACTCCCCACCAAAAAAAAAAAAATCCACTCCCCACTTTATTCTGTACCCCGCAAAACGCAGACTGCGACACATTCAAACAGCAGGAGAACCGACTTCTAGGGGAAACCTTAAATTTAAGAAGTAGAAAAGAAACGAAGTACTATTGTAAGAAAATGTGTAGATGAGCTGGAGCGCAAGAAAGCGTACAACGTAGAAATGGGGAACATGGCAGAATTAAATAAATCAGAAATTGTGACGTGGAAGCAAGGGTAGAGATGGAGTTTAGAGTGAGTACGATACTTGATAGTAAGAAAGATTTCACTACTGTGTGAAAAAAAATAAAAAAAGCAAACAGTGTGAAGTCCTTAAAAGTAGAAGTGAGCAGCTCTGAGTAGAAATACCCATTTTTGTAGATTCCTTTCCTTTCCTTGAACGGGACTCTCCCTTTTTTAACCTTTTGCCTTTCTGCTCTTTTGCTTGTTTGCTTCTTTGCTTCTTTGCTTTTTATTTTTTTCCTTTATTTGAATATTCCGTCTAAGTCATTTCGATCAGCTACTGTGTGGTTTTCCCTCTTCCTCCTATTTTCCATTCGCCGTACCGTTTCTTTTTATTTTTTTTAAACTGACTTTTGATCAATATTCCTCTATGTTTAACACTTTGAAAAGTTCGAGGGGAACGAGCTTAATCGAAGGAGGGGCCTACGATGCGTTGGATTTCAAACCAATTGCTCCATGAGTAAGTAATACCCCTACTCAAAAAGGACAGACCAAGAATGGAGATGACATGAACCTGAGTGGTCCTTTAGAAACTGAACGGTCTTGACTGAGAAAAATAACGTAAAGACATCGCTCTAAAGGAGAAGTAGACAGAGTACCACCCAGCTCGCAAACTGGTGAAGGCAAAACAAAAGATAAGAGAAAATTTCCGTTTCGCCTGATAGAGCCCGTCTAGTCTAATGTAGTATCTTCTAAACTTGCATATTGCTGTAGAATTTCAGTCATTGTCGTTCCTTTTTCCTCCACATAGTAATGAATGGAAAGCATCTGGGGCTCTTTCAGTTTCTATATATACTTTATTTTTTCGTTATTATTTTCTTTTTTAGCCTGAGATATGGGGTATCTGATACAAAGTTCGCTCTGTTAGGGGAAAGGGCTCCTGATTAACGCCTAACCTTGACAATCTCTTATATCCGAGAAACTGGAGTAGGTGTCCGTCATCCCACTGGCAAAAGAAGTGGTAAGGCTTTAAGTAAGAAGTCACAATCTTGGCTTAGCGAATAGATTTCACTTTATACTAAGATGGTAGTTGTAAGGAAGACAGCCTCCCACTAAAAATGATATCGAGAAATTCTACATAGACGTAAGTCAACTTTCTATTAACTATAATAGTTACCAGGTAAAAGTGGGGAATAAATGTTCTTCTTTCTTCTTCTCCTCCTCTTCCTCCTCCTCCTCTATCTTTCCATCTTTCTTGCTGACTTACCTGAAATAATGCCCATATACACTCCAAATCCTACTCATTGTTCTTAGTCTACCCTCTATGCTCCACTCACCGTCGTTTATATCATTTAAATCTTTGATCCACATCTCTTGAATATTTCTAGGTAATACCTTTAAAGACTGCCTTTTCAAATTCAAAATCTCTATCAATAAGTAGCCTTCAATGTAAGTCTTCTGGTCTTGGCTCACTTCACTGTATATGTTCAAGTATTTTTCGATATTATTCAATGATTTTAAGCACATCAAGTTTATTTGCTTAGCATTCAATACCATGGGCTTGTTGTACAACTGGTTTTTTATTAATTGCCAAACTTGGTACACTATAATTAAAGATGGACTAATGGAAACCATTCCAAACACCAATTGCTGAGACTTTAACAATTTATCTATTCCATTAATAGCAATAGCTCCATCAACCTTTGTTTTTTGCAATTGAATTAATAAACCTCTTGGTAACGACCCATTTACTGTAGACTTGAATGGAGTTCTTAAATCTTGTTCATACTTGGACATTAGGATTGTCAAGTTTCCCTCTTTTACTGCTTTGTTGATCTCTTCTTTGATTGCGCCAATATTTTGGCTAGTAAAATCACCCTTTTCATAATCCAATGCGTAATCTACAACCATTCTTTCTAATGAATCCAAGTCTGACTGGAGTGATTCCTTTGTTGTAATACTGAATTCAGTGGAAGAATCATCGTGTCTTATAACACTCACCATGTCTGAGATAGGTTTAATAAGCCAATTGTTGATAAAACCTCTGACGGTCTCATATAAATTCAATCTAATCCAATCGTAAATCTCATTTCTGTTATTGAAAAGATCTAAGGAAGTTCTGGGTCCAAATTTTAAAAGTATGAAGATAATTGGCCAATTTCTAGTCCAAAAAGATGGAGGTGAGATGTGAGAGGTAGTAGACTCCCTCTTATAAGTTTCAATTCCCTCGACAATGCAATATAACTTCTCATTAACAGATCCAAATGTTTTTAATTTAAGAATTGATTCTAACTCTTCGATTATTGACGAAACTTGCAGACTGGCTCCAGTTTCTACAAACTCCTTCAACGTATCCAATTCATTGAATTCTTTAGTGGGTAACCTAGTGATCAAGGTACCTAAATCAAAAGCAATGTTATCAATGTTAGCATTTATAACAGATCTCTTTTCACCAATTTCAAAACTAACTGAACGGATTGGAGCTCCTATAATTATTTTCAGATACACTCCAAGGGCCCTGAATGAGTCAAGAGGACCCTTATTACCAATGAACTTTTTCGTGAATGACTTTCTACTATTCAATTGCATGAAAAGATATGAAGGAATCGACAAAGAGTCCATTAACTTCTTGATGGTCTTGGTAGTAGACAAATAAAGCACATTCGCCAATTGGCGAGCTCTGTTAACCACATAGTAGAATTCATTGTCTTCTTCGGTATTGCTCGGCCATCTATCGCCTTCTTCTTCAGGGCCCCTTTCATTTTCAACTCTCAAAAAGCTGTTGTTTTCGAAGTATTCAGGATTTAAGACTCTCTTCTTGAAATCTTCGGCGATGGATCTCACTACCTGGAAGAGTCTCTCTGGCAGCACTTGCACTAGGTAGATCCATTTCTTCAAATTGCTATCATTCACACTATCCCAGTACAACAAATGTTCATTAGAACTGATAGTCAGATCGATCAATGTGTCAGTAAGGTGTGCATATATGATCATTAACAGATATACACTGACAAAGTTGTTTAAGTGGTTAGCAATTGAGCAGTACAACTCCTGCTGAGGGGAACCATCGGACTGGAACTTCAAATCTTTTACATTTTCAAGAATCTTTTTCAATTCAAGAAGCTTAATGGTAGGAATCTTGTTCTTCTTGCTACTACCAGTTTTCAATTTTTTATCTTTCCTCTTCTGTTTCACACCCTGTGGGGTAACCAATTCACCCTCATTCTGTGCGCCTACAAGATAATACAACTGCTGGAATGACTCTTGCACTTTGAGTAGATCGACTTCATTGGGTGCAGATTCTTGGCTAGTTGATGTAGTATTTAATTGTTCTATCGACGGGGTCAATTTATCAACCAAGAAATTGTTGGTGAACTTATTCACATTGACCAAGCTGTGCGAGATCTTGGTGGTGATGATGTTATCGGACGCCGAAGAGGACGACATTCTGAATCTTTTGCGCGTAGCTTTGTCCTATAACTTGCAGTACTAATACGAATACCGCTGTCAATGCTAATACTACCAATGGTAAGAATAAAACCTACTACTCGACAAGCAATGGGTTGCTATTCTCTCTTTGCACTTTCCTTCTGTTGCTCCTCCATGTTCCAGCCAAAAAAAAAAAAAAAAAAAAAAAAAAAAAAAAAAAAAAAAAAAAAAAAAAAAAGATCGCAATCGGAACTCGCTAGGAATCTTGTGAATGTGGTGGTGAACACGATGAACTACAGTTAGGACTCAGATTACATTCTATTTTGTTTATATGTACGGGTAGATATATGTAGATATACCTATTCGTCATCATCTTTCTTCTCATCCAATACACCGCTTTCCTTGATCAATAAGTCGATCTCTTCGTCTTTCCAAATCTTACGCACAGTCTTTCCCTTTTCCAACTTGGATAAACTCAAAGTTGCAAATTCTAACTTGTCACTATTCAAACTCGACGCATCCATTGTCTTCAGTAACACCTTGATGGCCAAGTTACATGCATCTTTTAAACTCAAGTCATCCTTGTAATCCTTCTTCAACAAAGTCTGGGCTGCTGAGTTGTTGGCACCAATACTGGTGGCCTTCCATCCGGAATAGTTACCTGAGGGGTTAGACGTGAACAATTGGAACTCGTATCTATCATCGTACCCAGCGTAAAGAAAACTGACACCAAATGGTCTTAACCCACCGTGTTGGGTGTACCCTTGCTTGACATCACAGATTCTCTTGATCAACAATTCACAAGGTATCTGTTCGTTATAAGTCTTCAAATACTGCTGTGCCTGAACTCTGACATTATTGATGAGAATTCCGGCATCTGCTGTCATACCGGCTACAGCACAGATCATATTATCATTCAAAATGTACAACTTTTCAGCAGATCCATCGTTGTCTAACAACTTGGAAGTGAATTTCTTCTCACATGCTAAGACAACACCTTCTGTGGAAAGTATCCCAATTGCAGTTCCGGCTTGGGATATAGCCTCCTGAGCGTATTCCACTTGGTATAATCTACCCTCAGGCGAAAAAATAGTAGTTCTTGAATCGTATCTTCTGGACATTATCGAGTCTGGTTTCCTCCTTTCAATTATATATCTAGTCTATTCGCCTTCCCAAAGAAATGTGCAAGTTTTAGTTCACGGGGTGTTGATGTGTATATATTTGCTACAGCTCGACTATATAGCAGATTATATAAGAAATATTAATACGAATTGACGAAGGTGTTGGCTTCTCTCTGGCGGTATTGGTGGCGATTGATTTTTGTTTGTTCACTCAAATCGAAGAAAGTTGGAAATGGGTGGGTCTGTGTGCAGGAACACACAGGACCAGCTTAGAGATGCTCGAACGAGCAGTAGAGAAAGCAAGAGCAAACACGCCAGAGGAACCACTTTTAACATCATATCTGAGCTGAGGTATTGTATTGTCGATCTGTAAAGAAACTGCCTGTGGAGGTCGATTATGGTGAAGATATTCGTCTCATCTTCGAATGTCCCCATTGGATATGTTGTTCCACGTTTTCCTTCTATATTCTGGCCCCTAGGAGCTCAGAGCGATGAATTTCATGCCCTGTATCTCTATTTTGCCAGAGACATGTGGAGATTCACATTCTATTGGACGATAGTGATGTTTGCGGGCTTTTACTACTTTACAGGGCTTTTAGCAGGGCTAATATATCTCCGTAATAGGGTGAGGAACTCGAAGCCCTCCTCCATCAGCGCTTTGATGCTCGTAGAGTCTGTGGCTATTGTTTTTATATATACTTCTGTAGGTGTAACGCAGGGAGTAATAGTGGGTGCAATTGTAGGCTTGCTCCTCCTGTCGGTTTATAAGGCTGGATCGCTATACATGAGTAGCTGGATCCCATTTGTGTGGTCCATTGCGGGGATTTTGTTCAATGTTGGTAGTAGTTACCTGTTGAGTCTGGTGGTATTGTGAGGTAATTGGTAGTTGGTAGTTGCATGATTTTGGATACACAGTTGATACTTTTCAGGTTTAGCTCTTTTTTATAGGCATTTTTTTTTTGCATGCTTTCTTTACGTTTTTTGGTTATTTAACACTAGTAATGATACGGGTTTCTTTGATACTGGTCCCATGTAATCACCTGGCTTTCTTTTGGCACTTCTTCTTACTTTAATTTCTAAATGTTCAATGTATGACGAATATCAAAATACCAAAAATTCAGAAAAATTCGTTTACACTTTTACTTACACCGATTCGTGCTTATACTATCGTTCGGTTATATATAAATATATATGTATAATTGACTGGGTGACTATGAGCATGGAATCTTCGCTACCTGATATATCGTTTCTCAAGTTCAATAATGAGCAGTCCTTGGCTACTGGTACCCAATCTACTAAGATAGAGTCATCTCTCAATGAGGCCAAAATCTCCAGTATCTACGAAAGATTCCCGGATCTTGAACTTGGGTCAGACGTCCTTTCGTCCAGGAACGTCTCTAATTCGATAAACAAAGTACAGGACCAATTCGATGCATTGAAGAGGTTGGTTAAGATATTTCTAGAGGTTGGTAACTACTCCATGGCTAGTAAGACTCTCCATCAGTTTGCAAATCAAACGCACTTCTTTTCTCAGCCCAACACGGTTGAGGACTTTGCCAATAATAGGTATTTGGAGCTCTTGTTCTATCAATACGCTGTGTATATTCAACAGCTATGGTTCGATAGAGGTAAGCTTGGTATGGAATTGGAAAAGGCCCCTCCTATTGGCCAATACTCCGTGGATCCCAAAGAGTCTTCTGGATTGTCCAAACTATTTGGCAGAATAGAGCCTGAAACGAAGACTGACACATCTGCTGGCATCACTGTGACGTTAAACCAAATAGCTTCATCATCATCAGACACAACTTCAAATGTTTCTACGTCGCCTACTGCACCGATATTGATTAACCCAGAGACTATATACAAGAAAGCGGTGACGTACTTCACCAAATGTAATACTTTCATCTTCAATAAGAAGCAGTTCCATTCTGCTGGCACTAATACCTACTCTTCGACGGGCTCAGCCTCTGGAGCGCCAGAGTCCTCCGAGATCCTGTATTACTACTTAATCAGCTTGCTACGGTTGACTGAGTTGTTTAGAAAGGGTGAATACTTGAACTACTATACCGAATTTGTGAACCTACTCGAAACTAATGCGGTATGTGGCATATCGCCGGAAGATGTCTTATTAGACGTTCAATGTAGGTACACACTCAAAAGAGATCTTGTAATTATGCTAGGGATTTCCCTGGTGCTAGCTTTACCGTTTAAGGACTTATCCTTCTTGAACTCTAGAGAATTAGAGAAGACGAGAAATTTGATAATTGACTTATTCACCTTAGATGCCAACGAGACTGGCCAGAGTCTACCAATACTTATATACCGTCTTCTTGTTGAACTCTCGGAATCAAGCTTTCATCTGGCAAAGGAGATGATCAATGATAAGACGTTTAGAGATTCCATATGTGCCCAACTTGATCACATATTGAGCATGAATAAGGCCATATCCATCGATTTTTTGGACTTCTTTACACAGACTATAGACTTGAAAATATTTCTAATGATAATATCTCATGTTAAGAGAATTCCGAGGGTCAAGTTACTATTTATTCTTGGCTACAAGGAAGAACACAGCAATGCAATTACGGAGACTTTACTATCATTCATGTCTTGCTTGAATTTGGGTGAGTCTGGGATTGGGTATGATGTAATGGGCGACTTCTTTTTCAACAATGGCCAGGCGAATAGAATGGGGGCGTTGAAGAGACAGATCGACCAGTTATCAGCAGACATAAAAGGCGATAGTCTTGCTGAATTGGTACATGGAGTTTTGATGGAAAGATATTTATCTACATAGTTCATAATTCACTAACCGGTTCCTCCATACGTGTATTACTCTATTTTATAGTACTTCAATATTAAATTCAAGAGACTGAGCCTACCGAGCAATGGCTCCAATTTCACTTTACTAATATCCAATGTAATTATAGGATCTGCGTCTCTCTCTCCCTCTTCTTCCTCGCTATGTGTTAATCTTATTAGTCTATTGATGATCACACATGTAAACATGATGAGAAATATGCCACAGTCATCAAAGTTATCTTGCTGTTGGCAATTTACTTTTATGACGTCTATTTTCCCACGCTTCACTATGGACTTACAAGTTTGAAGTCGTTTAGTTAGCTCCACCAACAACGAATCGTCGTCGTCATCGGATGACATAGAATCGTATACGTATAGCCTGTTGTCAAGTAAACTCAAGACTGCGAGGAACCAATGATCTCCATTGTTTGCTTCTTCCATGTTAATAGATTGAAAATCGTCAATGTAATTCATGGGTAGGAAGAGAAACTTCAGCCTTGAGAGCTCTTTCACTGGTAGCATGGTTTCTAAGGTGTCTGGCGTATCAGGGTCATATGGCATATGGAGAAACAATTGAACCAACGAAGGATTTAGCAAAGAGATCTCATGGGGAAAATCCATGCTCAGAAGAAAGCCATTGGCGATCACTTCATACATGAATGCAATGTTGTTATCGCATAGCCATTCATCTGGAAGAAGGTGCGTGAGGTCCGACTTGTACAATGCAACGGAATGGAATTGGAGAAACTTTTGATCTGATGATTTGCCCTTCTCCTTGGGGTGCTCCTTTTCAAGCAATTGAATCAATTTATTATATGTGTTCTTTATGTTTGAGGTGATCTCATAGTGGTTAAGCACATGAAGTTGATTTGATGCAGATGCAGATGACGACGATGACGATGACGATGACGATGCCCTGGATTTAAGCTCCAGTTCTCTCTTCAATTTTCGCTTTCTTGCAGCGTTGATCTTCTTGTTCTGTCGTATCTCCTTCTTCTGTTGTTTAGTGAGTTTTTTGGGAGAATCATGGCCTGCCTTTTCCTTCTCTTCCTCATCCTCATCTGGTTCGCTTTCTTCTTCTAGTATGGAGTCCCATGGTAGCAAGTCTAGCCCCGAGGATATCTGATCCGATTCGAAATTCACCACAAACCCACTTCTGCTATTATAATAACCGGTCCGAGCGTCATATCCAATCATAATTGGAGAGATACGGCTATGATAATGAGATCAAAGGGCCATGAACCGTTCGGTAGTTGTTGCAGTTTCTCCGACTTCGAGTTTTTCATATCTCGAATTTTTTTTTTTTTTTTTTTAGGTTCGATTTTTTCAGCTTCCTGGTGGCCCATTGCTAGACACTCTTCTCAGCTGTTGGTGCCATATAACCGTTGCTACACGCTCTATTCAGCTTGTTGGTGATAATCAGTACTTCGATCCCATGATAAGAGCCGTTTTTACAAGACTGGGGCACAGCTTGTCTCGCACCCTTGCACCCAGACGACTTGCGAGATCCATACATGCATCAGCTCTAGCATCTATCGACTTGACCACCAGACCTCCTGTTGATCTTCCATATTTGCTAGGCCAGCCCACACATGAAACTAGGACACATTACATACCTCAGCCGGGGAATTTGACCCCAGGAATATCGGCACAAGAATACTACGAGAGGAGATTATCATTGGCATCGAAGCTCCCAAAGAACTCCATTGCTATCTTAGTAGGTAACACTACACAATTTTCATCTGGAAGCGTGTTTTACGATTTCCAGCAAGATAACGACTTCTACTACATGACAGGGTGGTTGGAACCCAACTCAGTGGCTGTAATTCAGAAGCTAAGTGACGAAGAGGAAGTCCTTTTGCATATGTTTGTCCCTCCTAAGGATCAACTGACCCAGCTCTGGGAGGGAGAAAGACTGGGAGTAGAAGGTGCCATGGACTTTTTCAATGCGGACATGGCCAGTGACATATCCACTATTGGTTCAAGCTTGCTGAAGCTAATTGACTCCTCGGACTACATATTTTGGGACGATAAGGGCAACAAGTCAAGCGCTGGGAACCCCAATAGCAAGTTCAATGATTTCTTCTCGTTAGGTGCGCTTTCAAGAACTCCAAGGACAATCCAGGAGTTAGTCAAGCTGCTGAATAAGGTGGTGAGATCATTGACCTCGATGATTTCTCAGCAGAGAGAAGTCAAGTCGGATAGTGAAATCGAAGTGATGCACGCGGCCGGTACCATCTCGTCAAGAGCAATCAATAAAGCTATTGCTATGGTTGGATCAGAGTCTCCACCCTACTCAGAGAAATCGTTGGCCAAATTCTTGGAATACCAATTTGTCCTAGGCGGGTGTGACAAGGAAGCTTACATTCCTGTAGTAGCAAGTGGAAAGAATGCACTTACTATCCACTATACTAGAAACGATGATTTGTTGTACAGAGATGAAACTGTATTCATTGACGCCGGGGGGAAGTTGGGAGGATACTGCGCTGATATTTCTAGAAGTTGGCCCAACTCTCGGAACGGGTTCTCTGATGCTCAAAGAGACATCTACCAAGCAGTACTCAATGTAAATAAAAAATGTATTGACTTGTGCCATGTTCAAGATGGAATCTCTTTGCACGATATCCACTTGAAGTCCGTTGAGTACTTGACAGCAGAATTGAGAAACTTGACTGGATTTCAAAGTGTAACTCAAAGCCAGGTTTCAAATGTCCTCTATCCGCATTATATTGGACACCATCTTGGGCTTGACCTTCACGATATCCCAGGTACTTCCAGATTCAAGAAATTAGTTCCCGGAAATGTTATTACTATAGAACCGGGTCTATACATTCCTATGGATAGCAAATGGCCAAAGCATTACCAGGGTATCGGAGTGAGAGTAGAAGATGATATCGTGGTGGGAACAGAACCTAGTGAAATATTGAACCTAAGCAGTGGTTGTGTTAAGGAGATCGTTGACATTGAACTGTTGATTCATGCTGGAAGGGTGACAACACCTGGTGCGTACGAAGAGTTGGTTGTGCTAGATATATAGAAAGAAAAGAAAAGGATGTACATATGACGACCCTAATAAAGAACCACTAGTAGTTGTCTCTTTGGTCACACACATTGACTACAGTAAAGTGCTACTACTGTAGTAGCACTCTCTTTTTGTTGCTTTTATTGATGACATTTATTCGTTCCGAATCAATTAACTGCCTCGTTATTTCTTGTTCTGTTTTTCCTTTTCCTATTTACAATAAGTTTAACAACCCCTCTTTCGTTTCCAGCTAGCGTCCAACGTTCAACAATAATGAGTTCCCACCATCTGATCCCTTGCTTCCACTTGGTAAATAAGAAACATTTGATGAACTTGCCAAAGTAGCGGCGATTTCTTTAGAAGCCTCTAATCTTCTAATCATCAATAAACCATCACCAGCCTTGGCCAATGCCTTAGAAACCGTCTCGGCACTTTCAGCTTCACCCTCAGCCCTAATAATGTTTGCACGCTTTTCTTGTTCAGCCTTTTCGACCAAGTACTTAGCTCTTTCAGCATCCTGCTGAGCAATTTGCTTCTGCTCAACAGCCTTGGTGAACTCTCTTCCGAAATTCATGTGAGTAATGGAGACATCTTCCAATTGAATATTGAATTCGTTGGCTCTTCTTGCTAACTCCTGTCTAATTCTTGCAGAGACCATTTCTCTTTGCGTGATCAATTCAGCTGCGTCAAATTGAGCAACAATCGATTTCAACACTTCGTTACCAATAGCTGGCAAAACTCTTTCATCGTAATCCAAACCCAAGGATTGGTAGATCTTAGGTAATCTCAACACTTCAGGTCTGTGTAACACTCTGAGAGTTAAGGATACATTTTGCAAATCTTTAGACCCTGTGGTAGTAGCAATCGTCTTTGGCTTGGTTCTCACGTCATAAATGATAGCCTTTTGCAACCATGGAATCAAAAAATGAGTACCTTCTCCGACAACATTATCTTGAACACCGCTGAGTCTATCGAAGATAACTGCACGTTGGCCACCTTGGACGTCATACAACGCGGATTGTCCTAAAGTGATTGCAATACCAGCAGGTAAGGCAATCTTGGAAACAAAATTGGCAATTCTAGAAGCCATTATGTATTTAAATCTAATATAATGGTTAATGAATGGTTAACCTACTCCAGCAAACTCCTTTTTGTAATTTTTTCATGTTCCGCCACTGAGAAACGATCAAGTTTGGGGAAGTACTGCATACAGCTCTGTATACAGGTGTGCATCAAGCTGTGATGCAGGAATGTGCAACCATTCTACAGTGGGAAGCGAGTGATAGACGAGTGGGAAGCTGATTAGTTCAAGATGTAGACCTGGAGGTGGGAGATCTCAAGTTGGTTTCAAGAGAGGATATTGAAAGTTCAACGATTATGATTTAGGTAGGAATGTCGAAAAAAATAGTGCGCTTTTGACATCTCATGTCCCCTTTTCTTTATCACTCAGTAGCTTTGCTCTTGTCTTTTTTCTGTTCCATACAAAAATGCATTGAGTTGCTAGAGAGAGGACAGCTGTAGATAGATTGAGTTCAATGTTGTGATTCTTCTTCCTACAAAAGTTATTGAAAATGACTAGTGGTATTCTGCTTATAGACTTTTAAGAATGAAAACAGTCATTAGTAAGAGTACTCTACTAGCTAACCAGTTTAGTCTTCTTTCCCACTACGAACCAGGAAATCCCACTCAAGTTAAGTCCATTTTATATACAGTGTAGACTACCTCATTGCAAATGGATGGTTTTTATACACATCTACATATTTGCAGTGGATGGTCGTATATACATGTCAGCTACTTATTTGCAGTGGATGGTGTTTATATACATGTCTGCTACCGATCTGCAGTCGTTCGTTTCTATATACATGTCAGCTACCTATTTGCAGCCGTTAGTTTTTATATACATGTCAGCTACCTATTGCAGTAGTTGGTTTTTATATACATGCCAGCTATTGGAAAACTGATATTTACTTCAATCTTTAAGGTTTCTTTTCTAGTTTGCTAACTTCGCTTCCTCGGTGTCGGTCTCACCTTCCAGAGTACTCTCTTTGACGTCAACGCCCTGAGATGCCTCTCTATCCAACCCACCTTTAACACTTGTTTCATGCGCCTTCCCACTTAAGATTTTATCACAGCTTTCTCTAATTTTCTGCAAAAGCCCTTTGATTTTATCTTCCGAAGTACCCTCAAATTTTGATACGATCTTCAACCATTTTAACAAATGAGCCTGTTCTGAATTGAGATCATTTCGAGAATTCCACTCATTGATAATATAATCCATTGAAGGTTGAATTCCTTCATTTGAATGAGCAATGAGCTCCTTACGAGTGTCTATTAAAGGTTTCGGCATAAACATTGCGATACCAGACCTCAAGATACGAATGTGTGTTTGTACAAGAAAAGATTCGTCATCTTGTGGCCAAACATAGGCATTGATCCTTTTTAGAAAGTTGACGTAAGATTCAACAAATTGCTTCTGAACCACCAAGTCAGCTGGATGCTTCAAATTTGTATTCTTCTTCTTCTCTTGATCTATTTTCACCACCAAACTGTCCATTAACTTAATAAGGGTGTTGCTCAAATCATTCAATTGTTGCTTATTCAAGGATTTCCTGGCAGTATTTTTAATGCCTCCAGCAATTTCATTCTTCCTCCTATTGAATTGATAATTGGAATCTTTGATGTGGTAAAGCTCTTTTGTCAAAATTGCAAATATTGAATCTATGGTTTTGTACCTTGGTAGCAATGAATAAGCAATATTGACATCCGGATTAATCAATGCATTTATCAACTCAACAGCTAATTTACTTGGAGATATTCTTCCAGGACAACTTTCATTCATCTTGTACATGAAGTTTTCGATCATTAGCACATCAATAATAGACTCCTTATGTTCGATGTCCTTTGAAAATCTGTCAACGTACTGCAGAGGTGTGAAAACCTCCGAAGTGGAGGAAGTTGCAGCACCATTTTTAATCTGACAATATTCATCTTCTGGAAGTAGACCTCCTCTATATGGTCCTAAATCCTGAGAAGATGAAGTTTTTAATGCCTCTGCGGCCATATTATCTACATTAATATCTAATCCACCCCATTTGGAGAGCCCATACCAAACCCCTAGATAAAACTCTTTGAATAAGCCCAAGTTGAGTAATCCGTCCAAGGCTAATCCGTAGACGTATCTGTTTATGGGGTCAAGCTTCGAGCTCAAATTCATACTAATCGGTAACTTTTTTCCAAACTTTCCCCTAGATTTAACAAACTGCTTATGATCGAATATTGCCCTCTGAGTTTCCAATGAAGGTCTAGTGAAATCAACTAATCTCTTTGTCGTTCTACTATACAAAGCCTTAGTCTTATTTTTGGATAATATTGGAGGAGGAAAAATGACCAAAGGGTTTACTTTTGATTCATCTAAGGGTGTCGAAGCAACTATTTCTGGGAATATATCGTTCAACTTACCGTCCTCTGTGAGAAATTCCAATTTTTTAGGATTCTCCATATAGAAGGATTCCGCAGATTTCAACCTTTCACTTTCCAGCTTTACCACCAATTCATTTGATTTGATATCCATATTGATATCCTGTCCTGAAACGAACTTTAACATAGCAGCCACCTCTGGACACCACATACTTAAGTATTTTAATCCTCTTTCGCTGTAAACGTAATTAGTACTACCCGCTTGTTGAGAATTGTTGATGAAACAAGAAACGAAAGTTGCAACAAACGTTTCATCGATTTCAACAAGATGTTTCCTAGCAGATTGTTTGTATGTTACCAAAACTTCAGGGTTGGTCACCGTTTCTTCCTTGGTGGGCGGGGTAGGAGGTGTAGACTCCTTGATAACCTTTTCTAGAATCAACTCAGCAGTAGACACCAATTTTGCATTGATTTCAAGTAGTCTCAAGGTCTTTTCATCTTTCTTCATTTGGCGATCTTCTAGTACTAATTTTGATTTACTCTGACAGAATTTCTTGACCCCGTTTATCATTGTTGTATAGGTGGCTATGTTAGGATACAATTGCTGGTATTTCAAGGCCCCAGGATCCGACTTATCTGGGATAAGTATGTCGAAGAATGACCACATTAACGCTTGGTCATTGGAGAAATTTCTCGAAACAAGATTCAAACATGAATTAAAGTGTTCAATGGAACATTTCAAGTTGGTTTCTTCGCCCTGGTATGTCTTCTTTACCTTTTTGTCATCATCTACCAGTTTCCTTTTCAATGTGCTCATCATGAACGATTCAAATATCTCGATGGCCCTGTTGGCAATCGAGTCTGGCATTCCCCCAAATGCATGAGCTCTCGCTAGCCCATCGAACAATATTATATAAGTCTGGTTATTGAACTGAATGTTCCACTTCTTGCGGTCGTTGTAAGATTTAAGTGCTTCCTTGACATTTCCCTTCTCCAAGTGAAACTTCATAATTTCGTTCATGCCTACACTAGCTGTATCGCCACCTGTATTTCTAGAGTTCGAGGAGGAAGAAGTTGCAGCCCTGGCTAGCCATGTAGCTCTGACAGCATCGTTATCCTTTTGCAAAAAATCCAAGATTGCCCAAGTCACTTTGAACGGGTCGCTCAATGCCACCAACGAGATATCCAACATCAGAAGCATGATCTTCTTGTTCACTGGCTGCTTGGAAATCCGTGCCATTTCCAATAGCCCGTGGAATATTTCTTTACTTACAGGGGAATCAGTACGCAAGTCACTCGCTTTTACGTATCTCAACTTAATCAACTCACCCTTGGAGTTTTGCAACTTTCCATCGTAGTTCGACTGCAATACCAATAGAAGCTTTTGCTTCGAATAGTTGGAGTGTAGCTGAGTCGTCTTCTTGAATATCTTTTTCGCTTTAGTCTCATACTGCTTAGGCGATTTAGCTATAATTTGTCCAGTCTCTACATAATGAGTAAGTTTAGCCTTGACATTGGAAGTGGAGGTTCCGTTTGGCTTCGCTATGCTCTTGGTGCTGTAGAGATGAGCCTGCGAATGCCTAGGGGTGCACCCTGAGAGACTTGGGAGCACGATGTGCAGTCTGCGAATGTCCCGGAGTACTTGTGGCCTCAACATTCAGTGATATATGTAACTAGATATGCAGAAAGAGATCCTTGCTCTGGTTTGCTCTACTTCTGCTGTAACTAACCTGCCTAACCAACTTCACATCCATAGAGGAGATGAGTTTGGTCTGTATGCAGGACTGTATATTTTTCACTTTGATCTCTCGAATGATGAAAGCTAAGAGCATCCTACAAGCAGTGTGGGTATTGCAGTTACGTACTATTAATTTACATGTTCTTATTTATATATGAAGATATACTTGGATGCTGAGGTAAACCTAACAAAAATTTAGTTGAAGGTGTTCTAAATTGGGAAACGAGGACGGACCATCACGCTCCTTACCTCTGCATGTCTTCGTAAACTCTTTGACAATAAAGCACCAGATAATCAATATTTTGAAATCTGAATGGGGCTCCATTGTGTTGCTCAGACCATATTCACCTTTCCTTAACCAATTCTTAAACAATGTTAAATAGTTCCATGTTCTGATCAGAAAGTTGGTAATGGTGGTACAATGTAGTCAATAAGACTTATGGGTATCGTCATCTTTCAGCCCTCGGGCTTGTCAATTTCATTCCTCTGCTAAATTCTCCTTCTTAATCTCCTTATGTTACCAGTCTTGTCAGTTCTATAATTTATGCCACTCAAATAACGATTGAGAAATATTCACTTTCAGTATTGATTCCCGTTAGTTATCAATAAAGTAAACCAAGGTCCATGCCGCCCCCGCCGCCACAGATCCTATAATAACCATTTGCGTCCCCTCTATAAACTTTTTGTTCATTCCACAGTCGTCACCTAAAGAAACAGAAGTCTTGATCCAACCAAAAATAAACAAAGTAATAGACATAACAATAACAGAAATAATCAACCCAGTATGCACAACGGAGCAGAAAAAGTATGGGATCAATGGAATAAATCCACCTAAAAAGTATGAGAGACCAATGGTTAATGCAGATGTGATTTCTCTACCTTCGGCAGGTTCTTCCAAACCCTTACCGAATCTGATGACGAAATCAATAAGATTCTTGGGTTGGTTATCCATATCTTTCAAAAAGGATGCGATGGTGTTCTCAGAGGCACCAGTTTCGAAAAGAATTTCAGCGGCTTCTTGATTAATCAATTCAGGCTTCTTGAAGAAATCCAACTTTTCCTTCTTTACTTGGGACTTGTAGTAGTCCTCTTCCGACTTGGCAGCCAAGTAACCACCAAGACCCATGGAAATGGCACCTGAGACTAACTCAGCCATACCACCAGTGATAACCAATCTGGAGTCACCCAAGGACGATAACCCAGCAGTTAATGCAAATGGAACAGTTAAACCGTCAGATAAACCGATAATGATGTCCGACATCACTCTTGGATCGAAGCTGTGGAAAAGTCCATTGTGGAGATCTTCATCCTCTTCATTCTTGGAGTTTACGCTGTTTTGCGCATTTATGATAGCCTCCTCATTGGCAATTTGCAGAGCTCTGTCTGGATTTTCGGTGGCGCCGTATGGTGAAACCCCCTGGTTCAATAATCTGTCGACTTGGGAGACCTCCGAGTCCGATTCATCCTTGAAAAAGGATGCTATTGATTTCTTCAATGTTACTAATGACATTGCGCTTGTGTTTTCAGTTTATTTATCTATAAAATGACAATACTCTAGGTTAATTTCCAAATCTTCCAAAGTGTTGAAAAGAAAGAAGAAGAAGGAGAAGAAAAAAAAAATTATCTCCAACTATCTTCAATTCACTTTGCGTCTTTGTAACTTCCCTATATATAAAAAATCTACGCTAAGGAAACCGAAAAAAAAAAATCTGAAAAAGTCCAGAATGCTTTGAAATCAAAATAGAAGCACCAAATAGGAACAGATAATATGCAAATTATGCAAGGTAAGGGCGGCGGATGCAGGATCTCATCTTGATTAGTGAAATCAGAGCGAAAAGCTGACAAAAGGCGCGGCGCTGATTGGTGGAAGGTGGAATTGCTTACTTTTCAGCCACTTGGTCAGCGGTGGAAAAAAGAAAAAGATCCATTGAGAAGTTGCTGCAGAGGAATAACGTTGGGAAGTACGCAACGATGCGATCACGTGCAGGTTTGGTCGGTCGCATTACGAGGGTGAGGGCAGCTGGAAGAGCAGGCAGTGATGCCACCGGGCTGGAGGAGGGAACCGAGAACAACTGAGAGGGAACCGAGAGAGAACTGAGAGGGAAAAAGGGGTAGAGGTACTCATAGTATTAAAGAGGATGGAGAGACATCCACAGTTTGCTGGGCACCGCCAAAAAGTGTGTGTCTTAGCAGAGCTGTAGAATGTATTGTGTAGGTGAAATTACTGGAAGCAACTTAAATCTCAGAGAGGGGCCACATCTGGGAGAGCTTAGAAGAAATTTCACTCGATGGGTCGGTGTGCAAGATTATGGCCCTCAGCAGGAGACGCTGTTTAGGCGCCCGGCACCTCTGAGGATGGAAAGGTAATAAGGCGGGGTACTGGGTAGCAGCTTATATATGTATTTATATACATCATGGAAGCCCTCTCTGATCCACCTTCAGCATTTGTATGCATGCGCTTTCATGTCTTAGCTTCTCTGTTTCTGTTGCAGTACGGAATTTTTCAGGTGTTCGTATACTACTTTTCTTTCTGGCCATTTTCTTACTATCACTCATTCTTCCTCTCTCCTTTTCCCCCCTGTGTGCTTTGGCTAACACTGTTCCACTCAACTAAGCTCCATTGCTCTCTCTCCTGCCTCCTTCACACTGTAGACCAATTATCTAGTATGCATGCAAGATATACAACTCTGCAGGTCCATCTTGCGACCTGGATAATGATCACGTGACGTTACCATGTCTTTCTTCGTTCAAATTGAAAGTGAAAAAAATGTACACACAGAACCGTAGGTGAACATTTCATTCTTCTACACATCACCCAGTCAACGGTATAGAATTCAACGTATAGGTATCTACTTATTTCAAGCATGAGCCAGCCTACTTCTCAAGCAGCACCCATAGAAACTCTATACTTGCGAAATCTAAATGAAAAGATATCCATTAACAAATTAAAGGCGAAGCTTCAATCGCTTTTCTCCACCTATGGAGCCATCACACAAATCACCGCACATAAAAACTTGAAAATGAAAGGCCAAGCGTTTATAACGTACGAATCAACAGAAAATGCCAAAAATGCTCTAAACAAACTTCAAAACTTTATAATATTTGAAAAGCCAGTTCATATCCAGTTCTCTAAATCAAATTCAGACAACTTGTATAAATTGAAAGCAGAGGAGGGTCAAGAAACGGATGAAATCGTAGAAATTAAACAGAGGAAAGAAAAGAAAATAGAAAGAGAACAATTGAAGAAAAAGAGAACGAATATAGAAGTCGATAAGACAAACATAGAAGGTACTCTGCCATACACCAAATCTAGTACTCCTGCCACATTTGAACCTGAAACGAAAAGAGTCAAGATCGAAGATTGGAAGTCTCTTCCTCCTAATAGCGTTTTACTTATTCAAAATTTACCTTCCACTACTACCAAGGAAAGCTTAGACTCGGTTTTTGAAAGCACAAAGGGCTTCATCAACATACGGTTTGTGAAAATTAGGAATTTGGCATTTATAGAGTTTGATAATGAAGCATTGTCCACAGAAGTGTTGAGGACATTCGATTCAGACCTCCTTAGCGAGAAGTTCTCTCCAGAGACTATCTTGACATATGCGAAGAAATGATACACATGACCGACATACTTTGTTCGTTAACGAACAGCTATCCGTCCATCGCTCACTGCTTACACTTTATTCTACAGTACACTTTTCATTCCATTTCATTTTTTTTGCATTCTCATACATAAATTTCATATCTAATAAAAGGAAAACATCCGGTATTTTTCACGAAGAATTGTAATTGTTGATTTTTTTCAATGGGGTTTTGTATTTTCTAATGGCGATTTTTTTTTTTTTGGTTTTTCAGGTGTTTTCTATTCAATTGTCTTAAAAGCTAATTCCGTTGACCAGTAACAATTCCTTTAATCTTGCAACTTCACTTTCTAATTCAGATTTGTCACTTAACAAACCTTCAACGCGGTCCTCTAATTGAGACATACGTTCCATCTTACGGGCTCTTGATCTTCTGGCAGCTTCGGTGTTACGCGCACGCTTTAAAAGAACAGGATCGCTTCCATCAGATGGAACAGGGCTCAATGGCTGAGTTCTTTGTTTCTTTGAGTAAGTGACACATCCAAGATGATCAACCTTGTCGGAAGACACAGTAGATGGAACCTTCTTGTGAAGATGGTCGAGGTCAGGACTAGTAAAAGTCGAATGAGCTGGAGTAACTAATTGTTCAGCAGTAACATGAGGAGCAATAGACTTTACAGCTGCAAATTCAAAAGTTTCTTCTATCTCACTGAAGAGTCTCTTAGAAGAATCCTTTGGCTTTGGGGTTATAAAATGCTTCTCATCGTCGTTAAACAAGGATACCCAATCATCCTTGGAATTTGGCTTAACGCCATCGACAATGAAGTCTAGTTCATCAAACATAGGAGTCTCTTCGAAAGTTTGAGCATCATCAGCTGTAGTGGAAAACACTGAATCCAAAACTGCTGAGTGAATCTCAAAAGGTGAAGCTTCACCAAGGTTGTTTCTGACATTGCTAGGGGCACTAGTAGTGTCAGCATCTCCGAAGTACTCTGGGAGATGAGATGATAACTCTTCAACCTGCTCATGCTTATTCGATACGGGTAAGGTATCAGAAAAGGCAAGAGTGGAAGTTGGAAGTAAGCTATCTGCAGATTCAAACATCATTGAATCGGCAGAAAAAATCATAGGGTCGCTTGAAGACATTTTGGCAGTATTATTATTATAAATAGTATTGGTTGTAATAATAGGGAAAATTGGGAGTGAATCGGGAATTTCTAATAAATTTCTAGTACTAATCTTGAAGTTAAATTTTCTAGGGACTAATTTCTATCTTTTGGATCGTATAAACGCCATATTGGGTTGATTTCTTTAATATAAATCACAGTAACATTTTAAGGGGGGGTTTTAATAACAATTTGGTATTAATAGTTTTTTATTTTTTTTATAAAACTCTTAATAATCTTTTTTTTAATTTAGATAAACTTGGGGGTTTAAGCACACATTATGAATAATTCTTTTCTAGGTAATTTTATGGAAGGAAATATAAATAATGAAAAATTTTGTAAATTGTTATTGTTGAAGAAGAAGAAAAGAAAAAAAGGTCTAAATCTAAAAAATGTAGCCAGGGGCATATGGCGTCCTTATATGTCTCACACCTCCTGTTTATTCGGGAGAAAAATTTTCACGTTTGTGCGAAAAAATTTTCTTAGCGGGGAGCGCTTTTACTGCTAGGCTGATATTTACACATGACACGCATATTAATTTACGAGATTTAGTAACTTTCATAACTAGGTGCAATAACATGATTACTCAGCGCAGGGGACTTTTATGACTCACTCGATTCCTAGATCAGTGTGCTTGGACTGAAGCAGAACGTTCAATAAGGTTTTGCAACAAAAGAAACAGTTCACGATCTGCGACTTGTTCTGCTAGTCCTTCACCATTGGTACATTTTGGTAGTATCAAGTGAATAAATTGCAGGTAGCTTAGCGCAGGCATAAAGCGATTGAGGTGACTGCTTGACAAAAAAATGATCAACCCGCTACCGGGCATGCTGTTGCCATAGAAGTTTCCATGTTTTTTTGTTTTTCCTTTCTTTTTTTTTTTCCTCTGCATCTTTCTGGGAGATTGTCGTATCAAATGCGGAAATTCGTTCCGCTTTCGTATGTACGCTTACATAAACATACGGCTCTACTCCTGATTGCAATCTTCAACCTGATTCAACCATACGGATAGTGTCTTGCAAGCTAGTGCAAACCGGTCCTGTGTTTATTATATGTGTAAGGTAAACGACGGAATTCTCACGTGTGTGTAATCGTGTGAATTATGGCTCAGCCTGAAAACTTGTTGCGCTGGAGAGTGTCTTCTGTATTGACTTTCAATTCGGTGTACTTGAATGTGTTGTGTCACGTGGATCGTCACCTGATTTCACTTCTTCAGCTATGATGCTTACATGCAAACCATGTGTGTATACATTTTGAATAAAGGAAGATGTACGTATTCATTTGCATGTAGATATATACATGTGGGTGTGTATTCAGTTATACGTTGATCTATACACTAGCCTTGCTCTCCAGAGCATCTTGGCACTTCTATTAGCCTAATCATCGTGACGTTATTTATTTAACTTTAACCATTTTGGCAACTTCTTCCCTTCATCTTTCTTATGCTTTTTCTCTTCTTTATCATCCGGTAAATCTCCCCTGTGGCTCTCCAATTGAATCTCTGGTCTCTCATTGTTTGTGGTCACAATAACGTCGTTTCCCTGTTTGTTAATATACGGCCCTTTGTGGTCACCTCCAACGGAATGCAGATCGGTCAATTCCCATATTAACAACATTCTCTCGGCGAAAGCATCGTTAGAGTTTTTCGATACTTTGAATTCATGTAAGAACTGATCATTGGTTTTGAAGGAAAATGGAATCAATGTGAATGGAGGGTATCCAAACTTGAGGTTGTACCTATTTCTAAACTCTGGTAAGAGCATTTCATCGAGCTTCTTCAATAAAGAGCCAAATTTAACCGTTGGACCATCTGAAAAGGTCAATTGTAACGTAGAAAGGTCAGGGAACTTGATTCTAACAAAGTAGGTTTCTGGGATTCTGTGAATGCGCTGCTTAGGTTTCTGGGGTCTCATTGAATCTGTGAGTATCTTATGGTACGTTTGAGCTTGTGCAACCGTCATTTCGTAGGTCTCCTCACTGTGGTCATAAATTCCTGAGGCCGAGTCTGAAGGGAGGAATATCTGAGGGGTGTTTACTTGAACCGAGTGCTCTACAGCAGATTCAAGTTCATCGTCTTCTTCTTCTATTTCTTCTGCTCTAGTTTCTTCTGCTCTAGTTTCTTCTGCATTACTTTTTTCTGTTTTAGTTTCCTCCTTTGGTACTTCCCTCACGCCTTCTGTTCCATCATCCACCTCCATCTCTTCGCCTGTCGCATCATTTGTACTTCCCTGTTCCCGTTCCTCCGCCCTTTTCCTGGCCAATAGGTCTTCATTCATCTTTTCTTCCTCCTTTTTCATTTGATTCCGCACTCTTTGCTCTTCCACCTGCAATTTCACTATTCTGTTTTGCTCCTCAATCCTCCTGTCCTTATCAGACTCATTAGCATAACTCAATCTACACACCACACTATTGGCTCCATTTCCAACAATTGATACAATTCTGGACAGCGGGAAGTCTGTTTCATTCAATTTGGAGTTCAACACCTGCAATTGTGCCGAGCCGAACTTCTCTTGGTCCAAAATACTTGTCCCACGTTCATTCTCCACCATATTCAAAAGGTCTGCAATTGTCTTGTGGTTGTTAATTTTCGTTATGTGAGAACCTCCTGTGGGAAGCGTCAATTTTATTGAGATTTCCTTGGATTCACTCTCACTCACCTTCAAGACAAGTTTCGCATTGTTTGATATGTTTGCAAACCTTAGTGGCAACAGCGAGTCGAGTACTTTGTCTTTGTAAAGCAAGTCTACAACAGTATCGCCATCGAGTTTGAATTTTTTCTTTGCCAATTCCGTTAACTGACTGATGGACGAGTTCGCTGGGCACGTTACCTTGAGCGTCTTCAACTTATAAGTTACCTGAAACGACATTTTGTCCTATCTTCGGTGGGTTCCGCTTTGTAATGCTCTCCGTAGGCAGCACCTTACCAAATTTCTGCGTTGCGTAGTGTGTCAATTTTGGAGTAATGTACGTCCTGCATGTGGGACCGGCTAACCGATTGTTTTTTTTTTTTTTGTCACTCTTTTTTAATTTTTTTCCTAATTCTTCTGCACCTGAGCTTAATATAAAACCTGATCCAATTTGCCATCGGAAGAAGCCCATCAAAGGAGGTTGAGCTTAAATACCGAACTGTAGAAGCGAAGAACGTTACGGAATATTTTGTGATATTTTCTCAACGCTCAGAAAGTCCAAGATAATTTATTATTAGAAAAATGTGTTTATGTTTGTCGGACCTTTGCTTGGTCCTTATCTCTGTGTTCTTCCCTCCATTGCCTGTATGGATCCGTAGAGGGATATGTACATGTGACTCGTTAATTAACATATTATTATGCTTACTCGGCTACATTCCGGGCTTGATCCACTCGTGGTATATCATAGCCAAATATCCCCCATACTCGATCCGTAGCGAGTCCAAAATATACTACGTCTACCGTGACCTGAGTGACCTTGAGGCCGGTAGGGGAAGCCGCCATAACAACAGCAATAACAATAACAATAACAACACCAGCAACCACCACGTCCACCACTGCCACCACCCAGAGCCTGTCAACCAGCAGCCAGGTCCTCTTGCCGCAATGGAAGCTGGCCCATCCTCCTCCTACGGTGCTGTGACGGAGGGTAGTAGCTCTAACGCTAACCCCCAGGCTACTCTTCCCCCTCCTGCATATACCGAGTTGGATAACAAGGTCCAGAAATGATCACCGAGGCATCACTGTGAAGTTTATATAGAGAAAGATACTGTGAATATACAAGTTAATTGAGTCAAACAAGCAGCACGGTCGACACCTGACTGTGCGCTGTAGTGTGCAAGTCATCACCTCTTCCCTCACTTCTCTCTCTTACCCTCTCTTCTCTCCAGCCCTCTTGCCCTCTTCCTCCTCCCACCCTTCGCTATTTCCCTATGGAGAACTATTTTTCATGGGCTATCGATGCTGCACCTGCATATCCCGCCCTCCACTGATAAGGTCGAGGAGGATTGGGGAATGCCTGGGTGTTGTTGTTGCTCTTTAGGCACTATTGCAATTTTGATCGGGATTTGCTCAGAACAAAGGACCGGTGTTAGCTGAGGCAAGATAGTGTACGTACAGCGAACCGATATGGCCACCACGTCTACATTAACTAGTGAATTGCAGGGTCCTGCCGACTCTAGTGGGATCAACGCCGCTCCGCCCAAAACGGAAATGCTGAACAGAAGGAACTCGATCTCGTTAAAACAATCAATACTCGACTGGTGGAGCTCGCCTTCTGAACTTTCAAGAGCGTCGTTCTCTTCCAATTCGTCGTCAGCGTCGTCTTCGACCGCTGCCACCTCTGTAAAGAGCACCTTCGCCAGCTCAAGGCTCAAGAACTTAAAGATAGAGTACAACTTGTACAAGGCGATCTTTTCGGATGAGATCTATGTTGTACCGCCCGGCGATGCGATCATCGACGACGATGAGCTTCAAGACTACCCTTATTATGCTCAAATACTCGACATCGAGTTGGATGACGGGAACTTCTTGCACGAATTTTACCTCCAGAACAATTTGGATCGGCCAGCAGACGGTAACGACGATCAAGTATTGGATCTCGTTGTTGTTCACGGGTACATGGCAGCTTCGGGCTATTTCTTGAAGAACTATGAACAGTTATTGAGATCCACACCAGGTATAAGGATTCATGCTCTTGATTTGTTGGGCTTTGGTAATAGTTCCCGGCCGAAATTCCCTCAGGAGCTATTGACCACGCCGGAAGACCATGAGGCACAGATCAAACAGACTCTAGAGGTAGAAAACTGGTTTATCGACAGAATAGAGGAGTGGAGAGTGAAGAGAGGAATCAAGAAGTTCAAGCTAATTGCCCACTCAATGGGAGCTTACTTGATGTCCTGCTACCTCATGAAGTATAATAACGGTAAAGAGAAACTGGTTCATGAGTTTTTGGCCGTTAGTCCCATGGGAACTGAGCCGAACTATCAGAGTTTGATAAACGATTCGAAGTATCAGTTCAACCATCATGCCATTGGAGGTGACCCATTCAAAGAATTGACTGCAAGACAAAAGAACATAACTGGTGGCTCGCAGGAGGATTCCACGAGCAATGGTAAACTCTCTCAGATCTGGAAAGATCTCGGGGCTCCAAAGTTTCCTAAAGTATACGTATTGAGAAAGTTATGGGAATGGAATAAGTCCCCCTTCCAAGCACTTCAGTTATTTGGTCCATTCTATTCTAAGCTTTTAAGTTACTGGTCGTTTCAGAGGTTTGCAAATTTGGTGGGCAATGAAGACGAGGCTACTAAGGATACAGACAACACAGACTTGATCCTCAAGCTACATTACTATTCGTTTTCTATATTCAATCAGTTCCAAGGCTCTGGAGAATTGGCCATAACCAAACTAATCAATCATGAAATCTTGGCGAAATTACCACTTGCAGACAGAGGGTTGGTGGAGTATTTGGCGAGTAATAACGTCAAGACAATGTGGATGTATGGCGATAGAGATTGGATGAATAGCAATGGTGGGAAATACGTTCATGACAAGATATCTAAACTCAAAAGTGGGATAAGTGAATTTCAAGTTATCAAAGGTGCTGGCCATCATATTTACTTAGATAACCCTGAGGAATTTAACAAATCTAGTATACAATTCTTAGGACTAGGAAAGTAGAGAAACTTTACATTTGATGATGGTGCAGTTGATGAAGTATTTCTATTAATTTATGAATATATATTCTGTCTATACATATGGATCTGGGTAAATTCTATATTATGTTGGCTTTGAGCTCAATTACAAACTTAGACTTAGTCTCTTTAACTTGTCAAAAGTATCTTCGCTATTCTCGTTGGACAAAGACTTCAATATGTACGCAAGTTGAATACCAAATTCCATATCCTCTTTTCTTTCAATCTCTTCTCTCAATTCATTTGACTTTCTGTAAGCTTCTGACACGATTTCCTTTGGGATTCCAGCCAACTTTGCAACATTGATCCCATACAGGTTCGTCACAACTCCTCTCGCCAACGTATACAAGAATAATATATCTGGCCACTCCTGATTGGGGTTCTCAACCTCAACAAACCCCATATGATAGTTCTTCACCAATTTGTGATACATGCTCTCAAATTCATGTAATGACGGGTAATGGGTTATAAATAATGTTAAACATCCGCAATTCTTAATAAAGTAATCCAAAATAGCATATGCTATTGAAATTCCATCTGTAGTCCCTGTACCTCTACCTATTTCATCAAGGAGAACCAACGATTTGGGAGTGCAGTTCTTTATTATATTACTACACTCCATCATTTCCACCATAAATGTCGATTCTCCTTTTATAATATTATCTTGTGCACCCATCCTCGTGAATATCGAATCAAATACACCAAGTGTTGCAGACTCACAAGGAACATAACACCCAATCTGAGCCATCAACACTATAAGCGCAACTTGCCTTACATAAGAAGATTTACCTCCCATGTTAGGGCCCGTTATAACCAAGCACCTGTCATCATCATACGACATCGATATGTCATTAGGTATATAATTGGACGTCGTTGATAAGCTTTCGATGATAGGATTTCTTCCTTGTTTGACGTCAATTTTTACCTCGTCAACAAAAATAGGTTTGGCATAGTCTATATTTGCAGAACTTGCAGCTGTCAATGAAGCTAAGCAATCAAATTCCAGTATGCCTCGAACTATTTTAGCAAAGTAATCATAGCTATCATCAATTTGAGATAAAAATCTGTTGTATGCTATATCGCATGCTTCAACTAGCATGTCATTTTTGTATTTTAATCTCAGTAGCAATTTAGATATTTCCGGAGTTCTAAACCGGGAGACTGATTTAGTCGAATTGATCTTTATCCAGTTCAAGGGCAAGCTTTTGACCATATTTCCATTTCGTACTTCTATCAAATGTGATTCTTTCATATTTGTAACAAAGTTAAGTTGTGGTCTCTTCAAGATTTTCCTCACATTCATCAACTCTATTGACAACAAGTCTTCGATTTCTTCAATCTCAGTTGTTACTCTTTCAACTTCATCCCACTTGTGTTTGAAAAACAGAGTCTTCTGTTTGGCTAAATCAGTCTCTTCTATCGCCACTGAAGCATTTATCATATTCAATAATTCAGGAATTTTATTCGAATGGTACGCATCCAATAAATCTTGAAATATACGACATAATAATGGCAGCTTCCAACTCTTGATTTCATTTTCAAAACTATTTGTCAATTGTAGGAAATCGGACATTGATTTAAGAAAGAGGTAGATTTCCTTTCGACTGATCTTATCCATTCTATAACTAGATGCGTAATGCACTTTAGTCAAGGACTTATCAAAATCGAGTCCACCAGACTTACTTAGCTGCTTCAAAAATGTCTCAACAAAGTGAGAGAAGTCTGACTTTAAATGCTCGACAGCGTCTAATCTCTCTTCAATCGCAGACTTCTCAATCAAAGGTTTAGATATCCACTTCAGAAGGAGCCTCTCACCCAGCTTGGTTCTCGTGTGATTCAAAATCCACACTAATGATCCTCTCTGTCGGTCTGAAGAGTGAGAAGAATTCTCAAATATTTCTAGAGATTGTAGTGTATTTGAAGGTAGTAACATATATCTCTTAGTGTCTGAGAACTTCTGAATGTTGCAATACTCACTTGAGTTTATTGTGAATATGTTACTCAATTTAAATTCTTTCAAGTAGTCTATAAGTTCTATGATGCATGACTGAACGTTCTGATCAAAGTTCGTCGTATAGTATTCAGTCAATTTCAAATTCTCTTTAAAGAATTCTGTCAATTCGTTTGCAATTTTGTAGCTTTCTCTTCTTTTTAAGCTGGTTATCTTGCTGTTGCTCAGTTGGCTCGTTACTTTCAAAACTTTGCTCACTTCTTTCGTAAGCTCACCATCATTTGACACTACCAAAATTTCGCTAGGTGATAAATATGAGAGTCTTGTTTCCAATTCACTTTTGGAATTGTCGTCTTGGAAAGTCTCGTAGACAATCTCACCTGTTGCAGGCAGCACTGCAACGAATGATAAGGTATCTGGACTCAGTTCATCAATACAGAATATATACTTTCCCCGCTCCGACAGAGAGAGTGAAGAATTACTTCCTTCTATATTACCAATAGCCAACAACTCGTCATCCATATAGGTTGCTTTGGTGTAGATGGCTGTGATTTTCCTCTCGAACAAGGAATTCTTGTTCCCATCTACAGACTTGACTGCAGCGGTTTCTGTTTGCTTTATGACTCCAACTTTGTGGCCATGGCTAAGTATCCTTTGGAGGTGTATGTGAAGTCTGTTATCAGGAATAGAACAATAGGCAATTCGATCGTACTGGGAATCAGGCTGATCAAGTCTGATTTTGCCAGGGACTAGCATGATATTAAGGATCCTAGCCACGATCACTGCATCTGGACCAAAGAATTTGAACTTATAACCCACTTGTATGGCAAGTATCTTATCGGTATTTTCCATTTTAAATTCATACACTTGTTTTTCAAGCGGAGTTAACTTACTTACTATGGCAGCTGATGAAGCGTTTGCAGGTTTAGTCTTAGCAGCTTTTGTACGCTTCGAGCGTACATGTGGCTGGGGTGGGGACGATGCCTCCGGCGTTGCTCTATCTACGTAACTTTCTACATCTTCAATTTCAAGTAAATCAGGCTCATTGGTTTCCGGTGATTCGTTTGACAGAACCGGCAGTTCTTGCTGCTTTGCTACAGTTGAAGATCCAATAGACTTCAATTTTTTATTGCTACCCAGCGAAATTTCGCTTGGAGGTTTTGCTCCATACTCAGACATCAATTTCTCTCGAGCCTTTCGTATTATGCTTCCTCCTTGCTCGTTCCCATTTTGTTCAAGATCACTCCGTTTCCTCTTCATTGGAGACTCACGCGTTACATCCGAAATATACTCTTCAGTTAGGTCTATCGATATGTTTGAAAGCGGTGACGAGCCCTCCTTTTCGGAGCTCTTCTTGGGTTGAAAGAACTTACTAATTGAAGGCTGAACTTTACCCATATCGCTATCCTTCCACTCTAATATTGTAAAAGTAGTTAGCACTGGAACTCTGGTCTTGTACAAATCATACTGGCGATGTATGTCTTGTATGCAGGATTTGATAAAACTACGTTATTGTCTGGGGGTTGCAACTGCAATAGTTATCTACAGTGTAAGGAGAAAGAGATATATGTACGTCATTGTCTAAGAGGGTGGCCAATGTTATCTACAGCGTAAGGAGAAAGATATACATGTATGTGTGTATTTATGTACATATGTATATAATGCTTTTGATGTCCGTGTGCAAATCTTCCTTACTGTCTCCCGAGTCTACTAAATGTAATGCTATGAATATGAGGCTTGGGCAGCTTAAGATCCTCACTAGATGAACCCGAAAGATTGGAAAACGAAGAGGTAGATGCCCATTTGCTTTTGGATGGATAATCGGTGCTCACTGTACTGGACACTGGTTCAATAGTAGCACTAGATCGGGCCCTTCTTATCTTGGGAGGCGTCTCTTTCGTAGGAGAGCTACGAGTACTTGTTTTCTTGGATCCATCCGAATCATTGAAGGTGATAATTGAGGACCGGCTGCTGCTAGTTCCATTGAATGCTAATTTTGCCGCTATAGATGATGTCGTTGATGAGGAAGAAGAAGATTTCCTTGACATATTGGGCTTCTGCGAAGATGAATTTGAAGATTTCAAAAAATCAAGAACTTGTGGTTGCGTAGAGGCTATACCTCCAGCTACGGGACTTGATGTATATGCCACAGAGTTTGGCGAGTTATAGCTTATACTGCCTCTGTGAGTTGATCTACCACTTGATGTTGATAAGCTACTTGTAGGACTATTCCCACTTGCATTATAATTTGAGCCGTTACCAGGGATCCATTGCTGGGTGGAAGAAGGAGTCTTTGTTAAAGAGCCATACTTCGATGTTGGTGAGCTCTTGTTTTCACTACTTATGATGTTTGCATCCCAATTCCTAACCAGAGGAGAGATGGCAATAGATTTTAATGAAGGAGTCTTGGCCAAATTGGTCTGAACAATAGGCGTATGAGGTGCCCTAATGCTATTTCCTCTTATCCCCGCAGTTGTGGAGGAACTGGATGTTGGGCTGGTAACAGCTGCCGTATTGGACCTCTGCCTTACAGCATGCGGTCTCTTAACAGGTGACAAGGCTTTATCTGTTTCGCTTGGCAAAGACAACAGGTATGCTCTTGTCCTCATATCGTTAGAATCTTTCTTTACTGCCAGTACCAGTACTATCGGAGATGCTAAGATTCTATTCTCTTGTGGCGACGTCAGAGCTTCAGAGGCGATGGAAAATGTGGAGATTGCCGAATTGGAAGGACTGAAATCCTGGCTAGTCACTCCTTCAAAAATGCCCATGCCCGCCGGTTGCACTAAGGGAGAGAAGCTCAGTGAGTGCGATAATTTCAAAGGTGGGAGGCTGGGGAAATCTTGATGGTGGCCAGCTTTCTCTGTCAGTTTGAGCAACTCAAGTTCATTCTCTAGTCTCTTCCTTTCATCAAAATTCAGTAAAAGCGTACTCCTGAAGTGCTTATATTGTTTAGATATTTCAAACGAAGAAGCCACTTCTAATGCTTTCCAGCTTTTATTGTTAGCAGTAACTTCGAACTTTACAATCACGTCTTCCAATTCCTCCTTGGTGGTACATTTAGATGAAATGAAATTGTACAAAGACTCAATGCAATTGAAGTGTCCATATTGGAAACAAAGATGTAGGCAATTGTTGCCCTCGCCATCTGCCATCAAGTAGTCAGCTTCAAATTCTAAAAGCAATGTCAACCCTTCTTTGAAGCCGTACTTGCAAGTATAGTGTAAGGGGGTCTGTAGCTCTGGGCCACCCTTTTGATTGAGCCAGAGCTTTCCAGGGTACTCTTTTAGGAGATAATGAAGGGTCTGCGATTTGTGGTTAATGGAGGGCAAGTGCAAGACACTAAGGCCATCAAAGGTAAGCATATCAATGCCATCTTCCTGTCGGCTGCCTTGGTCTGTAGCGTATTCGTCATCGTCGCCAGCTCTAAACGCCGTGCTTTCATCCTTTGACGTGAAGTTGTCGCTGTTCCTGCGGAGAGTAACTAGATGGAAACATATGAGGTAATTTCCATGGTATGAGGCATAGTGTAGATTGCTCCATCCGTTGTGGAATGGGTCTATATTTAGCCACAAGTCGGGGTATCTGTGCAACAACCTCTTGGTTATGGGGAGGTTACCCTCTATTATGGCATTTCGGAGCCTTATCAGTGGATCCAACATGTTGAGTGTGGGCTAGACGACAAAGCAAAGATAATCAAGTTAAAACAAAAACGAAATATGTTTTACCAATTTAATTCTAGATTGTATAGGCTGGAATGTCGATAAGGATAGGGGCCCCGTGAAGAATGAGGCAGTGGAATTCACGCGAGAGATTCAACCTGCACTCGCTTCAAAATTGAGCGTCGTACTTCGTGTGTAAAGGATGCGACTTCTTTCTCGAAAAAAATGCCACTTCTGAACTGTTTTGCCCTGTCAATGTATACCGTTCCCGGACCACCTGTTACACAGCACGGAACGATCCACAGACATGTTCGTTAGGTGCTTAACATTTTTCTGTGCCTGTCGGGAGTGCACATAGCTTGCTAACGCGCGTGTCCTGCACGAAAGAGGTTGTGCGTGTCCTGCACGTACGAATTTGTGCGAATTGGGAACTTCCAGCGGTGGGACAAAAAAAAAAATAGTAAACATGAGATCTGGTCAAGATCAAGCAGTGAGGAAAAAAAGGAAAAAAATAAAAAAAATCAAGGAAAAAAAAAAAAACATATGATAGGAAGAGAGGATGATTTCATATGATGATACCTGATCAAGACAAGGAATTTAGAAAAGGTGCTAAAAAATAATTTACCATCATGATGTACAATAAGCTATTTTGGGGGAATTTTTGGCGGAGATACGAGTATCGAATGGCGTAGTCGTAGTCGTTTTTATGAAACAAACTCAATAGCAAATGTTTGGGAAAGCATAACATTTAGTTTTTACCGATAGCTTAATATTCCGGTCACTAGTGAAAAATATCAAGAAAATAAATTTTGGAAAGAGAAGGAATGGGGGAGAAAAAAAAAAAGAATAAGAAAAAAAAAAAGAAAAAGAAAAAATTTTTACGGGATCCCATGTAACTAAAAATTTTATTCCTTCTTATCCTTCCATCGGGTCATGTATTATCTGCTTGCATAGAAACTAATTCATTCAAAAATTGTACATTAGTGCTCTGCCTATTGTTAGGTGTTTTCAACTTGCATGATAATTTTGTGTGGAATATACCTTCATGTACATACGATGAAAGACTCGCTTGCATGATTTTGAATGTACAAAAATTCACATTACGTCAACAAAAGCTAAAAAGGAAAAATAAAAAACCAAAAGAAGCAAATGCGATAGGTAATGACAACAAGAACGACGAGGATATGCGACCACCGTTAAATACTGTTAGGGATGAATATTTTATCAGCGGGTGTATGATCCTATCATTCCTCTTTCGCCTCTTTTACCCTGGCTTACGTTATTTTTATTATTTGAGACGGGGGGGTAGGGGGCTCGTCATCTATTTTGAGTAATTTTCAGTTTAAACTTTTTTTGGTTTTTGGTATAATTATTATTATTTTCCATTCTAAATTCTTTTTTTTTTTTTTTTTTTTTGATTCCTCTTTTTTTAAAGTTTTTTTATCTAATAGACGGTTAAAGTTTCCTTTTAAAAGAGTGGCTGTAGACTCTTTTTTTTGTAAAATCCTCCAGACTATAGTCATTATTATATGTATATGGGGACATATTTACAATTATATCCAATTTTGTAGGTTCCGTAAGAAGGTGAATAGTCTGATATTGTGCAAAGAATCATCATTAACGTAATAGAAAAGCATAATTGCGTATCGCTGGAAAAAAGGAGGAAAAAGGCTTGCTATGCAAAACAATCTAAGAATTCTAGCAATATCTGATGTTCAAGGAAACCTCGATGCATTTGAGCAGTTATATAATAGCGAGAAGGGTCGAATAGATATAATAATACATACGGGGAATTTCGGGTTTTGGGATAAGGAGACAATAAATTCGGATAAGGATAATAGTTTCTTGAAGCAAATTGTTGCATTCTCTGAAGTATTAGATAAACAAGTGGTGAATGAGTTGAATACCTTATCGACTATTGGAGCACAGGGACCATCTGTGGGGTCTGTTTCAGGACCTTCTTTTGCAGCATCATCGACTTCTGCTGCGTCGGCGGATCTTTCTGCTGCTGCTGCTTCTCCTGCTGCTGCTGCTTCTACTGCTGCTGCTGCTGCTTCTACTGCTGCTGCTGCTGCTTCTACTGCTGCTGCTGCTGCTTCTACTGCTGCTGCTGCTTCTACTGCTGCTGTTGCTGCTGCTTCACCTGATGCTGCTTCCAGTGCTGCTGCCACACCTTCTGCTGCATCTGCTGCATCTACATTCTCTTCCGCTGCTAATGCAACGGACCTCCTTAAAGCGAAACTCCTATCGAACTCCAACAGCATATCACAACTAGAATCTTATTTATCGGGGTCGTTTAAGTTCCCCTGTCCAGTTTATACCATATTCGGTCCTCTAGATGACCCTAACGTAATTCACAAGTTTCAAAGCGGAGAGTACAACATTCCTAATTTACACCTTATAGATCATACCAAATGTTACGAAATCCCCTCGCCACTTGATGATCAACCTAATATCAAGCTTTATGGCATTGGCGGAACTTTGAAAATACATTCCCTCTTCGATCATGGGAACCTTGACCAAGAATACACAGAGCTATGTGGCAAAGTAGGAGACTTGTGGATCTCCATGCTTCAGATTGCAACAATGTACCATAACGTAATGAACTTCAATGAAACAAGAAAAAGCAACAACACTATCAGCATCTTTGTTACACATGCGCCAATAATGAAAACTCCTTTATTGGAACACCTTGCCATCTTGACGAATGCAGACTTTTCCATATCCCAAGGCTTGCACTTCCGATATCCAGTAATGGGTAACGGAATGAGCTTTGTGGATAGCATGGGCGGGTCTGCTGGGTATATTGATAGCTACAGGTCCAAGTTCTCTCGTTTGAGAATGATTTTGGGGGAATTGTGGCTTATAGTCAAGGATAATATGGTAGAATTGTTGAACGAGAGCATACAGGAGAATAAGGAGGAGTTTAAGAAGTTGATAGAGTTAGGTTTAAGTTTATTTGATAAGATTCCGGTATCTATAAACGATTCAACGGAGAAGATAATACCTTTGACTCTTTTTGACCCACCTACTTCTGCCAGTGCAGGTACAGCTGCGGCAGGTGCAACTTCCACTGGAGGTTCGACTACTAGTACAAGCGGAGGGGGTAGGAAGAGCTTTAGTGGACCAGGTGGAACTTCTACCAGTGGTTTAACGCCTGATGATGACAACAAAAAGGTCTTGAAGAAGATCAACGATATGTATTTTTCGGCATACTATAATTTATGGCATTTTAATCTCTGTGATTTGATTACGACCCAACCGAACTCAGATGAACAGTCGGATTACAACATAATGATATTTGACTTAGACAAGTCCAGTAATTTTAAATTAGACTACTGTACGAGCCAAGGCTTTAATTTCAACTTCAAGGTTGATGGCGGGAGATCAGGCAAAAAGCGGTTTGCCTATGAGATAGAGGAGGAGGACGACGATGATGAAGGTGGAGACAGCGACGATTCTGGGTCAGGTGCTGGATTTTCTGGGGGTCGTGGAGCTGAAGGCGAAGCAGACCCAGATCTTGAAGCAGAGACAGAAATGGAGGATGTACAAGCTGGAGAGGAGCTAGCCACTCATAGAGAGGAGAGAGATGACGGCGATGAAGATTCAACAAAGGGAAAATATAGAGGATCTAAATTCAGTTCAAATTATCGCAGCAGACCCGGCAGGGGAAGAGGGAGAGGAAGAAGCAGGGGCAGAAGTAGGGGCAATTATAGAGCCAGAGGGAACTAGCCAAATAACTACCTAACTCACGAACCAACCTACTAACGACTAACTAAACTTCACTTAATATTTTCGCAGCCATTTCGGCAATTTGGGAGCATTTCGCGATTTAATTTTCACTCTCTTTAGTTAGGACATGTTAATATTTAATACCATATAAGGATAAGTGTCAGAGATTCGTCGTATGAGAGAATTCGTACAATAGGTGAATTGTAAAAGCTTAGAATCTCCGTCACAAATGAAATACGGAAGTGGTGCGTGAACTATATTTAGAAGGAACCATCGGGTATGTCTTACTAGGGTTTAAATATTAAATCATTCTCTTCTCCTACAATCTAACTTTATGCGAGCAACACGAGCAAAGTTTTCCCACTTTCCTCTTTCAGGTTTCTTTTTTCCTACGATTTATTGGGGTTTCCATACTTCTTGATATGTGATTGTATATTATCCGTATGAAGCTATGCATTCATGTGTGTTTCCTTCATATATATATATATACGATTTTTCATTACTATTGTATAATTTAATTTATTTCTTTTTATTTATTTCTTTCTTATGCTTTGTTGCTTTATTTGTTCTACTTTGCAAAACCAAACTTGCTTACTGGTTGTTTACTTTCTTTTCTAATGATGTTCAAATGGTAATTTTTGTCCAAAGATGACTGGCCCATCCTTCTTGATTCTGTAGAAAATGTAGAACCACATCGAAGCTCCAAGAAATTTGGATGCCCAGTGCAATCTTGGGTCAACGTGAGGTTTGGCAGCTAATGCGTGACGAACGTACTTAGCAGCGTGTCCAGCCATATTCAATTAGTTGTATGTATGTAGTAAAGAAGTAGTACCAAGCGTGTAGGAAATCTGTTTCAGTTCATGTTAGGGAGAAAAAAGATTGGAAAATCAAATGTTTTGGTTGGTGGAAAGATTACACAAAACTGATTCTATGAAATGAGGAATGCTCTGATCACGTGATATGTGTCACGCTTGCGTCAAGCTAGTTTCGAGATTGGGAGATGCTGCAATCTTGCTTGACCCGTAATTACTGTCTTTGTTCAAGGCAAACTAGGAAGACTATTGAGGCATTTAGTACTTATCTGACAGATTGTAGTGGGGCATTTAAATCGGGATATGGAAAATAGGTAATGATCAATTGGCTCTTTTCAGACTACTGCGCAAGTGCGATATTCTACGATTGGCAAGAGAGTGGATCTTTGGTCAGTTCAGTGGTTGCTCGAATCGTACAGCATTTGAATTGATACAGACAGAAGGCAGAAGGGCAGTGTTCACTTTAGAGATGGCAAATCAAAAAAAAATAGAAAATTTTAATTTACTTTAACTCATATAATATGTTCTAACCGCAAAAGACACTTCAAATTTAACTTGTTACTGCTGGATCAACATTTGCCCAGCCTGTTCATTACTTTAGCAAAGCTCTATAAATCCATCTGCTGCCAAGATTAGATAAGGGCTACTGACAGAAAATATACCCAGCCCAGAGTGGTTACCTCCTGCTTCTAATACCACCTCATTATCATCTCACTTGCAAAGCTTAAAATTGAAGGAATAAGCGAATTGTCCTGTATGTAGTTAAATAGATTGGTTGCATATTTTTATCTTGCTGGTAGCGCTAAAGCTTAATATGGGACAGCTCTAAGTGCAACACTTTCAGGGGAAATCCTTCGAAAAACTAGATTACAGGAAGGTTTAAGGTGATTTAACAGGTGTACGTATCTAAATTTTAGTTTAGTGAATGGAAAAAGGTATAGTGGTAATGCACAAAAGTATATGCTGCTGTGAACTGGAGAGTGCTAGCATTCTAAAAGGTATCTCAAGCCACCGACTGCAGTCGATTACAGCTTTGCAAGAAACCTTTACTGGATTATAATCTAGCATTCTTGAGCATTCCGTTTATATCTACACCAATTCGATACCTCTGACGTATTGTCCTTGAACTACATCAAAAGTCTAATATGGGGTAAATTGTAAAGCCTAAAAATAACCGTTTTGTCCTGCATATACCATTTTGTTTTTTGCAGATGTTGCAGAAACCAGCCATGACAAGCCATCACAATTCTTTTGCTGGCTCTGCTGACTCGCTAATCGAACTACTCCTTAAGGAAGAATGTGGACTCATAGTTGGATCAAATCAAAACAAATGGCTTAGTGCATGTAGATTCTTCTTGAAATGTGGAGTAGGTTGTCATTATTTTCTGGATCTTGTGGGTCCCTGTACTGGGATCATCACGTTAAAATATTTCACTCCAATTTCTTAGCGCTCACAAAATTTTAAGCAATAATAAAAAAAGAGCCACTAACCTTGATAAACGCTCGTATAAGTTGCGGTGTGCTCCATCGGAATGACCACACATCCTCTAATCTCCTTTCTATCACTAATTGAGCTTAATTAATTGCAACATTGACAGATATTTTAAGGTTCCGAGAAATTCTATTTTTAAAAACCATAGCAAATAAACTTTTCTATGGTGAAATTAGCATTTGGTAAAGTTGCATCATTCAAATTTTGTCTTTCTTATTCCCTCCCCCCAATTTTTTCTTGATTGGCCCTTATTAAATTGTAGTTGGTTTGCAACCGTGCCTTGCATGAAACCAAAATCAATTGTTACTAAGGGAATATTCCAACATTGATTGTAGTCTATTACGAAGGTAAGCTTACCGCACTGTGTTTTCCTCATCAATTACCGCCGAGGCCGAGCTTTTCGATAGGGGCAGTAATTCTTCACTTGATATATTTTTTAATTGATGGTGTGAGTACATGCTTAGAAATATATATTTTTTACGTAGCAAATCGATTCACTGATTATGTAGAGAAACTACTCTACAGCAAGGAACCACGCTAAGCACCTGGCTTATTACGCTCTCCAAAGTGGGCTTGTCAACTGGGCTGAATGTATTTTGTATAAGCTTACTCTCGTTTTACGAAGTTCCATACTACCAAATATTGTTGGAAAAGGTGTTAAAAAATAGTCTAATTTTGGACTACCAAACCGCTGTAACTATCTAGCAACCATTATTTTGTAAGCTGGCTAATATTAGTATACGATGCCGTACATTTGGTATGGCCAACCCTAACTCCTTTCCACCAGAATGGTCGCACACTTTTTTTTATTTTTTTGCTAAGCCAGCGCCAACATATGCACGTCAGCTGGTTGTTGCAAAAATAGATTTCGGTAATGAAATTACTTGCATGGATCATAATGACTTGCATGAATTTCTAAAACGTTATACCAGCAACTCATAGCCCCTGGATCATGCTTCAAAAATTATAAAAGGAGATCAAGGTCCTGGGCTTATTGAGGAAAAATTCTTATTCTCATCAGATCAATATCGATAACAGTTCCAGTTCCTTAGAAAGTGAAAAGAACTACTAGTCCGATAAACTAATAAACTAATAATAAAGTCACACATACAATGAAGTACTTTCTCACAGCTGCGCTCATCTCTTCAGCTCTTGCTGCTTACGTTCCATCTGACCCATGGACCGACTTGACTCCTACTGCTGCTGCTCCATCTGGTGCCACCACTGACCACACCCATGCTTTCGGTATTCAAATCGTCACCGTTTCTGCTGCATCTGTTACTGGCGCTGCTAAGAGAGCTGTGCAACAAATCGGTGATGGACAAGTCCAAGAACAAAGTTCTGTTACCTTGGCCACTCCAACCACCACTGCTGCTGTCATCCAACAAATCAGTGATGGTCAAATCCAACACCAAACTAGCACTGCTGCTGTTGTTCAGCAAATCAGTGATGGTCAAATCCAACACCAAACTACTGCCGCTGTCATCCAACAAATCAGTGATGGTCAAATCCAACACCAAACCACCGTCACACCACCTACTCCAACCACCGCATCTGTCGTAAACCAAATCGGTGATGGTCAAATCCAACACCAAACCACATCAACTGCTTCAGTTGTCAACCAAATTTCCGATGGTCAAATCCAACACCAAACAACTCTTTCTGGTGCTTCTCAAATCTCTGATGGTCAAGTTCAACAAGCCACTGCTACTGCTGCTGCTGATGCCGATGCCGGTCAATCAGGTGCTGGTGAAGCTTGTAAGACTGAAAACTCTTTAACTATGTCCTTGAAGGGTGGTATTTTAACTGACTCCAAGGGTAGAATTGGTGCCATTGTTGCCAACAGACAATTCCAATTCGATGGTCCACCACCACAAGCTGGTTCTATCTACGCTGCTGGTTGGTCTATCACTTCCGATGGACACTTAGCTATCGGTGACAACACTCACTTCTACCAATGTCTTTCTGGTGACTTCTACAACTTGTATGATGAAAATGTTGCTGCTCAATGTAGTGAAGTTCTTTTAAGTGTTATCGATCTTATCGAATGTTAATTCAACTGCATCTACACTTTCAACTTCCAACACATACACACACACTCATTTGCATACATTTTTTGAACAAAAAATGGTTTAATTTTTACATTTCTTCCGATTTACATACTTTGGTTCGCATACAATTTTTGAAATAAAAGTTTATATGATTAGTACTTGTTGATGTAGCCTATGTAGTCTTGATATACCATCTAGCATGGCTCAATAGTAAATAGCCGTTCTATATTTACTAGCTAATAAATTTGCTGATCTTTGTTAAATTCTATTGCTCTAATTGCGCCTACTCGAAAACTAAGCTTCAACATTCATCACCCTTCCACAATACTTAGAACCAAGTTAAAATATATATTCTACTGTAAAATCATTTATTGAATTTCTTATGCAATTAGCACCCTTTTCTATTTATGTATTGCATCTACCTTCAGTCTAAAGATGATGACTTCTTTTTCTTTTTTTTTTTATATATATGTTACCTCCTAAGAAATCCTCCTTTACCCTTAACCGGACTATTGTTTGTAATAGTATATGCGACACTAGTGTACATTGAATCTTCTTGGTTATATACCATAGATTCCTCTCTTCCCACCTCATTGTAATGTAAAGTTACAGAACTGAACTTAGCGAACGGATCATCATTTTCTCCATTTGCATTAACCTCTGTTTTTGTATGCTTCTTAGTTCCATTGTTATCGTCTTCACTGAGTTCACTTTCCTTGTCCTTTTTTCCAGAGTTCTTGGATTTAGTTAATACGGGGATCATAGGGGGTTTTTGATTCCTAAGTAATGCCCACTGGGTACTTTTGAAAAAGGAGTGATTTTTAATATCTGAAGCTCCAGATTTAGAACCCAATCTTTTGGTTTCATCCTTAATCAATAGCTTCTTTATAAGATTTTTACAATTTGATGAAACAGGTTGATGATTGTTAGAGTCTGGGTATTTCACATCCTTTTTCAATATATTGGAAAATGTCTTGTTTCTCTGATCGCCCTTGAATGGAGTAGTACCGTAAAGCATTTCGAAAAGGAAGATCCCCAAAGTCCACCAATCTACAGCGGAAGTGTGACCTTTACCCTTGATCACTTCAGGTGCAATGTATTCTTCTGTACCTACAAATGAATTCGTACGGAACCCATCAATACACGCTTTGGTATCCAATGTTGGCCCCACATTGGAATTTTGTCCAACTCCGTAAGTGTTCTTTTTGAAAAATATTTCAGGGTTTTTGGTACTAGCCGATTGTTTAGACAAGTCAAAATCAGACAACATAATGTGACCTGATTGATGCAACAAGATATTTTCAGGTTTCAAATCTCTGTAGATGAACCCCATAAGATGCAAGTATTCTAATGCAGCTGTCACCTCTGCAGCATAAAATTTGGCATCAGATTCAGGGATGCATTTGGATTCTCTTGTTTGTAACGCTCTGAAAAATTCTCCTCCCATACAATATTCCATGCAAAGATAAAGATGGTCTTCCGATTGGAAAGAATGATACAATGTAACAATAAACGGGTGATTGGAAGTTGCTAAGATCTCTTGTTCTGCTAATGCCCTCTTAATTTTATTTCTTTGAATCATTTCCGCTTTGGACAAAACTTTCATAGCATAGAGCTTATTAGAAGATTTCTCCTTCACCAAGTATACTTTTCCAACATCACCTCTACCAAGCAATCTGATTTTGTCGAAAGAATCTTGATTCACTTGGGCGTCCATTACTTTAGTCGCTGCAGTTGAATACATTCTATCTTGAGTATACGTTCTTGGTCTTCTTGCAGTATTCTTCAACTCACCAATATGTTTAGTAGGGTCAAATACGTGCTCAGCATCTTTATCGGCGTTATCTTGTTCATAAAGTCCGCTGCTCTTTGAATCTCTTGCATTTGGATCATTTAACAATCTATGGACCAATGGCGCAGATGCTACCCTCCTTAGTGTCCGTTGGAGTGGAGATGCCGCAGGAGGCGTTAATCCAGGGACGGTGACGATATTTTCATCGTTCTCGTTCTTTGAGATGTCATTAGTCTTCGTCTTAGATGATGTGTTGTACGTTCTTTCGGATAAATCACCTTCGATGCCTAAACCCTTTGGCTCTTCCTTTGGTTTGCTCTCCGTGTGGCCTGTCGCATCTGTAATGTCTGTTGCTTCATTCCTTTCGATTGATTTAGATTTGGAGTCAGGATACTCGCTTTCTGACAAATCAGATGTTTCTTCTTGCTGGCGTTCCAATGTAGTTCTGGGAGGCTTCAACACTCCGCTGTCACTAAGGGAAAACACAGAGTCTGCGTGTCTTAAGTACACAGTAAGGTCATTATCATAGTCACCAAGTATAGCCTCTTGATTTTCGTTGAGCTTGTTGTTGTCATTGTTATTTAAGTGAGGAGGGAGTCCTTGGTGGGCAAAATACATGTTTGATTTAACTACAGGACTCACCGGTTCTTCTAGTTGACGTTCCGCTAACTGCTGTTTCTGATGTTGCAGATCCGTCACGATATTACTCTGGCTAGTTGTGCTTGAAATTCTGGTGGGCGCAAATTTGGGATTCGTTGGTGATGAAACGGATCTTTTCCTGCCAATCGTGAATCTTTTCATCATCATGGCGCTGGCATCCTGTTTTACAGGGAATGCGCCCGACTTGAACTGATCTTCTGAGGTGTTTTCCTTTTCTGTTTCCCTTATCTCATCTTCCACCTTGCTTTGATCGTGCCCATTGTAGCTATTACTGGAAGTTCCCAAGACCGGCGAATTCTCGACTGAATTCCCCGTGGAGGACATGGTGGAGATCTTGAATAGGTTTTTCAATTTGGATATGCCCTCTGGGGTTGGGCTGTGGTCGAGGTTAGTGTCGTTGGAAGATTTAAATTGCGTCGATAAAGACTCGTCCTTCTCCGAGTCTCCCTCGTCTTGACCGTGGCCCGTAGAATTGGTCGATGAGTTGCTGCTATAAGCGGCCGCATGCTGATTAGCTGCACTGCCGTGGTTGGACTTAAAGAATCTGCTGATGGATATGGATCTGTTTCTCGAATCCACATTCGGCGGTGGTGCTACCAGGTTAGATGTGATGTCATCCTTCTGGTTATGGTTGAAAAGAGCTATATGTACCATTTTTAGTTTTGGAATTCAGTGTAATGCCAGATTATTGAATTACTTCTGTAGATACATGAACTTTTCTGTAGATGATCTCACTAACTCAAGTTTCCACAATCCTTTCCTTAATTGTCTTTGCCTTTACTTTTACTGTAGGTGTTTACCAAGAGAGTGCGCCTGACGTTGTACCGAAATCTGTTAGCTGTAGATCGTAAAGAATCCAATACAATACCGCTGCAAAACAATTTTAATATGCAACAAAGAATTAGGAGAACCATGAAATACTCGAGTTATTTTTAACACGCCTTTGGCGCATTGTTAGTGCCTTGACTTTTTTTTCGTTTACTAAAACGCTTGCTACGTAATGGAAAAGTGCCCACTACAAACAACAGGAAAAGCAAAAATTACTCAGTGTGGGCAAAATAGAAGCGCGCATAACAGTAATAAGAGATCGAAGGTATAGTGAGCGAGGAAAATTTGGGGTGTCCCAAATAGGGAAAAGAATAAGTGTGTACATGAGATAAGTGGTAGCGGGGGGGAGGTGTTCATGCAAGTTTGACAGGAGATGGTCCATTGGTGTCGGAGTATCCCTTTTGAGTCAGTTAGTGTGGTTTGGTGTGGTGTGGTGTGGTGAGGTAAACGGTTGAGGGTGTTGACTTTAGGCGGAGTAGAGATGCTGCATTATTGAGTGGGCCGGATTGGGGTGAGGGTCTTACTTTCTCGAATAGTGGGGTACTGGAAAATTAAGTTACGCTCGCTAGGTGTACCCCCACATCGCTCGTTCCTACACCTAGTCTTCTCTTAAGGAACGTTAGCGTTGGACTCAGGGAGCCAGTCTGATCGAACCGTAAGCATTCATGAAATTCTCAACAACAAAGTTTTACAGTAGACATGTATGAAAAACACGAGCCAACGATTCAATTGTGCTTCTTTTTCTCACTTGGAACTGGCGCTCCTGGGGCAGATCCTCAGCTCCCACTGCCCACTGCGCTCTGCCCACTGCGCTACTGCCCACTACGCTACTGCCCACTACGCGCGCTCCTGTGCTGGCGGCTCGTGCGCGCAAATGGTTGCATTTTTGCGGGCCCTAGAAAGCTCCTTCGTACATACAGGATCCACCAGTAGGAGGGCAGTTCACTTAATTATTAAACGTTTATTGTACAGTATAGTTATATAAATTCTTATGTCTATATATTCTTGTGTTGGGATGACTATAGCAATCATCCATGAATGCTAATTCTAACATAAATGTGGCGGTAAAAGGAAATTTGGAATGGAATTCTTGATATAATAAATATGCTCACAGTTTCTACAAATCATCTTACCTTCTACAATTCTAGTTTCCACCAACAAAGTATGCAAATCCCTTAAAATCGCCTGGCTGTCTTCCATAATGGGGTCTATGTCTTCAGGTTTGTTTGGGGGCAAAGAGGTGTTTCCTAAGTCCTTTGCTACCTTAATTACTGCCTGCCAGTCTAACCTGTCAAGCATGTGGCATATGAATTCTGGGTTAAATTCTTGTTCTTCTTGAACAAGCTCACATTCAGAGTATTGCAACGGAAAGGCCTCTAAAGAAGAGTCACACGTCTTTATAGCACATTTTACGAAATTGGTGGTCAAAAACTTCATCTTTGCTGTCGATACTATGGATTATAGACTTCTTGAAGATGGCCCCCAACTCTACTTGTATACTATTTCGATGAGATGCCCCAACTTGAAAAATTTAGATTTTGGTTCCCGCGCGACAATTTTTACGCACCTACTTGTTGCATTTTTGCACCCAAAGTAAACCAACTACTGATGATAACGATAAACTATGTACATTTTATATTATATTACACTTGTATATATACAGTTGACACCTTAGTTAACTTCCTCTACTTCTTACCTTTTCATCAATCGTATTTTCGAAATCAAACAATTTGTTGAGAGTGTACACTTTCCCATCCACTTCAAAAAACTTCATGGTTTCGTATATGGATGCAATGAGGTTGGAATCAAAAGCAGCATCTTTCTCGTGTTCTTCGAACTCTGATACATTACCGTAGTTACCCTCCAATATGGACTCTCTATAGAACTTCTTAATTCTTTGAATATGTTGTACAGATTTTTCATCTTTCATGTAAGTAGCGATATAATAATCAAGGTGCGGGATTATCCATAGTAATCTTCCATAGTCTTTACCTTCTCTACAAGCTCTCAATAGTAATTGGAGTAAATTTTTAGTAAAGATCTCCAATGAAAATTGACTAGGAGTGACTTTTTCCTCAGCAAGCATCAAAGAATATGGAGACGATTCTGATCCAAATGAAAGTGCCACTTTCTTGTCAAACTCATTATCACTTCTAACATAAAAGAGTATGAGCTTACTTAGGAGTAAGTCAATGTACTCAAATCTTTCCAAGTCCAAGCATGCTTCAATTGAGGCATATATTGTGCTCACATCGACTAATAGTGGTCTAGAAACGTCGTAAAATATGACATCTTTCAAAGGGTCCAATGCAGCTGCTCGTTGGTTCACAAATCTAGATTTTGAGACTAGACTCGATAAGATTGTTTTAGATAAAGTCTTCTCATAGGCCAGTACTTCGATCAATCTGTAAAAGTTCAATATCTGCATGAACGTTGATACATCTTTTCGAGAAACCTGATACTTAATTAGCGGCTTTAAAATGTCTGGATCCTCCACAACCAAATGCTTAAAATGGTAAGATAGCCTGCTAGCCGTCACAAATGAAGAGGTACTCGAATTTAAGGTTAACTTTGCATCTGAAGTGGTCGCAGCCAGGTTTGGCGTTGCCAAAATAGTTTGTCTATGCTCGTGTAAAGGTAAAGAGTGGTATACCAAGCTCTGTATATTGTACAACTCATCCTGGTTTTCAGTAACGTCAACAGCATCTTGTTGCTCCATTAATTTAGAAAGCAAATGCAGAAACATGCCGAAGTTCGGGGTATACTTCTTAGTCCCAAGAAGTACCTCGATCAACTCCAACATCAACGTTATATGCCGTGACAAGTGATTATTATCCTTCTGCAAATTATAGTTTACGAATATTTTATCAATTCTTGCTACATACTCCGAATTATCAACCACAGGACTCTGAAAGTCAATCAATTTTAGGTTTTGAATATTTTTAAAGGTATCTGAATGGTCATAGTTCAAATATTGGCCTGACTTGTAATAGTTGAAGTTAAGTCTCCAGAATTCTATATCATTAAATGAATCTGATGTCTTTAGGCTATGATTGATTAATCTCTTCAATTCGTTTTGGTCCAAACGTTCAATGATATCCAATATTGACTTAGAAGATCTGCTAGTATTGTTCTTATCATTGGAAGGCTCTGAAACTAATTCTAGTATTTGTAGAATCTCTCTGTTCCTTTCAGTATCCTTGATCTGATCGATAATGTTTTCTCGGAAAAAGAAGGAACTAGGTACCCGCTGAATTGGATCATCTATTATGAACTGTCTACGCAAATTCAATTCTACCATTACTGAGTTTAATAGGTGTGAAGCAAGGCACATTATTGAGTGCTGAACAGGAGAAAAGTACAGTAAAGGATCTCCATTGTTTAAGGATTCCAATAATTCATCCTTTGAGGTCACACAGCTACCAGGTTGCTGAGCATTATTTTTAAATAGAAGCTCTATGGAGCTTTGGTCTTGGAACTTTTCTACGATGAGGTTTCTCTGGTCTTCGAAGGTTTTGTGAGATTGCTCGAACTCGGTATTCAATCGACTTTCCCGTGCTGATTTTTTGTCAAATCTTAAGAAGCTCTTATTGAGGAGCATATTTGTACTCAAGTTAGGTGAATTTCTAAAGAACAGAGTGGAAAATGGAGAAATTTGAAAGGCAGTTGTGTTGCAACATTTGTGGAGATTATTTGAGGCCAGGTTCCATCGTATAGCATTTCGGTCAATGGGTCCATATAGTCGTTGCTTCATGGCATTTAACTACGGAAGTAGAATTGCCGCCTTCACTCTATATCTTCCAACTGAAATAAGGACAAAAGAGAACGAATATATGACAATCCTTTCAGTTACAGCTCACAGAGATCAAAGAATTGAAAAAAAAAATTAAAAAAAAAAAAAAAAAAAAAAAAAATCAGTCTATATCTCAAATCGGCGTCCTGCATAGAATGTTTCAAGGTCACATGGAATGGTACACCTAAGCAATAACAACGTCAGTGATCAGTGGAGAACACTTGAGCAGTATAGCACTTATCATCGCATTCATTCATTCAAATAGTAGTATGAAGTTTTCTAGTTCTATAGTATTTACAGCGCTTGCATTCCTATCCCTCACGGCTGCTTCAGATGAAGAAAAAAAAGCCCTGGGTGCAATGCAATTGGATATCTACGTGGACTACGTCTTGGAAGACCAACCCACCGTCGGCGCCGATGAACTTGCCAGTTTCCTCAACGGAGAAACTGCAGTTTTAAAGTACCTGATGGCCAGTAGAGACGAAAACAATGTAACAGTAGTTGGGGCTGGAGGAACCTTGAGACATCCTACCACCCATGAGATTTTATACAACTTGACTGCTGAGGCACTCGATCCCATGATCTCCATCAAGCCCAACCTGAGCTACGAATTCCAAAAGTCTTTCGAAGTCGATTTTGAGCCTGCAAATTATATTTTGGCTCCCGAGATATACATCGTAGTTGCAGGCGTAATCAAATCCGTGCCAATTAGGAATCAAAGGTTAATTATCACCAACGTGCCACTCTCTTTGTTTGACCCACAGCTCGTCTTTTTGGTTGCAGTGTTAGTTGCAATTTTAGGTGCGTCAACCTGGTTTGTATATAACCAATTTGGAACTTCGCCTGCGGCAAGGCTCAAACACAGTAAGGAAAGGAGATCCAGTGCTGTAGCACCAGGTAAGTTTGATTCTGATTGGATCCCTGAGGAACACTTGAAAAAAGCCAAAAGAACTAAAAAGGCCAATTAGGGACTTCACATTTCTTGCTCAGCCGTCTCATCTGATAGTACGAGAATATTGTTGCACTGTTACCTTCATATACTTTTCTTTTTTTATGTACCATAAAAAATAGTGCAGCATTAAGCTGCACACTTTCTGGGTGCGCATACCAGCAAACAAACGAGACATGGAAAGATCCATGTCAGAAATCTCCTATTTTTAGCTCTAGCGTGTAACGTTTACAATAAACATAGGTTTCTTTTTGTGTACTTTGTTTCTTCAAGCGCTGTGTACTTTCATCTGCGGTACCATTGATAGGTAATCGAGCTGTTTTCTTAGTTTCTCGTGCCCATTATGAAGCTTTATTTGAACGATAGACCCAGAACCTTTGTCATAGTGAGTGGTGCCCATGCATTGCTCGTTCGACATCCGTTCCCCACGTACGCAGGAGGAAGTAGTCACCATAACATACACTTGCACCACCACCACCACCACCAAGCATCCGGCGAAGATCAAAAGAAGCAATCTTCACTGTCCTCAGCGTCCAAGGGATCCTCCACTTCTTCCTCCTCCACACTCAATAAAGTAATCGTAGAGTTTGTGCAAAAGGATTCGTTGCAGTTCTCCAACTTCAGAGACATCACGCCCAATAAGTCCAAACAGAAGCAGATCTTTGGATTCTTGGGATTGTTGAATTTCAAGAGTAATATATACTTGGGCTTCATTACGAGCCGATCAAAGCTGGCCTCTCCTATAATTGGGGAAGATATATATACCATTACAGGAGTTGATTTCTACTGTTTGAATAACGATGAGTTTGACCATTTTATTGGAAGAGATATCGACGACCAATTGGACGCTGACCACTCACTAGCGACATCTGCTGGCGGGGGGACATCTTCTGCCGCGGATAAGATTACATCAGACTATCCAGCCGCTTCCATAAGGAGACTCTTAAGTTCTGGTTCCTTTTACTATTCATCAAATTTCGACATAACATCGAATTTTCAAGAACGTAGTTACCATAAGACTATATCTTCCTTTGAAGATGATAGCACTAAGAAAACCTTTGCAAACAAATTCCATCTAATCTCAGATAATCCGTACTTCCGAAGCTTTATGTGGAACTCCTTTATGAATTCTGAATTGATAGAATTTCGGAGTAGATTGTCCGCCAATGAGAAAATAGCGTTTGATACCACTGGATTTTTAACTACAATTACTAGAGGGTACGCTCAGACTGTTAACACTTTGGTACTGCCGGGCGTAGATGCATTGTTGACTATCATATCGAAGCAATCGTGCTGTAAAAATGGGCCCCTCTTTGGAGATTGGGGTTGTGACGATAGCGGAGATGTATCAAATTTCGTTGAGACCGAAGTTTTGGTGTACACTGAAAAGTTTTGCTTCTCATATGTTATCGTAAGGGGTAATGTACCTATCTTTTGGGAGGTTGAGGGAAATTTCCATAAAAAGACTTTACTCACTTCGAAGAAGTCAAAGAAGATTGTTTACCCCAGATCATTTGAAGCATCACAGCACGCCTTTTCAAGACATTTCGAGAAATTGAATACTCAATTCAATGAAGTTCACATTCTTAATGCATTGACAGATGACACGAAAACCTATAAAGGAGACTTGAACGTCACTTTCAAGGAGCACATAATCGAATATAATAGGAATGGAGAATCTTTAAATACGGACAATGATGTCAACAACGATCCTGAATTGTCCGGAATGATGCGCCTCACATCAACTTCATTGCCTGTCACAACTTCGACTATTAAGAAGATTGGGTATAATGCTACTCAACCTACTAACATTGTGTCTAGGTTGTATCAGAATATTATAGACTTTGGAGCTTTTTTCTATGATTTTCCAAAGAATGCAAATACTGGAAAGCAATTGGGGGTCTTTAGAATCAATTCTTTTGACTCACTCTCCAAAGCCAATTTCTTGAGTAAGATTATTAGTCAAGAAGTTATAGAGTTGGCATTACGAGACGTGGGTATTGAACATGTTGAACAAGATTTGTTGCTCAAGCATGGGAAATTGTGGCATGAAAATGATGATCAACTAACAAAGTTGACATTGAATTTCGTCTCTAACTCAACCAAATTGCATAAATCAAGTGCTGCTACGACAAAGGGAACTATAAAGTCACATTTAACCAAGAAGTATCTTAGTGGTGTAGTTACCGAACCCAAACCAAATGAAATGGCAATGCTCAAATTGTTAGGGAAACTACAAGATCAAGTTAATGTCATAATTAAGAACCCGATTCATGACTATGTGTCCAGAGAATTGAAGAAGAATTTAAAGGAGTTCAGTTCCTTTCAGGACATATCTATTTTTTCAACTACGTTCAATGTAAACGGATCTTTGGAAAAGGATGAAGAGGTTATAAGAGGATGGCTATACCCAGAAGTAGCTCACAGACCGTACGATGTAGTTTTCGTGGGATTTCAAGAGATTGTCGAACTTACTACAAGTCAAATGGTAAACACACATTCGTCAAACAGACTTAAGTGGATTAAATCTCTTAAGGTTGTCCTCGAAAAGTACAGTCCTCAAGAGAATACAAAATACGTTTCCCTATGGGATGGACAATTGGGAGGGATTGCCTTATTGCTTTTCATCAAAGAATCAGAGTTGAAAAACATAGCCAACGTCGAGGGATCTTTCAAGAAAACTGGATTGGGTGGAATGAGTGCAAATAAAGGTGGAGTTTCAGTCAGTTTCAATTTTTCTAATACCCAGATCTGTCTTGTCGCTTCCCATTTGGCGGCTGGTTTAAACAATGAAGAAGAAAGACATCACAACTATAAAACAATCGCTAAAGGGATTAAGTTTTCTAAAAATCGTAGAATTAAAGATCATGATATCGTTATATGGTTGGGAGATTTCAATTATAGAATTAGTACTATCTCCAACGAACAAGTCAAGATGTTTGTGGAAAAGGAGGAGTTTACTAAATTGTTTGAATACGATCAATTGAACAAGCAAATGGCAATCGGAGAGCTGTTTCCCTTCTATGATGAAATGGAAATCAAATTTGCACCCACCTATAAGTTTGACAATGGTACGAAGACATACGACACATCAGAAAAGCAAAGAGCTCCAGCGTGGACAGACAGAATTTTAAGTATGTCTAAGAGTAACAATATCAAGCAATTGTACTACAATTGTTATGAAGATATAATCTTTTCTGACCATAGACCTGTTCTTGCAATCTTCAAGGTGTCTGTGAATATTATTGATGAACAAAAGAAGAGTGCACTTGCAGATCATTTGTACGAAACATTCAAGAAGGATTTTGGAAGTTTGAACGATTTATTCTTTACAAACAACAGTAACATCAATATTTCATATATATTAAATGGAGATGAAGATGATAATAACTTGCCACCACCTAGTTCGGAGAAAAGTAAATGGTGGATTGACGGTGGGTTGCCAGCCAAAATATACATACAGGAACTCGAGAACAACAGCGGTAGCAAAACTGATGTGAATGTGATCAATCCAAATAACCCAATTAATCCATTTGAAGAATCGGGAGCAATGGCGGTTCGTGAATTTGTACCTAAAAGAGAACTAATACAAGAAGTGGCAACTAAATAGATTAAAGTATTTATATAAATAATAAATGGGATTAAATTCAAAAATTGTTATTGTTGTTATTCTTATCATCAACATGTCTTTTCAATATTTCATGTCATTATATCTTTTCATTATCGGGTTGTGTCTTGATATTTTCAGCTTCTTGTAAAATACTATTCATCTTGGCATCTAAAGCATCCAACATTTTTTCCAAAGAAGCAGCTTTGTTTTCTGCTTCTGTCAATTGCTTATAAGCATCAGCAACACTAGCTTGTGGAGTATTTGAGGAGTTTTCCTGGGTCATTCTAGATCAGTCTGCGAGAAGAAGCAACTACTTGCCACGGTCGACTCGTTTCATGAAAGTTGATTAGATAGACAATCCATATGTTACACAAAACTGCTCGGCTATACTTTAATGTGCAGGAAATTGGCTGCAAATTGTTAGAGCCTGTACCCTTCACAGCAAAGAGTAGTCGCTTCGAGTCAAACAGTTGTATCTTTACTAGTTTCCTATAAAGAAATTGATATAATAATGTAGCATAGATTAAAATACAAAAAGATTGCTATATATATACTTTTCCATCTTTTTCTTTTTCGTTTTGTTCAAGAAGATCAGTTCCTGCTTAAACCATTTAAGATGGAAATTAACGATAAGAATGAAGCTTGGGAAACATCTTCATGGATACCCACACCCCATCTTAATTTATCTCCTGAGACGGCTTCGATATAAGTAGCAGCTTGAGAGTTAGAGTCCTTACCCAATGAGTGTTCGTGGTAGTGCTTAACTTCAATTTGAATACCTAATTCAGACGAAACAGCATGAGCAAATGCAGAGATTGGACCATTACCTGTACCCTTTATGGTGACATCTTTACCATCTATCTTTAATTCCACATCAAGGGTTCTGATTCCTCCCTTAGAATTAGATAATGAGTAGTCCACTAATTCATACTTTTGTGGGGTAGAAGGTTCAATGAAGTACTCATTCTTGAATAATTCGCATAATTCTTCGTTTGTCAATTCTTGGCCTTTTACTTCCGCTTGTTCCTGAACAACCTTAGAGAAGGCAACTTGTAAACCTCTTGGTAAATCCAACTCCAAGTTTCTTAAAATAACCCAAGCTGAACCACCCTTACCAGATTGCGAATTAACTCTGATAATGGCTTCGTAGGTTCTACCAATGTCCTCTGGATCCAATGGTAAGTAAGGTAACTGCCAGCGAACACTCTTACCACCATCTGGAGATTTCTTCTTCTTTTCTTCGTGAGCATTGAATCCCTTCTTGATGGCATCTTGATGGGAACCGGAGAAGGCACAAACAACTAATGAGCCTCCGTAAGGAGCTCTTGCATGTACAGGAATCTTGTTACATTTCTCAACGATGTCAATAACTGAAGTGATGTCCGAGAAATCTAAACCTGGTGATACACCTTGGGTGTACAAGTTCAATGCCAAGTTGACCAAGTCAACGTTACCGGTTCTTTCCCCGTTACCGAAAAGACAACCTTCAATTCTATCAGCACCACCTAATTGTCCCAATTCGGCAGCTGCAACAGCACACCCTCTATCGTTGTGAGGATGTAAGGAAATACAAACCTTTTCACGTTCTGAGATATTCCTTGAGAAATATTCAATTTGATCAGCATAAACGTTAGGGGTAGACATCTCCACAGTGGCTGGTAAATTGAAAATGATTGGTCTTTCTTCAGTTGGTTCCCAAGCTTCCTTAACGGCTTCACATACTTCTAATGCATAGTCTGGGTCAGTGTCGGAGAAGGTTTCTGGTGAGAATTCAAAGTCCCATATAGTAGCTTGTTGGCTAGGATCATCCTTGGTTAATGATCTGACTAATTTAGCACACTTGACGGCCAATTCCTTGGACTGTTGCTTGGTTAATCCAAAGACAACTTCTCTGAAGCAATCGGAGGTTGCTAAATATATGTGAACTGTGGCTCTCTTGGCACCCTTAAGGGATTCAACAGTTCTCTTGATAAGTTCTTCACGGCATGGTGACAAGACTTGAATGGAGACATCCTCAGGCGCATTTTCAATAGCAAATCTAGTGAAATCAAAATCAATCTGAGAGGCAGACGGGAAGGAAACCTCAATCTCCTTGAACCCGATTTCAACCAACTTTTGGAAGTATTCCTTTTTCTCGGCGACAGACATTGGATCTGGAAGTGATTGGTTCCCATCTCTGAGATCTGTAGAAAGCCATCTTGGGGGTTTATCGAGAGTCTTGTTTGGCCACTGACGATCTGGGAGATGGACCGGAGTGAACTTCTTATATTTTTGCGAAGGGTCTTTGAGCATAGGCATTGTTAGCGGCAGTTATATACTTTTAATTCTTAGTAGAGCAGAGCAGTGGCGCAGGGGGCAGTAGTGGTGCAAGCGATGCTACTTGGAAGTGTATACAATACGGAATTTAACAGTTATAGCAGATATAATAGACGTTATTATCTATTTATATTCTCTGGGGTCGTCCTGTATGGTCAGATTTAAAGTTAGTCATATCGCTGTGAAAAATTATTCCTCATGACACAGACACAAAATATCGTGGGGAGGTCGTGCAAATCAAGCGAGAAGAGCCAATGCCATTTAGAATTGCTAATAAAATTAGCTGTGAAAGTAAATGGTCGGTATTTCGCGGGGCGAAACCGGACTCTTTTGGCCATTAGCGTACGGTCTGATTACCGAAGCCATGTTTTGGCAGGAAGAATTGTGGGGATGTGGTGAGTTATTCCGATAGTCCGAATTTGTTAGACATGAAATAGGAGAAGGCTGCAGACGGAGATACTCCAGAATAGAATGTGCCAGAACGGAACCCAGAATGGTATCATATGTTGTGGCGTATGGTGTTGGTTAGGTAGCAAGGTGGGTAGTGCTTGATGGGGTAGATGTGTGCCGCATGCAGGACGGGCAGCCTTTGCTTTCCGAAACTTTTTTTTCTTCTCTCGTGGTTTTATTTTTTTTTTTTTTTGGTACACGGTAACCATTCCAATTTTGTGCCTCCAAACTTTTACAACACATTTGATATTCACAACGGTGCAAGACTACACCATTCCTTAGCCAAGTAAGGAGAACTCTTTCCACGTAGTCGACAAAGCAGGGGAAAAGGCTCTTCAATTTCTTTTGAAACTAAGGCTCAGCACAGTGTTTTTCATCTGGAGGTAAAGTTTGACTCTTTTTCAGTCTGTTCAACTCCATTCGTATCTGATTTGATACAACTATCTCACCTCATATAGTCCCCCTTTAACTAATTGCATCCCACAACCAAGGTAATTTTTACACGGTAGAAGAAAAGTATTGAAAAAAAAAAAAATGTCTGAGTCGAGTACAATTAAGCACCCAGGTAATACTGTGAGATCAAGAAATATTATAACCGTATTCAATAGTATATTAAGAAACCTTTTCAGCTCTCCTCCTGATTCAGATAAAGAGTACAAATCTGCAACAAATGAAATATTTTACCTTTTAAATAGAGCTATATTACTTTCGATTTTCTTTTTCCTTGCAGTTTATAAAAATATTCAGTACCTTTTCCGTCGAATGGGTCTGAGAATACTGACGTTGGCATACTATCCTTCGAAAACACCTCAGTTGATTAGAGAAGACGTCAGCAAATTATCCAAAATACCGAAAAGAGTGTCGTGTATCTTAGACCTTAGAGATGATGAGGATGAAAATGGAGGCGTAGATGGGTTAATAAGTGATATCAGCGAGTTGACTGCATGGTCCATATCTGCAGGCATACCTAACTTGACTATATATGAATTCAATGGGACTGTAACGGATTACTTACCAACGTTACGTCGCTACATTAAAAAGAATTTGTCAATATACTTTGGTACTGACGCTATCCCCATATTCTCAATTTGGGTTCCTCATGAAAATATAATAATATATAGCACAGACGAAAGTCAAACGGTCCACCCTTCATCTCCACCTCCGCATCAAGTCGATTTGAAGATCACCATATTATCTAGGGTAGACGGTAAACCAACTATCGTAGAGCTAACCAAAACCATGAGTGAATTGGCATTGAACTTGGAGTTGAGTGTCAAGGATATTACCACTGAATTGATAGATGAAGAATTGGTTACATTAGTTGGCCATGAACCTGACTTATTGTTGAGTTTTGGTCCCTCTTTAGATCTTCAAGATTATCCACCTTGGCATATTAGACTTTCGGAGATCTACTGGGAACCGGATAACATGTACGTTGATTATGCAGTATTTTTGAGAGCATTGCAAAAGTATTCGAACTGTAAGATCAAATTGGGGAAATAAGGAATAGAAATGAATATATATATATATATATGTAAATATATGCATAGGGTTTATAGATACGTGGAGAAGATAACAGTTAGAGTGTATATCTGAGCAGCTAGCAATAATAATCCGAGTAGGCCACACATACAGTACCATGTAGATGTCTGTAGAAAGAGATCAGATCTATTCTGAACTAACCATTCATTATCTTGATCTCTAAACATCAACCTTCTTTGACTTTCATCGAGCGCATATTAATTTTCGCAGTGGTTGCAATATTCCCGGAACAAAATATATATCGTGTGAGATCATTTAAGGTTCCACAATATAAGCAAGAAGATAAAATTCTAGCGCTCTTGTCTTTGGGGCTACACAACAGATAGCTCCACATTCTGGATCGACCACCTCTACAACATATACGCTACATCCCATTACTCTACAGACATCACTAGCAATAGAGGCAGTGGGGTCTAAATATAGAACCGTAGATATCCATACATAGACTCTCGGTGTTACCCGGATCCAGACTTTGTGCATATTTTTCGTTCAGAGTCGCGCGTAATATCTGAAGTGCCACCTCAATAGTTTACGTAAATCACACAGTGTTGACTTGATTTTCTTATCTAAATACTACATACATATATTTATAAACATTATATAAGGAAATACAATGTAAGTAGATTGGTGTTGGTAGACTGGTGTCACGGCGGAGAAGAAAAAATAATTAGAAATGACCAAACTACACACGTCGAAGCTCCAGAAACCGTTAGGCGATTTTTTTTTGTAACTCCAAAATTGATTCAACAGTAAAAGTTGATACTCGTGTGAAACATATATACTAACATAATATAGGGGGTTATCATTTTCAAAATTGTTTACAGGTCTCTTTGGCCGCAAGGAAATGCGTATTTTAATGGTTGGTTTAGATGCTGCAGGTAAGACCACCATTTTGTATAAATTAAAGTTGGGAGAAATTGTCACCACCATTCCAACCATTGGGTTCAACGTTGAAACTGTAGAATACAAGAACATTTCATTCACTGTTTGGGATGTCGGTGGACAAGATAAAATTAGACCATTGTGGAGATACTATTTCCAAAACACGCAAGGTATAATTTTCGTTGTTGATTCTAACGACAGAGATCGTATTGCTGAAGCAAGAGAAGAATTACAACAAATGTTGAATGAAGATGAATTGAGGGACGCATTGTTATTGGTTTTCGCTAACAAGCAAGATTTGCCAAACGCCATGAATGCCGCTGAAATCACTGAAAAATTGGGATTACACTCCATTAGACAGAGACCATGGTACATCCAAGCCACTTGTGCCACTTCTGGAGATGGTTTATATGAAGGTTTGGAATGGTTATCAACCAACTTGAAGAACGCTGTTTAAATTCAATCGAGTTGAATGTTAAATCAAGATTTTGAAGAAATTAAAGTAACAATTCTAGCCCAACTCACAGAAAAGCAAAAAAAATATAAAAATATAAAGAGTCACCTGCTGACTTTATAGATTTTTCTCTCTCTATTCACCTTCTTCCCCTACCAAGTTTAGAAAGCTGCATTATGGTTTTTTGTATCCATTCTAATAACATCCTCTTCCTTTGATAGCGAAATATATATTAAAATAGTGTACTACAAAGAAAAATAAAAAGCTGTTGAATTTGTACCTCGAGAGAGTCAAGAGTAAAGTGTAAAGAGAGTAGGGATGGAAAGATCATGCAACATGAGATAATCAAAACATGTGCATAATGATAAATCAATACGATAATATGAAGTAAAGTAAAGTAAAGTAAAGTAAAATAAAATAAAATGAGGTACGGTTCTATACCCTGCGTATATAACCGAGACCGAGCCGCTACTGCCAGCTCCAGCTCTGCCTGCACTTAGCTCTGCACCTGGGGCAGCCTGGCCCAGCGATTTCTAGGTGTTCCAATAAAGATGCGTATGTATACTCCACACAGAGCAGAAGGACAAGATACCACCCTTTTCATACTAAAACTCGAGCGAGCAAGTCATTGAAAGACTCGTCACAGTCCCAGCCGTAAGCTTAATACTGCCCGTTTCGCCTTATCAGTTCCACACATGCCCTGCCCCATCTCCCCCTTCATCACCGTGTATCACAACGAGTACCGTCCGCACCATGCGGTTCGACTGCATGCAGCCCCACCTCGCACCTGAAAAATCCTGCACATACATTACTACTCAATCTCTGCATACAGATTGCTCGATTCTTCCCAGGGTACAAGCCCTAACTCCCATCGTGATGCCAATTCCATTTTTCGCTTGAGCATCGCACGCCACCTTCTTCTCAAAAATTTTCAAAACCGCATTTCACTACTATACTTGAAAAACATCGTGAGTTAGCGTTTTAGAAATTTGTTATCCAACTCAAAATCATACAAAATGGTATGTAGTAAGATATATGATGAGGAGGTTATTGTTATTGGCAGTAGAGTGTGACAGCAGCGAAAGAGGGGATCAATTTAAGGCTGCTTATCACTATAGATGTGTATGAAGAAAGGATGACAGTCCATCGTCGTAGCCGTCGTGGAAAAAAAAAATTGTGGAATAATGGAAGCGAAGAATACTCGACGTAAAGCTTTATTGTAGACACCGTTGTTTGATCGCCCGGGATATAGGAAGACAGCGATACCAGAAAATGAAGAAACGAACGAAAAAAACGAACGAAGGTTTAGGGAACTAGATGAGGAATGGCCCTAGTGTCTTAGGGCTAACAGAAGTAGTGACATCAGCAGCTCTCTTCGCTCCTTCGCTCCTGTGGTTACAACTTATGCACCGTTTATAATCCTGGCAATCATTTCCCAATCGAAGCCTTATTCTCTACGATAGCACAGGAAGGGCACGCGCCTACAAGAACGTAACAATACCTTCTCGGAATCAAGATTCATTTTGCATGAAACACATTACTAACAATCTTTCTAGGCTGGTGTTAAGACTTTCGAATTACGTACCAAATCCAAGGATCAATTACAATCCCAATTGGTTGAATTAAAGCAAGAATTGGCTACCTTAAAGGTTCAAAAATTATCTAAGCCTTCTTTACCAAGAATTCACACCGTTAGAAAGAACATTGCTCGTGTCTTAACTGTTATCAACTTACAACAAAGAGAAAACGTCAGAGCTTTCTACGCCGGTAAGAAGTACCAACCAAAGGACTTAAGAGCCAAGAAGACCAGAGCTATCAGAAGACAATTAACCAAGTTCGAAGCTAAGCAAACCACTGACAAGGCTAGAAAGCAAAGAATTGCTTTCCCTCAAAGAAAATTCGCTATTAAGGCTTAAACTTTTTGACATTTGTTAATCAATTTTATAATCGGGTTTAATGTTTTAATATATGTGTATATTCTAGACGTAATTAAGAAAAATCATAGTTCAGAAGAAGAGACTGTACAAGATGTAAGGCTGTAGCGAAAAGAAGGATGATAACGATGTATTATAAGGCGGCTGTTTCTATCTTAACTATCTATTTGCATTTGACTCTCTAACTTCTCCGCCTTCTTTTGTTTCTTGAACTGTTGGATCTTTTCTCTCAACTCTTCGTCATCCACAACATCATCCAACTTCAAAGGCATTCTATTGAATGGATCGGTGGGATCACTCAATAAATGTGCCTTGATTGTACTTCTATCCATACTAATCTTACTACTGGGCAATTTGACTGGATCTTCCATCAAGGTAAACATTAATGGGTCCAAAAACTCGTCTGGGATTTCTCCTAATTCAAGTTCTTCGTCTTCATCCTCTTGTCTCTTCAACTCAGCTTGCTCCGCAAACTTCTTAAATTTATCTAAGATTTCTGGTGGCGTGTAAGTCTTTGTAGTCAAGATTCTTGTTGCCTTTACGAATAATTCGTGGCTAAAGGACCTTCCGTCTCTTGCCACTGCGGTGACAAACTTGTCTTGAGACGACAAATTGCAATAAATCACACACAAGTCACCTAAAGTTCGCTTAGGATCAAAGTCATAATTCATAGGGTTCTCGACCTTTAACTGCGAACACTTTGGTCCAACCATGACAGAAAGGTTATAGTTTAACATACTGGACAATCTGTCAACGATTTCTGGCAAGACAAACCCTTGTGGTACTTCCTTGGTGAATAGTTTGAACAATTCCATGATCTTGTTGGAAAGACTCATATACGATTTAGCATGACGTTCAGCTTCCTGCAACTTTTCAGATAATTCATCATCTGTACCAAGTTCTTCATTTGAAGAATCGGAACCATTCTGTCTCTTTTTCAACTCTTGTTGATAGGTGTGAATATTATTTAATTCGTTAAATGTTTCATCCAACAAATACGTAGTATCATTCAACATTCTTGCGATAAATCTGACAAAGAAATCGACATTCTCCAAAGAAAGCATTTTCAACTGATGTCTATAAGCATCGTTCTTCCACAACTCCTCTAAGATAATGGAAATATAGTATCTACTAGTAAACTTATCATAAAATTGTGAAGATGCACCAGTCTTTTCCACAGTCACATAATTGTTTAACAAGGAATACAAAATGTTCTGTAGAACAAGTGGATTGGAGTTGAAAATTGAAGACATAAATCCAGGACCATTATTGGCAGTTGGATACGAACCAGCAAATAGCATTTCAATTAAGCTTGATTTCATGTGTGGATTACCAATCAATTCCGGGCATCTCAATAAAGTAACTGCAAACTCAACAAACACACTCAACTTTGATTCATTGTTCAATAAGGGATTATTATTGAGTTTACTAACAAAAGAACAATAATTAATGATCCCCTCAATTACAAATTCAGGGAAATATTTCCATGGCACTGGAGCCTTCGTCTTCAAGAACTCTTGATCATCTAACTGACTTATTCTTTCTATTTCGAAAATGGGGATTGTTAATTTCACTTTGGGGTGAACATGGCTGGCATCAATTATTTTCGTTATAAAAGTTATAGAGCCGACGACAAAATCAAAGATTTCCATTTGTAAGGGTCTGGAGCCAAATATTGCTTGAATAGTTCGTCTATATGCCTTCATTCCATGCAAAGATTTGGATAAGGCAGGTAATTGGTTCCTCCATACTTGCATCATCATTGGATTGAAGCCTTGCGGTAAAGGAGCACCGGGCCTTCCCAAATTAGTAATGGTAGCTACTCTCTGTTCAAGTTGCTTAATTTGGGATTTGAGACGATCATGATGAAGATAAATACCTCCAACACCGTAATGAAGATAAGATAAAGTTAAGTAGAAGCAATCAGAGATAAAGTTCGTATCTTCTTCTTCTTTCCCACCTAGAAGATTGTCATAGTACTCTTTAGCCTCCGGGATGCTTGAGTTAACTCTACTTTCTTCATCAATTAAAATTAAATTTTTGGTTTTTTTACCAAAGTAATTCATATCAATCTTATCTAATTTAGTGTAATTTGGGAAATCTAAGAATGGAATGCTTAGTTTGACTAAAATGTATGAAATGTTGAACATGAAAGCATCGGAACACAATTTTTTCAAATCTGCATGCCCCCCTCTTCTTAAATGATTTAAATTAATAATTGACGAGAACCATTTCAAGATTGATGATCTGGTCGCTGGTGATCCTCTAATCAACTTATCCATAATGAAAAATAATCTATCCAACAAGACTTTGTTCTCATTTTGAATAGTTTCAACAGCTTGGTTCGAAGATACCGGTGAGAGTTTATCAATATCATTCCCATAATATGAATCCATCACAGACATCTTCAAAGGCGATATCTTAAGAATGCTTCCAAGGATCGTTTTGTGTTCAAACAGTAAAGGATTTGATAGTTCTGATTCTGGTGGTTGGAAGTTATTTATCGTGCCAAATATAGATGCAACTTGCTTTATACTAACCAATGTTTCGAAAATTGATAAATACGATGAATATTCTCTTTTGCCAATGTCTATTTTAGAAAATTGACCAGATAAGATTGGGATAAGTAAGTTCAAAAACTCGAGCAATGAGTCTTGCTCAATGCTTTTATTCACAATATCAATTAAGAATGAACTCATATCGTTGTTCCTAGACACCAACAACTTCACCAACAGATTCAAATTTTGATTATTTATGAATAAATCTTCCTCTTCAAAGCAAATGAGTCCGAATGAACATGAAAACTTGATGATTTCATTCAAAATGGAGTTCTTCTGCTCATATAGTGAGTCTTTCTTGGGCAAAATCCTCTTTAAATGGAAACATTTGGTATAGACATGGAAAAGATATTCCAATGACGAGGAGAAATTGGAGGGAACCCCCAAACTAGTCAAGATTTCCATAAAAATGGATTCCAAGTGTGTAGAGTCGACGGACGAGTTGGAGCCTTGGATGTCTGAGGCCAATGATTCCAAGTAGATTAACGAGGTCGACTGTTTCAATGATGCTCCAAAGATTGTCTCTATTTCCAAGGAGAGCCAGTTGGAAAGCTGATCTTCAGGATTCGCCGACGAAGTGGTGGCGGCTACTTTTGTCACCAGCGGCTGTTGTGCGATTGGAGCCTTAGGTGGAGCTGGGGAAGAAGGAACTGGGGCAGGTTTTGGTGAACTTTGGACTGGAGGAGTCTCTTTTTGAGCTGTACGGCCCGAGGCTGCTAGCGAGTCATTTGAATTACCAGCCGATGAAGATGAATTCAATTTAGCCAATCTTTTGGCTCTGATCTGGAGAGCAGGTTAGTAATCGGTGCACTGGAGTTGAATGGGCGGCGACCAACGTCAACAGGGTATCTTTTCTTAATACTTACTTCATCTGAGCTGCTCATAACTGAGATTAAGGTATTACAATAACAAGACCTAAGTTTAGTTACAAAAGAAAATCGGATAAGAGGTTATTGAGCTCGTTTAAACAACTTCTGGTTGAACCTCGTAGCAATACGTGCTAGCCAAGCAGAAGTTGATAGAAACTTTCGGAAGCAGTTCTATATACAGGATTTACATAACTTGCAGGAATTTGTGTGCGCCAAATGGTGCACCATATCTGGGGAAGAGAGTTCTTAACAGTGGGGAGGGAAGAAAGATTCATGAGTCTAAGCGAAGTACGTTTGTACTTTTCTTACTTCAGATACTATGGGAACTACTAAGGGATGAGAAAGAAAAAGATATAAGTTGAGGGAAAAGACAAGAGGGAAGAATAAATAAGGAGAAAATGGTGATAGGTCTACCACAAAGATAGAGCCAGAGATCGAGTATTTGCACCCAATTTCAGTACTAGTTAAAAAAGAGGTATGGGGACGAACAACGCAAGAATTTTAGTGGTAAACTACTACTACAAGTCCAATGGCAGTCCATACTCATGACGTATCTTTAGCAAAGACGCTCTCTGTCAAGCTTCTTTTTAAACCAGAGGTTCTGTCTGGCAGAGTAGAGTGGATTCGCCAGCTATGTCCATCGTATATGCATTCTTCCTTCCTTTCACTGGCTCTCCTCTCTTTTCACTGATTTCTTTCATTTCATTTCTTTCATTTCATTCATGTCTTCTGCGTTCTTTATTTTTTATGGCCCCTCCTTTACCTAATGCACATCTCTTCCCAGCCACAGGAAACCAAGTGAAGGGCATGCAATTTAACAAGAGAAGAAAAAGAAATAAAAACCATAAATGTGCTTGACGGCTACCCTTCCTCGATTATATGCACTTTAAAACCTCATTGATGCTAATTACCTTGAAAATTTATTATTTTTTAATGAAGTCAAATAATATACTCAAGTATGGCAGGCCAGACTTAGTACTACAGTAGACGCTTGTACATAAAAAAAAAAGAATTTAGATACACACTAAAAGAATGCACTTCCCGTATAAATTTACCGAGCCTATTGTTCTAGTTCTCGCCTTCTCGCTGTTTCTCTCTCAGATCTAGCCATGTGTCATTTATACCTTAACATCGCTACGTTCTTTCTCAGGAAATTCTTCTCACGCAAGGTATTGCCCTTCGCACACTATAGACGCGGGTCACATCGGGTTTTTCCTGCACCTTGGTTCTTATAGACTAAATTAAACACATTAGGAAAAAACGCTGCAGACAAGCAAAAATTTCATCCCTGTTCAACGTCAGATAAACAGAAATAGATTTAAACGACGCATTATAATACGTACCAAAAAGAAAAGAAGGTGAACAACACTGAAAAAATAAAAAGCCCACGAAAGACTTATTGTGTCCTACGCATCATATATATAATATAAATATATAGTTGGTATCTCAGAAAAATTTTCCAAATTCGTTGAATCTCTATATTGTACAGGTTGAGGTTCATTCTTTTTCATTTTCCCATTTTATTCTAGGTTTATAGTTATATCAATTTCAGTTAGCACGTAGTAATGTCCAACGACGACGATTTAGTACCTGAACAAGTCAGTGGTTACACTGTTGGCGAAAAGAAAACCATCGCAGAATACACCAAATTGGATGCCGAAGATGAATCGTTAGCTAAATGGAAAGCGTCCCTTGGCTTAACAGACGACGCCGCGCCATACCCTGTCAAGGCTGGTGACAAACGTAAAGTGGTCATTGTTGAAATGTCCTTGGTGTTCCCAGACCAACCTCAGTTGAAACCAATAATCATCAATTTGGAAGACGCAGATGGAAACACTATTAGTGGAAAGGAAATTAAATTCAGCATTAAGGAAAAATCTATTTATCAATTTCAAATTAAATTCAGGGTCCAAGGGGAAATTATCACTGGTTTGAAGTACCTCCACCTGGTAAAGAAGAGTCACATCAGAGTTGACAAGGTTGAAGAACCTTTGGGTTCTTACGCGCCAAACACAAAGGACAAGCCTTACTACGAAAAAGTATTCTCTGAAGTTGAAGCTCCTTCTGGAATGCTTGCCAGAGGAAGTTATTCTGCTATCACCAAGTTCATAGATGATGACTTAACCGTACATTTGTCTTTCCCATGGTCATTCACGATTACAAAGTAATTCATAAAAATAATTCAATAAGAATAATAATTTAATAATAATAGTACTAATTGTAATATTTAAATGAGATTGTAAGAGAGAGTAGTCTGAATTGACCAAATATTATTTCTCGCATAATACTAGCATTTTAAATACTATAGTTATTTTGCTAATAGTTTACTAAATCAAGCGAGTTCATTATTTCTTGACTTCATGTAATTTCTTTAAACGCGAAAGCGATCCTGGAACTTTCCTGCTAGGAATGTATGGAGGTGCCTTTGATGATGTGCCCATGACAGGCATAACTGCCGCAACTACAGGCACTTTTGTTATCTTAGAAAGGTTCTTACTGGGAATAGATCTGTCTGAAGTAAGTTTAGCTGACTTACTTTTGGAGCTGCTGTATCCAGTTAACATGCTCCTTCTATTCATCATTTCACTGCTCTTACTGCTGAGCATTGACTGAATGGTTCTATTCTGAATTTTAACCTCTAATTTCTCTCCTTTGACTTTCTTGTTGCTGAAATTTGGACTAGAGACTAAGTTGGCACTGCCAAAGGTCGAATGTGCAAAGTTTGAAGCGACCTTTAGCTTATCATCATCTTTGTTATACCAATGACACTCAGCTATGAATTTGTCAAAGTCATAATTATCAGATATCCAATCTTTTCCTACCAATTTATACAAATCTTGTAAACTGTTTAAATTATTAAAAGCTGCTTGCTTGTTATTTGATAATTTTCCCTTAAGGCCCTTCAAAAACCTAGATGTTTCATTAATCGGCAATCTTCCCCATCTTTCTCTTTCCTCCGTAAAGGAACTGACATACAATAAGTGCTTGGCTCTTGTCGTGGCAACATAAAAGCATCTTCTTTCTTCATCTTCTGTTCCTCCATTATCCATTGCAAACTTAGCAGGAATTATTCCTTCGGATAGACCAGGTACAAACACAACGGGCCATTCTAAACCCTTAGAACCGTGGATCGTAGATAAAATTACTTTACCTCCATTTTCACGCTCTTCGTTAGAATCTTCATCTTGGTTAGATTCATATAAACCGATTGATTGTACAAACAGTTGTAATATATTTTTCTGCACTTCATCATCATTTTCGCTCATCTCATCATCCAACGGTAGTCTATCTACCACTGGCACATGCTCTGCTAATTGTCTTTTGACTTCAAATATATTCAATTCATAATTTGGATCATTACTGAATTCATCTTTCAAGCCGGACTCAACGTAAATGCTTTGGAAAAGGTTCTCCATGTCCAAATCGTCATTTAGTTGCTGTCTGCATTTGGAAATTGAGGATAAATACTTACCTAGGTTTTCTAAATTAGATTTAGTTAATGCACAACTAGTATCCCCCTCTGAGATATTTTGTAAATGAGTGAACACCGACTCGTCGCTCTTACCACTCATTTCATTCAAATACTTTTCGATTTCTTCAATCGATCTCAAACCCAACCCTCGCTTAGGAAAGTTTATAGTTCTTAAGTATGCGATTCTATCATTTTCACTGCTAACAACTCGTATGTAGTCTAAAATGCTTACGACCTCCTTCCGATCCCAGAATGCCTTACCCCGAAGCATGAAGTATGGAATTTTTCTTTTCACTAACTCATTTTCCACTATTCTTGTCTGAAATGATGATCGGAAAAGAATGGCCACGTCCTTATTCTGGAAAGGTGTGTTAGGTAGCTTTCTGGTCAATTGCTCCAATTGAAAGCAGATCCATTCAGCTTCCTCCTCTTGTGATGCTAAATTACAGTACATGGGTGCAAATGTAAATGTGTGCTGTGATTTTAAATCCTTACGATGCCTAGTACTATCCACTTGTTGCCTCATCACCAACTCTGATACTTCGAGAATATTAGCAGTTGATCTATAATTTTCATCCAAAGAAACAATGTCTACTTTATTTGCGAGGTAGTGAGTTTTCATCTTATCAAAGTTGATAACCTGAGCATCCCTAAATCCGTATATACTTTGATCTGGATCACCGACTATTGTCACATTATTGGAATGCTTAGTAAACTCATACATCAATTGAAGTTGAATTTCATTGGTATCTTGAAATTCGTCTACTAGAACATGTTTTATGAAGTTCAATACAGGATGTTGCTTTAACAAGCTATTGCAACTCAAAAGACAATCGTCGAAATCGAGAAGCATATTCCTTTCAAGTCTATCTTGATAGTCTACGTATACAGTGTAAATGAACCGATTGAACTTTTTCGTTCCACTATTTAGCTGCCTGTAAGCTTCCGGTTCAATACCTGCAGATTTCAACTTTGATATTTGCCTTTTGATCTTCTTCAGATCATATGAAGAAGTGTCAATATTACTGCTACTGCCTTTCTTGTATATGTCAACTTCTTTTCTATCAAAATCGCTTGCATGTACTCCATCAAGGGTCTCGCCTAATATATGGTTTGAGTCTCGCTCATCTGCTATCTTAAAGCTTTGCTTATTTATAAGTTTCCCGTACGTCATAATAATTCTAAAGCAAATGCTGTGGAAGGTTCCAATGATAAGCTTAGAGATGTCTACTGAATGTTTTTCCTTTTCCAACAACTTGGAAAGTCTCTCGACCATCTCATTTGCTGCTTTCTTCGTAAACGTAGTGACTATTATTTGATTTGGAGGGATGTTGCAATCTAAAATCAAATATGCAACTCTTGAGATCAAGACTTTGGTTTTCCCAGTACCTGGACCGGCTATAATTTGCAACCTTCCATTGGGAGGTGAAACCACCGCTTTCCTTTGGTTAAAGTTGAGTCCATCGAGGAACATGTGTAGAGTGAAATGCGGAGAGATCTACAATACAACCTAAAGACCACTTGTTCTAGTTAGACAACTTTTTCTTTACCTTTCTTGATCGGCTTTAATTTATTAATTGTTGTTTACAAAAATATTTTGACAGTTCCTGCACCTCTCAATATGATTTTCGATGTTTTAAGCGTGGGACCCTACCTGTAATTGGTGGAGCAATCGATGAAGAAGAGATCTACACAGCCAATAGGTTAGTATATAAGGTATTGAATACGTTGCTCATGCTATATCTAAAAATCATATGGTCTTTTTACCTAGTGTTTTTTGTAGGAGGAGTGTTCTCTGTTGAACTATCGGATGTAAGTGACACTGCTATAAGGACACAGAGAGACATCTCAAGAGATATACCCATAGATCAAGTATCATCTCTAGGCATTTCTTTAAATCAGCTTATATTTGAAAAGCAAGGATACACAGATGAAGCAGTAAATTCTATTACTACGGTGCTATCGTTAGGGGTTGGGACTCTAATGGTTGACATCTATTGGAATGAATTCACTCAGAGATGGCAATTATGCCCAGCCCCGTTTCCGTCGAATTCGACTATGAACTTGTCTGCTGTGGTGGACGTAAGCTGGAACGAACAGGTATATAATTGTCAAGTAAATACAACAATAGAATCGATATTTAGTGTTGTCGATTCCTTTCTACGTACAACTAACACCAATACCGATGCCAATATGATTAACGTGTTGGTCAATTTAAAAGATATACGATACCCAGATACACAATATTCTAATTTGACTGTTAATTCAGAAGCATATCAAGCATATATTTCTCCATATGTCAACAACATCAACGAAGGTCTTCTTGGGTTGCAAGAAACATCTTTAGTTCAGATCGTGTCACCCTTAGGTACATCGCTCTTCACTCCCAGTGAACTCACTAATTATAGAATGGAGTTGCTCACCTCAAAATCTGATTCCTTCTACAATGAGTCTTCTTTGTTATACCCTACATTGGATCAGTACTTATTCACAGAGTATAACAGAGTAAACACCTTTATTTCTTCCAATGAAATGAGAAGTAACGCTACGTATTCATACAACTTTACTGGTACCGATAATTCTTCTTTATTTACAATGCAGCTGAATGATTCCATTGATTTAGTTACTATATCTAATACATCGTTGCTACATACTTGTCAGACGCTACTAGATTCCACAGACTCATACAATGTCTCAATTTTCAGTGGTTTTTCACATAATCTGCATTTTAGATATATCATTGATAACAATGATCAAATATTTACTAATTTTTCTATAAGGGAATACGTCAAATGTGGGTTTTCGCCAATATTAAATTCGTCAACTTTGGCCTACGTTGACTCACACAGTAATAGCACTAGCCCCGATAATTCTACAACAACCTATGATACTCTTTGGGCATCTATTAACGTAATGTTGCCAAATTCACTTTGGGCATTTGCTTTAGGACAACCTTATACTCCTGATACATCGGATTCTGGTAATAGTACGGCTTCTAATGATGGTTTAAGTGGAAGCAGTAGTAATGCTAACAAAACGAAGATTGAAAATGATACTGACGATGATGATGACCCCAGTACGTCTCAGGTCGCCTTTAGCTGTGGTACACTAAGTGAAGAAGGCATATTAGTAAACAATTGTTATTTGAGCCTTCCCTTTGCTTGCCAAAACACCTCAAATCCAGATGAATGGTCCATTGATTTTGATAATAGAAAGACTTACTTTGATTCATACTTGGATGCATCGTGTCCAACTGGATTCTACTTCTCAATTCCAAAACTGAATATTGAAATGTTAAGTCTTCTTACTTATATCAACAAAACAACAACCAGTGGTTCTAAATACCCTATATGGATAGATTTGAATGATATAACAATACCCCAATGTTATGTTAGTGGAGGTCCATATGCTTCATGTCCATATCAAAAGACAATAACGTACCTGACATTGGTGAGGATGACAGCTCCTAGTGCGACTGTCGCTGTAGTTGTATTGGTCTTAATATTTCTAGAAAAGTTTATCAGAGTGAACCCTATCCACCTGAATAGGAAAAAGCACTGGAAAAAGGTCATCGAAAAGTATACGAACGAGCAAGCATACGAAGGTGTTCCATCCTAGACAAAATTAGAAAAACACAGAAACCTGAACAAGTAAGGGTACAAATAAGCTACACCGAAGTCAAGCTGCTGCTCATTGAAAGACAAGTTATGGACCAATAGAAAAATACTTCATGCATAAAAAATGCAAAGGGCCAAATATCGAGCGTCTCAAGTGACTCAGCTCGAAATAGAGTGCATTGTGTTTATGTTTGAGAGTACCCAAGAATTGCAATGGACGGTAAGCCCTACATGACATATAATACATCAAACTATAATTGCTAGAATTACAGTTCACATTAACATATTTCTTCTTTTAGATACCCCCTTGATGAAAGATAAGAAATGTCAATGTATCATCTACGTCTTATTAAGTTTTCCATTTCTTATTTGGTTCGTTGCACTTAGCATTAGCATTAGTGGGCCAAATGGATATACGAACTTTAAACGCGTGGTAAGAAAGCATGCGCCATACCAACTTCTGTGTGCGTCATGTACCTTTCCAGAATGATCATGGCTAAGCGCACCCAAGCCGAAGAGGAGTAAAAAAATAAATCATCTGTATATCCTGAACTAAATATACAGACGCCGCACCAATGCGTAACACCAAAAATGACCCTAACCAATGAAAGAGGAAGGTAGCTGATCAATGCTTGGTGCATGATACAATAAATGCGGCTATTGCATTTATGGACAAGCAAAATCTGAGGCTACCGCAAAGTATGCGGTAGTTGAACACAATTATTAAGAGAAATCCCTAAGAAAACGTTCCCGAAATAGATAAAAAAAAATTTTTTTTCTTAATTCTTATCCTTCATAATTTAAGCTTCAAGCTCAGATGTGTAAACTTCTTTAGCAAAGAGTTTAGACTCCCCAGTTTTAATTGTTCAAGTTAGACCGTACCTATGAACAGTCCAGCTGGTACAATGAATTTGCAGTCTCAATATCGATTAGATTGGTAGATTCTTTCATGCATTTAGGTGGCTTTTATATCGTTTAATAAATTTAAAGCTGAAACACATACAGCCGCATCAGCTTTGCTTTCTCACTCGCGACTGGTAAATAAAGTTAATTTGAACTCTAATTCCGTTAGGGATATTCTTCGTAAACAAGTGTTATTGTCTTGACTGCATCCTTTTGGATAAACTTGTCATTAGTAACTTATTATTTTATTGAATCCACAATTGAGTGTCGTAACTATATTCCGCTGACAATTTGAATATGCTTAAATACGACTTCTCCCCCTCTCCCCAAATGACATATTTGGTATTCCTCTCGTTTTTTCTTCTTCTTTTTGCTTCAGATATTTCTCCAATATTATATAATTCATAGCAGTTAATTTCAATCACAAATATAACATGCCAGCACCATTTACTTTTAGAGTCTTCAATCGCTCTGGTGACTTTGTTGTCTCACTTGCATTACGTGGGGTTCAAATCCTTTTTACCATCATAGTTTTAGGTACTTCTGCTGGTGCAGTCTCATCACCTTGGGGTAGTGGTTATTTTGAGGGACCTGCATGTGGCTTAGCTGTAAGTATCATAGATTTAATCTGGCTTGTCGTTACCTTGTTTCTTAGTAAATATTTGTTGTCTCTTTTGGTCACCGTTGCAGAATCAATTATTACCATTCTTTGGATTGTTGCTTTCGGACTTCTTGCTTCAAACTTTGCGGGAGTGAATTGTGACTATTTTGATGATGATATATTTTTCTACGGGGGAGGCCGTCACTCTTGGAAAGGCTGTAGCGCAGGAAAAGCCGCAGCTGCTTTTGCCTTTTTGCTATTCGTATTGCACATAGCTACATTGACCCTTCATGTTTTATATGGTTTAGTACCTTTGAATAAGGTTGATAACGTACTCCTTAAGAAGTTAGGTACTTTATCAATTGGTGCTATTTTCCCACTTGAGAGTCAAGCTGCAGTTGGGCACCAGGAAACTGTTGTAGGTGACCTTGAAGCAGGTCAACTGTCTATTGAAAAAGATCAGAGTGTGACTGATGAACCTGTTCCGGCTACTAATGTCGAATCCGTTGATGAGCCTGTTGTTGCAAAGGATGAAGTTCCCAAAAGTGAAGAGCTTCCCAATCCTGAAACTCGTGATTAGTTATTAAGCAGTGGTGTACTCAGCTCCACTCTCATTTACTAAAATCTGCGGAGCTATTACTAAATAGTGTGGTAATTTCCAACATGCTTTTGAACTATTTTCTTCAATTGTAAAGTGGATAATTGTTAGTATTTAAATTGTTTTTAGGTAGAAGGGTTCACCTTGCTACATGCTTTTTGATACTTTAAATTTACCAGTGCAACTTTGGTGGACCCTTTGAAGTTTAACTTAAAAATAATCTTGGTGCAAAATTCGCTAACTCCCAAATCTGAAATTTACGAATAAATCACACTTACCAAAACTGGAAGCAGCATTCGTATAATGTTAACGATGTTATTGTTTGCTCCGTTTACCTAATAATTGATACCCCTTCCACTCTATTTTATGACATAATTAATCTCCTATCCTCTTATTTTATACTAATTTAATAAATGTACTTTGAATGTGAATATGAAGCGATAAGATTAGCTGACGTAAAACATGAAGCAAAAACCATTGAGACATGAAAGATGATTACAGAAGAAGGGTGGACTATAGTACACCAGTAATAATTTACAAATTATATTGTGCTGCAAGGCTTTTAGAGAAATACTAGTAGAATATTCAAAAATTTACGAAGATTTTGAAGTAAAGTTTGGAAATTTTATCTATAGTGATGCCAAGGAATATAGCTGGTATGTATTCGATTGTCCTGGTCTATATCGCTTCAAATCGGTTATATTTATTCTGAATTTCGTATTTGGTATTTGGTTCTTATTTGATATTAATGCAGTATAGTGAGTCCTCTGTGTCCTGCCCTTTTGAAATCGACTATTGAGGCACAAGAATGATATTATCTAAAGAATTTAACCGATGTGCTGCAAATTAATAACTAACGGTAGAAAAGATGAGAAGGAAGAGTTAGTAAAGAATTATTTTGCAAAAACCCATCAGCGACTCAAAACTACCATATGAAACAGCTATTTCTTTATTTTTTGATTACATGTTCTAAATTTTTAGAGCTCGTAACTAAGAAAAACTGTAAAAGAAAATATGCATTCGTGGAGTCTTCTCTGAGAACTAGTTCTGCCCTCTTACTTAGAGTAACATACAAGCAGAAGTGCTGAACTGGCCCTTGCCTGATAGTCTGTCACCATGCTTCAGATAGAACACTTTTTGAAAAGGAAAATGCCATATAAGTACTTTTGATGAGCGAGGCTACAAATTACTTGCGAAATACCTCTTGCACTATAGATAAGTTCAACTTAGCTCATATGACCCGGCGTTTACTATTTAGGTGCAGTAAGAAGAGAAGCTTTTTAATTGATAGCCACGTATTAAAATGAAATCAAGAGTTGATAATATTTAGCCCATCATCTTTGATGAGTAGGTATACTGTATGTAGAGTGATAATGCGAGTTTGGGACCTTTGAAGCTTAATTCGAAGTGAATATTCACCATCGTTCGCTACCCACCAGATTTGTAATTTAATTCGTTACTTAGTTGCATAATAAATGATGCATTATTATATTTCATTTGAGATTATTAGAATTGTTCTGAAACAGACTACGAGTGATATACAACCTGCTTAAAGATTCGATACTCTTGTCTAGAAGTGTAATTCGGAAAATACGCCTTGAACCTGAAAACCAATATATTCAAAAGCAAGTTTCCTATCCTTCTATTTCTACAGTTCTAAATTTCTTTGAGGATCTCCATGAATATCATTACCTATATTTCATAAAATATTAGCCTCCAGGTCTTCGAAACGAAGATTTTGTTCCTGTCGTTTATTTCTAAATTCGTATAACCGATCTTCGTAAATTTAGTAAATTTGCTGCAAACTTGCATATGCAAGAGGTCTATATACACACCCAGAATGTATAATTGCAGCAAACGTATCTCAAATTCAATCTAGGCCCCCAGGTGAACAAAAAGACACTATATGTATTAGATATGAAAGTGCATGATTTTTCGATAAACGCTTACCCAAAAATGAAGATTAGTGTGCCATCCACAAGTAAAGCAAAGCACCACACAAAAAATGGTCATAGTGATCGCTGACTCCACTCCTACCACCAAAACTGGATTTATGTGGGCTGCGATGTACTTCATGGTTTTGCGGCAATTTTTCGTTTGAATTATGGTAAAGATGTCTTCCAAATTACGCCAGCTTTTTATCATTTACAATTGTGCTAAAGTTGAACTTGAAGAGCAAGCTTTTGTGTCATGGTAATCACACTGTCAAGTTAGTGAAACATGCGCTCGTAAAGAATCAGGAAAGCCATTAATTCATCCATTGCCTCTCTTGGACTTTTCTGTAATTTCGCAACTCGCCTCTAGAATCATGTGTAGTATTTCAAATTGGGCGGTTCACTGTGTCATTATATGACCGGCAAAGAATAGATAATCACGAATCGAGGTATTTCGTCAAGTTTTGAACTTTTCTGTTTCGTGACGAGAACCATTCCTAAGATGCTCTGATCGCCGGCACAATAGGAACATCGCATCCTACTGCTTTTGTAAAAAAATCTCGTAGACTCGATAAGCTAATTACAGAATTTGAGTAACTTCAAGGTAGTCAGTTAAACCCTTGCATTGTTATTGTTCTCGATTAATTCTCATGCTTTTAAACTTTGTAATGTGGGCGAAGGTACAAGGATAAGAACTCCAAACAAGCTTTTTTACCTGGGCGTTAAAATTGCTAGATTGTTAATTTCTTTCGGTTAATTTGAAGTGTTCGTGAAGAAAGCTCTTTTCGCCATCTTGGCATTCGTCATGTCGAAGCATTTCCATATTCATGAGGCCCACATTTAAGTATTTAAGCTAAAGCTTCCCCTTGCTTTTCGGTCAATATTCAACATCCATTCTTCTTTCATTGTCGTCAAGAAACATTTCATAGAATACTTAATATCACAGTTTGAGATGGTTACAACAATTTCACGTGAGGCATCTTTTGGTATCTCCCTTGGTTTACGGATATCTCAGATATGTTTTGCAATAATTGAATTGAGTCTCTCAGGTTACACAATAAATGTACCTTTAGCTAGCGATTTGTACTTCCCAACTCAAGCATTTGGTATTGCTGTAGGCTGTTTATCAGTAGTAGAGGGTGCCTTCTTATTGGGAATGTTTCGATACTTCCCACCTATTTTTGTTCTCGTTTGTGAAGTTATCATGAGCATACTTTGTCTTGCATCCTTTGCGTATTTTACCAATTATTATCAAGTTGGTGGTATTGTTGTATATAATGCTTATGGGTATGGAGGCTATTGGACGGGTTGGCCCATAATTAAGGCAGCGTGGGCTTTTTCTTTCTTGTTATTTGTTATACATTTAGCAGAAATGATTCTTATCGTTGTATTTGTTATGGTTCCATTGGAAAAGAGTCCTCTCCTTGGTAAAACTAAAACATTAGCACTCGGTTCCATTTTTCCTGCTGAGGGTATTGTTGGTGGGCATGTCACCACAGTTGAAGATGATTATGAAGCTGCTCAGGTTTATCATGAGAAGGAATCCTCAGTTGGAGTTCAGACTGTTCCAATCTCGCAGCACCAAGGGGCCCCGGAAAATAATCAAGTTACCGAGCCACCAGTGGTTTTGGGGAATGATCAACCTCCACCTTCGAATGAATACCCACCCCCAGGTCATTCCTAAATTTAGTTTCGTTGTTCTTTTTGAATCGAGCTGAAGTATGTCTCTCACTTTTCGTTTTGCTTCCAGCATCTATAAAGAGTACGAAACTTCACTAAAGTATCAATTCCTTCCAGGATGCTTTTTCCTTTAAGACAAGTGCTCAAATAAGATGCCCACTTTCTCTTGTATAAATCCTTTACAACAATAACATTCAAACTTATGCGAAATAGAATCCCCTTTGTAATCCAGCGAAGCGTGTAAAATTAGGAATATTGCCCCTTATGCGTTTCATTTATCTGTATAACAGTGGCATTCGACAGATTTAATACTTCCCCACTCAGAACAAGCTTCAAATCCTTCAGTTGCCTCAGATTTCATTCATAAAGTTATATCCTAAAGTTTCCATGCTCATCTCTTTTAAAATTTATCTTCATTTTTGACTTATACTTAATGTAATTTGATTAGATACGTCACTTCGGTGAATTTAAGCAATTCTTTGGTGTAGATGTAAAACTTTCGAAAACTAGCAAAAGAATCAACAAGGCCGTGATAATACCCATGAGTACAGTAGAATTGAGTTCTGCAATGCTCAAGCAAACTATGATTATTCCAGTCGGAAGACGCATGAAAACTCTCCAAAACCTTGGAATAAGAAACATGTCCTTAGGATCTCTCGATTTATCAAGCAATCCAAGCACTGTAAGAGAAAACAATGCAACGCAGAGACTTCCAGTGAAGAAAAATGATAATGCATACATGTTAGGCTCTTCCTCAGTCAGGTCGCTATCTGCTCTTCTTGCATGTTCAAACCCTCCAGATTCAATATTTTCCGAATGTGAAGTAGGTCTAGCTAATCTAGTATTATCCAGTAGTGTGATATCACCACCTGCATCTGCTGCCAAAACTAAAGATGCTATTAATGGTAAATGTATATAAACCCACAAAGCTCCAATATTTGCATTCCTTCTAAATGCATGCGTTGCACTTTTACAAGTAGATCCATTGCCGTGAATCCAAAACAACGTATACGCAATAATAATTAAGAATATTCCCCTTGCAAATTTATCACTAAATCCAGCACCCAACCCACTACTCGCAACAGCCTTGTACAAAAATTCACCAATTGCAATGGTGACAAATGTTGCAAATCTTTCCACTTCATGTTCAATATTCAAAGCTGTAGACATTCTCAATTTCAAGAGTTTCTTTGTGTATGGGTGGAAGACAGCTATGCATAGCGTGTGCTCCAAAACCATGATGGCAATAGACAAACCAATTTTGGCTTTAGTAGAGATGAAAATGACAGCAATCCAAAGGCAACAGGTGAATGTAATAAAACAAGCATACAATCTTTGCTGTGGTCTGTGCTCTGGGGTGTAGAATGAATAAAATAGTAAGCCAATAGCTAACGACATTCTACACAAAATGTACGGTACTATTGTATAGGCAGCCCCTTCCCTCAGTTCTAACACTTCACCATGGCTGTTAGCAAACAAAGTTAAAAGAGATAAGATCCAAATAATGTACAATTTCTGAGATAAATCTCCATTATAGTAAAAGTTCGTAGCATCTTTTATATCGGCCCAAACTGTCCAAGCCGGGATAAACAATAGAATGTACTTCAATAGAGCAGCACCCCCTGCGTTCTCAGAAGCATCTCCTGCTAAATTTGCGATGATACCAACGTACATCAAATCAAGGACTAATTCGGTCTTCGTTGATGTCCTTTCGCCCCTGGTACGATAAAGAATCCCATCTTTGAAGTAGTTCAACGCCTGAGGTTTAATAAACCATACAGCTTCTTTAGGCCTCTTAATAAATTTGAAATCAATTTCCCCATACTTTCTAATAAACTCTTCCGCATCTTCTTCATCGCTTATACCATCGCGTTCTTCTTGAATTCTACTTATGATAGAGGTAATCTGTTCATCTTCTTCACCATGAAAAGACACCCGATTGGAGTTAGTAGTATTTGCCGCCTCAAGATCTTGACTTTGATTCTTCGACATTTTGTTAAAAGAAATTTACCCAAACGATTAAAGAAGAAATATAAAAGTTTTCATTATACGGCAATTAAGAAAGTGCATAAGTTTCCCTTGCATAATTAGCACGCTTTTGTTTCACATGCGCACAGTATTTTTTAGAATTTAGCGTTTGCTCCATGTCAAAGTGCTTGAATACGCACTAGTGTGGCTGAGGTGCATTAATTCCTTCAGCTATTTTTTAAAAGTTATAGAGTCATAATATTTTCATATATAAATATTTTAAATTTGAATAGAATATAATTGATGGCATAAAATAACACTCATAATGCAGTAATACCTAGAGGAGGGATGACAACAATGGATCAAGTAACCAAAAGGATATCGAGAATAGCATCAAGATCACCAATGGGTATTCAATTAAAAGGCAGCCGTAATAGGAAATTGGCAACGGATCACAAAGTTATGCTAGAGATATAAGAACCATACCATTAAAAGTAAATTTCCTGGCGAAAATTTCTGGCTCAATTATTATTAAGGTAGTTTGTCTCTTGTACTTTTTCATATACTAATTTTGTCGTTCTTTTCTCTCATTTACTCGTTTGTTCGTTTCTTCTTTCTTTCGATCTCTGGCAAGCTGCTGTTCCAGCTACTGACGTACTACTTCTCGGCACCTTTAGGTTCCCAACCAGGTTCAGCCATCTCAAACGACGAGAACTCGAATCCAGGAGCAACAGAACAACCAACTAGAGTCCAATCGCCCAAAGACTGGGCGTGCTGCCACTCACCTTCCTTGACGATGATCTGAGGACGCTCTCCATTCCAAATGTCGGCGCCGAGAATCTCGTCACGAACAGGTTCACCGTCGTTCCATGACAATGAAAGCTTCAAGGGAGCACCAGCGTAATAGTTCCATACCTCCAAAGCATCGACAACACGATGCCAGTGCGATTGGCCCGCTTCACCTTCAAGAAGGTAGTAGATGTATGTACTAGTAGCCCGCTCGTTTTCGGATTTAGAGTCACGGTATGTTTCGATGTAGAAACCCTTTTCTGGGTGAGGAGCAAGGTTCAATGCGGCAATTACCTCCTTGGCCGTACGTGGTTGGGTTGAAGCCATAACGAGACTTTATATATTTTTCTCTTATCAAATAGAGGGGGAGAAATCGAATTATAAAACATGCCTTCATCAGTAGATGTATGCGATGAGGATTAGTGGTGTATTCGTTTGCATGCAGGTGATAGTAGCCATAAGCGATGGGTTGTTGGTGTCAGGGTGTTTCGCCTTCTTGACATAAATCACAATCTTATTGGGGTTCTTACCAGGCCTGTGAGCTCTTCACCGGCGTCCTGACGAAGTACTTAAGGTTGTACCTAAGGTTTTTGCCAAGAGTGAGCACTAATCATTGATTCATCTTGAAGACTTCTCTTACGTTTTTTTTAAGCTTGCACAATATAGAGATTGTGTTGTGCCTAGGCTCTTCTATACTAATCTAAGCTCGTTTTCTCCCTCAAACCTAGTTGACAGAATAAAGTTAGAGTGTGCTACTTAGTGCTGGCCAAGCCAATACAACCTCCGAATATATGAAGATAGCCCAATACTCCACCTCCCTAAATACTAGCATATGCAGCCTCAATAGCGATGTTGAACGGAATCTCTAATGGCTGCGAATTTACGAGGCACTGAAACTACCGTCCCCCGCAGTTTTACACGGTGAAGAATATATACCAGAAAAGGGTAGACTCTCTGACAAGAATGTCGATACTCATCAGTTTTACGAAGTCAAAAACTAGCTATCGTCAACAAAACAGGTATATAAACGGGGACTCTTATAATAATAGAGAAAGACCGACAAAACACAGAACCAACAGTATCGGTTCATAGGGTTGCGTTCCTCATTTTTTTCTTTTTCAGAATGAGCCAGAAGCCTTGCTAAGCACCTCTGTGGTATAGAAGGTATTTAGCCATCATAAATTACACATAACTACATTTCCCTTCGATTTCCGTAATTCCCTTTCAAACCAGACAACTGACTCATACGCATACCGTTTCGATGTTCATAGTCCAACTCAAGTACTACCAAATCGCTACTATACACTGCTAGCGCAACCGTTCCCCCCAGCATTTGAATCCAGCTCGGTTTTGTGTAACAACCTTCAATTATGGAAGGCGAAAAATTCCTAAAAAAATGTGGAGCTCATGATTGAAGTCAATTGATTCTTCTATAGTAACTAGGCTATATTAAATAGGTAGCACTACACAGAATGAGCGACAATCAGTGGCAGAACATCTCAGAGCAATTAAAGCGCCGTGCCCGTCAAGCAAGTAACAGTTCTGGCCCTAAGGGTGGACCAAAATCTCCCTTTGCTATGTTCACGGGAATTGGAGGATTGTTGGCCATTGGTGGTATAACCTTATTGGCACAAAATGCCCTTTTTAACGTTGATGGTGGTCAAAGAGCTATAGTTTACTCCAGATTGAATGGTGTTCAGTCAACAATCTATAATGAAGGTACCCATTTCGTTGTGCCATGGTTCCAGAAGCCAATTGTGTATGACGTGAGAGCCAAACCAAGAAATGTTGCCTCATTAACTGGTACTAAGGATCTTCAAATGGTTAATATTACTTGTAGAGTGTTATTCAAGCCTAATGTTTTCCAATTGCCAACTATTTACAGAACCCTCGGTACTGATTATGACGAGAAGGTGTTACCATCCATTGTCAACGAAGTTTTAAAGTCCGTTGTAGCTCAATTCAATGCTTCCCAGTTAATTACTTCAAGAGAAAAGGTGTCCAGATTGGTCAAGGAGAATTTGGTCCGTAGAGCTTCCAAATTCAACATTGAGTTAGACGATGTTTCGTTAACTTTCATGACATTCTCCCCCGAATTCAGTGCAGCTGTAGAAGCTAAGCAAATTGCTCAGCAAGACGCTCAAAGAGCTGCGTTTATCGTTGACAAAGCGATCCAGGAAAAGCAACAATTGGTTGTTAAGGCTTCAGGTGAAGCCAAGTCTGCCGAATTGATTGGTGAAGCTATCAAGAAGTCAAAGGATTATGTGGAATTGAAGAGACTTGACACTGCAAGAGAAATTGCTGGAATTTTGGCCAATTCCCCTAACAGAATTTTATTGGACAATGATACCTTGTTGTTGAATACTGTTGTCGACGGAAGAAAGTAGGAAGGCTCCCAAGGAGGCTTCTCGAGGTCAATTGCATGTAAATAGTCCCGCTACACATACCTTTATCAAGGGAATTGGAAGTAAGTTCTACTTTGGAAAGAAGAAAAGATTTAAATAAAAATAAAGTATCTGAAAGACGAAGTCTGGGTTGTTGAGTGTAGGATAATTTTTTAAGGTGTAGAAAGATGATGGATGTAAGATGTACATTTCTCGAAGAATACTAGTGGGAAGGTGCTGGGTAGATCCAGCTTGTAATACTGATCATTGCCGCTTGTGTTGAATAGAGCTGGTTTCTTAATAGTTGTATTTTGTCGAGATATTGTTGATGTTTAAGCGTAGGAGTCTGGAGTTCAGTGAGCACCTTGTTCTACCGAAGTGCCAAAGAAAGTGTCTAAACATAGTAACAAAGGGCAGCTCCAGTTCTGGTGATAAAGTGACTATTTTCATTCATATTCAACACCCATGCACTCAAGATAGTTCCAGTTTCTTCAGAGTAAGTGATAGCTCGCTCCATCACCTCGTCATCATACACTTTACTCTCGCTGATCTCTTGTTAAGTGGGGTGCCTCTTCCTGTGTGTATTGGTGATTTGGCTGAGCCGCACGCCTCACGTAAGTAATGCTGCACGAGCTGCTAGCACCATCAATGATTAACTACTCTAATGAAAGGTCCAGTAAGGACAGGAAGATGCACTATCACTTGTGACATCTACTGGTATCGTTGATCTGCAAGTTGTGAACTGATGGTAAGGTAATAATACTGGAAAGTTTCTGGAAAAGGTTGTTTGACTACATTTTTCTCGGTACACACAGTGCATATGGTAGTCTAATGAAATCTACAGATTCAATCAGTATGTGAAATATATTTCGACTTCAAAAAGATATACACGGTATCACATATTTTTTTATTTCAGTTTTCCTTTCATACCCATAAGACCTATTTCTTTCCAAACAATTTGAAATGCAGCTCTTTTTTCTTGGGAGGTGTAGGTTCGGCGTATTGCCTCATTTGTTGTCCAGAGAATGGTTGGACATGGCTCTGATTCATATACTGAGAGAGTCTTTTTTCGCTGCTTTGATGGTCTTGTAGTGGCTGGTCTGGGGATACGAATACTGGTTGTTCTGGTTGAGCAATTTTGGCGGCGGGGCTAGGTGTTTGCACCATATGAAATCCAGGCACCTTCTTAATTTCCATCTGCTGCGAATTGATCAGTATAGCACGATTTCGTGAGGTTGGGGGAGTTGATCTCTGAAGGTTTTTGGGATTGTTGTTTGGCAAGGGCAGAACGCCTCTCAGAAGTGACTCGGGGTTTTCTGATGGTCTAGGCGGCAGCAGTTTACCATTTATCGGCGAATTCTTACCTATGGGCAGATCCAAGGGAAATATTTCCTTCTGATGGATACTTGGCGAAGGATCTGGGGTCAAAGGCCGCCTCTCCTTTACTTCCGAGTTACTGGTGTTTTCGATAATCCCTGTATTTTGAAGTATTGCTGGATCAAAAGTTGTTTGAGGCACAGGTGTCAGTGTAGAGCCAATTGTGGGGGAGACCAGTTCTGACCTCAAATACTGTTCTTCTGTTATTAGCATCACGTAACCTGAAGGAAACACTCCCATATCGGTGTCTGATCCATTTTTCTTGTACCCTACGTACCAATCGCCAGATAATTGTTCAACTATGGCAATTTTCTCGCCCTTGGATATGGAAATATCCTCTTGTCGCTCAGCAATGTAGTCATTGAGTACCTTACAGTACCCAATTGGAGACTTGTGCTGCACCACAGCTGCTGCTCCTGGAGAGAGAGCACCAAGTACGTGATGTGAGATTTGAGAAGGCGGAGTTATCGGAGCAGATCTCTCAAGACGTGATGCACGAAGATCTGAACCAACATCCACGTTAACTACTTTCATTTTCGCTGGAGTGTTCTTAAACTCGAACTCAGCCTCGCCACTCTCATCTTGGTCAAAGGGATCATCATGGAAGTAGTTTGAACCATAGCTTGGTACGCTATTGCTATTGTTAATGTTCAACTTTTCCAATCCCCACGGCTCCATATCTTTCGCGTAAGAGCGAGGGATGATCTCAAGAATTTTTTTACAAAGTTCATAAGTGATGACTTCAGATTCGGTAATAAACTCAAGTTCGGTTCTGATGTTCGATAAAGCACGGTTTATTATAGCAGTGGTCAGCATCTCAAGTTGTCAGTAATAAAAAGATGAAGAAAGATCTACAAACACCCTTAATACTGTCCTTATCTACTTTTATCACGCCGAGTCCTTTCGATAATTATAAATTTTTGATTATCAATTTTTTTTAATGGATCGAGAAGAACTGTAACTATAGCTCAACCTCTACTCTATCTAACAAAGCTTGGCCTTCCCCCTCTCGTTATTTTTTTTTTAGGCTTAACTCTGTATAATTATCCCTAGTATGTTACTCTCTGCCGGACTTACATGGTTCATTCTAATCTATATTTGATTTTGTGTAATATGTAGCGAATATAGTGCATATATAATACGAAACCTAAAAATAGTTATCTAATGACACATTTTCCCCTATACTATTCATGAGAGTGAAGAAATATTTTTTGACTATGCTTGATGGTAACCACTGTGGCAAATCTTTAGGGGGGCGTATGGACTTCAGTGCTTGATCAAAAAGGTGACTTTGTCCAAAGAGAATACGTGGGGTATACATTGTTGCTTGGTACGCCACAACATCTCATTGAGCTCATCTAGCTATGTGAATGCTAAATCCTCACTCTAAGTGTGCTCCATCAAACCAGGAGGCTGAACTTGAACTTTCCAATCTATACTCATCTTGCATGCATATTCAACGTACGCATCTAAAAAAAGATGAATCAGTTGATAAATTAGTCTCAGGGACTAATCCAACACTAGGGAGGGGGATATGCTTCCACATTACTACCAGACCTCATTACGTCACAGGTAATAAATTTGGAAAAAAATATTTTTCACCTAAAACTTTGGATTGATGAAATTGTCACTCCGAAGGTGAAATTATCGATGGGTTGATTTATTTCCAGTTTATTTCTAATTTGAAAAGGTACAGCTGGTGACTGTGCTTCCTGCTTCTTGCCTCGTTTGTTGACAAATATATTTGGGCCGCACATTTATATTTGGACATAAAATCTCACACCACATACCCTCCTAACCCTATGCCTACGGTTAAGTAATAATTTCCATATATGTATTAATATTAAAGCAAGCTTCTTTGTATATATATTATCATTAAAAGATTGAGTTCACAATATCTGAACCAATTGTAGCACCGGCACCAAAAATCGCAGCGTTACCCAATTTGCTACCGAATTTCTTTAAATGTGGGTGCAGGTTTCCTTGCTGCTGTTGGGGCTGTTGTTCTTGAGGTGGAGCCTGTTGCACCTGCTGTGGCTGCTGGTAGTAGTTAGTAGATGGAGGAGGGAACTGGCTGTATGAACCTTGCGATTGATATGGTGGTTGTTGATTATTCCATTGTTGTTGTTGTTGTTGCTGGTCATATTGAGGTGGTTGTGGTGAGTATCTTGCCTTCTCGTTTTCATGAGGCTTGTCCGCTTGGGCACGCACAGTATTGTTGAATTCCTGCTCCGATATCACTTTTACATAATTCGATGGGAACACACCCGCGGAACTTGCGTCTTGACCTTTTTTGTATCCCTTCCACCAATCTTGCGAGAGGTGTTCTACAACGGCAATTTTGTCATCTTTTTTTAAGTGGATGTCATCTCCTTCCTGAGCGCTGTAGTCGTAGACCGCTGTACAGTAACCAACAGGCTTACTGGCATTTGTAGATGATGGGGGTGGACCGGATGGTGGTGGGGCTGATATGTGAGTACTTTCCAAGCTGTTTGCTAATTTGTCACTGCTATTTTCATTTAATTTTTCAACTCCGCTTGGTTGCATATCTTTCAGATACTTCTGTGGAAGAGCTGACAAAAATTTCTCATAGAGTTCATTGGTGATCACTTCTGAATCATACAAGAATTCAAGTTCCGTACGGATTGTGGTCAACGATCTATTGATTAATGGCACAGACATTGTTCTACAGTTATTTGTATAATTAGGAAACAAAATTTAATATTACTTCACCTCCTCAAAATCATTCATGTTAAGCCACGAGGGAATTTCTGTCGGTCTTATATATTGAATGTCTTCGGGAGCTGTGATGTAATGTGACCGTATAGCCGAGGTAGTGCATTTGCGAAATTCATCTAACTACAAAAAGAAACAAATGAAAAATCTTAGTGTACACTCGGTGATAAGTGTATATGCAGGAAATTTGCAGCCAATTCTGAAACAATTAAGGTTGGGCAATAGCTGTGTCAAAAAAGTGATTCTGTTCAATCTTGCATCATTTCAACGATTAAGGCCTCCAAGAACTCTTTTAGTACTAAGGGACCTATGTAAGCGACTACGTTTCTATATCCTTCCAATAGCGGATCTCCAATAGCTTCTCCAAATTGGCGTGAATGCTCCCTGATCCTTTCTCGTCTTCTTCTTTCTCTTGGAGCTTTTGGCAGGCGACCCCTCTTGAACTTGTCCCTAAAACGATGACCGTTTACCTGTTCATCCTCTGGTTGTGGATGAAGGAAGTCGTCTTTGGACTCTTCTACTTCGACCCCACTTCCCATTTTTTCTTCTTCATTCACTTTCTCCTGGCCTTCCTGTATCTTTTTATCGAGTACAATATCAGCAGGGTCAGGATGAATTGTGACATCTACTTGCTGGTACAGCTTTTCAGATTCTTTTGGCATTGGTGCTGCTGGACGGCGGGCTATTCTTTTGAACTCTTCTGCTGTAATTTCCTTTACATAATTAGAAGGGAATGTACCTGCTTGTCTGGGTCCTTTGCCTTTTTTGTAACCTAGCCACCAAGATTCATCTTCTTTATTAGTTATAACCAATTTGTCATTTTTTTGGATGGGAAGATCACCCTCCATTTCCGCAGCATAATCAGAAGTCACTCGACAATATCCAACTGGAGATGAGGGTTCTGTTTGAGACAGATAATTATCAGAAGGGGAGGGTAATGCGGGCTCTAAGGTGATTGTCTGGTTCATGATACTAGCCCCTTCTCCACTGTGTGACGTAACTGTTATCTGATCAGTTTCCAATGTAAGCTTCTGATTTTCGACCCTACTAGTAGCCATTTGAGGGTTTTCATATGATATCTCTTTTTCAGATTGATCCATAATTTTCAGATTTCCACTATCATCAAACGAGTCTTGTCCGAACTGTATCAGTTGTGTTTCTTCTTCTTCTGTTTTATCTAAAGACGGTGGAAATGGTAAGACGATTCCTCCTTTTTTGGCAATTGCACCTTGTAAGTCTTCAAAACCTCTTGGATTAAGCAGCAAGTACTTTAGTACAAGACTTGATAGTGCATTTTGATAAATCTCCTCTGTAATAACATTGGACTCCATCAAGTACTCAAGCTCTGTTCTAACCGTTGCTAACGATTTGTCGGTTAAAGAGGGCGGCATAATATTCAAAAAGTAAAAATTCCTCTATATGAAGAAAGTGAACTATAGGAGAAGAGAGAATTTCTTGGCCCAGAGTGGAGAGGACTATGTATTTATTACTTGTAATTCTGGAGTTGGTTTCCTTTAAGAAGATAAATGCAACCCTCTGGGGTATAAAAAAGAAATACGCCAATATGCACGGCACCATCCACCAACTTAAATTTTTGACACCTTTACCAAAATGCAATTTCAACCATAACTTTCCAAGCAAGTTAAACTTTGGAAAAGGGAATGTGATGAAACAATTTGCTCCCTGTATTATCTAATTAATACTGATATTTCAAGACTCGTAAACTGTTTAAACTTATTTTGAATTACTTTTGGTAATACCACAGGAAGATCGATTATAGGAACCCCGAACTCCTGTAGCTGGGGTAGTCATCTAATATCTCAGTTGCATTTGAGGATAGATTCTTGTTATTTGCGCCCGTTCTCACAAGACTCAAAAGAATCCATCTCTGATCTAGAAGGGTCTAAGGAAGTACAAATCAAGTTGCTTTAACGCTAATTGGTGTACTTAAAAATGAGAATACCAAGCAGTAGAGGAAGATTCGTTGGCTTGACTTTTCCGGGGAATGATTATGTTAACTGTAATTAGGTGCGGCTGATTTTACGAGCGGCTGCTTTCCAAAAAATAATTTTTAAGAAAGTTAAAGTAACATACACTTTTCCAAATTGATATTCATACGGCATTATAAAATTTTAACTTTAATTTCCTAAGATAACAACTACCTAATTACTTCTCCCTTTTTGTTTACACCTTCAAACAACTCAATTATGGGACTACCGTATACCCCAAAACTAGGAGTTTCAGGAGAGCAAACTAGAGGGTGAGAAGTATGTTTCCAAATCTTGTAAAAACGAATTGTTTCATCATTAGTTGTAACACATATACTTTCATTATCAGGTGATAATATGGCACTTAGTATTCTTAAATTTGTACCGGCGTTAACTTTAAACACCTGTGACAAATTTGGAAAAGTGTATCCAGCGACTATTAGCCTATTGTTATCATCTCCAAATCCGAATGTAACCACAATTTCTTTTGAGAATGTGGACCAGATTAGGGATGTAATCTGATAGGTTGTATCAAATATATGTAATAAGGTTCCTGTAGTGGTGTGCCAAAATCTTAAATTTCTATCTCTAGTTCCTCCGCCTGTTGCTAGCAAAGCCTTTGACCATGGGCAATATGCAATCGCCTTGACAGCTGCATTGTGTGGTAATAAATGTTTCAAGATTGGTGAACCAATTTGTGAAATATCCCAGATTGTACAATAGTTGTCGTTTCCACCTATCGCTATTTCGTTTTCTTCTTTACTTAGTGCAATCCCACATATTTGTTGTTTGTGAAATATAAAGCACGACCTTTTGACAAAAGTTATGGCGTACATGGAATTATAATCTCTTTCCTTCCTAGGAATAATAACAATCTCATAACAAGTCACTACTCCCTTACTGTCACCCACAAAGAAGAAACTATCGCATTTACTCCAATGTAAGCAGCAAATACCAGCTCCTTCTATACGAACCCTACCTATCACTTTATTTTGAGTTTGGGACAATAGGCATAAATTACCTGTCAGCGTCCCCACCAAGAAGAAATCGCTCTTTGAAAAGGAAATACAGGTGATAATTCCCCTATTGTCCATTTTAACTAAAGAAACTCCATCTTGATTATTCCATAAGTATACTTGACGATCTAATCCCACTGCAATATTATTAGTTTTGGAAGACCAAGAAATTAGATTGGAATAGAAATCGTTCCGAAGTCCTGGTGCATCTAAGACTCTATAAGGAATGTAATTTGGCACGGAAACCCAACTTTTCTTGGATTTGGATTTGATATAATATTCAGAAAAGGGGGAAGCTAATTGAAATTGATTGATAACAAGATCTAAGCTTGTTAGAGACAAACTGGCGTTATGTTTTGATTTTGTTGGCGATTTTCTTATAGCATCTCGTAACCCAGATGTCTTATGTATCACTTTAGGCAGAGAATAGCTCAATATTCTGCCAGAGTCAATCCCAAGTATAACCTTAAGCGATAGACCGGGATCTTCTTCTTTATCTCCTTCTACACTTTTGTACTGTGATTCGACTTCGATATCTTGAGCAAGTGGGCTAACATGGTCATCCCTAGTTTGTAAAGACACTCCACTATGCCAATTAGATCCATCTCTACAAAACTCTTTTAGGCTTACAGTAGATGGTTGCTCTCCTGTTGGACTAAAAAGATGTGGAGATTTCAATATAGACAGTATGAACCGGTTACTTCCATCTAGATGTGACTTTGAACGACTTAACATCAAGCAGCAGATCCAAAAGCAATTTAATGTAAAGTCTGTATTTAATAATTAGCAATATATTGGGTAAAATATGCAAAAACAGTATTCAATTCATATACTGATAGATGTTTTCTAGCTAAAACAGACTGAGCTCTCGTTATATTCCGTGACTTCTGCCAGCCAGTGAATAAATTACAGAAGCCAGTATCCTTTATCCTTTGTCTTTATCTATACTTCTTGCAAACTTTGTGTATGCCACTAAGGCATGTTAAAAATGTTGCAGTTTTTTGCAACCACTATCCTACACATAAGAAGTATGAGGTGCAGGAAATATAGTGCATGATATGGATTATTTTTCACGTCTCTACAAAGTGGTTAGTGTTTATTTCTCTTTTTACCTTCCAAATAAGTATAAAAAAGGCTTCATGACCTTGGGTACTCTATATTATGGTGTATTCATCCTAGCATGTGCAGTGACTTTCAAATTGGTAAGCGAAACTGTCCCTGAACCGTTCATTGACGAGATATTCCACTTGCGTCAGTGCCAAACTTATTGTGCATACAAGTTCAATGAATGGGATAACAAAATCACGACTCCACCTGGACTATACTTACTAGGATTCGTGTACTCTAAAATAATACTGTTATTTTTTGTTCATAGTAATTCTTTGGTAGATGTTTGTGGGAACCTGAATGTACTAAGATCTGTAAACTTGTTTGGTGGAGCTATTGTATTAGCATTGATATTGAATGGTCTTTCTCCAGCGAATTTTGAGAAAAGGAACTACTACATAGCCAACGTAATATCAAGCCCTCTTCTTTACACGTACTACTTCTTATTTTATACAGACGTTTGGGCTAGTATACTAGTAATTTTAGCGCTATATCTCGTAGTTAAAAGACCAATTGGCAACTTGGTCAGCATTTTTATCAGTGCATTGGTTTCTTTTATCAGCTTATGGTTCAGACAGACAAACATCCTCTGGGTGATATTTGTAGTAGTGGTCTTAATCGACCAAAGAAAGAAAACAAAAAATGAAGGTTTGACATTGACTACATGTAAAGATTTCCTTTTACAAGCGTTTAAGGATATCGTTATGGTTGCACCTTTTGCATTGGTCACTGTTGCATTTGCTGGGTTTGTCGTTTACAATGGAGGTGTTACACTTGGTGACAAAGAAAACCATAAATTTAACCTTCATGTTGTGCAAGTGTTTTATTGCTTTTCGTTTATAACATTCTTTACTGTTCCAGTTTGGCTCTCAGTGCAAACCTTGAAGAGGTATTTAAAATTTACTTTAGGCTCAGCATTGAAAGTAGCATTTACCGTTCTTTCATTTGTGGGGATTAAATACATAGTGGATAATTTCACAATAGTTCATCCCTTTTTGCTTGCCGATAATCGCCACTACACGTTTTACATATGGAGAAAGATCCTTAGAGTAAAGTATAGTTGGATATGTTTGGTGCCCGTGTACCACTTCAGCACCTGGACAGTTGTTCTGAACTTGTTGTCCAATAAATCCTCACTCAAGTTAGAACCAATATCCATCATAGCATTTATTGGCTGTACTTGTATAACCATCATTCCTTCTCCGCTCTTCGAACCAAGGTACTACATCTTACCTTTGCTTATATTTAGAATATTTACTAGCCCAAAGAGCGAAAAGCATTTGTCCTTCGAATTTGCCTGGAATATGCTCATTAATTTGGTTACTGTGACTATATTCATCAATTTTGAATTCCCTTGGGATACAGAAACTTTCCCACAGAGAATTATCTGGTAGTATACATAGATAGAATATAAGAAAACAGCCTACGAATCTTTTTTAATCATGACTTTATTATTTATTTCATTAGTTATATTTGAACTTCGGTCAAATCCTTGCCTGGGCTTTCTTTTACAGATTCATTGCTAGTAGATTCTCCACTTGGTGTATCTTTAACGGGCTGTGGAAGCTTCAGTTCTTCAACCTCTGTAACAATTTTCAAAGGAGATGGTTTCCTTTGGGAGTCGGTTTTACTAGGCAAACCCTTGGTCTCTTTGACTTCATTTAGAGGAGTGTTGACCTTGTCGATGAGTGCCAAATTCGAATTGATAAATTCATCAATTGATTTACCATTTTTCAAAGTTATGACGTTCTTCAGTTCATTTTTAAGATTTTCAATTAAAGTTTTATTCTCTAAGCTTAGACCATCAGCTTCACTCTCCAAACTTGCGATCCACTTATCGATAGATCTCTTCTTTAAAACCTCAAAATAGTTCACTTCAAGTTTTGTATCCTGCCTATCTATGAAAACAAACTCTCCATCATTCCCTATCATCAAATTGCCGAAGTTTGTCTCATCATAAGTTTTCTTAATTTCCCAATTTCCAGTTTCCAAGTCATTTGCAAAAATGAGTAAGAAATCACCGAAATTGTCTGCAATTAAATACTTAGTATCGAATTCACGTCCGAACAATATGACTTGACCCCAATGGTCAGGATTGGGTGGATATAAATCGATACCCATGCAGTTACCAACCTCATCAGTGAATATCGGTATCCACAATGGGTGGGCGAAGACGGGCTGAATCCTTCCAGGTGGAATACATTTTTGCTTAGGTATCACCAGGTTTGGAATTTTAGAATCATTACTTTTTTTTAACGAGGAAGATGCAGAAGGGTAAGCAGCCATTGAACTTACTGCGGTCAATGGACTGGTTAAACTATGACTACTGTTGTTCCGAGAAGTGTAATTGCTTCCAAATTCAGAATCATTAAAGGTACGTGCGTGAGTTGGGGATGACTTCTTACCACCTCCGGCTACTTCACCGTCGTCATCTCCGTGGATTGAGTTTAGCTTAGCTAGCTCATTTGCTTTGGATGCTCGACTTCTTTGAATGTCCTCTTCATCCAATGTCTTTGCAACTTTCCTCCAGTGCTCTGTCAAGATCATAATTTCTTCCAAGGGTAACAATTTCAAACCAAAAAGTACTCCTCCCGAACCATTTTCGTTATAAGATGATTGGCCATCTGTCAATTTGAAGAATTCTGCGACACACTCTGGCAATTTGATATTCAAATCTTTCTGAAAGTCATTCAAGTCAGCATCTGTGCATGGACTTTCCAATGTGGAACTTAATTCCGGGGTATATTTCTTGAGCCATTGATGTATATGTCTCCAGGCCAATCTTACCTCATGTATTCCTTCAGCAGATTTACTGGTCAGTGGTGACCCACCAGCTGCTGAATCATCATGTAGAGAGGCAGAAGATTCGTTGTTAGCAGAATAAAGTAGTTCAGTTTCAGGCTTATTCACGCGGTTGAATGATTTTCTAGAGTCATACTCGGAATACTTGTCATTCGTACTGAGCGAGTAGATGAACTCTTGAAACAGGTCTTTCCACTTCATTTTCAATTGAATTGATACTAACAAAGCAATAACAATTGAACGGAGCTCAGTGTTTTTGTTTTTCGTCTATTTTCTTTTTTACAAGTTGCCCAGTTGATTCGTGTAAAGGCTTTGAATGCGAGGCTTTGCTTAATTTTCCGTCTTCTGTGGGTCCAGAACTAGAAGGAGAAAGTGGTACGTACAGAAGTCGCTTAAGTGGAGAAATTGTAATGAGAATTAGTTGGATTTGTTTATATGTGTGGGCCACTTAAACTTTAAGATAAACAGACGCAGCATGACTTCATTTTTTTTCTTGATTGTAATACTTTGAATGTTTTGACATGTAACTTAATTACGCGCCTGGCATAACCTATTAGGTGAAATGCGGAATAATTCGGTTTACTACAAAAGGTAAACAAAATTACCTCACCAAGTGTATTCAAGAAGTGCTACGAGGAACAAGCTACTACAAGAAGTTTACGAGTTTACTTGTTATTTTTTTTTTTTTACAATATCTCCCGGGCATGAAGTGCAAATCCTATTGAAAGAGAACAAACACGATAAACCGGGAATTTTCTTATGGGAAACCTGACAAAAACAAAAATAGACCTTAAAAACAAAGCAAAGCGAATAAAGCAATAGGCATAAAGTATTAAACCTTAGGAGCTCTCTTCAAAAATTGGGCATCAAGAAATCTCTGTTCCAAAACAAAACTACTCAAAACGAGTAAATCTGTCTCAAAATGACATAAATGCCGGCGAAATCCTCAACTAGGGCTTTTGATTTTTTAGGTATGATCCGTTGGTAATCAAATTGATAAAGAAGAAAAAGGAAAAGAAGAAGACAGAAGAAGAAAGTGTGTGCTGGGGTGTTTTTATACAAAATGCATGCCACGATCCAGCGGAGATGAGGAAAACTTCAGGGCCGGGTAACAGGCAAAAAAATAATTTTGAGAAAAAGAATTTAATACTCGCAAGGCGCGCTGGGAGACGCTAGTGAGGGCGCTTGCAGGACGATGGCAGGACGCTGGGGCAGACGCTACGCAGATTTTTAGGGGCAGGCGCCGCTACGGGCAGCGGGTAGACGCTAAAATTCAAGAGAAGACTCGCTCGTAAAAGCCAGATCAAATGGGAAGACCTGGCACACTATGGTTACACCACTGTAGTTGCATTTGTTTGTTATACAACTAAATTTCTCTTTTCCAGCTACTCTGCTACCTTACCTAGTGTTATCTTCCTCTTCTCTTCCTCACTTTTGCTATTCTAGCCTACACAACTTCGAGTAATCTTATATTGTTTATTCTACATACAAACTTTTCACTTTTTTTATACGAAATTTTTCATTTATTCTTTTTCGGTTTAAGAATTATTATTAATACTCCCCAACAGCAACATAAAAACAATAAAAAGTGTTTGTGCAATTACCTAATCTAATATAATTAAGAAGAAGAAGCAACTTACCAGTTAGAAGCAGCAGCTTCTTCAGCAGCAGGAGCAGCAGATTCAGCCCAGTCAACTTCTTCAGTTTCACCGGTCCATTCAGCTTCAGCTTCAGCAACTGGAGCTTCAGAGGTACCTTCAACATCCTTGGATTCTTCAGCAGCGTTTTGTTCAATTTCTTCTGGGTCTCTGTAGAAGTATAAATCTGGCATGACAGACCATTCGGTGGTTCTGTCTGGGATAACACCTCTTAATCTTAAGACTTCTCTAGCAATTAACCACCAGATAAGACCGATAGAGTGCTTACCCTTGTTGTTACATGGGATAGCAACATCAACGTATTCAGATGGGGAATCCATGTCAGTTAAAGCAATAACTGGAATGTTAACGTAAGAAGATTCCTTGATAGCTTGAGCATCAGTTCTTGGGTCAGTGACAACAACTAATCTTGGTTCCTTGAAAGAACGGGTGATATAGTTAGTGAAGTTACCTGGGGTGAATCTACCGGCAATTGGGGTAGCACCAGTGTGGGCAGCGAACTTTAAGACAGCTCTTTGACCGAAAGTTCTGGAAGAACAGACAGCGACATCAGCAGCATTTGGGATAGCAGCGATGATTCTAGCAGCTAAGACAATCTTTTCCCAAGTCTTACCGATGTTGATGACGTTAACACCATCTGGTCTGGTCTTGTAAACGTATGGTTCGTTGTGGACCTAAAAGAGAATATGTTAGTATAAAGTGGACATGGAAAAGAGTGTTTTTTGCTCTCTTTCTTTCTATATAATAATACAAAAGGGCGTCTGCATCGCTTGAAGTAAATTGCGGGACTGGAGGAGTATCAAGGATAAGGACTCGTTCTTTTCTTCCCACTTAATGCTGTTCTATTGAGTCCTCGTGCTGGTCCTGGCTCATCTAAAATTTTTTTCTAGACCCCATCCTTTGATTCCTTAAAGTGGTTCGATCCAACTTTCTACAGCATATTATTCTTCATGATTCAGGTCTGATTCACAAGCTCATCAGCTCCCTAACATTTCCCCAATAATTACAATTGTATTCGGCTCCTCCTTTGCTCTGTTCCCGCAGCTTACTTCTCATGCAAATCCTCAAATGTATTTTTCATTCATCAATTACATACTTGAACGTTCTTGGAACCCAAGTGGACGTTGGCAGCCAATAACAACTTGGCGTCTTCTGGAGTTAAATCGAATGAAGCAGGTAAAGACATCGTTAATACGTAGCTCTATATGAAAACTTTATGGAAAACTTCTGTGAAACCTTTAAGTTGTCTTTTTTTTTTTGACTGTTGAAAAATTTTATTGAAATTTCGCTACAGTGTGTGGGAGCGTACGCACAGGAATGGGGAGGGTAGGGTGTGTTGGAGGAGTGCACAGAGAGCTATGAAAAAAGAAAGTGACACAAAGAAAAACGTAGGGAAGATGCGAAAAGGGCGCGTGGGTGTAGGGGTTGAGGGAGAAAGCGGTCACGTCATGTGATGTGAGAGGGGTCAGCCCTAGAAATGAGGTTCTGTTTTTGTTTTTCGGTTCTGCATGCTGGGTGCCTCTAGAGGTCGGATGAGGAGCACACAAAGTCGGAATTAGGATATAAGCATAAGAGTGGGTACAGCAAACCTTGAAAGATATCGATGGAGGCAGAGGCTTATCATGATGAGAAGAGATTGCCATTGATGGCAAACGGGGAGACATAGGTGGCAATGCCGAGCAGGGAGGAGAGTCGGGAGACAGTTAGTAGAATTGACGGGATGCAGAGCATCTGTGTGTGTATCAAGTGAGCTTCGTATCTCTGTCTTTCTGTCTACTTTGTCTGTCTATCTATCTGGCTGTCTATTTACGCTGTGTCCCAATGTATGTATGGATTTAGGTGTGTATGGATTTATGTATGTATGGATTTAAGTATGTATGATTTTAGGTATGTAGTATGCACGAAAGGCATAAATGTGTGGGCTTTTCTTTTATCCTTTTTTGTATTGTTTAGTTTATTATATTCCAGTTGATTTCATTTTGATCTGGTTGACTAGCAGGTTTGCACATTCTCTTTTCTCTATTGTCCCTTTTCCGTTATCTCTGCCCTCTGCTTAGCCTGCTGTTCACTGTGCTACCATCCAACACTGCGGAAGATATTTTTTCTACGCTTGCTCAGCAAAAGTTCCGCTTTTCATTTCTCAGTGTGGGGCCCACCTAACTTTTCGTACCGGCCCAGCTCACTGAGTATCTGTCCCCATCCCCATACCTCTCTCCACTCTATCCTTCACTTTGATTGCAATTTCATATTAGGCTCTGGTACCACGGTACTATTTCCACTGTGACAGTTATACATCGCACGGTACCACTTCCATTTACACAATCCTCATTCCTTCTGCTGTGCCTTCATAGTACGGCTCGGTTGCTCCTATATGTAAGCCGCAGTTGGGGAGATATGAAACCCACACAAACTCTGAATTAGGCAGGAAAAGTAAAATTAAAACCCGCAGGCAAATCGATATAAGGGCAAAAATTCGCCAGCGAGCTAGCCTTAGTATATCAGAGCCAAATACCCGAAAGGACCCCGACATTTTTGTGGTAGTTATTGCTGGAGGTGCTTTAACATTTTAGTGTATATAATAATACTCGTATATTCGGTTGGATTTCTCCCCGTCGTTTATTGTTTGATCCTTTTACTTGCTGATCTCACTGCCAGTAGTGCTTCACTAACGTTCACCAACCCCCTGCCTACGCCTTGTCTACGCCTTTTGCGCTTTTGCTTCGTCTAAGGCATTCTATCTTTAGTATATATATATAGATATATAGTGTTTACCTTGAAGAATGAGCGAGAGTACTCCCCTTTTCAACAAACCCAATGCGACTGATCATCACAGAGATGCAGATGACTTGCTAGAAACCGCAGTCACTGACGCTTACGTCGGATTCCTTGATGATGATGATGAAGATGATGATGTAGATGATGAGGTTCTTTGGATCCGTGAACAAAGAGAACAGAATAAGACTTTGCCATGGATGAAAAGACCATCCGTCTGGATGATCTGTTTATGTACTTTCCTAGGTTCCATGGCAACATCTGCTGCTGAACCTACTAGAACTGGAATGATTTTCAAATTAAGTTGTAACTACTTGATGGATAAAAATAAGTCCTCAACTTGCAACCCTGAAGAAACCCAAGTGTTGGTATCTAATCTTAGTCTTGCAACTACACTCAGTATGGGTTTAGTAACCATGATAGTTTCTGGTAAAGTCGGTACCCTCTCCGACATTTACGGAAGAAAGTTGTTTGTGAGTGTAATTATTGGATCTATGATTCTTGGTAAAACCATTTTATTCTTTACCCTTCATCATTTCAACACTTTACCTTTCTATAGTATTATTACTGGGGACTTGGTTGCCTCACTTGGTGGCGGTATCATCACCTTGATTGCGTTGACAAATAGTTACATATCCGATGTTGTTGAAGCTCACGAAAGGATTTATTCTCTTGGGTTGAGTATCGCAAGTTTATACATTGGTTTGTCAATAGGTCCAATGGTTGGTAACTTATTATTGACAGTGCCTAAGAGATTTCTTGACAAGCCACATCTGTCTCCCGACATTAGTGAAATGAAGGAAATTTATACTTCTTCTTTGAAAGTGATCTCTTCTACTGAATTTATCCCATTGAGATTTGAAATTGGTTTACTAGCCATTGTGTTCATCTACTGTGTATTCGTCTTACCAGAATCAAGATCTGAAAAGGCTAGGCATAGATCAAGAACTTTGAGTAGAGTTCTGATGAGTGACATCAGACAATTCAGAGAAGAAGAAGGCAATGACTGCAACCGCTCTCCTTTCGACCAAGTAGAACAAGACTCGAACTGTAGGAATACAGTATTTGGAGCCTTATTCAAAGTCCTCGATTTCTTTAGGCCATTGTTGTTGTTGACTTTACCTGCTGATGCCGTAAACCCAAATAGAAGATATAGAATTAAGAAGGATAGATTGGCCGTCATTATTTTGGTTATAATTGACTGCGTTAATTTTGGATTCAGTACGGCCGTTGGAAATATTACCGTATTGTACGGATTGTACAAATTCAATTGGACATCAATTGATATTGGGCACTTTATGACTATTGCCTGTTCATCCAGAGCAATTGTGTTGATCATTTTATCTCCAATGATAACTCATACCCTTTTCCATAAAAAATTGCAATTTAAGATCTTCAAGAGGCAATTCGATATGGTCGACTTTAGTATTTCCGTTTTAGGGTTTTCTGTTGAATTCCTTGGTTTTGTATTACTTTACTTTGCCAGATCTTCAGCAGCATTATTCGTCGTGTTTGCTCTCCAGAGTATCGGTAGTTTAACTGGCCCAACTCTTAATTCGGCCATCATTAAACACTATCCCGAATCTAAAGTTGGTGCGTACTTTGGAGCCATCTCAATTTTGAAGAATGCCTTGTCATTGCTAAGTCCATTGATTTTTGTTTCCTTCTATAAGATGTCAATTACTGAATGGCACCAACCACAGCTAGTGTTTGCCTTGCTTGCCCTCATTTCATTCATTTTCCTTTGTTTGTTAATTATTTTGAAAAGATTATTAAATCTTGATTCAAATACTACGGAGGATTTGCTTTTAAGAAGTCAATCTATTTCTAACTCCAGAAGAACGAGTTTTTCCTCTGAAACGAGTGATTCCTCTTCCTTCAGAGATTCATTGAATGCATCCGTATTTGAGTCGGACCCGGAGACAAGATATACTTCTCCAGTACCTGGCAGCAGCAGAGGATTGAGCAGGGAGTTTGCAAGAAGTAACAGTTTCCTCAGCAACCAAGTAAAGTCCAACAAGGCCAACGCTAACTAATTGTCTAAAAGTTTCGAATTATCTAAAGATACTTGCTTTTAGAAACTTACACATGGGAACGATCAATTGTGATATTTGATGATAGAGTTCTTCGTATACATTTTTTTATATTCCGCTCTTCAATTCTTCATACCTGACTCGTTATATGAAACGATTCTGACTTATTTATAGTATAAATTTTAATGTTAAACTTGACATCCTTTCCTCTTTATTTAACTGGCTCTCGTGGCTCTCCATTCGTTTCTTTTTTTCACTAGGTGAATTCGCCCTCATATAAAACATGACTCACCTACCAGCTCGAAATGACTTACTGGTTCCGGGTGTGGTTCGAAAAAGCAAAGTACCATTTCAAAGCTTATCACAATTGCTTACAGCTGGTGCTTATTCTCATTTCCCTCCATACTGTTCTTGACACTCTTCTTGACTTGAATCACCCCGCCGTGCGTTTTGATCCAAAGAAGCGCACTTTATTTTTTTTTGACAGGTTGCGTATTATTTTTATTCAGAGCTCATGCAGATGAGATCATTAGTGATGACGCTTTTCTCTTCAGATTGTACGTATTTTAAGCGATAAGATAGAAGAATTGCTGGTAGGATCCGTATCTGTAGATAACAAGAAGAGACTTTGCAAAAAATTTCTTCTAATTTACTTTTTTTATCCTTTAGTTTCGTTTCCTTTAGGCTCTTCGATCACTTTCCACAAAAGTGACAGACCCCGAGGGTCTCATGAATATTGATCTGATATTTAAAACGTACCACTGTGAAATCGGTGTCATATTTCGATTATTCGAGTCGATAGCTTTCTCCACTGCCTTTTTCGTGTTCGTAGTTTGGTTTTTTGGAAAGTTTGTAGTATCTAAGTACCCATTTACTGAGGTGGACGAAAGCGCAGAAGAAGATATTAAGATAGCTGACCTAAAGAAGGTATCGTCGAATCTTAAATTATCCTCCCGAACCCATTCACTTTTACAATTGCATAGTACAAGCAGAAACCCAGAGTCATTGGACCACCATATAGACCTAAGCTTTGGGAAATTGCATAGCCATTCACCTCTCGGTTTATCGAACGTCTCAGCAGCTGAAGAAGGATCTGAATCATTTGCAGAAGACGACGCTAGCTACGATTACGAGGAAACAGTAGACGACGAGGACGACGAGGACGACGACGGCAGCGGGACATTTTTAGACCCCACAACGTTTTACAAGAATCTTAATAGCAGCTCACAGTACCTTCGTAGAGATTCATATTCACAATGCTAGACTTGGATGCTTCGAATTCGATTCAAGTATATTTTCCTAATGACATGCTAGGTGTCTTAAGGAAGAGTAGAAAGAAGAGATCGACAGGAGAATTTCACATCTTGGGATTCAAATATACTAATATCTATATTGTCATTCAACTAGCAACTAATGTCGATACATTCAACCAACAACCGGTCGAGGGCCCGTTGCGTGGATTACAAGTTATTGGAACCGTTAATGGGAAAGAAAGCAGTATTCTGGGATTAAACTTAGTTTACAATGACTCTACAGACTATCCGACCATAAAATCTGGGGAAAATGAGAGGTTTACCTTCGTATTGTTTCAGCCACCAAAATACAAGAACTTGGAATACCTCTCCATAGACCCAATTCTACTTCAATCTGCGGAAGGAGATCATGGAGACTATGATCCAAGAGATGAAAAACTCAAGATAATAAATAAAAAGTTTAATAACATAGCAAATCCGACTATAACTGAAAATACCCAACCATTTAACACTGAGGTGTTAGACATAATCAACCAATGCTATCAAATTAGATCTTGGTATGAAACCTGGCATAGATCTCTGAACAATTTGAAAAATCAAGAGCATACTGGTGTGCTGGCAAAAACATACGCAAAGAAACTACTGAGATATATTATATTCAAGCCTTTGACAATTATTGTCGCTTGTATTCAAACTATAGCGATATGGTTGATCCATATTTTGAATTATGAGTACGGGAAGAATAAGAGAGAACCAAATTCCCGAGGAATTAAAATCACTCAATTCTCTGCTGTATTTCGACAGTTAGAGCTTCGATTGAAGCAATTTAATTATTTTCCAATTCAATTCCTTTGTTACTTGGACAGAACTCTACTCTATGACGAAAATGAGAGCATGAACAACAAAAATGGCTTGAATAAATATTCTTTGGCCTTAAACTTACCCATTTTCAACTCAAATCTAAATATTAACAACTCCAACTATATAAACTTTCATAACTCAGTTTGGTTAATTGTTAACGACATCTTGTTTGGCATGTCCATTCAAAAGTTGATCTTTGCAAACTATAGTGCTATCGCTAAATTTATCAATGAAACGGCCATCAAGAAGATATTATTCGATGACTTATACGCTTTGATCAGCTGGGTTTCATTCAGACACCCTGCGGGGTTCAAATTGAACAATGAGTTAGGAAGATTTGTCGGAGACCTATTTCTTTGGACGTTGCGATTTTGGAGATTATTGTGCGTTGATATATTTACAATTAGTGAGAAAGAAAGTAGTACTGGCGGATGGTACGTAGGAGGAGGAGATTTGGGTGATGCAATTAAGGAAATTGGAGGATTTGGCATCAAGGGATTCAGAGTCTTTGATGGGAAGGGACCATTGACTTCTCCATTGTTCCAAACTATCTTATCAATCATTTGCCATATCGGAGTCCTGTTTTTAGTTGGATTCTTAATAGATTATTTGCAAATCATCAGTTTCCACATCTATTGCTTTTATTATACTTCAGCAAAAATTTATAAAAGGCAGGTTGAAATATTAAAATCATTATTTCAGTTATTCTGTGGGAAGAAGTACAATGTATTAAGAAATAGAATAGACAATTTGGATAATTATTCAATGGCAGGTGGACTGGGAGATTATGAAGTTGACCAATTGTTGCTAGGAACTTTGATTTTCGTTGTCCTAATCTTGTTGTTACCAACAATATTTGCATTCTATCTAATGTTTTTCCTTACAAGATTGTTATGTTTACTTTTGATCTACATTGGAGAAAGTCTATTGGTTATAATGAACTTTTTCCCAATTTTCGTGATACTCTTGAAATTGAAGAATTCCAAGAGATTGCAAGGTGGCTTGACATTCACATTTATCACTTCAAACGATGAAAATGTAACATACTTGCAATTAAGCAATAAGTCTTTGACCTACAAGGAAATATTCAAGAATTTTTTGAAATTATTCCGAAATTCGAAGACTTTTACTCTCCAATCCACAATCCCCAACTTTGTCAATGGTGACCCAATTAGTTTGATTCAACAGAATGAATTGAAATTTAATTATTTGATGCTACCCAGGAATTACGACCAAACAATTAACGCATGGAACCATTTCACAAACACCGAAAGCTGAAATGTCACATATAACTGTAATAAATACACTCAAAGAATGAAAAGAACTGTAGTATCCTCCCACTGTCCAACATGGTCACCAGCCGGCCCTCTCGACTGCAACCATTCAGTAATCAGAAACATTCCTGCATATAACACACACTCCGCTCTCATCTCTGTTTGTACATCAAGACGAATGTGTACGCTACTCTTATACTCTTCATTACGTTGAACAGCATTATGACCTTGGAGCAGGCTTCTCTGAAGTCGTTCAGGTTGAACAATGTACTTGCTCGTGCCATAAGGGATAATCTATATAGGCGACTTTACTCCAGCAAAGCGAGCATTTCCACACCCGAGATACATGAACAGGAAATCAAAAGTGTTAGCGACTACAAGAATGGGAATGATCGTGAAAATGTGGTACTTGCTGATGCATTAAACTTACTTTCACCTAGAAAGGTTCCTTCAGATCGACCTAACATATCGTATAAGCCATCTTTGCTATCGCATTTAACGTCTGGGTCGCTTTCCGAACAGAAGCAATTCTCGGAGGCCAACCTTACCAAATTGCTTGCCGATAGTCTCCCTGAGCCTTCGAATAATAGGAACTCTGTCAAGGAACATCTTGATCATTTGCTTGCCGGGCTTAACTATGTATCTTCTCATACAATAGGGGATAGTTCAGGCGGTGGTAGTGGAGCTCCATTGGACTTGTTGGCGCTATCTTCCAAGGAGCTACTGATATACATCAAACTGTTGAAGTCAGAGCAAGCGTTGGTGAAAGCATTCGAGTTCTTTCACTATAATAATGCCCTCACCCTCAAGATAACTACAGAAATACTCTTGAACAGGGCGCTTGTCAATCTAAACAAATTACCGGTACAGATTGATTCTTTACTTTTGAATGACACGAAGAGCAACTCCTTCAAGAACTGGAGCAAGGAGGATGTGATTTCGCTCAATATTATATTGCTTAAGAAGTACCATGACTTGAAAAAACCTCTATTGATTATCAGAAATTTAAAGGAGAACTTTGAGTCTCATTATTTACCTACAATAGAAGGAGCAGGTGGGACAGATAGAGTATGGCTCAGTCCATTCTACGAACGTATTATTTGGAAGTTCTACTTTGAGTACTTGCTGCAAGATGAACAGTACTATGTCCAACGGATTAGCAAGTTGAGGAGTACAATTTTAATATGGGAGTCATCCATTCCCTCCAAATCAATTGACCTCTTTACATCGGCATTTGAATTTCACAAGCAGGGTTTAAATCCACTCCAATTGGCATTTTTCAAACTTTGCTCATCGAAGTTGACCAAATCCTTAATTCAGGATGAATTAAATAGCCTGAGTCACAAAATGTCATCCCCGACGTTATCACAGTTGAAACAACTTTCAATCAAGTACAAAATCTACACGTTCCCTAAGACTACAGAGTCTATATCCATGGAGAGGAAGTCTACATTGTACCTCTTTATAAATGCATTAGAATCGATTATTCTCGATGAATACGTCACAAAGCAGGGGGCTGTAGATTCAAATTCTATAGTGGAGATAATGGAACTTTTCAAAGAAATTAAGGAATACAAGGAGACAGAACTAATGAATATTAAAGCGGAAATTGGGATAAACGAATGGTCAAATAAATTCGTTAAAGGGTAGAGATCATAGAAGTGATGAATCATGAAGCACAATGAAACAGAAAACGAAATATAGTAAAATGATATAGAGTAAAATAAAACAAAATAAAATAAAATGAAATCACTTTGTAGGTAATCATGCGCCTCATCTTACATACAAATAGCCAATATATACTAAGATACGAAACCAGTAAGGGATCTTGCACAGCTAACTCAGTTTATGGGACCATGGCAGGAATTTTGTGAGCTTTCCCGAAAACTGGCATTTCTCATCGGAAGTTTCCTATTTCGGCCGACATATGATTCGTGACAAATAAAGTACGACCATTCAGAGATTTCTTCAGCACATTACTGTCGATTTTTGAGCATTTCTTTTTCCAGTCATTGGTTCAATTTGCTACATAACTAACCAATATACATTCAAAATGAAGGTACTTTCAGACAAGCAGGTAAAAGCATTCTTAAATGCAGACTTATCGAAAAAAAGCTTGCTCAATACGTATCATCCGATCATGTTGAAACTTTTACATGATTTCAAAAATACCCCAGAATCAGTTCCTCCCAGAACAGTTAGACTGTCCAACACTATACCAAGTTTGACTCATTTATTTATGCCATGCAATGCCCCGGATAATGCAGGAATCAAGTTGATCACTGGGGGACCAACAAACACTGAAAAGGGGCTAGGCTTGGTTGGTGCTACTCTTATTGTAGATGCTGCAACTGGTTTGATGGAAGGGCTAGTCAACGCAAAAAATTTGACTGCTTTCAGAACCGCATTGGCTACTAGTGTTGGTATGGTTAGGGCCATAGATCCAAATAGAAAAGACCTAGAGCAAATAATGTTGCCTTCCATTGCTTCTTTCGGTGTTGGATTACAGTCCTACTGGCACATCAAGTTAGCTTTGACTTTATATCCAGGACACATTAAGACCGTTAAGGTTGTTAACAGAAGTTTAGGTGGTGCGGAAAATTTAGCCCAGGAATTATCGAAGGAGTACCCCGAAATTGACTTTAAGGCTTATCTGTGGCAGGGTGACCTAGATGGTGAGGTGATTTCCAGTGACTGTAGTATAATTTTTGGTTGTACACCATCCACGGAGTCAATCATTCTAGAGAAATTCATTAATAAAGATGAACAATACAAAACATTCATTGGATTAATCGGTTCCTATAAGCCACATATGATTGAATTGGATTTGCAGTTTATAATTGACAACTACAAGAATGATGAGAGGAAACCAAAGTTTATAGTTGACTCACTGGAACACACCTTAGCAGAGGCTGGGGAGTTAATCCAGAGTGGGCTAGGCGAAGATCAAGTCTTAGAACTTACAGAATTGAAAGATATTCCCGATGAAGAAATTACTACAACTAAGGGTAATATCACAGTTCTGAAAGTAGTAGGTCTTTCCCTTATGGACATTGCATTCGGTAAGCATATTCTTCAGAACTCTGAAAACGGAACATTTATTGAAGACTTCTGATAAGAAAGTGTAAATAAAAAAAAAAAAAAAAAAAAAAAAAGATTATAATGCTGCAATTATCCGGCACGCATTCGCGCTTGCATATTTCTGTAATCAATGAGCAGCGCCATACATTTGACATGTTCCATACAGAAGAACTGAGCTCGAGAGCCGAGTACGTACGCAGAATAAGTATAGAGGATAGAGAAATAATTATGACTTTTAAATTTAGACGTAAAGTAATTATATTATCTGTAAGCAAAGGCAGTCCACACAAGTAGACGGAAAGGAAACTCCTTATCAGTGAACAAAGTATACGCAGCGAAAATACCTTCTACACGCATAGTGAAAAAATTCAAAGCCATCAATACCCATGAATTCTTCATACACAGAATAACTTAGAACGAAACAAACAAACAACCCCGCTATTCAACTCCTGCTGATTTTCCCATCGTGGTTCAATGGATGCCTTAAGTAAGACAACGGGAACGAATCTCGATTCTCACTCACTGACTCAGTATTACTTCCAATTGTTTCCATTGGCCCAAAGTTTACTTTTTTATGCCTAATTAAGCCACGTTGAAGAAGTGCCACAAAAGCCGAAAGCGATAGTGTCCAGGAATGCAGACTCATCTGTGATAAGCAAAACTCCAACCTCAGTGTTATTAGTTGGCAGAACTTATTTATTACATAATTTCACATTTTTTACATCCTTTTAGAAATATGACGAGTGAGAAGCAAACGTTGCTCGGAGGAGAATCTTCCACGGTCTATAACCACAGAACTAGCACTAAAAAGAGATCGTGGCTTATGATTATCTTAGAGCTGTTGAACATTCTTCTCGTGGGAACATTGATATTCTACGTTTACACCAAGGACCTGACGCTTGCTGATTCTACCAATGGCGGAGTCAATTCACCTTCCACCCTTGACCCTTCCTCGAAGAAAAATGTTATTTTCATGGTTACTGATGGTATGGGACCAAGCTCCATTTCTTTGGCTAGGTCTTTCAAGCAGTTTAGAGATGGCCTTGACATTGACAATATCTTGAGGGTTGACCAGCATTTTATTGGATCTTCCAGAACCCGTTCGTCTTCCTCTTTAGTCACAGATTCAGCAGCAGGAGCCACTGCCTTCTCATGTGGATTGAAGACTTACAATGGAGCTATTGGTGTTTATCCAGATAAGACCCCTTGTGGTACTATTTTGGAAGCTTTAAAATTACAGGGTTACTACACCGGATTGGTTGTTACCACAAGAATCACTGACGCCACCCCTGCTGCCTTCAGTGCTCATGCTGACTACAGATTTCAAGAAGATTTAATAGCAGAACAACAGTTGGGCGACTCACCCTTGGGAAGAGTTGTGGACTTAATAATTGGAGGAGGAAGATGCCATTTCTACCCAAATTCTCAAGGAAACGGGGAAGGCAGTAACGGATGTCGTGCTGATAACAGGAATTTAATAGAAGAAGCTAAGGCAGACGGTTGGTCATACGTCGGAACCAGAAGTGAGTTTGATCAATTGGATGGTGGTAAGAATGTCACATTCCCTCTCTTGGGTTTGATCGCAGACACCGATGTTCCATACGACATTGACAGAAACCCTAAGGAATATCCTTCCTTAGCTGAACAAGCAAAGGTTGCACTTACTGCATTGTCTAGAGCTACTGAAGACAGCGACAAGGGATTCTTTCTTTTGATCGAAGGTTCAAGAATCGACCATGCTGGCCACCACAATGACCCAGCTGCCCAGGTTCGTGAAGTGTTAGCATTCGATGACGCTTTCAATGAGGTCCTTAAATTCATTGATGAGACCGATACTGACACTATTGTTATCTCAACTTCTGATCATGAAACCGGTGGCTTGGCAACTGCAAGGCAAATCGCTCCAGACTACCCTGATTACTTGTGGTACCCTGAAGTCTTACTCAATTCTAGTCATTCAGGTGAATTTTTAGCAAACAAGGTGTATGACTTTAAGGTGAATAACGTAGATGGGGATAAGTACTCCTCATTAGATGAATTTCTTACGAGGGAAATATTTGAAAACGATTTAGGAATTAAGGATTACACACACGAAGACATTCAGCAGATTAAAAACGCCGGGGTCAATAAGGAAGCATTATTGTATACCTTAAACAACTTGGTTTCCGTTAGATCGCAAACGGGCTGGTCTACTCATGGTCATTCTGCCGTTGACGTGAATATTTACGGATACACCAATTCACACGCCTTGGGCAATGAGTTGTTCCAAAGCAGTCCATACTCTGGATTATTCGGAAACCATGAAAATATTGAAATTGGTAGATTCATGGAAAAAATTACTGGTGTTAACCTTGACGAGATCACCAAAAAGATCAAAGGTATCAAGCATCATCCACAAGTTAGCGAAGAAGAGATCGAAATCACTTCAAAGAAGCACACCCATGAAATGATTGTAGAGAACTTGGAATAGCTAATCATCAGGTAACATAAAAGATAAAATAGTAGCAAAAGCTATTTTTCTAAAATAATAATTCGTGTCAAAGCTCATGAATCAGAGTTAAATATGCTACAAATTATGTCCTATTATTATTAATAAATTAAATTAAATCATTGTATAAAAAATGATAATGCCGAGAAATAAATAAGTAATCTATATATGTTCTATAACTTGTACGTGTGTGTGTGTGTGTGTGTGTTGTTTGTTTTGTTTGTCTTTCTTTTCTGTTTCATCTTATGTTACAAGGTTTACTCTTCATCATCGTCATCAACATGATAAACAGTATAATCTTCTTGACACCATTTAGCACGAAGTTGGGCACCAAATTTATAAAAGGTGAATGGAATAAGAATCATTCCTAAACAAATGAAGGCTAATAGCCAACTGGCCCATTGTAACCCTAACTTATGGTACATTTGGGTGGTGAATAATGGGAATGCAGCACCACCAGCGGATCTCAAGAAAACCTTAGTGGCCAATGCAGATGCTGCATATTTAGCATAAGTATCAATAATATAATTATTCAATGAATAGTAAATTAAAACCATACCATAGCCGAAAAGAATTCCTGAAGATGCTGGTCCGACCCAGATGATGTGCTTGTATGAAGTGGCACCAAGAATGAAAAGTGCAATACATGGGAATGGAGAACCAATCATAGCACCAATCAACCTATCTTCTGGAACTGGACGTCTCTTCTTACAGATGATACTGTATTGCTTCTCCAATAATGGAGTAGTTAAAAGGGCCAAGCCAGCTCCCATCAAAATAGGAATGAACATTAATCCAATAATGTTATCTTTATAGCCGTACAATTCATTGAAAATCACAGGATAAGCAAAGAAGAAGGCGTATAACATTGAATAGATCAAACAAACGAAAACACAGATTAAGACCAAAACTGGCTCTTGAATCACGAATTTTAATGGACGGTACAAGCAAGTATTTAACAATTCAGAAAAAGTCATAGGGCTGGCTTCTTGTTCAGTCATAATCTTTTTGTTACCAGTATCTTTTCTCATCTGCTTAGCCCTCTTCTTCAAAATCACTGGGGCGTAAGTCTCTGGAATCAGTGAAACAATAATCCACATAACACCAGCGAATGCCATGTTAACCCAAATCATAAGATCGAATCTACCAGTGCTAACTGAGATGAAACCATTAACAACGCCTCCAAATACTGGACCGGAATAGGGACAAAATGAGAAGAATGCAATTGCCAAACCTCTTGTATCTTTATGTAAATCAACCAATGAAGCACCGACATTACTTAATGCTGAAGCAGAGAATACCCCACACAAAAACCTGCAAACTAGCACAGTTCCGATATTCGGAGCCAATGCAACAGGGATGTTGAAAATAGTATACAATCCAAAGGAAATAAAGTAAACAGGTCTCCTACCAATTTGCTCAGAAAGTGGAGCCCAAAGTAAGGGTCCAATTGCAAATCCAATAACCATCAATGAGACAGATAGCGTGGATACTTCTTCACTAACGTTGAATTTTTCGTTGATAGTGGATAATCCTCCTGCCAAGCAAGACGAACCGTATGCTGCACAAATAACAAGCATGGACAATAAAAAGGTATAAGCCCATCTGGCAACTGGGTTCCAGTTATGTGGGTTTTCCGGATCATTTATCACGAATGTCACTAATTCAATCTCCGGATCCAACGACTTTTCATCAGTAATCTCATGCAGCTTTCTATCATAGTGGGAATTTATTCTTCCAATAGACTGCAACGTTTGTACCGGCACCAAACCAGTAGTCGTTTCAAGGGTATATTCTTCTGGGAAAATTTGGTTTTCCACCGGTGGATTGACTAAATCTGGAACTGGGATCGACCTTGAGAGACCCAATTCATTTAATGATTTTTTAGTTTCTGTTCTTGTAATCCTTAATGATCTGTTTCCTGTAAACTGAGAACCCTGTGAAATAGACGACTGAGCATCTGCATTGATATCATCATCATAAAATTCTTTAGGTGCAGCTGGATCGTATCCATCTACAGAAGATAAGGAACGATCATCGTCTTCAGACATATTGGTATATTCTTATTTGTGTAATTTTCTATTTGGGTGCAAATTTATGATTTTTTCCAAATTTAAAGAAAATAATTTTATTTTAGGGAGTGCTTTGAGAAGTGTGAATCTATTCAATTCAATGGTTTATATTCAAAACGGTTGCTAATAACTTTATGCAAAAATTATTCAACTACGAAAGGGTGGTGGACTGATGACTTATATATTCATGTACAGTATCCGGAGAAGGTTCCGTACATATCAAATGTGGTACTTGGTCCGTCGGAAGTCACGTGAACACAGCAACATTAACTAGTGATTTCCACGGAATAAATGTTCCAGCCGCCTCAGCACACCAGATAATGTTCCGAAGCACGGCTTACACCATCGCAAGGACTTTAGGAGTTTAAATATGGCAGATGATGGTAACACTTTTAGGATAGTCGTATATCAAAATTATTAATAGCACCTGCGTCGTGCAGAGGTACTTGATGTGTTTGATGGATTGCAGCTACGATTTTTTGGAATTTTTTCTACCTTATATTGTGTTGATATAGATAGATGTGAAAGCTGTGGTTTCCGTCTTCGGATTCCAGGTAATTCCCGTGCGGATAAGCAAATGAATATGGGAAACAGACTACTACAACTCATGCAGTATCAACGTTATCAACTGGGCTATAGCTATTGAAAAATAAAATAATAAATGAACAATGATTAGATAAAAATAGTGGGATTTCTCTATTAGTGATTTTTTCTATTAGTGATTTTACTATATAATTTGAACTAAGGTACGGAAACACTATAATAGAAACAAGTAGACTAAAAATTAGTTCAGTCCTTCTTGACGTACATCTTTTTATTCGACGAAATGCATTTATATGGGTTTATCTTTGAGTCTTGGTAACACTCCAAAATAACCTTCTTGAGTCTTTCAACACTTCCATGATCATTCTGGAAATGGAAGGCCAATCTTTTTCCCATAACTTTGATGTCATATTTCGTACCGAGCCGTATCAATAATGAATCGTTCATGTTCATTTTCTTGGTGTTTATGAATACAAAGTTAGTATCGACTGGAGATTCCAAGGCAATTCCATTTGAAATGCAAAAGTCACCAACTTCTTTGGCAAATTCATGAGATTTCTTTAATTTGCCAAAATTCTCATCGATTGCTGTGATCGCCATGGAAGTTAACATACCAGCTTGTCTAATTCCACCACCATTTTGCTTTTTAAAGTGATTTGCCTTTTCAATCGTTTTCTTTTCACCTACGAGAATTGATCCAACTGGAGCTCCTAATGATTTGGATAAGCACAACGAAACTGTGTCAAAGTGTGAGCAATATTCCTTAATCGAAACGCCAGTCTCAGCACTTGCATTCCATAATCTTGCACCATCTAAATGCATTATGATTCCGTTTTCCTTTGCAAATTTAGAAATTCTGGCGATCTCTTCTATTGGAGTTATTATTCCATGCAAGGTATTTTCCAAAGAGATTATTTTAGTTGGTGCAGCATGGATGTCACCATCGGTTGGCGTAACGTTCTCTACAATATCTTCTAATGTCAAGTAATTTCCATTTTCTGGGATGACTGGATGGACCATAGCCTGAGAGAGTGTGGCAAGTCCTCCGGCTTCATGTAAAAAAACGTGTGCTCTATGGTCACAGAGGATGGAGTATGGTGGTTGGTACAAGTTTGCACGGAGCCCAATTTGATTAGACAACGTACCTGAGACACAGAAGAGTGCGGCAGGTTTTCCGGTAAGTTCACACATTTTGGACTCTAAGACGAGAGTAGTCTCGTCTTCCTTGTATACCGAATCTCCGAATGTAGTGGATGCTAAAGATGCGATCATGGATTGAGTTGGAACAGTAAAAGTATCACTGCGGAACTCATTGCACGTTGGATATTGATCCTGTGTCATATTCGATATAATTAATCTTAAATTTTTGTCTTTACGAGTAAAGAAACAGTCGCTTCCTCCTAATTATCTTCTGACAGTAGTTTCTTACGGAAAGCAATTTGTATTTATTTGTTATATGACTAATGGTTCCACATCACTCAGTACGAGCTTATTGCCATTTCTTTTTTTTTTTTTTTTTTTTTTTTTCATGCATGTTGCATGTTCCGGAATAAAAAGCCGTTGGACTTTGCTTTAGAAAAGAGGGAAAGATCCAGAACCTTAACCTTATTCTTCTTCCGTGGAAGAGGTGAGGATCTAATCGCGCACGTACAGTCAACCCAAAACCTACTACATCGATATGGTAAATGACCGCCAGAAGGAACAGGACAGACTGCAAAATGTACCTGAGCAACACCCTGGTATCACGAGCACCTCTACCGTGTAACCTCAAGATTGCCGTTTGGTGCTACATTCGCTTGCTTATTTTTGGCAGTGCTTTTCTATGCATAACGAAAATTGCCTTAAATGCGCTTGGGAGGGCATTCAAAATGCCTAATGTAAGGGAACTGGGCGTCCTGTATATCGGGCAGTGGCTTCCGTTCGAAGAGTGCGCTGTGCAGGAACAAACCACCCAACTTACATGATGAGACTCATCGAGAGAGCCAAATATGGGGTCGCAGAGGTAAACGTACCCCGACTATTGACTTCGGCTGTAGTTTGGAGTCGATTTAGGCTAGAAGCGGTTAGCTGGGGGAGTCAAAGAGTGTAGACAGCGTGGAAGTTTGAGGTTTTCACGTTTTATTATTTTTTTCTGTTTACATTTTTGTAATATGTGACTCTGTATTGTTAAACGTACGTGATTTAAACAAGCTAAACTAAACTAAAAAGAATCTTCTGAGTTTGCTGGGTATGCGCCTCCAACCTCTTGGCCTTGTTGCTGGCCCGTAGTTCTCTTATTGTAGTCTGAAAGCGTAGTTCCATAATTAGTAGCCTCATCATTTCTCCAAATTTGACTCTGACTATGGTTCAGAATATTTCTCGAATGACCATATGGCAGTGGACTCCACAAGTTGTGGTGGAGGTGGTTTAATGGGAGATGGTTCAATTGAGGAGATATTTGTTGAATTTGAGGATCGTTACTACCTGGAATCGATAGCGAATCGGAATGTAACAAATCATTCTGTGAATCAGAAGGCAGATGTAAGCCATTTCCATTACCATTTTCAGCGGTCAATCCGGCTCCACTTGGACTTGGGGACATGAGAAACCCTTCTAGTCCTGCAGGTACAGGTGAAGGTGAAGTGTAATTGATATAAGGCGGTGAAGTCTGAGGTAAGTCAAGGCCCTTGAAATGTTGAAACACAGTACTTCTTAAAGGATTAGCTGCAGCCAATTGAGTCTCACCTCCGTGAAATGAGGTTCCACTTTGGTTCATTGATGGTTGGAATAGCTCTCCAAATCCACTAACGCCGCTGTTTCCTCCACCAAGAGAAGGTGCAGTAACAGGGAGTTGGCGATTGTCATAACCAAGTGAATTTAGGTCAATGTAGTTATTACCGCTAGTAGTATTGGTATTTCCTGTGCCATTAACTCCATTTCCCGCGCTAATTGTAGTGCTTAGATTAGTATTACTGTTCGTCATTGAAGAATTATTCCATACAAGGTTCGAAGCAATGGAGGACAATGGTTGATAATTGAAGTTATTATAATTCTCACTTGTAAGCTGCAGTTGCGATTGCTGGAGATTGGAAGCCGAATCTTGTAAAGGAATTGAATCAAGTCTTACTTGATTAAAGGGTGATCCTACTCTATTGATCTCATGCGCCATTAAATTAGAACCGTCGTCATATGCCATATACTCATCTGCGTTAACAGGGGCATTTGACAATGAAGTGGCCAAAGGGATTGAATGCAAATGTTGGCTAGATCCAACTGCGTTTTCATTTGCTCCTGGTGTTAATAATCCATCATTACTTTCATTTGAGTACACTTGACTGTAGAAATTATGCCATCCTCCTCCATTTGCATTAGCTCCTGCTTCCTTAGCAACTCCATGTTTGCCCAGAAGCTTGTTCAGCTTATGAGTAACCTTGGGTAATGCATTATTGTAACCACCAAATTCCAAACTAAGTTGATACTCATTTTTTGAATTTGATATCGGAATCTGATAGTTCTTATTGCCATTAGACTTTGCAATCTCAACACTTTGTTTGATCGACATATACTTCCGAATTTCACTTTTAAAGACATGCTTCCATTCAGTTTCATTTCTATTAGTCTTGTCCAATTCTTCCATAATTTCGTTTTTCCATTCAGGCATGATTTGGAAAATGTCACTCAAAGCAGCTTGACTATTTGGTTTCAAGTTGCCGTCCTTATTGAAATTCAGTTCACTGCTAAGTACTTCCATTAATGGCTTAACCTCACTGTAAATTTTATCAAATTTCTTCTTTTGGTTCCCAATTTCTTTGATTTGGAGTTCTAAATCATCGTTCTTCGCCTTCAAGATTTCAATCTCATTGCGATAATAAGTTATTTGCTTATCAATTTCAGCTTTTTCATTTAGTTCCTTACTCTGTAACGTTTTGTTCTTATCTTTCAACTTGGAAAATTGTAATAACAAGGAGTCTAAATTAGCTTGATGCAATTCTTTTGTATGAGTTAAAGATTTTAGTTGAACTGTTAATTTACTTTTAATGAAGGTCAAGTTATCCTTCCTCTTTTCGATATCTTTCACATTGTTCTCTAATTTAGACTTCAGATTAATCTCTTCTTCAAATTCTTTACGATACAGTTTCAACGATTTCAATAGTTCTTGCTCTTCCAATCTACTTGAGTTTTGAAACGCTTCATACTCGACTATTGAATTGGTGAGCTCATTCTGATACTTTATAAGATAATTGTTCAAGAGATTAGGATCTTCAATCAATTTAATCTGATCCGGTGACAATAAGGTGGATGACTCAGATATTCCAACAAGACTAGATGTCTTGTCGTCAGAATCTTTATCAATTGTATATACAGGTTTATTCGAGATTTCTTCCACTTTATCCTTCAAAAATGGTAAATCTTCAACGGTAGAAGATGTGAGCGAGTTTCCGTTTGCTCCGTTGAACAAGGTTTCGATGTAAACTGGCGAAGATTTGGATCGATAGTTCGTGCTGACATTAATAGCGACCACAATTATCTGGTAGAGCTTATTAATCTGAAGATTGTTGAGCTTGCAGGAAGTTGAATTAACCAAAGCCACTGTAATGATGTTAGTAATAGAAACATAAAGTGAAATGACAAAAATATTAAAAGAAAAAAATGGGAGTCTTTGGAATCTCTGGAGAAGCCTTCCATCACCACTCAATCATATCGCACAGTACAACATACCTTCTTTATTATTGACTAGAATAACGTAGATCAACTCTTCATCCTCTGATACTTCGATGTCCCAATGTATGATGACAGACTCGTGTGATACAGAGTCGATACATATCGTGGGAGCGTGTGGTATTTCAATGTTCAACTTTTGCACGAGTATCTCCACTGGAGTGTAGAGTAGAGTATAGCACCGGTACAAAAGCCACACCACCGACGGTAGTACAGTAAGGAGTAACTCAAGCATGGCCAGTATAAATATGCCGTAACTATATCTATGCGTATCTACAAGAGTTTATCGATATATATAACTTAATATATATACAAATGTGTCCGTACCCAGGTCTCTGTGTAGTAGGAAACCAATTGGCTTTTCTCTTTTTCGCTTTGTGATTCTTCACTTGCAAAATTTCCACTGGTAAAAATTTGCTTTTCGCGATCGCGATCCACTGAATGGTAAAATCTCATGCGCCAGAGATGAAATTGCTGCACAATGGGGCAACAAAGGTAGGCATGATGCAGAGCGGAGGAGAGGAGAAGATAGAGGAGGTGAGAGTTTATAAGTGTGGTGCGCAGGGTTTGAAGGGTGTTGAATGCCGTAGTGTAGTGCTGGTGTCTACGTCTAATGTTGGTGAAGTCAGCTGAAATCTGGGCTAGGTAGGCTAGGTAGGCTAGGCTTAATATCAGTATCAGTATTGTTCGTAGCGCACTATTTTACGCTATTTTTTTTTTTTTTTTCAGTGGTGCTTATACATACCTTCTCTTATACCCATCCTGTCAATTGCTCCCGCTGATGGTATTTTCTTCTTTCGTTCTTTTTGATTTCATCTTTCTTTCAGATTTTATCTTTTGATTTCAACTTTCTTCTTTCTTTCCTTCTATGCAGAATCTAGGCTAGGCTGAATAGCAGTATAGTTCGTAGTGCACTATTCTACGGTGGGTTCTCAATAGTGCTAATGCATAATAATAATTATCTAATCAATCATATCCTGTCAATTGGCTCTAGGGTGTATTTTCTGTAAATTTTTCATTTTTTATTCTTAATTTGTTCTTTTCTTCGGTCCTTTATTCTTTTTTCATTCCTTTCTTCATTCATTCATTCATTCCTTCTCCACTGAGTCTAGGCTAGGCTCCAATATTAGTATTGTTCGTAGCGTACGATACTATTCTACACTGCAATCTTATGATGCTCATACGTAATTATCTATTAATTCACATCCTGTCACTTAGGTCTATGCTACTGTTTTCCTTATTTTACTTCTTTCATTCTTTTCATCTTTCTTTTTTTTTTCTTCATCTTCATTAATAGTGCTTGATTCACACTAGTTCATTTTACTTCTGCTTGCTCTATTTCCTCTATCATCATGTTCACATCTCTCTCTGCCTCTAACCCAATTGACCCATCTATTTCACCTTGCTTAATTACTTTGAGGCTTCCAGAAAGCGCCTGATCCAATGATTAATATCAAGTTGAAAAGCCCCAATAAGAAAAATGGTCCGAGTATCCACTTATCACTCCAGGACCCTCCAATAATGGTGAGTAGAAGAATACCCACCCCTCCGAACAAGCTGTAAACTCCACTTATACTTCCAATAGAAACCAGGTCTCTTGTGTCCTTCACGACGCTACTAAGCAAGCTCATACTACTCATGATAATTCCAATTTGCGATATTCCAATTGAACTAACCATCACGAAGCAAATCCAGTTTCGTGGGTCGTATAATTCGTCAACGTTGAGACTATGCACACATATACCGAAGCAACCTAAAAATCCAAAAAGTCCACTTAAAAACAAGCTTCTATATTTACCAACTCTTTCGTTATCAATAAGTAATCCCCAAAATGGTGAGGCGCACAAGGCAATCGTCTGTGAAACTCCAGTAAGAATAGCAGCGAATATATAGCCATCGTAACAAGTTTCCTTGGAATGATTTGAACTCGAGGAAGATGACGAGCACTTTCCAGTCTTAGAATAGAAGTTATAAACCAATAAAGGAATGAAAATGGATGTCAAAACGGTAGTCAGTCTAGCAACCAAAGATCCTACGTAGGACAATTGAATTCTAGGGTCATGCTGCGACACATGTAATCCATGTAACAAAAGCTGAAAATAATTTGTGCTGACGGATGGAGGGCTCGATGGAATTTCCTTGGAGTACAAGAAAAAGTATAGTATCACCCCAATGACTATAGATAATAATCCTAAAATGACATAGGAAAGCTTTATAGTATCACTCATGGTTAAACTTGTAAAATAATCTTGAAGCTTAGCAGGCATCGTTAAGAAGAACGAAACGGAGAAGATAGCACCGAGCCCAGTGGAAATTCCTATCATGGCAGCATATTTTCCTGTTGACTTTGAGCCATCATCGTCATTCCCTCCCGAACTTGGTTCACCTAGAAGATGCAAAGTTTCAGGATCAATATTTGCAGATGTTCCCAGGAAGACTCGGATACTCTCATTCTCACGAATTCCATACCTAAATCTTCTTAACGTAGTAAGTAAGTCGAAGTCGGAATTGGAAATTTCTGTGAACATCACAGTAACCATACTCATACAAGCTATAACACCAACAGCAAACAAACTCCGATACAAAATTAAATCGGGAAAAACCTGTGTTGCAAATTTCCCATAGCAAATTAAACTGATTCCGATAAGAAGAAATCCAACCAGAACGGTAATCTTGGATCCACATGCCTTTTTGGCAGATATTTCATCTGAAAGTGCTCCAATCAAAGGAGCGGATATAATTGATGTCAATTCATCTATAAATCCTAGTATACCAATAACATGTCCTATATTATCTTTGTGTTTGAATCCCAACACTTCTGAGAGATAAAATGGTTGCGTGGAAGACAAGAACACAACAAAAGCAATGCAGGAGAATGCAGAGAAGTTGAATGCTGCAGCATTGGCCAAGGTATAGTTGAAATATAAGGGCATCTGGTCAGACAATTGAAGAAATCAAAACACAATTGAAGAAAACCTGAAACGAAAAGACCTGAAAGAAAAGAAGTACCGTAATCGCCAAACCTCAACCTTCTTGATTTTTCAGTTTCTTAGTCTCACGGAAGTTTTTGTGGGGGAGCCGATTGAAAATTAAGCGAGAAAAATAAAGTTGCTCCGGTTAAGAAGTAGATCAAATTGATAAGTGAGATAGCTACCAGAGAGCTAAGGGGATTGGTACGACTGGGAGCTGGAATATACTTGTATGTTACTGCTTGCAGATAACCGATTAGTAAAAGAATTTTGGAGAAGAATATAAGTTCAAAGTGTAGTTGAGGTCGGTGGATTGACATTTTAGGTGAAGAGCGTTCTGTGCAAGCGCGGGCAGACCCACCTACGGAAAGAGTATTAAAGAGTAAAAGAAAGGGAAATGAATGCGCAGCAGCGAAAGAGCCAACGAACTCACGACTGAGCAAACGCTTGATCCAAGAGAAGAATGAACAGCGCGTCGAGAATGAACGAAAACGTATTGCTAGGCACCCACTTTGGAGGATAGTATCTCAAAATAGCGTTTCAGAATATCAGAATAGTGTCTCAAGATAGTGTGTGTCTCAGAACACCACTCGCGAGTGGAATGTCGCACGGAATACTGCTCGTGCTACTTCTGATAATAAATAAGCTAGCGTCTCGACGTCAAGATCTCTTCTGAAACTACGTCTGTCAACCGCCTCGAGTACCGTCGACTCACTTGGCAGTTCTAGCGTCCCAGCGTCAGAATCTCTCGCTAGCTACAGCGCCTAGCAGCCAGGAAAAATAGCAGGTAGCCGCTAAGCCAGGGCCTTAAATCCGATCTATTGGCTGCAAATTTCGCACCTCCAATGGCTGTGCGCATATAAATTGGACTACGAATTCCAGATAGCAACCAGAGAATAACGAGAGACGACGTAGTGAATTATCACCTAGAGAATGCGCTAAACTCCTTTTTGCTTCCATATGCTTTGCTTAGCTTTGGTGTAGTTCAACATTCACCAGCTCACTCCGAAAGTAGTGTAGCACCTAGCCCACTTTGGTCTACCTTTCTCCCCTTCAGCTTACCGACCGCTACCTCACGCTTTGCGTCCGCTACCTCACGCTTTGCGTCTCGTATATTTTCACCACTAACTTTTCTCAGCCGCCATCGTGTTGACACAAATTTACTTCCTTCCCCAGCCAGAGCGCCAAAATTTGGTTTATTTTGTTGGCGCCTTTCAATCCCACGTGCAAATGAGTGCAGTCATCAGACCTGCACACTGCACCTTATCTGCAATAAATACAAACACCAGATCAGTGTCACTGGAGGAAGCATGTGTATTCATCCTGGAATTGCAGTTATTCTTATCTGGAAGCAGTAGAGAGTGACAACCTATAGTTCACCGACTCAGCAACTACTTTATAGTGCTCGAAATGTCCTCCAAGTCTAGCGAAAGCGCAGTTGAAGACACAGAGAGAGCAGGCGTTGCTACATCGTCTGCAGACTCTGTTGCTTCCGTTGATGACTTTGAATCAGATTCATCTATAAGCGACGAATACCTTAATGCAACGCCGATATCGAGGTCCGACTCTCTCAGCTCGATCCCATACCTCGATCTTAACAAGATGCTCTTGTTCTCAGACTTCGATTTTGGAATGGGGCTCGATCAGGTTAGTGACTCTGCTAGGAAGAAGTTGAAAGATATGAAGAAGAAGACCCAGGAAAAGCTTCAGAAATTGAAGTTAGATTCAAGGGTGCGTACCTCACTGTCTATGGGAGGCTCTGGATCTCCGAAATTCTCCTTGAATGATGTAGTGGACAACGCAGAACTAGCAAGGCTCCAAGAATCCATAATACTAAGGTTGAGCAAATTCGAGAAGCGTATTGATGCCAACTTGCAGTCCTCCGCCACTGAGAAGTTGTTTTACGCCATTGCCGTGTTCTTGATAGCTGTGTGTGGGTTCATAATCGGAAAATATCCAAAATGGTTTCATATCTTCCACACCGTGTTATTCTGTGTGCTTATGCCAATAAGGTTCTACACCTACTTCAAGCAGTCCTTCCAGTACTATTTGGCTGATCTTTGCTACTACGTCAACCTACTTTTGATCTTGTTTATCTGGGTATTTCCTGAGTCCACCTCTCTATTCATTTCTGTGTTTTCCTTGACCATGGGGACCTTATCATTTGCAGTAATCACATGGAGAAACTCACTTGTTTTGCACCTGATTGAGAAGACAACCTCATCCTTCATCCACATCATGCCGCCAGTGTCTATGTTTGTTATTGTGCATGAAATGCCAAAGGACTTTGTCGCCCAAAGGTTCCCAGCTGTCGCAAATGTTGAAAGTTGGCATTTCATCAACGGGATTCTCTGGACCTCCTTCTATTACACCATATGGCAGGTGTGTTACCATTACTTCATTACCATCAAGAGAAAGGAAAAGATTGCCAGTGGAAGAGTTACATCTTTCAGCTACTTGAGGAAAAAGAATGCCAACAAGGGGATCGGAAAATTTGTGAATTCACTTCCATACAACTGGATGCAAATTGGGGCGTTCACTCTCATTCAATTTGGCTACCAGATAGGTACGATGTTATTTTGTCCTATCTGGTTCAGATACAAGCATGCCTGTGGGGCATTTATGTGTTTAATTTTCGTCGTAGCTTCCTATAACGGTGCCACATACTACATAGATGTGTTTGGTAAGAGATTGGATAAGGAAGTGGAGAGGTTGAAGAGAGAAGTGATAGAATTGAGGGAAAGGCAAAGCAAGCAGGATGAAAGTGCTCCCGTTGGAGAACCCAAGGTAGAAGAATTAAGTTCAAAGTGATAGCAGTTGATATCCCCCGACCATATAACGACGAAACATACGTGACAGCTAACACCAATGAGGCTTGCTGTCGGCTGAAATGAATTATTTTGATGTATTATATAAATTTAGTAGAACCTTCAAATGATAACAGAAGAGTCGATTAATGAACATGAATATCCCCTTCTACACCACCGAGTGCATTATACACATAGTGCTGTAGTTAGCAGCCATTGGACTGCATATAACACAAGACTCTATATACTTCAAGACTATATTAGGATCTTGAAAAGACACACACTAGCGCATTGTTTCTCAGAAAAGAGCAAGGCTCCTCCTTATTGAGTCTGCTATGAGCCGAACTACCCTCGAAAAGGCCAACCACCACCGTTTTAGCAGCTTTTGGTGCCTATATCTGAGCTCCCCAACTGCCCCATGTAAGTAACCTGCATATAAAACGGTACCGAATCCGGGTAATTTTTCGTTTTCTGGCACTGCAAAAAAAAAAACTCAACTGAAAAATGCCAGAGTACAGACACATAGACCCAGTGTTATCGGTTGTATGATGATTAGAAGCGTTATTGGACTTCCAAATCCTGTAAGGATAGCGTCTTCCATAAGACTCTTGTCCTCTAGTGCGAAATGCTTAAAAGGAAAGACCGATTCCTCCACTAGTTCGGCCAGTTCGTCTACCGATGAAAAAGTCGATCAGCATTTGAAATTTTTATCGCAGTTTTACACACCAGATTTACTTCAAAGCATTCAAATTACTGAGTCTCTTTTAACTCCACAACAATTGCTTGCTATACAGAAGAGAGGGCACGAAGGGAAGGCCAAGTCACCTCCAAAGGATTTGCATAACGACTACTCTCTCAACGACCCCAAATGGTCGGAGTCTATAGTGTACCCTAACCAAGCTTCGAACAAATCGCCGTATTTCAAGATCCCGTTAAACCAAGCCCCGGACAGAACCGACTTGGTGTTGAGATTCAAGGACGCTGGAGCAGGCGACGACAAGAAGAACAACAGACAGAACAGAATCAACGAAAGACAAGAAACCGTCAAGGGATTGTCCAATTTGACTGGCTTAGAACCTGCTTACATCAACAGATTGTACGTCAGACCTATTGTCATGAAGAGAGTTTCATGTCAAACGTCCAAGGGTAAAATTCCCAACTTCTATGCCTTAACTATTGTCGGAGACAAGAAGGGTATGATTGGGTTAGGTGAAGGTAAGTCGAGGCACGGTATGAGAACCGCATTGGGGAAGGCTCACTGGAATGCAGTGAAGAACTTGACCCCAATATCGAGGTACGAAGACAGAACCATCATTGGAGATATTGACTACAAGTTCCACGCAGTGAAGTTGTTCTTGAAGTCTGCACCTTCTGGGTTTGGATTGAGAGTCAACCCAAACATTTTCGAGGTGTGCCAGGCTGCAGGTATCAAGGACTTGGCCGGTAAGGTGTATAAGTCCAGAAACCCCATGAATGTCGTCAAGGGATTTGTAGAAGCGTTGACTACGCAACGTAGCTTAGAGGACTTGGCTTCAGGCAGAGGTAAGAAGTTGGTGGACTTGAGAAAGGTATACTACTCTGCCTAGACTGGTGTAGAGAAGGAGAGAAAACAAGAACGAATAAAAAGTAAAAAAAAAAAGAAAAGAAAAGAAAAAACGAACCACTTACAGTTACACCCCTTGTAAATACATAAATACATAAATACTACATAATACATACGTACATATCAGATATAACCGTGGTACACCGTGGTACACCGTGGTACACCGTGTAATGTGGGTAAGCTCGCTCTACTAAGACCCCCAGGCATGTTGCAACTTCGTCGTGTGGCGCCCACTTGCACCGTCTATATGCAGGTCGCAATGGTCCTCCCACAAACTTTTTCTGTGGTCTCTGAAAGGCAATCGTTAAGCGGGCTGTAGGAGTTACCGAAGGGACTTCTCTTCTGTATTACTTTACTAGACATTATTATTTATTTATTGATACACATCGAATATGGTAGTCGACACAACGTACTATGATTTGTTGAGCATTCAGACGACAGCCACATCGTTAGAAATCAAAAAGGCCTATCGTAAGGCGGCGATCAAACTACACCCAGATAAGAATCCAGATGACCCCACTGCCGCAGCCAGGTTTCAGGAAGTTGGTGAAGCGTACCAGGTGTTGTCAGACGAAACGTTGAGATCCAAGTATGATAAATTTGGGAAGCAGGAGTCCGTTCCTAAGGAGGGTTTTGAAGATCCACTGGAGTTCTTTTCTATGATCTTCGGGGGAGAAGCATTCAAGGAATGGATCGGAGAATTGTCGTTATTGCAAGAATTGTCGAAAAGTGCTGAGTTATCAGGGTACGGAGACGAAGACGATAAGAAGAAGGAGGAAAACAAAGAGAAAGAGGAAGCAAGCGCTGGTAAGACGTCAGGGTCTACATTTGGTAGTACTCCTGCCTCATCTGCAGCACCAGCTTATTCCAGTTCGGAAACCTTTGGGACATCAGCACCTACTGGTGCTTCTGAGGGTGGTACTTCCCACACTGGACCTGCAGCCACTGCTACCGATTACGAGTCCAACCTATCAAGCTCAACCAAAAAACTCTACCTTGAGCACGAACCTTCTACTAGCGATTTGACCACAGAACAGCTCGAGGAAAAAAGGAGAAAGGAGGAGTTGGAGAAGTTTGAGGAAGAGTGTAGATTGAAAAAAATCGAAACTAGAAGAGAATTAGCTGAAAAATTGGTTACAAAGTTGTCATTATTTACAGAAACGGATATGAAACCAGACGTTGCAGAATCGTTTAAGAAAAAGTTACAGTACGAAGCTGAATCCTTGAAGATGGAGAGTTTTGGTTTAGAAATATTGCATACCATTGGTTCTATATATAAGACTAAGCTGAAGATCTTTTTGAAGAATCAGTCATTTTTAGGATTTGGTGGATTATGGTGGACAATGAAGGAAAAAGGTGGAGTGGTTAAGGATACTTTCAAAACCATTACTACTGCCTTAGATGCTCAACTGACGATGCAAGAGTATGCTAAGATGCAAGAGGATAACGAGTATCACACCAAGCATGACTTGGAGCAAGAGCAGAAGGAAAGAGAAGACAAGGCAAAAATTGAAGAAATTGTAGAGCAAACTGAAGTGAAGATGGAAGAGCTCAAGAATAACAGTAGCAGCAATGGTGAAGCAAACAGCACTGGCGCTAACAAAAAGGAGAAGGAAGAAATAATACCAGAAAAGCACACAGCTGAAGAGTTGGCTGATATGGAAAGATATTTGATGGGAAAGGTGATAGCAGCTGCATGGTTGGGGTCCAAGTTTGAAATTCAAAGTACAGTAAGAGGTGTATGTGATGTCATTTTGGGCGATGAAGAAATCCCATTAGAGAAAAAGATAGCCAGAGCAAAAGCTTTGCAGTTGGTTGGAGAAGTATTCAGCAAGGTTACCAGAACGGAAGACGAGGATGAAGAAGCTAGAATATTTGAAGAGTTGGTTGCAGAGGCATCCAAAAAGAGAGAAAAGAAAAAGAAGAAGACGAACACTGAAGAAGCTACGGAGGAAGCTAAATAAGTATATAGAGAACCCAGTATCAACACAAGTATAAATAATAATGATAATACATACTAATACTAATACTAATATTTATACTAATAGACAATTAAATGAAAAAAAAAAAAATATACTCGTTCTACTTCTAGTTGTGCCTATATTGGTGTAGAAACAAACTGGGGTATACATCTCATCGCGTACCCCCACACGCCAAATCTCAATATCAGTACAATTTTTGGTTGAACCTCCGCACCAACGAAGAACTGAGATTGGTGAAGAGGTGGCTCGCTAAGTGACTCTGGTTCGGACAGTATTGGCAATGAAATTGACCCGTAAAATCAGGCTTGATCCAAGCACCAACTCTAACTATGCAGAGTTCAATGTTAAGCACGCAACACTTGACATCAAAGTGCATTTCGACAGTAAGAAAATCGCTGGTAAGGTTATCTACAAGCTCTCAGCAAAAAGACCGAACACCACGGAAATTATCTTAGATAGTTCTTATTTGGAGATTGTTAAAATTTGGATAAACGATCTCCCGACTGATAACTATAAATTGGGCGCTAGAAAGTATTCTGCTTTGGGGAATGCCTTGCTGATTGCATTACCTACAACCTATAACGATGATTTCACGTTAACAATTCAGTTCGCAACTACGTCCCAATGCACTGCGTTGCAATTTCTCGATAGAGAAGCCACCGATGGAAAGACGGCACCTTATTTGTTTTCGCAGTGTCAACCAATTCATGCCAGAAGCATGTTCCCCTGTTTTGATACTCCTGCTGTGAAGTCTTCTTATACTATGTTGGCTGACTCATCGTACTTCACTTTGATGTCTGGGAGACTTCAGGAAGCGAAGAAAGACGGGAAGTGGCACTTCGAACAACCGGTGCCGATTCCTTCGTATCTCGTAGCCATTGCATCTGGGGATATCGAATCTGAACCAATTGGTCCCAGATCAAGAATCTACTCGGAGAAACCTGGCCTTCAAAACTGTAAGTGGGAGTTTGAGCAAGATACGGAAAACTTCATTAAGATTGCCGAAAAGTTGATCTTTGAATATGAATGGTTGAAGTTTGATGCGCTAGTTCTACCATCGAGCTTCCCCTATGGAGGTATGGAAAACCCCAACATAACCTTTGTGACGCCTACATTAATTAGCAAAGACAGATCTCAAGTGAAGGTAATGGCCCACGAGTTGGCACATTCCTGGCTGGGTAACTTGGTGACCAATTCCTCTTGGGAACATTTTTGGCTTAATGAAGGCTGGACTGTTTACTTAGAGAGACGAATCTTAGGTCGTGTTGCCGCTGCAAATGCCAAAGAAGATGGTAGGAGCAATTACGAAGAAGTTGGTGAACAAACCAGACACTTCGCCTCGATTATTGGGTGGAATGCTTTAGTAGAAAGCTGTAAAGCTTCAAATTTCACTAGCTTAATCTGGGACCTACTGAATGGAGCTGATCCAGATGCAGCCTTCTCTAGGATTCCGTATGAAAAGGGTTTCAATTTTATCTTCTACCTCGAGACTATTCTTGGTGGTACTAAAGAGTTTGACCCATTTATCCCACACTATTTTAAACAGTTCCAGTACAAATCGTTAGATTCATTTGAGTTCATTGATGCATTATACGATTTTTTCAAGAAAGATTCAAAGAAGAAAGAGATATTAGATTCAGTCGATTGGGACACTTGGTTGTATGAAGAGGGCTTACCTCCAGTACTCCCACAATTCGATACCACTTTGGCTGATGAATGCTACAAATTAGCCAATAAGTGGATCGAGCAAAGTTCAAGAGGAAACTACGACTTTTCAGAAGTGGACATTGCCACGTTTGATTCCAGTCAGCATGTGCTCTTCTTGGAAACCTTAGAAGGAAAATTAGCTAAATCTGATAATACGGTTGACTTGGTGGGCCAGCTTCAACGTGCTTATCCATTCTACTCTCAGAGCAGTAACGGAGAGGTCAAGTCCCGCTGGAGCTCATTGACAATTAAGTTCGGAAACTTCTCAAGTTCTGATGAGTCAATTGAGCTCTTTGCAAATTGGCTAGGAACCGTAGGTAGAATGAAGTTTGTTAGACCTGGTTACAGATTATTAAGAGATTACGTATCTGAAGAGTTTGCAATCAGTACATTTAGAAGATTTGAGAAAAGTTATCACCCTATTTGCTGGGCAATGGTAAAGAGTGACTTGAAGCTCTAAGCTGCCCGAAAACAGAGTTAATTTATATACGGACATCTAATAGTGTCAATAATATACACATACATCTAAAAATACTGGCTGTTTCGGCTCTATTGTAGTAGTGGTGTTCTTCTTTGTTTATGCATTGCGAATCCCATACGTAATTTTATGTTTAGGTGTGGCTCATGCTCGACTTATAAAAGGGCTATACTCGGAAAACTTTTCGAGTTACAAGTGAAGTATAACGTCACTTTTGACAGCAATTGAGTATGGAATACGTAACTCGTCTCCTCCCGGACAAACCTGAAGTTGCTACAACTTCAAAGTACCAAGGTCTCAAGTATGAACATCCAGTGAAATATTACGATTTCCATGTTTACTACTACGATAGAATTGCAAGTTCCAAGTCGGAGTCGGACAGCCTTAGGGCAAAGCTACTCGAGGATTTCCCAGATGATGCGGCGGATGGTTCTATCATAGTGAAAATATTACCAGATGATAAGGTGATCGGACCACATGCAACTCAATTTTGGGAAGCAGATGTAGCTAGACCAGAGGTTTTCGTCAGATTATTGAGCTGGTTCCAACTTCACCACGGCGGGTTATCAGTATTGATCCACCCTCAGACTGGTGACGATGTTTTAGACCACACCAACAGAGCATTATGGCTCGGCGATAGGTTGCCTGTCTTTACTGATATTTTTCCTCCTCAAGTGGAAGGTAAGCAAGGAATTACTGAATATGGGGTAAGAAGAGGTCAGAAGATCCCAGTCGACAAGTTTGACCAGCATATCAGCGTACCCCACAAAGACTGAAAAATGCGAAGTAGCACTGGTGATTTCGCGAGTTTCTTTTTTTTCTTTTACAAGCGTTGGTGGTTTCTATACCTGATAAATATACATATATATTAGCTATATGAAGTAGTTTCTAGTTTTCCTTTTTAATCTTATCCAATCTCTTTTGATGATCTTGAATAAATTTAATGACTTTTTTCCTATTGTCTCTCAATATATCGTTACCAATGACGTCTATACCATCTAATTTCATCAATTGCTTCAACAACATTTCCTCAAAATACTTGAATTTGTACTCTCTATCGTCTTTCAGTAATGTCTTGTAATTTTCTATGTAATCATCAATCTTTGGCACATACTCCAGTTCCACATAGTCCAAAGTGCCTTGAATGTCCAAGTTTGCTCTTTGGGCCTTTGTGACCTTCTTTTTCGGCTTCTTATTTTTCTTACTTTTTGTTTTCGGAGAAGACGCAGAACTCAAATAGCTCCCGATGAAGAGTAACGTGGTTACAGCGGTAATCGAGATAGTTACAGTAGCTGGAGTGACCCTAAAGTTCACGAAATCGTCCACAATTTCGTCTGCAGTGATACTTTTCAATGACTCCACATAATTTTCAATTTTGTTGATATGGGAAGGTATGTCCCTTTTGAAATTATGAACCCATTCACTTGCTTGGTTCATTTTTTACTTTGTCCGGGGAAAGAACTGCTGTAGCTTCAGTTTGACACAGAAGGTTTTTTTTTTTTTTTATGTTCGTTGAATTGTGTTGAAGTTACACAAAACTGATGATCTCGAGAAGCACAACCAATGAAGAAGTGGCATGTGGAGAAACTCTCTGGAACGATTGAGCTGAAGAAAGGAGGACCTTGGTGAAAAAATCCAGAAGTGAAAGGTAAGTACGCTTGAAGATTTCTGGTTCAATTTCTTTTGAAGCTCAAAAACTTATAGTCCAGTCATATCCAAGTGTGAACTCTTAAACTGCATAACAGAAATGGGTGCAAAAACTAGAGCAAGCACTGACAATGCACCCTCCGATGTACTACTTTCAGCTCCTACGGTGGAATATATGCAATTGTCTATATTATTGGGCTATATGAATAGTTCTCCGCTGAAGTTTCTGCTTGGTTTCAAGTTTTCCAATGCATTCCTCTTACCCTCTCTATTCACAATGGGTGGTGCCTTCTTCTTGAAGTCTGGGATGGTTGCTTGGGCAGGGTCAGGTGTAGCTGAAGATAAAGATGTAGTTGAAGAAGGTTGAGTATTTGTGGATCCAGAAGTTCCGCTCTTTTTCATGCTTCCTGGTAGTTTTCTCTTGGGTCCTTTACTTCTGGTCTTGGTAGCATGGCTCAATTTGGCACCTGCTGTATCTAATCTCTTCTCATTTGACTTACTGGCTGATTTTGGAAATGTTGACGAGCGATGAACACCTGGAGAGGAACTCTTTTCTTCTTTACCATCTAATCTTGGGAGGGTGTTCGCCCGCAATATATTTGACAACTTATTTTGAAAAGAAGCAGAAGGATCTTCCCTTGGCTTCTCTTCTTCAGCTTCCTTTGCTGCTACTACATTATGACGACTCTTTAAATCCTCGAATTTCTTTAACGCTTCTGTTTTAGGTGCAGCCGGCTTTGCTGGTGGCTTTGCTGCCTTTAAATTTGCCAACGCTTTTAATCCTTCGGGCTGATCTTCCTCCTTCCGACCAAGAGTTGGTCTTGAGTTAAGCTTTTTCATCTGGCTCCTCAATATCTCCGAATCCTTCTGTTCGTAGCTAATGACAGATGGTCTTGCAGGCTTGGCAGGTTTAAGTGGAGGCGTAGCACCATCTTTTGCTATTTCTGATTTGCCTTTAAAATTCTTTGCTTTATCCAATTGCTCTCTAATCATTTTCGAATCCTGTTCTTCGTATTTTAAAATCGATGACTTTGTTGGTGACTTATCAAGCAGAGAGGTTAGCGATGAGTTTTTCATTCTATCGAACCTTTTCAAATATTCTAATCTGTCATCCTCTAGAGTTTCACCAGAACCCCCTGCCTTTATAGGCGACTTCCTTAATTTCTCGAGTTGTGAAAGAGCTTCACTCTTCGGTTCCTCAACTTCAAGTTTATTGAGCAGTTTTTCAAACTTACGCTCTGGCTTAGGAGGCTTCAGAGCTTCAGGTTTCTTTTCTTGTGTGGACTCGAGAGCGCTCCTAGCAGGTGAGGGAGCAACAGGAGGGTTCCGATTCTTAACAACTATGATGCCTCTGTTAGGTTGTTCCGGGGATTTATTAACGGCACTGTCTAGCCAGGACATTGAGTTCCGTTCCCTTTTTGGTGACAGCTGAATGATCTTTATGGCATTGGGACCATTATCCTGAGGGATATACTGCTGTTTGTGCGTTGGCGAAGTGCTAGCACCACTATTAGAGTAGGTGCTAGAATTGCGAGCACTACCTGTGGCCGCAATGATATCAAGATGCCTGGGTTTCACAATTGACTGTGCTTGGACAGTTGAAGCGGTTTTGGAGTTATCTAACGACGAGGAAAGCCACCCGCCGTTGCTGGACCTAATTGGGACTGGTGGTTTGGACTTCAAGGGCATGTGATCGTCAAGGTTCCTCACTCCTCCTGTTTTGATGCTTTTCTCCATGTGAGTAAACGAATTATAGGTTGGTTCCGGGTTAGCTTGTTTATTCAGGGATTTTGCCTGGAAATTGTACGTAGATGGTGCCTGTACTTCCTTGAGTATGTCATACGTGGATCCCAGGGCTCCCCTCGGAGCAACAGAAGACTTCGGTGCTACCGGTCTCACCAAGTCTAAATTGAGATCCACCAAGTCTGCACTTTGTTTTGGCTCTACGTCTGCGTGCCTAGGCGGTCTCTCAGGCCTGCTAGATTTCCTCGTCGGTAATCGAGGCGCTGATCCCTCCTCATTGTCGACATATGTCGGTCTATCTGGTCTGCTTGGCTTCCTCATCGGTAACCGAGGTGCAGGTCCCTCGTCCCTATCGATATCTGCCCGTCTGAGTGGCATTGGGGGAGGTTTGTCTTCAGACCCCGCCGTCATGCCAGTGCCAGATCTGGAGCCCAGCCTATTGAACTTGATCAGTGGGATATCGGTCAACTTTTTGTTGGACACATCGGCTGCAAGTGGCCTGGCAGGTTTCGGAGGTGGCCGCACGGGCGACACACTGTTCAGCTTCGACCTTAACTCATCGATATTTCGTTGCAACTGCCTCTGTCTTTGCGAGTCCTCCAGCAACTTCTGCTGCGACATCAGCGACAACAGCGATAGAAAGTCATCAACCTTGGACGACGAAGGAGAGGACATAAAGAGCTGCGGGAAAAGCGAATGGTGAACTGAATGATACGAAGAACTAAACGAGCAACAAAAAGCAAGAATAAACAGATAAAGAAGACCCTACCTGCCACTGCTTGGGCCACTCCTCTGTGTCGTGGATCATTTTTCAATCGTGATCTTTTCTTAGTGTGTTTACAGATTGGTATCCGCACGACTGTGCCGATATGGATCGCATGGGGAGTGGCAGAGTGGTGGGTGTGTAGCGGTGTACAATGGTGTACGGCGGTGTACAGTGGCATATAGTGGCATATAGCCATAGAAAAGGAAGCAGACGCAGACGAAGAAGCCCTAGATTCTGTAGATTTCAAATTCAAAAGTAAAATATCAGCATCATTGGTAGTGTTTAGCTAGATGGCACCCTCAAATACACAGGCTCCTCCTATAATAGGGTCTACCAATTCCCAGCAGATCAAATTTGCGGCTATAATCTCCAGAGACGATAAACCATTGTACTTGCAAGCGTTCGAGCCGGATGTACCAAAAAGAAAGAATGCTAACAACTTTCTTAAGTACAATTTCCTCTCCCACATGTCGCTAGATGTGTTTTCTTCATCGTCCTCGCTCAATCTTAGAGAGCAGCAGAAGGTAGGCGAGAACGATGCGTTGCTTTTGTTCATACAAGACGGTATAACGGTGTACGGGTACGAAACAAACACCAACTTGAAGATCATCGTGGGATTGGGGGTCTATGAGGAGTACGATGATAGTGAAAACGGAAACGAAGACGAAAAGGAAGATGAACGTGAAGGTGGTTCAGATAAAGAAGCTCTAGGTGGCGCTGATTTGGAGATAATAGAGAAGACGGGCCAGGCAGTGGACCGCAGAAACACCCTCAACAGCATCTTCTCTCAAATACACAAGAGCTACTTAAGAGTGATCTGTAATCCATTCACCAACTTGGCAGGGCACGATGATACTGTCTTGCAAACACCCACATTCGACAATGCGATAAAGAAGATTGTCAGTCAGTGGAATTAGGTGCCCAGGAGCACAATATACATACGCGCAAACCACAACTAGTATGTCCACATACATCTATATGTCCACTTTCACTAGCATATCCACTTTCACTAGTATATACGCTTTCATTAGTATATACACTTCCACTAGTAAGTCATATACATCTAGTACTAATATACGGAAGTTGGCTCTACATGAATATAGTATATTCCTCTACAACTGGTATATCATTTTCACTAGCAAGTCATATACATCTAGTACTAATGTACAGAAGTTGGCTCTACATGTATATAGTATGTCATACATCTGGTACTAATATACGGAAGTTGGCTCTAAATGTATATAGTATGTCATACATCTAGTACTAATATACAGACGTTGGCTCTACATGTATATAGTATGTCATACATCTAATACTAATACAAGTTCACTCTACATGTATGAAGACTAAGCGTATCAAAATAATATACACATATATTACTTTTCCTATTCTATATTCCTCTTGTCCTACATACTTATCCACTTCCTACTTCAATATAACGTTAGCACCTCTCAACCCTAAATACTCTTGGTCAACACCTGGTGGCATGTTACGGATAACTTCCTGGTAAATTTCCACGTTATAGAACCGAAGCCCGTTGGCCGGATTCTTGTACTTACCTGGTAACCCAGTGATGTCACAGTAATGCTTTCTAGGCTTTAAGCTGGGAGGAGCACCAACAGAGGTATACGTTGGGGTATCAAACTTGATATTTTCCTTTGATTGCAAGTACTTTACTTCATCACTGATCACTTGCTTTGTAGGCTTGTAGCGTCGCGTGGTGGTCTTGTACGGACGCTTGAAGGTATGGGGCCTGGTTGTTATGTTTGAAAGTAAGTGGATCTCTTCGCTAGTAGAGAAACCTGAATTCGAAGGCGTAGTAGACATTGTCGATAGAGCTGTGGGGTGTATAGTACGAAGGTTCCTTCCACGAGTTGCTCTGACCGTGAAAAATCCACATCGGTATACCTGATATTGGTTATATGCAGGACTTTGTTATAATGGTATAGTATATGCAGGATCTACTGTCAGACATGGTTGCAGGTTCTTCTAGGTTGGGAGAAGTATCTTCACCCAGCTTACGCTAAAGAAGTATCTATCAAAGGTCTATTAGATCTAAATAATAATATATTCTCCTTTTTGTTATATCTTTACTTCTGTTTTTTTATTTTTTTCAGCTCAAGTTTTGAGTAATGCCCTTTTCATCGTCTTTTTAATGGCAGCATGGCTTGGCTTCAATGATATGTCCAGCGTCCATTTCTTCGTCCAATGAATCATTCCTATCAATTTTGATAACCTTGTCAGGATTCAAAATACGTCTTGGATCAATGGCTAGCTTCAATTGACGCATAAAATCAATTGTAGTAACACCAAGCTCCTCTTCCAAGTATCTTCTCTTACCGATGCCTACACCGTGCTCACCGGTGCATGTACCTTCCAACTTCAAGGCCCTATGTACCATTCTATCAACGAGTACTTGTGCTTTGGCATAATCTTTGGAGTTGTACAATAAAAGGAAATGGCAATTACCGTCTCCAATATGACCCATTACAGAAAATTTCTTATTGAATCCCAGTTCAACCAAGTCGTTGTTGGTATCTCTAATCATTTCTGTCAAGTTAGAGATTGGAACCGCAACATCGGTTGTCCACACTTGAACGTCTTCCTTATCTTCTAATATCTGGCTACCGTAGTCAATAGTGGACCATAATCCGTTTCTACGAGCGGCCCATAAAACTGCATTTTCTTCGGCATTTGAAGAAGACTCAAACTTAATTAAGTTGTTCTTCTTGGATACTTCCTTGACAAGGTTCACCTGTTCAGTAATACTTTCTTTGGTTGGTCCCCCGAGCTTGAAAAATAATGTAGGCTGTTCAAGAAATTTCTTCTGGTTTTCCCCCTGCGCCAGATTCACAAAGGAAACCATAGTTGAGTCCAAGATTTCAATTGCATTGGGCTGCAATCCGCTCTTGGAAATGATGTACTGAGCGGTAGCTGCTGCATCTGCGATTGTTGGGAAGCTTGCAATACTAACTAACTCTAATTTAGGGCGAACGTGAAGTTTCAATGTGGCCTCGGTGATGACCCCCAAAGTTCCTTCCGACCCAATAAATATTCTTGTAGTATCGTAGCCTGCACTGGATTTACGTGGTCTTTGCTTGGTCTTGATAATAGTACCATCGGCCAAAACTACAGTCAAGTTGATGACATTTTCCTTCATGGTACCGTACTTGTAAGCATTGGTACCACTACAGGACGAAGCTACCATACCACCAATTTGAGCGCCAGGACCTGGGTCTGGACCAAACATTAAATACTTACCTTCGGGGTCGTTTAGCAAGTAAGAATCCAACTCTTGCCATCCCACACCAGGCTGTACCACTACGTCCAAATCATTCGGATGAAGAGCCAAAACCTGGTCCATTTGTGTAAATGATAGGGAAATAGTCCTTGGGCCCCTAGTATGCATGTAATGGCCCTCCAACGATGTTAAGCCTGAGCTTGGAACGACTGGAACTCTATACTTGTGGGCAATTTTCAAAATCTCCGATACCTCCTGTGTATTTTCTGGCAATACAATCACACCCGGCTTCTGAAGAGTAGGGTTTGGTGGATGGTGCGTGGAAAAGAACGAGTCTGCATGGCTGTCGATGCTAACTTCATCGGTGTTTATCCGATCTGATCCTACAATTTCTGCGATCAACCTAAGAGCTGTTCTGTAGTCCTCTTCATTAGCATACTCCGGCGTGTCCAAAGTTTGAAGCGGAGTAGTGGAAGCATCGATTGCTTCAACCTTTCCAGCGGCAGCATTTCTACTATAAAGCTCTGTTCCAACTACACCAGAAAGAAGCCCAACCCCGTAGATACCATATTTTTTCAAAGAAGATGCGCTTCCGGGTTTGGTGGTGCTGTACTGTCTACGAGTCAACGCTTGAGATACTCTCAAGCGAGGTACTTGCCTCAATCTTCTTATCGCTATCATTATTTCACTAAAACGCAGGAACAAAATACAATTTTTCTCCAGAATATAACAACTCTGCAAGCTATTGCGAAAAAAAGCTCTTACCTCTTCTCTTTATAGTAAGTCAATTGTGGAATGGATGCTTACCGGTGCTTCACCAATTGTATGATATGATGCAAGTCTTAGTAAGTCTCGAGATCGGAGCCACAGTTTTAAGGTGGTGAGTATGTGCGGACTCGTAAATTATGCGACAGACCGGTGCTACATGCAGTACCGGAAAACTTACTGGCGTCGGACATGGAAGAGGTAGAGTGCAAGAGAGGAGCTACGGTGTGGTTAAGTGAAATGCGGTTTGTTTATTGGTTATTATTTGTGTTGGTATGAAGGGAGTGGAGTTCCGTTTTGCTTCTTTGGGCTAAGAAAAATCTCTACAATTGGGGAATTGGCGGACTCATTGATGGTGGAGGTGGTTGCTGCACTGGGGCAGGCAGATTCGAACTGTTGAGAGCTGCAGTATCACTCAGTTGCTGTTGCACAGGTGGTACAGTTACGGCACCAGCTGCAGGTTTGGGCTGGTTGAATAATGGACAACTCTTCTTGGTCTTAATGTGTCCAAACGCACCACACGCTGTACATCTACGGTTTTTACTGTTACCCTTTCCGATACCCTTACCACCAATAGCATAAGTTCCATCTGGCAACAATACCGTATTCCCGTCAATGATGGTTCCTCCTTCTGCCAATGCAGCATGCAAAGCATCCTTGCTGGCCTTTCTACCTTTACCCAGCTTGAGACGCTTTTTCAAGTTGGCCAACTTTTCTTCTAATGCCTTCTTACGAAGCTTATTAAGAGCTTTATCGTTGGTAGGAATGATATCATCGACCTCGGCATTCTTCAATAAATCGTCTTCGATCTGCTTCTTCCTCTTTAAGTAAGCTCTGATCAATATAGGATCCTTGATTGTGCTTACTCTTCTTTGAACAATATTATTTTCATCCCTAAATCTTCTAGTGATTTTCAAAATGCTAGACTTGGAATCAGTGATATCTTTTATATCAATCTTAGCTTCTGATGCTGGTGGATGTTCGCTATAGATCGTATTTAAATTGTGGTTTTCGTTGCTATTTTCAACAGTAAGCGATCTCCTTTGAGAGTACCAAATTCTAGATACTTCATCCTCGTAGATCTTCTGCAGTTGAGCAGCGGTTAGGGGCTTTGATGAAGCTGTAGGGCCATTAGCTGCGTCTTCCTTTCCGAATAATGGTTGGAATGTATTCTTTTGAGTGGCCCTCAAAAATGAAAATCCTAAACCAACTCCTGTTGGGTCACCTTCCCCATTGAGTTGCAAGTTGGCCTTTGTTTGATTAGCATTCAAAAAATTACGAGATAAATTCCACGAGCTCAATTCCTCTTCTACTTCCTCGTTTGCCTTTTCTTTATCATCCCTTTCTCTCTTTTTCCTTTCCTTCTCATTTGGCTTTTTACCATTTTTAGGTTCTTGTTTTGGAACTGATCCCTCTTTCTCTGTTTCTTTCTCATTTTCAGTCTCCTCCTTTTCTTTCTCTCCTTTCTCTCCTTTTTCTCCTTTTTCTTTCTTATCAGTGATGGCTTTGTCCTTTCTGGCGGTTTGATCCTTATCTTCTCCTCTAAATATGTATATGTAGTCCTCCAACATCTGTTGGCCGTGCTGCATACTATCCAATAGACACAAATCTTCAGGTGTGATCATTGTTCTAATCTCGTCCTCATTAGGCACAGGTTCATTATTTTTCATTTTCCAAAATCCCAGATCTTCTCCGTGACGTTGATGCTCCATGAACTCCTTTAATCTTTGACGGTTTTGCATGTCATTCTGGTCAGGAAAATGGCTAGAAATATCTTTCACAGATATTCTTTGCTCTCCATTTTTATTCATAGTTCTATATGCAACAATTCTAAGACGGTTCTTCGAAGTATTAGTGATTTTTCTCGAGTGTGGCGCTGGAACTTCTACCGCTGGGAATAATTGACCAACTCCAAAGACATGGTTCATACTTCTCAAGTAATTTCTTGGATGATTTCCCGCACCTTGAGTTCTTATAAGTAAAAAGTCTGTGGACTTGATATCATGCTTGAAAACTGGAGCTCTGATCAAATTATTATATAAAGTGGGAACAAAGTCTCCCCTGGCGACATGTCCAAAGTTCCAAAATGGAGACCTGTCTTCGACACCTAATACATGAGTCTCCCCAATAACTGCCTTCGGTCTTGTGGCATCATCATCTTTTTCTTTTCTATAATAGTTGATAATTTTCGACCCCATACCGAAATTCAGTAATATCTGAGGATATTCCTCAGAATATTCCATACCCACGATCATTGCAGTGTCAGAGACGGTCAAATCTGAAGTTTTCTGGAATATTTCTTGAGAGGACTTACCTCTGTCCTTCTTTTTCTTTCTTACTTTCAATTTGGAGAAATTCATTAAAGTTCCTGGCCTGATGATAAACCTTGGTCTATGGAATGATCTGCATTCAGCCTTAGTCAATCTAACCTTATAGTATGGAGATTGTAAACGCATGGCCGGAATCGAATGGTCAATCGTTAAATTACTCAATTGACTTCTAACCTTGGTGTTATAGTTTTTCTTCAACACTTCGTACTGTTTATCGTTAGAAATATTAAATCTGTTTGCCAAGAGCTTTTCTGAAGATGGGATAAGTGCTTTCGACTTAGTTTTCTTTCCCAGCAGTTCTGCCTTGACATCAGGCACAAATAGTAAGTTAGGGTCATTCATGTCAAGTTTTAGCTTGTTATGGCCACTAATGGTACCATTGAATATGTCCTCGTCAAAGTCTTCGTCCTCTTCAAGATCAATATCATCAATCCCCTCTATTATAGGGTTCTTGACAGTTATATTCTTATTTAAATTGAGTTTCTTATTTGACTTCTTGTAGTCCCCTCCATTTATTATTTCGTCATCATCCCAGGACGTTGTACTGAAAACTAAGTCTTTAGGTAAGCTCCCGAAAATGTCATTGGATCCATCCATCTTTAAGAAGGGAATCTGTCTGAAGGTACTGTATCCATTCTCTGCACGTTCTTTCAACTGCTGAATAAATGCATAATCCGATGGTATAATGTCTACAACTCTTCCCGAATTTCTTGAGGCAATCTGGTTGCTCAAATCCTTGTGCGACTTAAATGCTTTCCTTTGATCAGGCTCGAGATCAAGAACTACCTTAGTGGGTATTAATGGCTTAACATTAGATTTTTGAGCCAAGGGAGTTCGTAAATAGTTGTAGTATCGCTGTGTTGGTAAAAAGAGCGAATGATTGTTGTATGGCCTATCTACCGAATACTCTGGGAAGTATCTCGAAAGGTTTTTCCTCCTGAGTCTGCCTTCCATCTTAGTCACAAGCTTTTGTATTCTTGCCTTCTTGGCTGACTTTCTTTCCACCTCCAAATCAAGCTTGCGCTTACGTTCATCGGCTGCACTCATTGCCTCTTTGTTTTCCTCTTCGGCAACCTCTCTTTTCTCATCCTCATCGAATAACTGTAAATCCAATTCGTCGTTTTCATCATGAAATCCATCGTTCTGCCCTCCAAGCCCATCGAATAGATCATCATTGCCCTTGTCTACATCAATATCATCGCCACCATCACCAAATATGTCGTCGAAATCCTCTTCAGCTTTCTGTTCTTGCTTTTCCTCTTCTCCCTCTCCAAAAACATCATCAAACATATCCTCTGCGTCTTTGTTCGCCCTCTCGTCATCAGCGTCTTCATTAGTCAGTTTTCTTGATGGATCATTCTCGTCTTCTACCAAATCATCGTCATCGTCTGCTAATTCGTCAATATCTTCAAAATCTATGGCATCTGCCGCATGCTCTGTGTTTTTGACCAGATAGATGTCATTTATGGATCCACCGCCCTCCATAATATTAGTGGATCCACTCAACACTTGGTTGAACAAATCGTCATCGTCGTCATCATCTGCACGAGCATTCTTCTTTCTGCCCATTATGGCTAGTGTTATATATGTTATGTATCGATAATATACAAGCTGCTTGTCCAATCTCTAGAGTGTTTGAGCTTGTGTAGCTTTCTGTTTGTGAATTCATGTTTCAATGAACTGCATGTAGTGAAATTTTGTATGCAGTATTGATTCAGAATGTACTGTATACGAGTCCGTGTTGTATGTAGAACCCTGTGATATAACCTGTATGTAATTTGCATTTATATGCAGAAGAGTCTCAATACGTCCTGTATACATTTTATGTTAAATGCAGTATATTTATTTAACATAACCTGCATGGTAGCTGTTGATTAAATGAATACATTTTTTTTGTTGCAGGGAACGTTTTGCTACATGTACTTCAATATTTCTGCCTACATGAAGCAGAAGGTATTTAAAGCACCTATTATAGATGGCACATATTCTACTTGCAGTCAGCTGCAAGTAAAGGCAAGTACTTAATAATTGAAAATTAAAGGAGGCTCCATTTATTCGATTTGCAGAAGTGGGCGCACACAGTAGCAGGTTATAGATCATACCTAAATTACATGCATATGGTCAATTAATTGCACTCAATATCGCTGGGAGTTCGGGGGGCTTGAAAATTGCTGAAAAATAGAACATGTATCAGAAAATAACAAGAAAGCTAGACTCATTGACAATAGAGATATGAAACGGAGCCGGCTCCATTGAGAAGGTACTGAACCCATGCAATAATAAGAATAAATCAGGAAACATAAGCTAGAATAAAATAAAAAACGAAAGAAAGCTATTTTAAGACTATGGAGATCTTGCTCAAGTCTAGAATATTAATAGAGATCTTGAACTTGACTTCAGAATGGGCCAACATTGGATTTTCGCCGCAATCATGATTTTCGATTCTTGGATTCCTTATCGGTCTAACAAATGCAAAGACTACAATTTACCCCTTAGCATCATGTTGTGTACCGTCATGTGTGTGGTAGTATAATTCGCTGTTATGTAACATCAAGCAGTTACTTTAACACCCAAATGAAGAGGTACTCCTGCTTGGCATACCTTCGAACTTGCATTCAAGAAAAGAGTTAAGGAGGCTTGTGTCAACACTCCTTGTTCATGCGCTGAAGGCAATGCAACGTTTGCTATTGTCAAATTTAAATTCATGCACCTCCAGTCTTATTGTCAAGATGTTTCAAATTGATAGTTCAACAGCTAAGTCGCACTACCACCGATTCTTCCTCCTATTGTTGTGCATGCTGCGTGCTGCATGATGCAAGTTTTACATATACGTTTTATCATCTTGATCCACATTCTGATGAGCATTGTTCACCATCTGATGCGTTACACATTCACGCATCTTTTGGACATCGTCCACCCATTCCAGTTTTGGAACCAATTTCTAAAATAAACAGGAAATAAACAAATCATCGTGCTCGATCTGTAGCGTATGTAGATATGAAGTAGTTTTTTCTTGTTTGCTGATAATTCTCAGGCACCGCTCGAAAGCAATTGAGTGCGTTAAATTCAAAAATGCTGCATGCATGGTACTGCAGGCCCGAGTGTTAATATTTAAATATACAAGGAGCGTGTTTTGCAATAGAAAATGCTGTACGTGCAGTTCTCAGTGTCTACTGTAAACTATTGGATGTGTTATGCTCACCGCACAGAGCATGCGTGTATGTGTGAGCGTCTGAACGTGTGAGCGTAAGCTCTCTTGCAAAACTTTGCGAGCAATTGAGCGTGTTCTGCATATCTTCATTAGTGCTACTCTGGTGCCAACTCAGTGCGTCATACTCTCGTTGATCCTGCATATACCCCAATTCTCTTGAACAGACCTGTACCTGTATGTAGCGGCAAGTCTCCAGCTACGCTTCACTCGTCACGTGCTCACTATCTAATCTTCTTAGATTACTCCATATCACGTGCTTTTGTTCAACTTTGTTTCTTTCTTTTTTTTTTTTCTTTCTTTTTGCACCCTACACCCAATAGATCAAGAGATGAATGAAAAAATCTGATAGCTAGTGTATTCTTCCATAAACTAGTTCTTTTATTGTAACTAAAGATAATAATGGCACCTCACGCTATCAAGGCTAGTCCAACACCAAGTGTTGCCCCTAGTTTGGCTTCAAATAACGGAATTAGTAACCCATTTGGAACTGCCGCAGACCCCAATGCTTTAAAGGGTACATCTTACACCTCGGCTTCTACTATTGTCGCTCAGGCAGTGTACTCCATTCTGTCCAAGATCTTCTCTTACGAGACTCCAGGCACTTCAGGTTTATTGGACTCTAATTTAGAGCTTTGGTCGCAGGAATATAACCGTCCAAACTCGTTTGGTGTTGTTCCTTACTTTCACCAATTCCAGGTCAGATCTGGTGCATCTAATGCCATCTTGGGTTACTTAGGTAAGAACGGTACTAATGGCCAACCAGTCCTGACTTTAGCTGGTGCAGGCGCTTTAGGCTACATGCAACCAATCTTGGCCTCAACTACTGCTACCCTCCCGTTGTCTTTCAATGTATCTGCTATTGATTACGATTCAGCTAGTCAAAGCTTGGTCTCAAACTACGCTACCCCATTAAGTGTCGCAAGATCTTTGAACTACCCAGTTTTGACCCCAGTTGACTCAAACAATGGTTTGGAGATCCAACACCTTACCGTTTTGAACCACTATTTGGCTGCTTTGACAGGAAGACCTTCTTTCAATCTCTTCGATGGACCTGAATTCTCCCAAACTTTTGTTAAATTCCAGAACTTGTTGAGTGTCGAAGAATTGGGCAGATTGTACCAAGATTTGTTGTCTTCCACTAATCAAGTCAACCCTTCATCCCCTGATGAAGCCGTTGAAATTGCCCTTTGTAACTTGAACAACTTGGTGGGAACTCACTACTCGCAATTCGAATTTATTGGTCCATCCGACGCTGAGACTGTTTTCGTCATCTACGGATCTCATGAAACCACCCAAGTTTCCCAAGTGATCTCTAAGTTGGGTGCAGACTCCAAGGTTGGTTTAATTAAGATCCGTGTTCCTTTACCGTTCAACACAGAAAAGTTCATTTCCACTTTACCTCAATCAACTAAGAAATTGGTTGTCTTGGGTCAAGGTAATTCTAGCTCTTCTGCTTCTTCTTTGAAGGCAGACGTAACCGCAGCTTTGTTTTTGGGTGGCCGTTATCATTCCCTCGTTGTCAGTGATTTTTCTTATCCTGCAACCTTTGTATGGACCCCAATTACCATTGTCAAGATTTTACTGGAATTCTTACCTGAATTGAACCCTCAATCGGTTCTTCAAAGAAGTAATGCTGTCAACGTGAATGTCAATGCCAACTCATCTCCTGAAGGTAATTTCTTGATTTGGGGTAGAGATAATGGATTTTTATTGGAAACTGCTAAGAAGTTGGCTCTTTCCTTATCTTTAGACTCTTCCAAGTACGTTAGTATTAGAAACAAGTACGATAACTCAAGTGCCGGTGGATTGTTCCAATCGTCGATTGTTTCCACTAAGGATTCTAACGTTGCTGCTCCAATCGATTCCGCAGATGTGATTATTATTGAAGACGCTAAGTTGTTAGAATCTTACGATGTCCTTGCTACCTCAAGACCTGGTCATACCGTTTTACTTGCTTCCAGCAAGCCAATTAAGACTTCTCTTCAAGAAGATATCATTGATAAATTACCTGTCGACTTCAAGCGTGCTTTAGCTAGAAATCAAAACAAATTGAAAATCATTGACCTTTCCATTATTGAAGAATTGGATCAATTAGATGACTCCACCAAGGGATTCTCCGGTGACTTCTTAGTTCAAATTGCATTCTGGAACGCTGCCTTACCTGAATTGGATGGATTTGTGGTCAACAAGTTGTTGCAAGCCAATGGTAACGGGTTTGAATTGTTAGGTGCTGTCTTGGATAAATTTATTAATTCAGTTAAAGAAAAGCAAGGTATTAAAGACGTTGAAGTCTTACCTGAATGGGTTGATTTGGAAGATAAGATTGAAGAAGTTAAAGATGGGGAAGATAAGGAAGAAGCTGATGAAGTCGAGGAAGTTGAGGAACTTCCATTCTTCCCATTGGAAACTTCTTTCTTACCTAACCCACGTAACATCAAGATCGAAAATGAAGATGCCAGTCAAACTGGTCACGTTAGTTTGGCTACCAAACTTACTTTCCCAGAAGCCTATGGTGTCTCTAAGGAATTAAGACCAGACCTTCCTGTGAAGAACTTTGTCGTCAAGGTTCAAGAAAACAGAAGATTGACTCCAGCTGAATATTCTAGAAATATTTTCCATATTGAGTTCGATACTACTGGAACTGGTTTAACTTATGATATTGGTGAAGCCTTGGGAATCCATGGTGTTAACAACTCTGAAGAAGTTGAATCTTTCTTGAAATTTTACGGTGTTGACGGTAATTCATTAATTGAAGTCGCCAACAAGGAAGACGATTCTATTGTTGAAACAAGATCTGCAAGACAAGTCTTGTCTGAAGGATTGGACTTTTTAGGTAAACCACCAAAGAGATTCTACGAATCTTTGGCACCTTTTGCTACTGAAGATAAAGAAAGAGAACATTTAGAAAAATTGGCTGATGCCAGTGGTGCTGAAGAATTGAAGAAGAGGCAAGATGTTGATTTCTGTACCTATGTTGACATTTTAGAAGAATTTAAGTCAGCTAGACCTTCGTTTGCTGAATTGGTAAAGATCATTGCTCCATTGAAGAGAAGAGAATATTCTATTGCTTCTTCCCAAAAAATTCACCAGAATGCTGTCCACCTTTTAATTGTTGTTGTTGATTGGGTTGACCCTAAGGGCAGAACGAGATACGGACACTGTTCTAAGTATCTTTCAGATTTAAAGATTGGTGATGAGTTGGTTGTTTCTGTTAAGCCATCCGTTATGAAGTTACCTCCATTACTGACACAACCAATTATTATGTCTGGTTTGGGTACTGGATTAGCACCATTCAAAGCTTTCATTGAAGAAAAGATTTGGCAAAAGCAACAAGGTATGGAGATTGGTGAAATTTATTTATTCATGGGTTCTAGACACAAGAAGGAAGAATACTTGTACGGTGAATTATGGGAAGCTTACAAGGATGCTGGTATCTTGACCCACATTGGTGCGGCCTTCTCAAGAGATCAACCTGAGAAGATTTACATTCAAGACAAGATAAGAGGGGAAATTGAAACTTTGACTGACGCCGTCGTTAAGAAGGAAGGAAGTTTCTACTTGTGTGGTCCAACATGGCCAGTTCCAGATATCACTGCTTGTTTGGAAGATATCTTATTGAATGGTGCCAAGCGTGCTGGTGAAGTAATCAAGGATGTCTCTAAAGAAGTTGAGGATATGAAGGAAGAAGGTAGGTACATTCTTGAAGTTTATTAGATTATTTAAGTGTATTAAAGCCCAAAATATAATTCTTTTTATTAATAGAGTAGTAAACGTCTTTCTATATGTTTAGGCTACAATTAGCGTATAACAAAATACTTGCTTCCGTTTTGTAGCTGACGGCATTCTAAAGCCCACCAAGCTGAAGGTTTACCTCTTGCCTTTGCCTCAGATAGGTGTAGAATATCTTGAAGTTTATTTTTATTCTAGGTTCCACATTTTCTATCACCCGTATTAAAAATAGTTATATAGTTTTAAGTTTAAGTTTAAGTTTATGTCGATGTAAAGATACGCGATCTCCAAGATGAGTATACCTAACTTACACTCATGCTCCATAGACGTTCCCCTCCCTCGTAATAATGCTGCCAGGTGGGCATGGGCAAGCTAGAAGTCAATTTTTACTTACAGGTCTTGCATTGCGGCAGTTGGTTACCAACTAATGGTTTTAGATTCAGAAGTGTCAGGAAACCCAAAAATAATTTCCTCATTAGGAAGTGTAATAAAAATTTATGCAACAACTTTCAGGAACGGTTACTGAAGTCAAAAACCTTAAAACTGTCATAGACAATATAAATAAGGCCATACATCCTTCTGTTTGCCTCTTGCGCCTATGCCTACCAAGAATATTGATCTTATTTTGCATGCTATTTAGCAAGTTGCCCTTGATCGTGACAGAAGTAGCACTCAGTGATGAGATGCGTTCCTGTACATAACCCCCACTGAACCTATAGATTTCCCCTCTCACGGAAAGTTACTCCTACTTGTCCATGGTTTACTTCCTACAACAGCGGTTGAAAAAGAAAGAATAATAATATGTAAATATAAACATATGTTAATTCACTATCTATGAAGTTCTATTGAAAAGAAGAAAGACTTAAAAAAACCTAGTGCTTATATTGACTGTGGGACTCGTTATCTAAGAGAGTCCATCTAAGTATTGTCCAGTTGAAACCGTCAACGAAAGTTAGCTAACAGTTGCTAACATGAAATGGGAAAAAAAAAAATGAAACTGAATATCAAATTAATGATACTAAACGAATATGAATGTGAAAAAGAGAAAGTTTTAACACAGTTGAAACTATCCATTTTCTTTAAAAAAAGGCCGGTATGATTTGTTAAGGTTGGGCCAAGAACAACGAATTTATGGGTGGATGGTACTAACAGCTTTTCGTATCTATTAACAGTTCGAAAGCATTGTTAGGTATTAAAGTAGAAAATATGTCGCAACATTGCTTTCTTATTTTGGTATGAAAAGATTAGAATAAATTAATGATGCCTCGAGAGATATATGTTAATCCTCGGTATAGCCTCAACACAATTTATTAAATTCCTTAGATGAAGTAAGCCAATGGGATGACAATCAAGGCAAGCATAGAAGCCTTGGAAGCACCAGCAACGTTTTCAGAGGCTGGGATGGTGACAGCACCAGAAGTTGCGGCTGAACCACTACTAGTTGTAGCAACAGTAGTTTCGGCAGCGGCAGTAGATTCTGAGACAGCAGTCTTGTAGGTGGTGGACTCAAGAGTGATGGTAGTTTCACTTGCTTCAGCTTCAGTAGCTGGAGTAGTTTCAACTGCAGCAACAGTGGTAGCAGTGACAACAGCACCTCCAGAAGTGTAGGTGGTGGTAACTGGGGTTTCAGTTACTGGAGCAACAGTGGTAGCAGTGATAACTGAACCTTCTGAAGTGTAAGTGGTGGTAACTGGGGTGTAGTATTCGGTGGTTTCGACGACGACTGGGATAACAGTAGTCTTGGTAATAACTTCACCTTCAGAGGTAGCAACAGTGGTGGCAGTGTAGTACTCAGTAGATTCTGAAACAACAGTTTCAGTGGTGTCAACTGGACACCAGGTGGTGTAAATAGATTCGACAGCTTCAACTGTGGTGGTAACAACAGATGCGGTAGCTGGGACGGTTGCTTCAGAACACTTGTTGTCGGAACAAGAGGTGATGGTGACAATCTTGGTGGAAGCGTGGGTAACGGTTTCAGTTTCATCACCGGTCAATGGACAGTAAGTGGTGTAAGTGGTAACTTCTTCATTGACAGTGGTAACAATTTCAGATGGAGTAGCTGGAACAGTGGTAAGAACACACTTGTGGTCAGAACAAGAAGTGATAGTAACGACAGTAGTGTGCTTGTCGGTAACAGTGGCAGTTCCACCTGGAGCGGAGGTAACTGAACCGGAACCAGATCCAGAAGTAGTAGAAGAAGATCCGGATCCAGATCCAGAAGAGGAAGCAGTGGAAGCGAGAACAACTTCAACAGTGGCTTCGATTTCAGTACCTTCAATTCCTTCAAGGGAAGCAACGAAGTCGGAAACTTCATCTCTGGCGAGTAAGGATTCCTTCATTAATCTTCTTCTGATAGCTTCGGTGGAGTTGGTAGATGGAGTCTTGGTAACGTGGACTTGGTGTAATGAGAAAGATCCCTTACCGTATAAAGCATTGGCTGGGATATCAATTTCACGGCCAGCAGCTTCAATGTCTGTGTAGTACTTTGGTGGGACATCAACGTAGTAGAATTCAACATCATAAGCGTTTTCTGAAGTGTATTCGAACAAGACTGGCAAAGAAATTGGGACAGTGAATGGACACACACCGGTGTCTAAGTCTACAGTGGCAACGGAAACACCGTTAACTAAACAATCGACATCTACAGCTAAGGTAGAAGCTGACATCAATGCTGCAGCAGCTAAAGATTTGTATGAGACCATTTTTTAAACTTCTTCGGGGAGTTAAATTTATTAGGAGCGAATGACTAAAGAATTTAGAAAATGTAGTGAGGAAAGGAGAACAAAAAGAGAATTCTTCTATTCTTCGGGATTTCAAGGCTGATATATGGTCTATTTTATCGTAACTTTGTTCTTGAGTTTTTTTTCTTATATTTTTGCAGCAAATTATTTTTTAAACGTGCATATCAGCAGTAGTCTGTTTTGGAGGGAGAGGAAGATTTATTGGGTTGTCGGTTGCGAACCATGAGTTATGACCAAGTTGATGGTGCATAGCGGTGCATGGGAAAAAGCGCGCATTAGGGCTCATGTAGGTGAAAAGTATAAGAATTCGTGGCTTAATTTCTCACGGGCATTTGAATAATGCACAGTAGGGAAGGTTCAAAATCACGAAAAAATAGAAGTTTATGTACAATCCGTCCTTGGAGATCGTGTTTTCGATAATAAACATAACAAAAGAGCGAACTAAAGAGTATAACGCTATGATTTTTGGTTTAAAGGTGCATTGGCACCACAACGTGAAACAATGAGTATGAGGGCAGCATTGCAACTAAGAATTTTTAATATTTTATCTACTATAAATCACAAGAAGGGTAGATAAGAGAAAATAATTAGTGAGCATAATGAAAAAAAAAAAAAAAAAAAAAAAAAAAAAAAAAAAAAATTAAAAATGAAAGATATGTTTTTTTTTATGAAATATGAAAAAACCATTTAAAAAAAAAAGTGTTTGTTTTGTTGAAAA